GCCACCAAGCACAGACTGGATGGTGAAAAGCTCAAGCTGTGCGCTTGTCTAGTTACGAATGGTCAGTGTTAGAAATACTGCATCAACTATTACAATACCTTTGCTCCCACATCCAACATGTCCTCAATTAGGACCGTGCTTGCCATGGCTGCCCAGCACAATTGGCATATTCACCAAGTCAATGTTAAGAGCACCTATCTCTATGCTGAGCTCAAGGAGGACATATACATGCATGCCCCACCAGGATACTTGAAGGCAGGACAAGAGAGGAAGGTGTTAAAGCTCTTGAGGAGCTTACCAGGCTTAAAGCAGGCAGGTTTTGAGTGGTTGAAAGAGCTGGCCGCTGCATTCCTGAAGATAGGACACACACACTCAAAGGTCGATCAAGCCATCTATTATAAGTGTCAGGAGGACAAGCACACTGTTATCACCATGTCGGTGGACGACATGGCCATCACCTCTCAGCCCCTCCATCATATCAAGCACTTCAAGGAAGAACTCAGCCAACACTTTGAGATTTCAGATCATGGTGAGCTTACCTGGCTTTTAGGGCTTAAGGTCAAATGAGATTGTGCTGCACACACAATTACCTTGTCTCAGAAAGCCTACATCAATACCATCCTCAAGCAATTTCATCTTACAGACGCCAAACCTGTTCAGACGCCAATGGAAGTTGGTATCATGCTCTCCGAAGCCCAGTCTCCTGCCATGCATGCTCAAAACAAAGCCATGTAAGACATCCCATACCAGAGAGCCATTGGGTCTCTGATGTATGCAGGCACAAGCACTCACCCCAACATCGCCTTTGCCATCATGACACTCTCCCAGTTCATGCACAATCTGGGAAGAGAACATTAGGAAGTGGTGAAACACGTTTTAAGGTATCTCAAGGGTACAAGCAGATTTGAACTGACCTTTGGAGGCATGGAGGCAGGACTGGAAGTGTACATTGATGCTGATTGGGCCTTGCAGGCACACCGACATTTGATGTCTGGATACCTCATTCTGTTGAATGGTGGACCTGTAGCCTGGAGTGCTGCAGGGAATGTCCCCACTGTAGGCCCATATCCTGTATAATTCCCAAGCCTTACCACCATCTTTCCGTGAATTCCGCTACCGTTCCGCTACCCATCTGCATCTTACCTGACCCATCCACTACACGGAACCAAGCGGAACAACCACGCATCATGCACATCATATCCCTTTAGCTTTCAGAACGTCCTCCTCTGTCCTGTCCCCGTCCTTCCATCCTCACTGGTGAGTCCTTGCTATGTTCCCCATGTTACTGACATGTTGCTATCTCATTTCATATGTGTTACAATACTTATACAGATCCTTCCACTACTCGGAACCGGTTCCTTATCTCACAGCCTCACCTGGTTGTAGCATAGTGCTTTTTGGAACCCCTTCCTATATAGATAGCAATAGATGGGATCTTAGTTTTTACCTTTTGATAGACTCAACTCCACTTCCACTTACAGAGTACTTCCCAGTACTCCACTCACTGTTTAAAATATCTTCCCAAATCTATTCCTGTTCACATTGCAACATTCCTGCCTCCGTGAGTTCCGCTTGAAATGCCTGACATTGTATCCAACGACTTGAAGCAAGTACCAGACACAAGCCTGGTCCAACTTTGCCCAATCTTCCTCGTACAGGCTCATAGTTTCCTTTTCCCTCCGTTTGTTCCGTTTGTTCTGTTTGTTCCGCGATAGTTCCATTAGTTCCATGTAGTTCCGCTCATTGCGCGTTAGTTCCACTTGTTGTGCATTAGTTCCGCTCATTGCGCGCTTGTTCTGTTTGTTGTGCACTGTGTTCCGCTTGTCACGTACCTTCCGCATCTTTGCATTCCCAGTCCTAGTAAGGACTGGAACCCTTTGGGTCGCTAGACAGAGTCTAGTCTTTGCTTTCCTCGCACTTACTTGAGGACTTGCTACCCAGTAGCAATCCCCTCGGGACGAGTATTTGTCTTGCACCCTTGTTAGACCTCTGAATCACCCCAGAGTCTATTTTCCTCACCCACAGTGCTCAAAAGCAGTTCCTCATAGTGTTATCAACCACAGAGGCCGAGGATATTGCACTTACTACAGTGGCTCACAAGGTACTTTACTTGCAGCTCCTCCTCGAAGAGTTGTACAATGTCAAGCATACCCCCATGCCCATCTACTGCAATAACCAAGCAGCTATTGCCCTCACCTCAAATGGCAAATTTCAATCCCACACAAAACACAGCAACCTCAGATACCACTTCATTCAAACCCATGTTAAGAACGGCACCTTCACACTCACCTATTGCCCTAGCAAAGAGAACATTTCCAATGCTTTTACAAAGGCCCTACCCTGTCCTCAGATCCAGAAACTTTATATGCTGATGAGCTTAGAAGACTGCACTCAAGGGGGAGTGTTGGAGTCCAAACAAGCTAGTGAGGTCATTCAGCTTGATTAGCCACACAGAGATGGCTCATATTCTTTTTTTCAAAGCAGGCAAGGGGCAGGATGGATTTTTCATGACAGACAATATTATTACACACACAAAGCTGGCAATGGATACTTTAGACAAACACTTCCCTCATGATGATCACATTATTGTATTCGACAATGCAACAACTCACATGAAGCATGCAGATGATGCACCTGCTGCTTGCAACATGCCAAAGGACCTATCCAAAACATGGGGTGCCATGGTTACCACCAAAGATGCATGTGGCAATGTCATTCATAATGCCAATGGAAAGTCCCTGAAAACAAAAATCCAGTTGGCTTGCCAATGGTACACTGCAGTCTTTCTACTTTATGGAGGGCCATGAGAAGGCAGGCTGGTTCAAAGGCATGGCTCAGATTCTCTGTGAATGAGGATTTGATGAAGAAGCAAGCCTCAAATCAGAATGTCCTGGCTTCAAATGCCCCCCTGACAAGATGCCACATTGCTGTTGCCATTGTTTCCTTTATAATCAGCCTGACTTTATCAATGTAAAGTCATGCCTTGAAATTTTTTGCAAGGAATGTGGCTTCCATGTCATATTTCTGCCCAAATTTCATTGTGAACATCAGCAAAACACTTTTTTTTCCCACCACCAAAAAATGGCTGGCCACAGCTTGGTCCCTCCTGTACAGAGCTGTACAGAGCCCACAGAAGCAAAGTGATTTGCTGATGAACTGAATTTTATTGAGATGTGCTGGGGCTTTGTAAAGCGGGTGTCATCAATTCAAACTATCTTCAAAAGAAGATGATCTTACGCAACATTATAGCTGCATGTGACTCTATTCCTCTGCAAACAATGCACAGGTAAGTTTTTTATGTAGATCATGTAGATCATATGATCATTCTTGCTGACATTAACCACAGATTTGCAATCAGATCCAGATGCTTCATTGATGCTTATTGAAAGGGCCTAAATGGTATGCAGGCTGCTTGGGCTATCAAAAAGTATCATGGTCATAGAGTCCTGCCTGAGAGCATCATGCAGGAGTTTGATAATACTACTCCAACTGTTTGAAGGGACACCAACTAGTCTATTCATGCAGCACATAGTTTTTCACTTACAACTTCTACTGATACTAATACTACATTTCCCGCAGTATATTCTAACTTCGTCAGTAGCTGCACATAATAACATCTTTTGCTCAATGCCTTTGAAGGCATTTGTTTGGTCTCCCGGCAACTCGGCATGACCTTATCCTGGGATAAGTTCAAAGTGTCACAGGCAGTCACGATCACATGACATTGGATGGATTCGCATGAGGCCTAAGATAGACCTCATCCAAACCCATTGACATCACATGATGAGTTACCTCTCTGTGACCTTATGTGACCTTTTGTGACTCCATGCTTCAAACTTTGTTTATCGCACTGTGTCACGACTGCGAGTCTGCGACAACAGGTTCCTCTGTGGCCGTAGCATTATATTCGAGTGTATGTATGTATCTCAAGTCTTAAAATTGTATTTGAATGCAATTTTCATGTAGCTAATTGGTTTGTTCAACCAATCCTGCCTCCGTCAGATCTCTCATTAGTGTTTCAGGCAAAACTCTATGTCCATGGTACTTCTTTGATGCCCATGCTGCCTGTTTGCCATTGAGACCTTTCCTATAGGCGTCCATAAATCTCAGTGAACGAGTGGAGAACCTATCATGATATGGTGTTAGCCTGACTCAGATGCAAGATTTATGACTCACCTGCGAATGGCTACTAGCGGGACTGAATCCAAAGCCTGGAGGACATTTCGCTCAAGATCAGCTTCTTTTAACGATGCGGGAAGTTCATGGTAAACATGTTTCGAATAACCCCAGCACTGCTCTATAAAATTAAGCTCACAGTGAAATTTAGGGAAGAAAATTGCTTGAAAGCCACGGGCTTCGCAAGCAATCTCCAGCAATGACTTGACACCCACGAAGTCAGGCTTGTTATAGAGCATTCTTCGACAACAACAATGAACGGCCCCCTTTTTGCACTGAAATCCTGGGCATTCTGCCCGAATCTTCAATGCCCCTTCATAGCCTCGCTCCTCCAGTATTGCTGCCATTCCTTTGAATACACCAGCACGTTTGTGACCTTCTGGATAGTACAGCGACTGCGGTGATCCATCTGCCAACTTGCCGTCGCCCATTGGAACCTTTTTTTTCAACACCGCACCATCAAGGCCATGCATGGGTTTTCCATCTTCACCAACCACATTGACCTCTACACCCCAGTTCATCAGCTTCCGTCCCTCACCCCAATTGGTACCGTCCCACTTGTCTCCATGCTTCGGTGAATGTTTAGGCATGTGTCGTGCCGACAGCGCATCATCTGCACGCTTCAGGTGTGTCGTTGCATTGTCAAACACCATGACATGATCCTCGTCCATATAGTGTTTCTCAAGAATGTCCATTGCCTTGGAGGCCTGTTTAAGTATGTCCTCGCATGTGAAGTACCCTTCGTGGGCCTTGCCAGCTTTGAATAGGACACAAACACTTTCTGTTCTGTCCGGTGAACGCAGCCATCCATAATCAGGGCTGACCATATCTGCAATCATCAATGAGGCACCCTCTCCTTTGGCATACGGTATGGCAGTTTCGCTTTTGTGGACCCATCGAATTTTTCTACGGTTGTTTGCATAATAGGTGGACTCATTGTGATTCCAGATTATGACTCGACGAGTGCTTAACTGTGGCACAGCACCCTCATTTCCATTGGGTGTGTAAACTCGTGTGTGAGACAGCAGCTTGGCCCAAACAGGGAGGAACACTGCCTGTCGATATTCCACCACATCAACCCTCTTGTGTCCGTCAACAAACTGACCAGTTGGTGTCTTCGACCACCTGTAACCAACATGGTTCATCCAGCATTGTGCTGTCGAGAGGGATATTGTTTTAGTTAGTTTTAACCGTGACTTCATCTTGGCTTGATCGAGATATTCAACTATATCCATTGCTCTAACATACTTCCCGATCCCCTGTAAATGTAGAAGCAGCTCCTGTGCAAAGTCTTTGTCTTCCAGAATTGAGGAGTTCCAGGTTCCATAGATATTCATAGAAAGGTCTTCGCGGTCTTTACAATAAGCTTGTACCCACTCACGAAGACGGCCTGCTAACCAAGGCCCTTTCTGATGAGCATGAGCAGTTTTCAGTGATGCTGCTATCCATCCATGCCTCTTATTGGCTGGATCAGTGTAGTTCCAAAGAAACATCTGCATTCTTTCGAGATGGGTTCGAAGAAGCAGATCAAGTTTAGGGTCTTTGTGTCCTCCACCTGACTTTCGTGGAGGATGGAGTATCAGTTTCAGATCAGCTAAGGCAAGAATAGCTTCTTCGACAGTTGGGGGTGGTATGAATTGGCCAGCGAGAGCTGGAGTACTATTGTTCCAAGGAGGAACCTGTCTGTCTTCATCTACTTCTTCATCATCCTCGAAGTTAGACTGTGTATCATTATCTTCAATGAACCTCGGAGCAGGACATTGTTCAGGTATACTATTCAGAATGGTTCTATTTGGTTGTAAGGGACTAATTACGGTGTGCGAGAGTGGTGGATTTGTTGGGTAGCTTCCGGTGAAAGGTGTCTTTGTCAATGGATGGATTAATACACAATGAAAGATTGACTATCGATATTTGCTTACATTCTCTTGACTTGTACTGGTTATCTTTCTTTTCTTCTGGCTGGGGTGAGTGTGAGCACCCAAGTTTGCAATTTGTGAGGGTCTTTTGCGAGGCATAACAGTTGTTGTGAAGTCGTTGACCTGACTCGCACTTCCATCAGTGAACCGGTGAGCCACCGATATTCCCATATTTTGTACACCGAAATGCTCTTTCCTATATATGATGTTATAAAACAATATAAAGTAATATAAAGTGATGTAAAGCAATATCTAAGTCTGAACCGAGCGTGAATTGGCGTGATTACATTGCTTTAGATTGCTATATATTACTTTGCATCATAATGTACAGGAAAGAAGCATTGGGCTTGGAAAATACTACAAAATCTACTAATATCTGAGTCTCACCGGTTTACTGATGTCATTGTCACGCTGCACAGCCACAACTTCAGATTCAGCCGGTACATTGATCACCAAAAAGACTACTACTTATTCAAAAACGCGAATTAGGGAAATCTGTTGCAGTCGATTGTCCGTACTGTATGTTCGGACAATCGACTGGAACAGATTTTCCTAAAACGATCTCAGCAAGAATCCTTAGGCATTGTAACGCAAAAGTCACGAAAAGTCATGTGATGTACATGTATTTGCGTGAGGTCTATCTTACCTTACCAGGCGCCGTCCAGTCTTAGACAACTTCCGAAATGTACCATGCATGCATCGTGCCTGATTTATCTTGTCCGGCAGTGGACACACGAAAAAAACTGGCGAGATGGGCTCTTCATTGAGCTGCGTGGCACTATTCCCAGCCTTCATTGCCGTGACTACCCCAGACAAATCCGCATGTGACACTGGTGATCCACCATGAAACTTGCTTGCCGTACGGCGCCAGAGTACCGAGACTTGGTCAGTTTGCGAATCTGGTATGTAAGTCGAACTCCCGAACGCCGGACAACTAGGCTATTGCTTGGTCCTGAGTTCTATACTAAGGGATCTGCAACATGTGGGAAGACTGTCACTTAAGTATAACTCACTGTCTTACTTCCCAATTGCCTGCTGACTCTTATCGCAACCCTGGCTGGCAATAGACCCGTGCTCGCCTTATAGGGCCAGACCAGTCCTGTGCCGACTCTTGTCCTGCCATCATGAGTGTCGAGAAGTGCACCAAGTCTATTGACCTCTCTCACCACCTTTCCGAGCTGTCCAAAGCTAGGATAACCTCTCCGTTGAAGGGGCTCCAGAAGTACTTCTCACAGCCAGGCATTTTGGCCCTCGCAGGAGGTCAGGCCTTCTCGTCTTCACAAACTGATAATATCTTATTTGACTTAACAGGCCTGCCTAGTCCTGCATATTTCCCCGTCTCAGACGTTTCTGCCAACGTTTTGGTACCAGAGTCATTCGCTCTCGCTCCGACAGAGTCGTCTACCTCTTTTTCATGGCTATGGAAGTTATTCAGTAGCCACAATTCAACCAAAGAGAACACTCAGGGCATCACCATTCCCAAGTACTCTGCCATTGACGGGGATATCAACCTGGCAAGCTCTCTTCAATACGGCGCAGCTGTAGCAGAGGGACAGTTGCAAATTTACTTGAAACATTTTATTTCTGAGGTCTATCGGCCAGCTTTTGAGGACTGGACGGTCCTTATTAACACTGGTAATACGGATGGGTGCGTCAGTTCGATTGCGGTACAATCTTTGTTGTGATGTTAGTCATCTAGGTGGGCGAGAGCTGTCGCAACCCTGTGCAACCCTGGCGAGGGTGTACTGTGTGAAGAGTGGACTTATCCCTCTGCCATGGCATCGATGCTCCCTGCCAATATCAAGCCTGTACCTGTCGCCATGGATGGACTAGGCATGAAGAGCGATGCCCTCGAGAACTTACTGTCGCAATGGGACCCAGTTTCACGTCAGATGTCAAGGTGAGATAGACAAATATAGAGGTCCACCCCGTATTTGAACTTCCCGCCAGGCCTCATGTTATGTACATTGTGCCTGTTGGACAGAACCCAAGTGGCTCGGTAAGTATATATCTTTTCCAGATCGGTCGGTGAACGCATTCCTGATGGATGCAGACAATGAGTGTCGCTCGCAAGAAGGAGATTTATGACGTCTGTGTCAAATATGGTCAGTACACTGTATTAAGAGGAATCAGCTAGCTAAATGAACTTGGCGCTTAGACGTGATAATTGTCGAAGACGATCCATATTATTTTCTTCAACTGGGAACGTACGTATTTAAAGACGACAGGTCCCCTGGTGTAACGTCTTCTGGAAGACAGTCAGCCGACGAATCTAGACAATATGTTTCGACTTTGACCCCTAGCTTCTTGAAGTATGGGCCCCCCATTTGTTCACGTTGTTCGTCTCACAATATGGTGTAGTTTTGACCACGAGGGACGTGTGATCCGTCTCGATACCTTCTCCAAGGTGAGTCATAGAATCTACATTTCAGTACGCTCGTGAGGTCAAACGTCCATTTTGGCAGACCGTCGCTCCTGGTAGTCGACTAGGATGGTTCACGTGTAATCCTCTCTTTGCAGAGAGGTTGGAGAGGCATGGAGAAACAACAACTCAGGCTCCATGCGGCTTTGGACAGGTATTCGCAATGTATCTCGTTGAGCGGTCGTGGTTGACATCGAATTTACAGGCAGTGATCGCAAAGATTTTGATGCATTGGACCTATGATGGCTACATCCGCTGGCTCAGGGGTATGTAACTTCGTTCACTCATTGGAGTCATCAATGATGCGTTTCCCGTCAGGTCTACGAACAGAATATCAGCAACGCCGTGATTTCTTCATCGATTGTCTCGCAGAGGAATTCCACTTGCAGGCGGTTCCTGCTATCGCAGGCGTCTGGCAGGGTTGCACAGTGTATCGGGCTTCGTCCAAGGTCAAGAAGAGCCCCAGTACCACTGAAAAATACCCAGGCCGGAATCGCACGATGTTTAGCTTCGTGCCGCCAGTTGCAGGAATGTTCGTATGGGTAGGTCGGCGCTCAACCTGTTTGCTTGCGTCCATTCTAAGCTTCGCATGTCAGATGAAACTTCATCTCGACCAACATCCCTCGTTTACCCCGGGAGATGAAGATACCTTAGAAACGAAGTTATGGACCAAGTTAGCAGAGAATGGAGTGTTGTTTGGACCAGGATGGATGTTCGCAGCCAATGCGATGAGCAAGGACTCTGTCAGTACTGACGCCGGCCACTTCCGCGTCAGTTTCAGCAACGCCGAGGTACGGGTTTCAAATGCACTGCACCCGAGCGCTTGCTAACAACTAGCTCCCGAAGTTCCCCGACCTCAAGAAAGCGGTCACTATTTATGGACGAGTCATCCGAGAGTTCTTTGAAGAGGAGAACCTTTAGTGCGGTGTTGGCTGTGGGGACGTGTTCTGAGTTCTTTTAGGTCTTATGCATCACACTACCTGTTCTTTGCTGTTCCCTATGGTGTATGTGTTCATCAAGCGCTGCCCAGATGTGATTCCGGACGTAGGTAGTAAACTGCTCAACTCGCTGTTGAGTCACCACGGTGGGGATGGATCAAGAGACCCTGGATTCAATGCCATGATCCTTGTTCTCAGCAAGTATACCCATCCATGGTGATCAACCGATCGGTCTCTTCCGACCTCGACCTGCTTCACGTGCGATCCGAAAGCCCTAAGGTCGAATATCGTTCGTGGCTCCGTGCTTGGCCGTTTTTCGCTGATTCTCAATCCTCCCAGCTGGGCTGTCCCGTTCTCAATACCGAGCTATGTACGTTTCTTGTTAAGCATAACGAGGGTTACCTACAGACTGCGTCACTGGAAGTGTTCGGGTCGGCCATTTTGATGCTATATGTCAAGTCGCCGCTTGCTCAACTTGAGCGCTCATTGACGGCATTTGTATTTCAAAGCTGTAAGTACCTCCTCCCTTGAATTCGGAAGATTGCTTCGATCTGCAGTAGCAGTATTCTAGATTGCACCAGTTTCGTCGCCGATCGTAAAATGATATACAGGATTGCTCATCCAGTGTGGATCCATCTCGTGAAAGGGGCGCAAGGAGATGGTATAACATGGTGTAAGCAGGTTTGAGTAGCGTCAAGCACTGAGTACCGATTCCTGAAACTGTCTTCCGTGAAGTGCTGAAACCGCCCGAATTCTCAATCAATGTTTGTTCACATGCCTGGAAGTCGAGGCCCAGTTACCACGATGAAAACACCGAGTGGCGAGCTGTGCACATATATCAGACACGAGGCGCCCTTTTAAATTGCATGGCGAACCCTGAACCCAGCCATTTTCACTGCCATGATCAGGACTTGCCCTATACCCAGGGTATGATGCTGTAAGATTCTTGGGATCGACTCTTCACAAGGATGTGTCCCATCGGTCCTTCATCGTGCCTTGTGGCTGCGGTGAATTCAAAGGCTTTGGGGCGCAAACCAGTGCCCTCGTTGCCCATAACCCCATAACCAGCGTAGAAAAGGCAGCGGGATGCGCAGCAACGTCTGCTGTCTGTCCCCATCCTGTTCGATTGTTACAGATGCCTGTGAGTGTTTCATCCTAGGTTGTCGCGGCAGCACATCCAAACATTCTTCAAGGCACGCTTAATATCCAGGGATGAGTACCTGCTACTCGCCAAGGTCGCAGAGGAGGCGGAGCGTTATGAAGGTCCGTCCATGCAACCTTCCCCACATGTTGTCCTTATCTAGGCTGTCGTTTTCATTAGATCTCGTGGCGCAGATCAAAGGCTTGACACAGACGTACGGAGCGTTGACCATCGAGGAGAGGAACCTCCTCTCAGTCGCCTACAAAAATATTACGAACTCCCTTCGTAGCAGTTGGAGAGTGGTCGATTCTTTGGAGAAGCTCGAGTCTGCTAGACCCTCCGCACAGTCAAAGCATCAGGTCTCCCTTATCCGTCGTCAGCGAGCTCGCATCGAGAAGGAACTTACAGATGCCTGCAAAGACATCGTGAAACTACTGAATGACAGTCTCTTGGCTACAGCCAAACCCGGGGAAGAGACCGTGTTCTATTACAAGCTGTAAGCTCTTTCCCTGAACCATGCTGATCAACATCCCATCGTTGCGTTTAGGAAGGGCGATTACTATCGATACCTCGCCGAATTCGCGCAGCAACAAGAACGCAGTCGGAATTCTGATCTGTCACTTGCCGCATACAAATTCGCGTACAAGCATGCACTTGCCATGCTGGAGCCGACACATCCAACAAGATTGGGTTTGGCTTTGAATTTCGCCGTTTACTACCACGACGTCCGGAAGAGTCCAGAAAGAGCGTGTCACCTCGGCAAACATGCGTTCGACGAAGCGGTCGCATGCCTAGACGATTCATCATCAATGCAAGTAATGCGTGATTCGATGATGATCCTTCAGCTTTTGAGAGACGATCTTGTAATATGGTCCAGTGAGATGCAAAGAGGTAAAGGTTGTCTCCAGATGCAATGTTCTGTCACTGATTAAAGCACGTAGATGCCGTTAGCAAGTGACCCTATGCCAAGACTATGGGCAGTTGTTCTTCTTGATTTATAGGTCTAGTCTAGTCTAGTCTCCCGTCACGGAACCCTATTTATATCAAATCACTGGCCTCGCGATTGATGGAATGCATTCCAAACACATATCGTTGCTTAGCCTCTTTTGGATGTCGGGTACGAACCTTATGGTGCATGATAAGAGCTAATCTTGCGCGAATGTTGCGGCCACGAGAAGCGGAAATACAAGCGTTGCGTCAGCGAACACCTGATGTTCCACATGAGATCTTATTGGCGAGACAAGATATAAGAAGCAGGCACCTTGACGGACTCCGCATCGGCACGAATTTTGCCCCAAGAGACTGCCTCATCTGGTCGGGCACCAGAGTCTGAGCCATCAAATTCTTGACCGGTGTTCTGCGAGCGAGAAGAATGTCACCAATTGCGGTGGCGTACTTGTGTTTGAATACTAACAATGTATACAGAGTAATCGGCACCATTTCGCTAGGTGAGTAAGGATTCGAATAAGGATTCGAATAATATTATTGACAAGATGACTTACTATTAGCATCGCGTTGGCGATTTGATGTTTGCAAACCCCTCCACCAAGGATAATCATCCCAGCTTTCTTTGATTTTCTGGAGAGTTCGTTCAAAGCGCGGATGTCACGAACAATGTCCAGTATCAGCCCGGGATTCCGGAAAGAGTGGAAATATATCATGTCCCCCAGCGAACCATCAGTGAGGGCAGGACAGAACACAGGTATGTCGTTCTGAATTGGGGGCTCAGCTGGTGCAAGCGGAAGTAAATTATGCATGTGTTCACTTTATAAGCCCAGTAGTAAACAGATTCTTCATTATTAATTTCCTTTCCCAGTCGTCGTATGAATGAGCTTGGTGACCACACCTCCCCTGTTGCCTGCTGTTCAGCCAACATGGTATCCAGTATGGGCAGCAGCCAGTCCTCGAATTTGCAATAATTATCATTGGGAACAATGAGATTCCCTATCCTGTTCATTCCTCGGCCCCGTAAATCGGCGCCGTCCATGTTAAAGTCGGCCAGGTAAGTCTTGCCGAGGCATTTGATGAAATCCTCCTCGATCCCACCTGCAGTCGTGACGATCGCAGCAACGTGTTTATGCTTGACGAGGTACAGTATGATCTCACGTAAACCCGACGAAATCAGATTGGATGTGTACCCCAGAAAGATGTCACATCGTGTCTGTGCTCTGATCTCTGGAGAAAGGTAATCTTCAGACTCATCGACCGAGATAGGATCGTCAGATAGACGCCATTTTCGCTAAACGGAACAACCTTCAATGAGTCACATAGGCTCTAAGAACTAAGAACAACGCACCATTCGGTCAACAATGTCAATTGCCCTTCCAAGACTGCTTGCTTGAAATCCGATTCGTTCATAACTTTTAAGAAGTTCTTGAAGAGATGGTTTTTGGTCAAGATCAGGACCTTGAACAGAGATGGCGGAGTCCGAGATAGGCTCAGAAGGTTGTAGCACTGCTGCAGATGCTTCTGCAGGTACTGCACCAGACATACTGTACAATTTGGCGTAGGACTCGGGAGACAAAAATTTGACGAAAGTATATGACCTCACGGCAAAGTCCGTCTGACGACATTACCGGGAATTGCTACATTCAGTCACTGCCTGTGTTGAACATGGTGCACGACACCGTCACTGAATTTCAAGGACCGCCAACGAACTCGACGATCGACGAGGAGCTTGCCGGTGTTCGCAAGGAGAAACCCATCGTCCTGGATGGAGACACCATCCATAACGATGAGGATGCACGTCCTTCCGCAGTTGCCGCAGCCCAAAATGTAGTTGTTGAAGATGAAGCAATGTCCGTGTCTGTTCCTCCGCTTTCCGGAGTACCGGGGGAACACGTCGAACTAGTTCCAAAGGTGTCTCATGTGGCCGCTGTTGCTCAGCCAGAAGCTCAGGACACAGGCACGGCTGTGGAAGCTCCCCTTCCTTCGAAGCAAGCACCGCCAACTCCACCAGCAAAGAGTCCCCGGCTGCAGCCCGGCAGAGGCTCTACAGATGTTTATCAACCTCGGCCCGCGACACCAGGCACACCCGCAAAAACAAATGGCCACGAAGAGCACCGACCTGAAACTCCATCTAGTGCTCATAGTTCATACGCTGTGTCTCACAAGCGTTCCATTACGATTTCGAAGGGTTATACCGTGTCCGTAGTCCTCATTTCTTCCGCACTGGAGACAATCCTGGCGTCGAAGGAGGCCAAACGATCCGCACCTCTTCGCGAGAGTGCACACAATGCATTGGAGATGATTCGTGTCGGACAAGGTGGCGATCGTCCACGTGAAATTTTTGAGCCTCTACGGCTGGCATGCGAGACGCGCAACGAGAAACTCATGATTGCTAGTCTGGACTGTATTTCCAAGCTCATCTCTTACTCGTTCTTTGCGGAGCCATCATCTGCGCAAGCACTTCCTTCGCCACCTCCGTCACCGGCTCTACAAGGAAGACGCTCAATATCTGGCGCTTCCCAGTCTAGTCTTCCACAGCCTTCCCTGGTCGACCTTGTCGTTCATACCGTCACAACATGCCATAGTGATACCTCCCCCGAAACGGTCTCTCTGCAGGTCGTCAAAGCGCTCCTCTCCCTAGTGCTTTCTCCCACCATCTATGTACACCATTCATCACTGTTAAAGGCAGTCCGCACGGTTTATAACGTATTTCTTCTCAGCACGGATCTGGTCAATCAAATGGTCGCGCAAGGAGGGCTGACCCAAATGGTGCATCACATATTCACGCGGTGTAGAAGTCCCGACGGTACAACCATACGCTCGTACGTCTCCTCCGACACATTGACATCACCAGGATTGCCGAAGTCTGACACATAAAACCCTAGCTTTGTCGTCGCAGCGAATGAAGCTGAGAAAGTGGTGGAAGAAGCATTGTCATTTGAATCTGCCGCCGACTTGTCCTCGCGTGCCGGCGCTCCCACTCCCTCATCATACGTCCGCGATCCTGACGTTCCGCAAGGTGAAGCAATTAGTCCTACGCCGTAAGCATGTGTTCCGTCACAATATTTGATACTTATTAAAACATACGTCTTCAGCGCTACCTCACCTGAGGACGCAGAAAATGGACACGCTGCAAGGGAGTTGAGCACGCAAGATATGTTTATCAAGGACGCGTTCCTGGTTTTCCGAGCCTTGTGCAAATTGACGATGAAGCCATTGAACACAGAGAGGTACGCGTTCACTTACATTATCAGCGTGATGATGCTGATATCCAGCCCAGCGAACGTGATCTTAAATCTCACGCCATGAGGTCTAAACTCTTGTCCCTGCATCTCGTGCTCACCATCCTTAATTCGCACATGACACTATTCGTCGATCCGAAGGCTATCATCTACTCTGCTTCTACAAACGAAGCGACTACTTTTGTTCAGGCGGTTAATCAATATCTTTGCCTGAGCTTAAGCCGAAACGCAGTCAGCCCCGTGTCACAAGTGTTCGAAGTTAGCGTGGAGATCTTCTGGCGAGTGTTATCAGGCATGCGAACGAAGCTCAAGGTACTATCATGATTCATGACCTGTGCACGACTGATCCATTTCTGCACACAGAAAGAGATCGAGGTCCTACTGCATGAGATCTTCGTTCCTATCCTTGAAATGAAGACTTCAACGCTCAAGCAGAAGGCTGTAATCATTGGAATGCTCTCCAGGCTGTGCCAGGACCCACAGGCCTTGGTGGAGATATATCTCAACTATGACTGCGATAGCGAGGCTACAGATAACATATACGAGCAGTAAGAGTCAGAACATCATGGATAGATGCTGCAAGCTAACATGATGACCAGTCTCATGAACATCATCTCCAAGATCGCTACATTACCTTATACCTCCTCGCAACAAAAGGCAAACGACCCTGCAAGTCCGGCGCTCTCACCACAGACCAAGAGCTCAGCATCGACGGCACATGTATCTGGTGCACTAGCTGTATCTGGCACCATGGACACGTCCACTATGGGTCTTTCCGAGGGGCAACTTAGAAGGCAGGGTCTCGAATGCTTGGTTGCTGTTCTCAGATCTCTTGTGACTTGGGGAACAGCCGCTGGGAAAACGCCTGCGGAATCCGCAAGTGCCGATCCTGCCTCAAGAAGTCAAGCTGGGGAAGAGATTGCAGCTGACACTATGACATCTGATCCTTCGTTAGATAGGTTGGCTGCTTCTGCTGGAAGCATGGAAGCTCTTAGGCAATCTACTCCAGACATTGCAGACGATCCCTCCAGGTTTGAAAGCGCGAAGCAAAAAAAGACAACCTTACTCGAGGGCATCAAGAAGTTTAACTTCAAGCCCAAGCGCGTTAGTTCTGTCTCCTCTTTTAAAACGGGCAAGGTTAATTTCCTCTCAGGGCGTTGAATTTTTGGTCGAGACGGAATTGATTCCAAGCTCGTCGCCTCGCGACATCGCAGGGTTTCTGTTGACCACTGACGGCCTTAGCAAGAGTATGATTGGCGAGTACCTTGGTGAAGGGTAAGTATCTTGGATACATCAACCTCCTTAGAGATTCTTATTGCACCGCAGAGATGAACAAAATGTTGCCATCATGCATGCTTTCGTCGACTTTCTAGACTTCAGGAACTTAGGCTTCGTGGATGCTGTTCGTGTGTTTTTGCAAGCATTCCGTCTTCCTGGAGAAGCTCAGAAAATCGATCGCTTCATGCTCAAGTTTGCTGAACGCTACATTGCTGGGAACGTTCAAACACCCTTCAAGAATGCAGGTTTGTGAATATCTGCCCAATTTGTTCAGGTCGCTTACTTGCCTGTCGAACAGACGCTGCCTACATCCTCGCGTATTCTATCATCATGCTCAATACTGATGCTCACAGTCCTCAAATCAAAATTCGCATGACTAAAACCGACTTCATCAAAAACAACCGTGGTATCAACGATGGAGAAAGTCTTCCGGAGGAATTCTTGAGTACCATTTTCGACGACATCCTGGGAAACGAGATTAGGATGAAGGACGAAGTTGATGCAACGATTAACTTGCCTTCAACGGGTCCTGGTCTTGCCAATGTTTTGGCGAACGTGGGGAGGAACCTTCAAAAGGAAGCATACGTGATGCAGTCCAATGGCATGGCGAACAAAACTGAAGTAAATCGCAAGTCTTCCGATTGAACGCTGATTAACTCTCTTGTAGGCACTCTTCAAAACGCTCATGCGTTCTCAACGAAGAGGGTCTCGCACTGGAGACCAATACTTCAGCGCGTCACACTTTGTCCATGTTAGGCCGATGTTTGAGGTGGCATGGATACCCTTCTTGGCTGGATTGTCCGGCCCGCTTCAAAATACGGATGACCTTGAGATAGTCGATCTCTGCTTGGACGGATTTAAGAACGCTATCCGCATAGTATGCTTCTTCGATTTGGAACTCGAACGCAATGCGTTTGTTACTACCCTCGGGAAGTTCACGTTCCTCAATAACCTCGGGGAAATGAAAACCAAGAATATGGATGCTATCAAGACGTTGCTGGATATCGCAGTCAATGAAGGCAACAATTTGAAAGGGTCGTGGCGCGAAGTGCTATCGTGCGTGTCGCAGTTAGAACATATGCAACTCATTAGTGGCGGTGTGGAAGTTCCGGACGGTGGAAAGAAAGGGTAGGTGATTTGTACATATACACCGCTGTCAACTGACCATTCCTTAGTCGATCCAAGAAGCTTCCAGCAGAAGAACTCGCCAATGAGAGCAGGTCGACTCACATCACCGTGGCAGCAGACATGGTCTTTTCACTCAGCCATTACCTGTCTGGGGTGGGTAGTCTTCCTGAATTGATTCGCTTTCCGATGTTGATATGTTCATCTATAGACTGCTATCGTGGATTTCGTGAGGGCTCTTTGCGATGTTTCATGGGAGGAAATTCAGTCGTCTGGAATGTCGCAACATCCTCGTTTGTTCAGTCTCCAAAGGCTCGTGGAGATATCATACTACAACATGAACCGTATCCGTCTCGAGTGGTCGAATCTCTGGGATATCTTAGGAGAACATTTCAACCAGGTAATACTTTGAACTACCCGACGAGACATACATTCAAGCTTTACAGGTCTGCTGTCACAGCAATCCTCATGTCGGGTTCTTTGCGTTGGATTCCCTCCGTCAGTTATCAATGCGATTTTTGGAAAAGGAGGAGCTGCCCCATTTTAAGTTCCAAAAGGACTTCCTCAAGCCTTTCGAATATACGATGGTTCACAATGCCAATCCCGATATTCGCGATATGGTACACAGAACATGAACAGATTCTTCTGGCACTAATGCTTCCGATAGGTTTTGCAATGTCTCCAACAAATGATACAAGCCAGAGTACAGAATATGCGTTCGGGATGGCGGACGCTCTTTGGTGTCTTCTCGGCTGCTTCAAAAGTGCTAACCGGTGAGGACGAAACGAAAGCCCCTGCCTGGTGCAAAGTTCTAACTATCCTTCCCCCACCTTAGAACGCATTGCGAATTCTGCATTCGAAATCGTTACGAGATTGAACAAAGAACATTTTGCTGCGATTGTCCGTCACGGTGCTTTCGCAGATCTGACTGTTTGCATCACCGAATTTTGCAAGGTCAGCAAGTATCAGAAGATAAGTTTGCTAGCGATTGCCATGCTACGCGGTGTCATTCCGGTCATGCTCACCTGCCCCGAGTGTGCTCTGAGCCCGGGGCTTGGGCCTAAAGGCGACGACATCATGATTAGATTCTGGTTTCCTGTCTTGTTCGGATTCTACGACATCATCATGAACGGGGATGACCTTGAAGTACGACGGCTGTGAGTCCTTCCATGATTTGATTTTTCTAGCCAAGCTCACCTGACACAGCGCACTGGATTCTCTGTTTCTCACGCTGAAAACCTATGGATCATCATTCACTCTGGAATTTTGGGACACCATTTGCAAAGAGATACTTTTCCCTATCTTTGCTGTTTTGAAGTCCAGTCAGGACATGTCTCGATTCAACACCCAGGAGGATATGAGCGTGTGGCTGTCGACTACGATGATTCAGGCATTGCGTGACCTCATCGACCTCTACACGTTTTTCTATGATACCCTAGAGCGGTTCCTCGACGGACTCCTGGAGCTTTTGTGTGTTTGCATCTGCCAAGGTAGGATGATGTAGTATTACTGAACGCTTGCTCATGGATTCAACACAGAAAACGACACCCTGGCTCGTATTGGGACATCATGCTTGCAACAGTTTTTGGAGAACAATGTCCAGAAGCTTAGCGCCGTTCAGTGGGAACGAGTTGCAGCTACTTTTGTCAAGCTTTTCAGAACGACCACTCCCCACCAACTTTTTGACGAGAGCCTGCGTGTGGAGATCGACGGGAACACACCAGATCTTCCGGATGCCAACGGTATGTTCCATGTATGAAAAACCCACGAAAGCTAATTTGACTTCAAAAAGATTCTAATGACCAAGCAATCATCCCTGCTCCATTGTCTCCCACCGGCGACCGACCTCCAGAAGTCAAGCAAACCCTTGGTGACAGACGCCGCACTTTCAAGCAAATAATTGTCAAATGTGTTCTTCAGTTATTACTGATTGAAACTACCAACGACTTGCTCCGGAACGATGCCGTCTATACTACCATTCCTCCAGAACAGCTTCTACGTCTTATGGGAGTTCTGGATCATAGCTATCAGTTCGCTAGAATGTTTAATGACGATAAGGAATTGCGTACTGGACTCTGGAAAGTTGGTGAGTATTTTGCTGGTGGTGCTAGCAGATCTCTTCTGATCACCGTCACAAAGGATTCATGAAGCATCTACCTAATCTCCTTAAGCAAGAGTCCAGCAGTGCAGCAACTTTGGTGCACGTCTTACTTAGGATGTACTTCGATGAGCGCCCAGAGCACCAGGATGCACGCCCTCAGATTGCTGAACGCCTTTTGCCGTAAGTATCATATCAACTCTGTATTCTTTGTTTTGACCCAGATGACAGGCTTGGTTTGAGCGTGCTACAGGACTACATTAAGCTGCGTGCTGATACCCAAGCCAAGAACATAGCCGCTTGGACACCAGTTGTCGCAGAAATATTGGACGGGTTCTGTCGATTTGACAACAAGGCTGTATGTGATGCCCCGGAATCTATTTCTTCTCTGCTGATCGAGATATGCAGTTCGTTAGATATCTCCCAGCGATTTACCCGTTGGCTACCGGGTTGCTTGCTCGTGATGTTGCACCGGAAATTAGGTTGGGACTGAAGATGTATTTCGAGAGAGTTGGACGGATCCAAAGCATAGTATTAGTAGAGGCGTCGTAGCATTTTATCGTTTGCCTTCGTAAATTTGATCGCTCATACAATATTGATTTGCCTAGATTCAATTGCATACTTTCATCCAATGGACTGTAATTTGGTCAAAGAAAGAAAGAAAGGAAGGACTAAATCTAGTGTCAGGTTAAATAAAGGCTAGTATCCCGTATATCCACTCGGTTGAAATCCGTTGTTAGGTTGAAATCCCCATCCAGTAGTTTGTGAAACGAATCCTGTGGGTTGCGGCGCGATAGCTGGTAATTTTGGTCAGTACTCGTTGCGCATCGACTGGATATGACTCACGATTTACGCGCAGAGCATTATATGTCTCTGAGATGATCAATCAGATATCACGAATGCATAAGTACAGAATGGTGGCGCTCACCCGCCTGCTGAGGTCCGGAATGCTCGTTTCCACTGGCAAACGTTCCCGATTTCATCTGAGCAAATATATTTGCCGGTGTTATGTTAGAACTAGTGCTCGGTTGAGAGTATAATGAAGGAACGGGCGGTGGTGTAGAAACCACATTGTTGAATGGTGATTGAGCAAACACTCCTGTTGGGTCTGACGGAGATCGAGCGATACTCAGATAAGCACGGGAGCAGCACTTACTCGGTTGCACTGGTTGCATGGTGGTATTCTGGAATGATGGTCGAGCGCCAAATGTGCCAAACGACCCACCGAGCATACCGGTTGGCTGCGAGAGCAGTGGTCCCGATGCTGGTAATCCTGTCGGCTGTGATAAGAGTGGTTGTGTTGTGCCGGGGAAGCCCGTTGGCTGCGCTGACAGGAATGAAGGTGGTGCCTGACCCTGGAAAGGCGACGAGTTGAATGGGCGTGTTGACACAAAGCTGTTGAACCCTGTTGTAGTGGGTATGAGAGGCTGCAACAGACTTTGATTTGCTGGAACGGGAGCGAATGGTCCACGGGGGCCTTGCTGGGGCTGGGGAAGAACACCTGTTTGCTGCATCTGTAGGTGTTGTCCAATTGGAGTAGGAGAAGGACCCATTCCAAGGCCAGCGTTGTATGAGACAGGTGGTGGGGATATTACTGGTGGACTTGGCGCAGCAGGAGGCGCTGGGGATGGAGAAGGACGACTTGTTTTCAGCTGACTGAGGCGCGAAAGCTGGTCGAAGATGTCAGCATCAGTCTTCGCAAGGCCATTGCCAGTTGCTGTAGCCTGCGCTGGCGCAGTAGGGGGCGGCGTCGGTGCAGCCGAGACAGGCGCAATTATAGGTGCGGTAGCAGCAACTGGCGGTGCCGATGGTGCACGAGCAGCTGAAGGTTTAGACCCCGGTCTGTTCGTCCAAGCATCGTCGTCAAAGCCACTAGTAACGGGTACCGTTGAACTTGATCTCTGAGGTAGCTGCACTGGTGTGAGAGTGGCAGGGCTTCCGACGAGAGGCGAACCAGTCCGTTTAATCTGGTCAGAGGCGGTGCTAATGGCACTGAGGTCGACAGACGGGGGTGGCAGACTCTTGCTAGGCTGCGGTCTCCCGCGGCGCTGGGTATTGTTCTTGAGAACGCCTCCTGGACCAGCAAATAGGTTGGGCGCAGGACTTGATGACCCTTTACTCCTGCCGCCGTTCTCCTCTTCTTGTAGCTGTCGTGCCAGTTCTTCGTCGCGAATAAGCTGCTCTTGTGACGTATCCTTCTTGGGTTTCGCAAACTTCTGCTGGATATACTTCGTGACGCGGATGATGTCGCCCTCACGCAGACCCAGCGAACGCATTGTGGACTCAGTGGTGTCTGGGAGGATTGCCTCATCAATCTTGTCACGCTCGAAGGAGGACGCATATCGCGTGCAATCATCAACGTCGCAGCCTGCATTCAGGAAAAACTCGAACCAATCCGTCTGCGGCTTCTTCGGCTGCGCTGACATGGTCGCCCGCCGTGCGACTTCCTTCTGCTTGAGCGCAAGCGGCTGATCGTCATCATCGGAATGACGGCGTTGCGCTGCGGGAGGGTTGATATTTTTGGCAGTAAGTCGCTCAACATAGCGGATGTCTTCGAGGGACATCTTCTCCGATGGAACCTCAATGACGACACCGTTGACTTTGTGTAGACGGAGCTTGCCGTTGGAGTACCCAAGAAAAGCAGCTTCGACACGGAACTGGCCACTGCGGTCGTGCCATATACGTGTAGACTCCGCGGAAGGTACACCTGAGGCCAATTTATGAGTTAGACGAGACCGAAGGCGATTGCGAAAGACTCACTCTTGTGAGCGTCGCTTGAGTTGCGTCCTGCGCTAGAAGTTGAGTCCCTGGGTTTCATTTGCGAGGTTGGGGGACGACTGAGAGTAAGATATATCAAAAGAACTTCGAATTGAGTGCAACACCTACGGCGACGAGCTCTGTCCCCTTTCTGCCTTCTGCTGAGCGCGCTTTGCAGCTTCCTGACGCTTCCTACGTTCGGCTTCGGCGGCAGCGGCAGCCTCCTCCTTTTCACGCCGCTTCTTGTCGACCTCTGCCGCTGCAGCGGCAGCCTTCGCGCGTTGCTCCTGCTCCTTTTTCTTCCGCTCCTTTTCGGCACGCTCGCGTTCCCGTCGTTCCCCCTCTTTCCTTTCGGCCTCGAGACGCTCCTGCTCTTCACGTTCGGCAGCACCGTCATCCTCTAGCTCTGTAGTAATAGATGCCCCTCCAGTGCTCTGAGACTAATATCAGCCAGAAAATCTTATGCCAACCTCATGACTGACCTCGAGATACGACGCAGGCACAACACCCTCAATCCCATGCTCATTCCTGCACTTCCACCATTCTTCACCCTCTTTCTCGATAATCCACAGCCGCTCGCCCTCTTGAACGGTCAATTCATCTGAACCCGTGCCCTCGAAGTCATATAATGCGACGGCAGGTTCGCCATCATCCGCACTCTGAACACCTTCCTGTATCTCTTCCTCTGCCTCCTCGCCATCCTCCGAGGGTTCGCGTGGTGGAATAATTGCAGGAGATTCCTCCGCAAACCGCACGGAAGCGACGTGTTTCTTCACCGGGCTGCTTACCTCCGAGCGCGGCAACGGAGAACTAACGGCACGTTGCTCAGCGGACGCAATTGTACGAGAGGCCTGCAGCTTCTCGACCACGGCATCAGCTGTGTCTCTGCTTCCAACGTTGAAGTGCAGCTTTGTTGCGCTGGGCCCGCCAATGCCAATATGCACGTGCTTGTTCTTCTCCACGGATATGTCCTCGACGTCAGATATCTGCCATTTCTGCACCGGAGTCTGGACGTGATACGAGTGAGTGCAACATTCGGGTGGTGATACAAATGGTGAACGATTAGGGACATACCTTGTCTGACTCGCTTGCGAAGAAGAGGGAACCATTACCAACGCCGAGAGTGCCCTTTTTTTTCTTGCCTTTCTTGTCTACTTCAGACACGGGCCAGGTCTTGATCTCGTCGCTCACACGAGCTTGAGCTTTGGACTGGGCGACTCTGTCAGCAGGGTCCACGTACACGCTCACGGGGCGAGCTGGGGGTTCAGGCTACATGTATCATAGAGGGTATATCAGTGAAGAACCCGCCAAATCCATAAATTCTTGACGCACCGATGGCGGAATGACGATCTGTGGTGCTACGGGAGCAGACGCCGGTGTGCTTTGCACGCCAGTCGTCTGCGTGCGAGATAAATATAAACTCACACGCTCCATGCAGATACATACCTCTTCGACATAGTTTCCTGGTACAAAACCAGCCTTACCGCCCTCGTTCTTGCTTTGAACAAGCATCCAGTCTTCTTCACGGTCGAAGACCATGAGAATCTCGTCCTCCTTGATAGACAGCTCTCCGGGTGCAACGGAATCATAGTCATAGAGAGCTCTAACGAGAGACGTGTGCTCAGCCTGGTGCATCTGTCAGACAGGTTGGTAATGAGGTAAGGGCATGGTACGGACCTGCTCGACATAAGCAGCAGGAACAAGGCCAGATGGGCTATCTTCTTCCTGTGATTCGCCTTTTATCTTGACTTTCCACCAACTTCGTATAGCATGAACGTTAGAGCAATAGCATGACATAAGACAGCTACTGGTACTTACTCATCATCGGTACGTTCAAGGAGAAAGACGATTTGGTTCTCAGTGATCGCAAGCTCGTCCTCTGACTGGGGCTCGTAGTCGTATGAGGCCTTGAGCACTGCAAGATACTCCTCGTGTTCTGACATGAGCGGCACGGCACAAGGATGGAACTTAAGCGCCAGGAATCGGGAAGGTGTGTAGTGCTGTCAGCGGGATTGCGTTTGATGCGGCGTGGTGGTACTTTGAATGCACCCGAAAACGCTCTGCTGGTTATTACTCTGCAGTGAGAGAAAGATCTATATAATAGGTTAGTTGCAAGTGATCAGTTACACAACAGCGGGCGTTGGCAAACGAGGCAGTGGGTGCACAGTAACGGAGTTGAAGGTGAGATGATTGCTTCCACGTGACCCAGTTAATGGGAGATTGGCATGCTATTCATGAATGATGTTCGTAAGGTTCCTACTGCTACATGTATGCTACAATGACGATAATAATAGCGGGGGAAACAAACCAAATAATTGGTAGGAAGAAAGGTTCCAGTAATCCGTGAATATGTCGTAGATGAAATAAATGGGTGACAACGGGAGGGCGACAGTCTACCCCAGCGCCATGCTGGAGACAGTCGCTGCAATGCTGCTGCGTCCGCTGGACGGAACGAGCGCACTCGCTAGGAGGTCTCGACAGTTTCTCAGGCGCTCTCTCCTCAATACAAACCACGAACTCTCCGCCGATGGGACAGCCAGTGGCACTCCAATGATCCCCCGTGTGTGTGCACTCTGCACGGCCTTCACTAGCGAGTCGACCTCTGCTTCCGAATCTATATCATCCAAATTTTCAGCAGCCTCCTCGCCGTCCAGTTGCGTGGCAGCAGTGGCAGCCGTATTCGCCTTCCTACCAGGTTTCTTCGGCATACCCTTCCCTTCCACTCCGGCTGCTGCTGCTGCCTCCTGGGCAAGTCGTTTCTTCTCCGCTTTCTCCTTCTCTCGCTTCTCCTTCTTCTCTGCCTTCGACTCCTTCTTTACCGGCTCAACCCAGTTAGGGTTGTTCGCACGGTTCCACTCCAGCAAAAGTTCATCATAGGCTTTCGAGCGACCCTGAACAGCACGCTTCGCACCCATGGAATGGGCCTTGCACGTGAGCGAGCGCGAGCACGGGAGGCCTTTATCATTGATCACTCCACACTGCTTGTCATAGTCCACGGGGCCTTTGGTACGCCCCTTTGTCATCTTGGTCTTCTTCTTAGACGGCTCGCCTTCATCCACTTCCTCGCCGTCTGCAGCCCGTTTCTTGCCTTTCTTCGGCTCGACTTGACGGGGTTCGTTATGTATGATGAGACGAAAAGATATTATGAAACAGTACCTTCGCTATCTGCCGTCTTGCCCTTGACCCATTTCTTCCCAGAACGAATATCATTGCAGTTGCCTGACTGTGCATGAGTTCATATTCATAGTTGTATAATGTTTGACGTACTGATATGTTCCGAAATCGCGCTTCGTAAGATAGGCTTGTCGCATTCTGCACAACGCACGACGCCGATGTCAGCACGTAGTGGCTGGGCACCAAATATTTTCATGTCACGGGCAGAAAGCCACGATGTTGGCGGAGGAGGAAGACCGGTAACTTCGGGGGCATTCGGAGAACCCGCGCGTGGTGGGCTGAGTGTATCCCATGAAAATGGAGAAGGGGACTGACTCGTCCGCTTCAGTTTCAGTGTCATGATGATGGCAGTTTGATCAAAGGACTAATTTTACCAAAAAGGAAGGCGAGTGATCTTTGGTCATGTGACTGGTGCGTTTCAGATTCAGGGAGCGCCGTCATCCGTGTTCAAAAAGACTGCCATGCACCCACAACTACTCCATGATAGTACATAATAAATGAAAACATTGAAAGCACAACAAACAGATCCACAGCGTAGTTCTATTACAACATCCAGTGACAGTATTGAACGATCTACTGCAACCGTTAGATCTGCCAGGCTTCTTATTTCCTTCTTCTTGGTATCGCCTCAATCTATTGTAACGCTGAATGGACATCGGATTATTGAATATATGGAATTTTCGGAAGTTGTGTTTGGATGAAAGGCATAAGAACCAGAGAAGGTGGGCAAAGTGCGGTACGAGTCGGGGACATACGGGTGAGAACGACACTTTAATGAACGTGAGCCACCGCTCAATAAACAAATCACACAGAAGACGTACGTGTAAGCTTGTGACTACATACAATCATCTTACGCGGCGACCGACACATGCGCCACACCCTCTGTGACCTCATCGACGCGATCATCAATGAGTCTTGTGATCTGCAATGACAAGGAGATTCAGTAAACGAGAGGTGAAGGGATGGAACAGGACGGTGGAAGAGATAAATGGGTCCGAGAGAAAATCGATAGGCACGATCAAAGGTTTCACCGTAGTAGAGAATGATGTCCAGAAACCAACGAATAAGAAAGAAAAACGCCCGGAGCCCACGGACCTTCCCAATAGCAATCGTTCTCCCCTCGTCACGCAACGTGAAACGACCGAGTTGAGGATAATCGACGAAGCGCTCAACACAGATGGGGAGGGTTGTTTCTATGAGTGCTACGACTTTCTGGCCTGAAGATTGTAACGGGGTGGTGCATCCAAGTGGGTAAAAAAAATGCAGGACGGGTGAACATCATTGGTACGGCAGCATTTTGTTCACAACAACGAAACGGGCGAAGAAAAAACGTCAGTAAGAATGAACTACATTGTTCACAGCACACCCACCCTTCTTCGCAAATTGAGGCGGCTTCTTCGATTTGCGTCCGGTAGCTTTGTCAAAGTAGTGTAGCAGAGCCTATTCACATCAGCATTATCCCAGACCAAAAAAACACGTCGCACTCACCACAAGTGTAACCTCCTCGGAAAGTGTATGCACATGCATGACTGCCGAGTACCCCGCACAGATAATATTCTTGTGTTCCAGAATTGCAAGCTGCGCCTCGAAATGCCTCACCGCTCTCACAGGATTCTTCGGGCTCGTCAAGACGAATCCGGGACTGATATCTTCGTCTTCCACGCCCCGCAGTCTCACGCGCACATTATCACCACAAATCGCACTGTGAACCTCGTCTTCCATCTCATTGTAAATAGCGGCGACTTCAACAGCGGCCTTGTTCGGCATGAGGGTTAGGGGGTCGCCCTTGTGCAAATGTCCGGATTCGATCTTGCCGACGATGATGGCGCCCATGTCTTTATACTTTTCGGAGACGGGCATCATGAGAGGAGCATTGACCTTGCGGTCGACCATGGGCATGTGGTCCATGTGTTCAAGGAAGGCGGGGCCACTGCAAGATGGGCTAAGCATGCGTGTACATGGAGGAGAGGAAACACTACATACTCCGACCAGGTGCAGATCGACTTGGCCACGCGCTCTTTTAGATTCTGACCCGTATATGCAGAGACAGGTATAAAGGTGACATCGGTCTTGGGATTGAATCCAGCCGCTTTTATGAATGGGGTTAATTTATCCTTGATCTCAGTGTATCTGCCGCGGTCCCAGTTGACGGTTGGATCATCCATCTTGTTGATAACGACAACGACTTTGCTGACGCCAGCTGTTTTAACGAGCATGACGTGTTCGCGGGTCTGGCCTCCTCTTTCGAAACCAGTTTCGAATTCACCTTTGCGTGCGGAGATTACGAGGATTGCGACGTCTGCTTGTGCAGCGCCGCTAATCATGCTCGGAACATAGGTTTTGTGGCCTGGGGCATCTAGAATGGTGTACCTTCGAGTGGCAGTCTCGAAGTAGGCCCTACCGACTTCGACGGTTTTCCCCTTTGCGCGCTCCTGAGGGGTACTATCGAGAGCCCAGGAAAGATACCATGTTTCACGGCCAGCTTCTTTTGCCTCCTTCTCGTATTTCTCCATTGTGCGCTTGTCGACACCACCAGAAAGGTATAGGAGGTTTCCGCCCAGTGTTGATTTTCCAGCATCGACATGGCCGATGAAGACGATGTTTAAATGTTCTTTGACTGGTAATATATGAGTACAAGAATTGGGAAGTGAGGTATGATGCGCACCATCGCCGAAAAGATCCTTGAGGACCTCGTTATCTGCAGCAGCCTGGACCTCCTTTGCGATGGTGGAAGTGTCTGTCTTGGCTCGTTCTGTGGAATAGACCTTGTTAGTAGGGGGTGCAGGAGAGGAAGATTGTGGTGGTGTGGTGTTCGCAGACACAGACAGTGGTAAAGGTGGTTTTGGCTGTTGGGGAGGAGCAACTTTTGGCTGCGGTGTAGGAGCAGCAGGTGCTGGCTTAGGAGCAGCGGGTGGGTTTGATCCTCCGATGTTAAGGGTGATGGTAGGAGGTGGAGGTGGAGCTTCAGTTTGGAGTGGGCGTTCGACGGGAGGTTTGCGTGGTGGTGATTGTTGAGGTATTCCGAATGCACGACCTGGAACGAACTCGAATGCGCCTGCGTTAAGCTTGCTCATCGTTGACAACGTTGACTAGCGATTGTCGTGGTCTACAGCAGACAGTAGATCATTGAATTTTATCAGTATAAGTCATGTGACCTGTAGACTCAGATCGGTGCCGGACTCGGAGTCGAGCTCACTGTTCCGAACGACAATGACGGACCCGCAGGAAGAACTTGTAAATATTTTGCACACTGGCTCTTTTCTCCTCGATACGTCTGGCACCGCCGAACGCGATCTCAAAAATGTACTGGTGCGCAGACTAACGCAATACCACCAAGCACTCGGATCGTCGTCTCCCTCCCTTGACACAGCTGAAGATGCTCAGCTTGAAACTGCTCAATGTGCTCTGCATGTCGTCGAGCGCGTCCAATTTATTCTTGATCAGCCAGATCTATGCACCTCCCGACATGAAGGTGATCTGAAAGGTGCACCAACAATAGGGACTCGTGACCTCAGCACTCTCCGCACCCTTTTGTCTCTTATTTTCCGCTGGGGCACCGAAACGCTCTATACGCGTCTCTCCCCTTTGTTCTCGTCTAAACCAACCCCTGGCACTCCCAAAATTATTGACCTGACAAACACACCCACCGACCACGCTACCCTCTCTGAGATGCTTTTGCGCCTCATGGGTCTCTTGTTTCCCCGTGGCCCAAAGAGCACGCCACCCCAGACACTAATTAGCAGTACACTACTATCAAGACATGCAGTTGATTTGTTGCGCCCGACTATGGCCCTCGGATGGCTACCTAGTGCTCCCGTCGAGCCTCTCCGTCCGCTCGTCCTCCGTTTGCTCGCTTTGTGCGTGTACTTTACAGTAGTCATAGTTCGTAATCTCATTTATTTCTCCACAAAATGCGTGTCCTCAGCATTCCCCTCCCACAACTTATGTCATCCCTTGCTGCCGTCCTCTCCACTCCTAACTCCTCTCCACCACCCCACGTCCGTAAACTCTGTTCCTCTCTCCTCACCCAATACTTCCTCCGCCCAGACGGTGTACGTGCCCTTTGCGCTGCTGTATTTGGTGAACTCGATGCGGAAGAAGAACCAGAACTAGACAAGTTGGAACATGTTGCACGCGTGCTAGGAACGGTGCCTCGGGGGATGCAACCCAAGGTGCGCAGGTTGTATTAAATGGAATTTCTCATCCAATACTATCCTAGGATTATTTCCAAACAATAACACCTCGCGTCCTTGCTCTCATTTCTTCTGCTTCAACGCCAATGACGCCCCCCGCATTCAAACGTGCCGCTGCATTCACTCTCGCGCGCATGCTGGACTCCAGCGCCGTACACCATGCACTCGTGGCGAGCATAGCATTGCCTATTTTACACGACCCCCTCTCCAAGTTCTCCGATGAGGCCTCACACCACCAGGGGGAATCAGGTCAAAGCCAACTTTTACCCACCCCATCATCATCCCTCCAAACCATTCATACCCTCCTGCTATCAACCGATCCATCACCCTCTCTCTTCTCCTCCCTCCTTTCACCCATCCTCACCTCTCTATATTCCCTCCACGCACACTTCAGTAAAATGGGTGTAGCGGATCCGGTACTAAAAGAGGATGTTTGGACGCTGATGAGGACATGGGGACGAGTCGTAGAAGAGGTTGAGGGGATTCGAGTGTTGTGGTCTTTGGTAGATGAGAATGAAAACTCCTCAGGAGGGTGGGAAGGAGGAAGTGCAGAAGATCTAAAACGCGTAAGACGGTATGTCTCATGCTCCCTCGTCTTCCTGTAAGTCTCAGTTCATCCTCGATACAGGGTCAACAGAGAAGACAAACTCGCTCTTCTTACGCCCGAAGACCTTCGATATGCCTCCGCCGCTGAGGATACGGATATAGAATCATTGGACTTGGGACTCTACCCGCCTCCCGCGCACTTTGTCTCTTATATCAAGAGCATCGACCGTGCGGATATCGCAGGGGGCGTGTTCGTGAGATTGCTGGAGGCATATCGGACTGCAAAGGAGTCTGGTTCTGCTGATGCACAAGACGGCAACTTCAAAGGCGAAACGCAAAGTATATTGTTGGACCCTAAGGAACCTGATCCACTTCGGTAAGCTTAAAATGACAACCCAGCCATGTTTTCTGACGTACACGACGAACAAGAATGATGCTCCTCCTCCAACTCATCATAGCCTTCCAATCTCAGCTGGACAACACCGCCATCCTGAATCGCCCGAGGGACGTATTGGAATTTGTGAGGCACGCGTTGGAGGTGTCTGATACACCCTTCTCTGCACTTTCACACGCCGTATCTGGCACGCCAAATCGGGGCACAAGCAACGAAAGCAGAAAGGGCCTCATGAAGGAGGATTTAAGAATCGTCCCAGAGGAGCTGGACGATCTAGAGACCGAGCAAGATAGTGATGACGAGGATGTTGGTGTTGGGGAGGTCGAGGGGGAAGATATGGTAGAAACTGCTGTCGGGTTGTTGTTGGCTGTACTTGAAGGTTCGTCCTTGTCTCCTGTTTCGAGAAGGAATAAGAACTGACTTCTATTTTTCCGCATCCTTGTTTCATATTCCCCGCTACGAATGCATTTTTGTCGCGTCTCCTACCCTCAACGAAAAAATTACTACTCCCCGTTGCCCAAAAGTACAGCCAACCCCTCACTCACCCCGGACAACACACCCTCCCTCACGCTCATTCTCGTTCTTCTCGAGGCGCACACGTCGACCCGTCCAAGCGCACGTGAGGCACGGTTAGTATTGACGGCGAGGATGGCCGAGGGGGCGTTAGCCGCATCGGGGTCTGCTCCAAAATATACAAAAAAGGGCAGGTCCGATGGTAAAAATGAGGACGAAGACACAGATCCGCGAGAGACGTACCAAAAAGCGCTTAAACTCCTCCAAGACCCGCTCCTACCCGTACGGGCGCACGGGTTGCTCTTGCTGCGCGAGTTGGTATCTTCCCCGGCTCGCGCGAGTGAATCTTGGCGAGAGAGGGAAGCAATAATACGTGCTTTGCATCCTGCCATCCTCTCCATATTCTTGCAAGCGATTCAGGAGGACGATTCGTATGTGTTCTTGAATGCGGTGCAGGGGCTGGCTGCTTTGGTGCATGCCCCTGGTCCCAGATTTGGGGCAGGGAACGAAGTGTTGAAGGCATTGCTGGATGCGTATGCGAGGGGAGCAGAGGATCTTGCTGATGACGCAGAGTCGGATAAAAAACCCAAGGATGGTGAAAGGGGTAAGACAAAGGGGAAAGGAAAACAGATGAGTGAAGTGGACACACGCCTCCGCGTCGGTGAAGCCCTCGCAGTTGTCGTAAGGCGGTGCGGAGATGCCCTGGGAGTATATGGTGAGTTCCATCCCGTCTCCGTCTCCCACCCTCCATTCATCTGCTCACTACTCGTCGTGTTGCAAAAGCGGACACACTTCTTCCACCCCTCCTTTCCCTCCTCCGCAAGCCCCGTGCCCCGGTCGTCCTACGCACATCAGCGATATCCCTGCTCTCCGAGTGTGTCAACACCTGTGCCCGCGTGGTAGAACGATACACAGGGGAAATAGCGGAGGGAATGCTGGATTTAGTAATAGTCGAGATGACTGTGGCAACTCCCACTCTTCGTCCGACAGCTAAGGTAGAAGGGAAGAAAACCGACAAGGACACAGAAGTAAGCACAGGAAAACCAGATGCTGAACCTACTCCAACACCCCAACCCCAACGCCCTCCAGACCCGCTAGACATATCCCCCCTGAATACATCCCCTAAAGTCCCAGCCCTCCGCCGCGCAGCACTACACTTTCTCGCGCTTCTCGTGCGCGCATTGATGCAGGAGGCGTATGAACGTGGTGGCACGGGTGGCGGCTCCTGGAGTGGCGTCCAAATCAGGGGCATATATGGCGGGCAAACAGGTGCGTTTACGGCTGATGAAGGGGGATCGCTACCCCCGGGGTTTATAAGACGCGCTCGGACGGTGTTGGGGTATATCGCAGCTGTGGACGAGGACACAGTTGTGAGGGTTATGGCGAGGGAGGTTGGGGAGGGGCTGGAAGGGCTAGAGAAGGCTTTGGTTTGGCTGTGAATACTGGGAATACTGGGACGAATGGTAACAAGATATCTGCAGCTTAGGGCTTGGTTGTTTTGAAGCGGTGGTTATTCAGTAGGAAATTCGATTTTATGAAAGTCGTCGTACTACTGACACTGGATCCTAGTAGTGAACCAATCTCAGCTTGTACTTGGTAAGATAATTTTTCAGCAATCGAACTGGCTCTTTACACGTCGTTGCACGGTGAAATCCAAGGTGCAAATGCCAGTTCTGCCCGTATTTCTCGTGGAAGAGCCGAAACTCTCGGAGCAAGCGACAGGTTTCATTGCGGATATTTGAGCTCGAGATAGTTTGAGATTAACCTAAGGCGGAACACCTATGCCATGAGGACTCGTAACGCAGAAGTATGTCTGATAATACACGTCGCACGACCATATTCAATGAATATAAGAACTAAACGTCAACGTCGATCTAATCCTCCGAGTCCGTATCAGATTCAGATTCATAATGAAGCACACGGCCAGCCTTCCCACATTCGGGACAACGCCTTATGTCCATCCCAATTAACGTTCGTACTCAATTCCTCGAGGTAATTCACCTGGCAAAGCGTCAAATTTGTGCATCCCACGAATCGGAGTCTGTGTATATGGACACCGTGTGTGGTTCGCCTGTACTGACCTCCCTAAAGTCTTCAGGTTCGTCATCTCCGAAGTCGATACCCTGGAGATCTAGAGAACGGAGCGAGGAATATACTACATCTACGTGCCATCGATATTAAGCGCATCGATCGAGCCACGAAGGCCGCTGGAGTTCGTGCTTAGATGGATAACCTGGGGCTTCGGAAGGTAGGCCGACCGATCGCGCCAGAATTTTTTTGAGAAGTCATCGAGTGACTTAAGAAACAAGTTTTGAATTCTGCCGTGCATGATCCGACATATTTCGAAAAAGATGGTTAGCTGAACTTCGGTGGATCGGCGGTACGTGAATTGAATCGAGAGTCGTATGTCATCTTCAGGAGGGTTCCAGAAATGATTAGAGTTGAACGCCTTAGGATGTGCTAAACCGAACACCAAAATCAAGGCATGAAATGCAGAAGGCGCGCATGGATCGAATGACGGGACCAGATCCTTCAGGGGCCTTCAAGTTATTCATGATCGAAGATAGGTCAGAAAAGCTTTTGGGGCCTTCAATGTCTGTGAGGTGTAGAGCGACCTTGACGTCGACTGGAAGGGTTCCTAGATATGCGAAGAGAGAGACAGCGGTTCGGGTCGTGCCAACCTCTAGCGCTATACTTTTCAACCGAGTAAGTGGCACTTTGTCGAAGAGTTTTGTCCCTTCGGAAGGCATGGACAACCGTTTAATTATAAGGTGCTCCAAGTCAGGCATGCATCTCAGAGCCGACAGGAGCTTTCGTGGAGTATGATGGTGACTGCTCCTCCTTTCACACTTAGAGATCGAAGCCCGCTAAAAATGTGGCACGATGTCCAGCTCAACCGACACCGCGTAAGCTCAACGCTCCGAAGTCGGTGTGCTTGTCCTTGAAAGATTATGTCTGATATGGGCCTCATTGAACGATGAAAACCCTCGATGTGCGAGAATTCGAATGTTTGGAGCGATGGTCATTGGTGCGGGCTGCGATGATAACAAGTGCAAAATGTGGTCGACATGATCCGACGATAATGAGAAAAATTGGAGGACTTTGATTCGAGGTAGCTGTGAAAGAACTTGCTCCATGCAACCTCATAGCGAGACCGGTGTACAGTATGTGACGACCAAGGCAGCTGTTTTCGACCTCTCAAACATGATGCGTAGCCAATGAGGACGCAGAGAGGCAGATCTGATAGATACCCAAAGGGTCGGGCACCCGAGAGCGACTTAACGCCAGTGCCTACAGACATGGGTAACTCTCATACAAATAGGGGCACTAGGAGGGTATGTGCCCGCATGGCTCTCGAAATTCGCAAAGTGTCTGAAGACAGTCGCGAGAATCTCTGGTGGAAGGCAAGATATACGGGCGAGATCATTCCGGGGAATACGAAGGACGCGCATGGACTCAGCCAATGCAGCAAGGTCTTGGTCTATTTGGGCGTGACACTGCTTAACGCACTTCTAGGCGTAATGTCGACTAGGGCTGATAGCGTCGTCATGGAGGACCTGTGGGGCGGAGACGTCAATCGAGTCCAGACTAAATCTCAGTCAGAAGAATTACCTTTCACTCAGTGTTCAAGAACCGAGACTTAAAATTCTGAACGGCAACTACCCTGCAGAATTCACTTCAAACTCCAACAAAATATTCATTCAGAAAATGTCTTCCTATTGGTCGGAATTTCCCGCGATCGGCCCCAAACCAACAGATCGACATCTACGTTGTGGGGAAGTCAGGGTATCATTGCCAGCTAAAACCTGCAGGTGCCTGAGCATGGCGGATGGTGGTCAGATGTGACCAGGTTCATCTTCGCTTGTGATATCTTTAATAAGTGGTATTGGTCACTGTCACTTGCCAGTACTCTGGCGACCATGTATTATTGACTGACGTATCGCAAGAGTTGTCCCCACATAATACATGAGAGGAGCTAGTGATGGGAGACGGATGAGGAAATGAATCCATTGCATTGCATATCAACCCCGTATCTGTCTCAGACGCGGTGCTCGCTAGACATCTGAGTCAATAGAAGGGTTTGCTCCATTTCGGTTCGCGCGTAACATACGAGTAGCATGACCACGTCCTATCACAAGGATGGCCGAAGCCTGCAGAGCGTGGTGAGCTGCGAACCTGGGCCACACAAAATGTAAATCAGATGTGCACCATCACCGGCAGTTCATGCCAATTCTTCTTGAAGTCATTACCTCGGTCGGGTCAAGTGCATAGTTCATGAAGGCAGACTCCCACCCCCGACAGCCCTACTTATCTCGTCCACTTTCTGCCTGAAGCGCTTCCACTTGGCACCCCCAACGCCCGTGGGTGTATTGTGAAGTTGGAGGAAGGGATTCGATGAGGCGTGATAGTAGGCCAAGTGAAGGGCCTTGAATATCTTTAGTAGATATATCCATATCAGAAAATGGATGAGATAGACGAGGGGAAACATGGTTAAAAAGGACACACCATGGTCACCTCTGCATCACGCACGACAGCGTCTGTGAGTGGGAGGGCGAGAACAATCTTCATTTTGAGAGGCGTGATGTACCCATAGGCAGCTATGTCATCCATGGCGTAGAGAAGCCCGAGGTAGCACTCATTGGATTTTGTTGGGCCATTTGCTAATGCGTTGGGTGAGATGTTATTGTCAGTGTAGTAATGCAAAGTAGACAAGTACTGACTTCGTTCCTCAATGACGTCGAGGCTAGTGTGGGCTACATAGTGGTACTTCAGCTCGTCCCCTTTTTCGAATGTACGAATGAGGATCGGGTGGTTTTGAGGTGATATAAACGCCACTGCATTCAAGCGCAATGGAGGTGCCATCTTTGTTCTGATGTCTTACTGCAAAAACACTGGCGAATTGGAGGACTGCATCTGAGTGTTGAGGTTGCAACTGGGTCCGAAATCAGGCATCCCCCGAGAGGTGTCAGCTCAGGTCAACGTTTTGCATGCATGCTACACCGCATGAACACCATCTAATGATCACTCTTTCGAGGCGCTTTTGTCAGGTGTGACGGCGCGCAACGTCGTATGTTTCAAACTGATTCTTGCCAGAACTCGTCAAGGTAGGCAATCTGAAATATCCTAGGGAGCTGTGACAGTCCAGAATCCAGATAAATTCGAGCAACTGTCGACACCAAGCTCTTGGCTGGCTGATTCTGGTAGTAATAAATCATCATATGATGTCATGTGTATCTCGGAGGAGAAGTCCTGCATGATCCCAGGATGGAACATTCAGAAAGTGCACTTATGCGTCTTCAAGATTTTGATTTCAGGCCACGGGTATCGCATGGTCAAGTCGGAGGCCAGCACATATAAAGTCACTGTGTTAGCGGCTGAAGCCTCACCTCGAGTCCATCTCATCACTCCCTCGAACGCCTTCAGCTTGTCGGAATGTTCTACCCTCAGGCTAAGGCTCTATTGTATATGTTGCTTGCGCCGCCCTATGTGGACCCGTCTACCTTGCTCCGTGACTCTGGCAAAGTGACCCTCAGCTTGGCCGCTAGGGTGAACTCCAGCGGTACTGTTAATGTCGCTGCTGCTGACAGGGCTCGTGCTCAGGCGATGAAGCAAGTTGGTTTCAAGGGAAAGCATTCTGTCACCTTTATAAGCTACACCAATGTTGCCTATCGTTACCTCGCCCCAGTTGGTGTCGGCAAACCCGCCGCTCAGTGTAAGACTGGTCGTCAGATGCACTAGAAGGCAATTCTCGGACTTACTCATCATTGATACGGGCAGCGCCATCACTTGTGTGGGCGCATCCACCCCATACAATCCTACTAGTACTAGTTCGAAAACTGGTAACATTGTTGTACGCCTTTTCACATATTCTACTTTCAAAAGCTGCCCACTGGCATGACAACCTTATAGGTCAGTCCAGTATGCTCTCCGGAGATGAATACTTGGATACAGTTCCGTTGAGCTTTTCCCTGGTCATTCCTTCTCAACTTATCGGGGTAGCGGGCCAAATAGCGGGTCTCAGAATTTTGGATGTGGATAGGTTTCTTGGACTCGGACCGACTGGTCTTTCAGCCGCCGCTGTTTCTAACGGTGGTGAGGCCTCCACTGTTGTCGACAACCTCTACAGCCAGAGCCTCCTTAGCTATGAGGCAATATAAATCTTCTTTATTCTATATCTGCTCTTGACCGTACTGGCGTGGTGTCCTTTGGTTGGTACAATACCACAGTGATAATGGGCCCCATGAACACCGTCCCTCACAACTACGTCACCTGTTAGCGAATACTGGGGTTTCGACCAGTCTATTACCTATGGTGGCACTACCATTTAGCTGAGACTGCTGATATCGTTGACTCTGTATGATAATTTACTACTCAGAAACTGATCATACCAACTCACTAAAAATTTATTAGATTCATGTACAAGAAGTGGTACCACGCCAGGTGCAACCACTGGTCTCTTGATGATCACCCCTGTATGCTGATCTGCAAACCTTGATTGAAGTTCAACATTGGCAGCATAGCCTATGACCTAGGCCTCATCCCTGGTGTACACACAGCGCAAGGACACAAGCGCGGCTATGAATCAGATCCGACAGATGATCAAAGAACTGTCTTTGAAAGACCAGGTATATTACAAGCCGTACATTAGTCTTCATACTTGTAATTATCTTCGGGTCGACGGCCGCGGGAGACGTTCGAATCACAGGCAAGACTTGCACAATTTGCCTGTGCTATAGTCCTGGCCCAGGTGGAATAGATCAAAAGACTGATAAGATGCTATCAGTGAGAAGTACCTTGCAGTATTGAAGGTAAGTACTTACATAGGAGAGCAGTGATGTGGTCTCGGTTGTGTTGGAGACAAGCAGCAGAACTTCGAACTTCGACAACACTAGAGCGCAAGCAAAGACCAAGTACTTTCAAGTTGCCTTTTTCATCGGATAAACCCTAGCTATGGGTTATATTAATGGCACGCGTGGTAGGCTGGGTATGCATGTTGAAGGGTTGAGTCGATGCCACATACACCGATTCTTGAGGTCGGGGAACTTCGGGAGCTAGTCGTTAGCAAAGCGCTCGGGTGCAGTGCATTTGAAACCCGTACCTGAGCCTCGGCATTGCTGAAACTGACGCGGAAGTGGCCGGCGTCAGTACTGTCAGAGTCAAGTCAGAGTCCTTGCTCATCACATTGGCTGCGCAGTGCGAACATCCATCCTGGTCCAAACAACACTCCATTCTCTGCTAACTTGGCCCATGACTTCGTTTCTAAGGTATCTTCATCTCCTGGGGCAAACGAGGGATATTGGTCGAGATGAAGTTTCATCTGACATGCGAAGCTTAGAATGAATGCAAGCAAACAGTGCGCCGACCTACCCATACGAACATTCCCGCAACTGGCGGCACGAAGCTAAACATCGTGCAATTCCGGCCCGGGCATTTTTCAGTGATACCAGGGCCAGGGCTCTTCTTTATGGTGGATCTTTGGTGATGGTTCGATTTACCTGTCATGCCGCCATAGTCCGCTGTACATATTGTATATACAAAGCACACCTAACAATATTAATGTCACTTGTATGTCACAGCAGGTTTGTTCGCCGCACGTTGCCGAAACCTTCGTGCTCAACTACTGCAACATTTCACCACTTCATGCTACCCATTGTCAAGTGTGACCTGAAATTACGGGGAGGTCAGTCTCGAATCTGTCCTAAGGCAGTGTTCATGTCCATTCCTCTCCACACAGCTCATTGCTCTCGAACGAAGGCAGATCGCTCTGGGCGCGAACTATGTCCCCACTGGTCGACAGCGAGCTCGAGCTCGAGCTTGTCCTCAAACTTGTTCCCCTCAACATCATGTCCACTAATATTTCTGGCGACGAAGCCACACAGGCAGGTGGACTCGAGAACGATGCTCCGCACGCCGAATTCACGTTCCTATCAGCGTGTTGTACCGCCGACCGCGATGAGAAGACACATCAATCGGACACATCAACCTCGCAGCTTGATTTCAGTTTTATGGGCCTTATTGGCGCGCTATGGGTGGAGCTTTCTGTTCAAGGATTTCAAGAAGGCTGGTGGCATGCATAGTGCACTGTACAGAGGCGGCCGCGGCACTCAACCATGCTATAGACGCCGTGAAGAAGATACCGGTCGAGCAGAGGGTCTGGATGGGGCAACACGTCACCTCCTCCGTCGACACCGTACTACGACTGCATCGCAAGTGACATGACCACGCTATTGTCCCCACCTGTATCCGGATTCCAACGACCGTGGCATCAAATTGTACATCACAGGGAGCTCATTCGGCACGGTGCCTGCGCAGATATTGTTTGACTTCAGAGTGCGTGGAAACTCAGGAAAGCATATTTGACTATACAAAAGTTGTTACAAATCCTATCTTCTTCATCATGACCGGATTCAACAAACTCCAGAACTTCATGTCATCAGTACTCCTTTACGCCCTCCCGCACGCATCATGCTCATTGTTCCATGCACTGGTAAAAACAAGTACATCAGCACTCAGCTTCGGGAGACAATGACAACGACAGGCTCGCCCAGGTACTGTGGAGTGGAGCAAGCCTCAAGGCTCAGCTCTCATGAACATTTGAACATAGTCCCGCTGGTGATATGACATTTAGTTCCGCCCAAGCATGCCACAAACTTATAGATTTTGTCATTGAGACAGTAAAACCCAAAATCGTGGCCGTGATTGAAACCTTTCATGGTTGAGCACCCCACTTCATCAGTGGATAGCCATCAGCATGTGGTCAAAGGTCTGCACGTAGGCAACAAAAGCGCTCACCAGTTGTGTGGCAGGGTAGGTTCAAGGGCGATACCGTCAGATCCTCGGATGCGATGGCTACCCCAGCCATCGCTGCGGCAGAGATGATCATAGTGGTGAGTGAAGTGAATTTCATGGCTGAAACTAGTGATTTCTGAATCAAAAACTAATACGCTGGCTTTTATCTGCAGGTAGTGTATAGGGGACAGCCAAGCAATCTGCATGATGTGCTTGCATCGCGAAGTTGCGCTCCGTGACATCATTGTTTTGAAGGCATCAAATAATGTGCCGGACGCACTCCGCCACGAGTCCTTCTGGTAGTACGTGTTAGTGAACTTCGATCTATGGTGATGTATTCACCCAATTTTCAGATTTGCAGGGATGCGCAGACGCACTTACCGACCATATGCATATGGAAACTCATTAGGCCTAACCTATGCCTGCATGACCTCGCCACTAGAGCATACTAGAAGCCAGGCCAGTGGTCGCGGGGGTAAACTGTAACGGCGTTGTGGAATAATTGACCTGGATGGTTCCAACTCACGAGTTGTTTACCCGTTAGTAGACGTATTCTTGAGTCGCAAATCGGGTATTCGCGTCCGTCCTGGATTGACGGTGGAGTTCACGTACTGTTTATGACTGCGTGCTACATACGCAATGTCAATTTATCCGCAACTTATTCCGGTTGTTTGCGATATCTGTATTGCTGATTATGTTGGGACTGGTGCTACACATGGCACAAGCATTTGATTCATCGCGCACCAATGTGTTCTTGATGGATGAATGCAACGGACTTGGCCTACCAATAAATGTACGTTTTTTTGTGTTCGCTCCAACGTCACGGCCTATGATACAAATTCATGAAATTCATGCACGTGTTTTGTGGAAAGGAAGTAAGCTGAGCACCAGCTGGCAGCAGCTCCCATCAATTCGGATTCGGTGGTCAAAACCTAACTAGTGCCGAGCACGCCAGAAAGTCTAGTTTTCGACAGCCCGGCGCTTGAGCAGCTCGGCTGAGTGCTGAAAAGGAAGCATGACCGCACGTCACCTCTGCTTTTGAATAGTATATTCCATCTATTGAAACCGTGTCAGCTGCGACAGACAAAACCATTTAATTCATTCGCGATGGCCTGGCAGTATGACCGTCATCTACTGGTTGGAAACGTGACTGACTCGTGTCCGCCAATGACGAGCAAAACTGAAAGAGACACGCGAAACAAAACTGAAACACAGGCTTGAATCTTGATTGCGGAAGACGACAACGGTAGTGTCTAAGCTATGGAGGGAATGGTAGAATATGCAACATGGAACTACACACCAACAATCCTCTGTTCGAGCGGCACCTTCTTCACGGTGTCTGCCACGGCTGCCTTCGTACAGTCCATGCCCCCCCCCTCCCCCCCCATCCGAGTCCTTCTCGAAATGTGAGTTATGTGGCTAGGAATAGATGTGAACACTGCCGTCGGACACAACCAGATTCGACTGGCACCGTAATCTCAGGTCACGCTGGACAATGGGTAACACGAAGTGATGAATTGCTGCAGTGGTTGAGCTCGCTGTTGCCCACAGCGAGCACGAAGGTTTCGGCCATGTGCAGCGTCAACTCGGACTGCTGTGACATACAAGTGACATATGATTTTGTTAGGTGTGCTCTGTATATACAACAATAAATACAAGCGGACTATGAAAAAGGTACGCGGCATGACGGCAAATCGAACCGTCACCGAAGATCCACTATACTTCTCTCCGACAGATTGGCGTGGAAAGTACACTTTCTGAGCAGTGTTTCACTGCCGCAAGCACTTCTAGTCCATTTTTTATGAAATAAAAAATAATCAGTAAGCTATGTATTAATCATCCTTCAGAATCATTGTGCGAAAAAATGAGTGAAAGATGAGTGTAGTACATCGTGTTTTGCAACTCTGGGCCAAAGATAGTAAGTACGAGTGAGGATGCGTGAGCTAGTATGCTGAACGAGTTGACGCGGATGAGAGAAATGAACCAAGGAAGAAAGAAAAGAAAAGGCGCGTTCCGCTCAGCTGGACGCGTGGTGCCAGGATACTCCGGCAGGCTACGTTACCCGGCACCTGTACATGACACGGGAGCGTTAAATGTGGAATCTATGATCTTTAGTTGAGGAGCTTGGCATCCCTGAGCTAATGCCAGACGCGTGCACGTCACGGCCCAACGGCCGTTCGAAACTGCGATGGGTGGTCTTTGTCAGGTTCCTCCTCACACGACAGAAATAAAATAGAATAAAAGTACGAGTCACAGACTTGGTATTCTGAGGATCTCTGCATGAATCGGTGGCCTTTGCCTCTCGGAATCACTACTATCTTCTTGTCGAAAGGGAATGATGGTTGGTCACCTGATTTAGGTATTGCACTCGCGGTAGCACTATTGCTTCGGGCACAGTTATGTCATCTACGTTACAGCCTAATGTAACTTTCAGTCAAACATTTGATTCTACCTGAGATACCTGCACACGTACCTTCTTCGTAAGCTCATATATCCTCCTCTGTCCAGCAAACAATATTGCAGCGGTGAGGACACTCTGGAGGAGTTTGGTGCCGACACCTTTGTACAGCCCTTGGATACCTTCCTCTTTCAAGATCGTAGCCAAACCATCGAGAGAGGATTTATATTGCTCTGCATGTGCTTGCCCAGCTTGTAGTCTGCTCTTTATGACACTGAAAACAAGTCATATCTTGGCCTGGAAAACAGGAACTGAGGCTCACATGTAAGGATACGTTGTGCCCGTTGCGACTGCATAGCGCATTGTCAGCATACCTCAAACCACATTCGAATCCAGAGAGCTCACCGAGTTTCGAAAGTGCACCCAAAAAAAAGAAATGCCAGTCAGACAAGACTGCAACCGCACTTCCAGAGCTTCTCGCCCTCATCTTCAAGGTCCTTTTCTTAATCAAAAAATTCTTCAGCTGCTCGAATACTGTGTACTGCAGCACAGGGTTGACTACGAGCACCAAAGCAGGGCCGAGCCCACGGAAGAACCCGTTTAGCCCGTCTTTAGCGAAAATGGTTTGAATGGTTTGGAAGACACTTGGCCGTCTTGGTGCCGCATGTGAACGGGGTAGTTCAGAGGGTCCAGGGGAAGGTTCTACTGTGCCAACGGCTTGAGACGTCTGTACAACCCATATCGGGTTGCTGATTATGGTGGTTGCTGATCCTAGATGTAGGACGTTGGATCAGTGATAACATTGTTCATGCAAGCAGATGTTGACGTACCAGCGATAACGCCTGCTAACATCGACTCCAGCACACTAAGAGCCTTGTTCCCCTGCCTCGAATTCAGAATAATCCCTCGAGAACGTTCATAGAAATAATAATACACCCTGTCAACGTTATGAGCGCGAGCAGAACACAGCGAGGGTGCTGGAGAAGCTCTTACCCGTTTGTGACAGCTATCCCGAGCAAACTTGGACTCAGGCCGCTGTAGAGGCCCACAATACCCTCCCGCTTGATAATCTGGAGGAAATTTTGAGCTACACCCTGCCAAAAAGCGTGAGTACGAAGCACAGACAAGTGTTATATCTCGAATTGCGGTCACGACTCACCTTGGAGTCATTCTTCGCGTCGACTGCAGCGCGCGTCGATAAGACTATGAGTGGGCTGCGAGTACGAAGGACTACCTGAATTTACAATTATACACACGATAGGATGCTACATACTATGTTGCGGACATGGCGACGATGCCTCCGGCGGCGCCTGCGAGTGAATGGACAACGGAGTCGCTTACCATGATGCGAATGGGATGGTATGTACAAGGATGACGTGGACGTGAGCAGAGTCTTCCGTATTCTGGAACCGGTGGTACCGCGAGACTCGAGAGCTAGAGTTGCTATACCGAATGGTATTCCCTAGCTGAGAGTACAGACATGTGAAATTTCTAAGTTAGATGCCGTAAATAAAATTGAACAGCTCGGGTTGAGCCAACACATGCAGCCTCCACTATACACTTTTGGCAGCGGAACAATATCGAAGCCATCTAACAGAGTTGGAACTGCAGATGTACTTTACGATTTCCTCTAATTCTGACTCAGAAGAGACTGTGAAGTACACACAGAAGTTCTGATACCTAGTAGTACCTGCGACAAGCTCGTTTGCAACTTTTGCTTCCTTTTCCCAACGCAGCTGCCGACTCCTCTAGGCTGTCAACCCTGCTGCCAACTGCCCAGAAAGAGGATGGCTGGCCTCGAGGTGTTCTTCCTGGGCCCTAATTGCGACCCTATTTTTTCCCCCATCATACCCTCATCTGTTGAAGGGAAACTTTGCTCCTTAAGTACCTTTCTCTTAACTCATCCGAGATGCAGTCCATGACATACCCTCCCCCATCATATTACCTGGTATAGCTTCGAAGATGTCATGTCATTAACGTCTAGCAGTCATTTTTTCTCTCCCAGATTCTGTCTCGGAGATACAAAATAAGTTTCTGCTATATGTATCCACTTCTTTCACGCCTGGGTGCCCTCGAGGACATCGAAGCTAGCAGATCCGATTCAGAGTCCTCCCCTACTAACTCGCCACTAGTAACTCACGCGTCATGCCATCAAGCAGAAATACGACTCACCGCCACACTAGTCGTTGCATGCAAAGTAGTTCTACCACGCCAGTGAGTCATGTGATTGAATTCAGGACACAAACTACTCACACATTGATTCACCTCAATGCAGTATTTGCAGTTTGAATTCAATAAGCAAAATGTAGGACATTTATTACTGTCAGAATTACTGGCAGGTATCGATGTTGCAGATATCGACGCTGTCAAAGCAGCCACAGCGGCGAGGACAAAGAATAAATTCATTGTTTGTGAGGATGTGATATGGGATCGAATCAATCTGAAGGTAGACAGTACTAGAAACACGGCTTGCTTTTATATGTTGAATGTTGTTCTTCATGGCGACGTAGGAAGAACCTATCCACCTGAAATCCGCTTTCGAACAGATGATATCTGCATTGCCAGCAGATTGCCACCTAAGATCATGTACGTATATAGTGACTTTTGTACTGGAACGTGGACTGACTTTACGAAAGTGAACATTTGCAGTGTGTGAATCCACATTTCGCGGAAGTAATGATCACACCGAACTCACGATTTGTCGACCCTTTCCATGTTCAAGGTGGAGATCTCATATGTTGCTATAGAGGTGATGACACGATTCTGCGGTGGATTTTACGTCACGCAGGTGCCAGGTAGCCCTGAACACGAGCCCGAGCGCCACGCTGATCCATGGTTCTCCGTTCCTCCAGAGGATTATTCGGCTTTGTGTGTAGTCCGGGCTGATCTGTCGCTCATCAGTGGAAGTGCAGAGTCTAAACAAGGCAAGAACCTGGACGATCGTGTTCAGCGTTGAGATTCACTTTGGTCTCGCCGTAAAATTGAACCGCTCCTTCATTCGTCTGCTACCCTTCGGGTCGAGCCAACACAGCAGCCGCCACTGCACTTCCAGCGGAGCAGCATTATTCCCTTCTCATCTAGCAGAGCTGGGACTGCAGATGTACTCCACAATCTCCTCTGACTCCGCCTCAGAAGAGGCTGTAAAGTACAGAAGTTCCGACACCTACCCGCGACAAGCTCTCGTTTGTAACTTTCGTTTCGTTTCCCCAACGCCAACTCCACTATCTGGGCTGTCAACCCTGCCGCCAATCGTTCCTGCAGTTGCTCGATGGTCTTGCGGTCCTTCTCCCGCAGCTCTTCTGATCCAGCTCGCCGTTCCTCTGCGGCCTCTCCCGTGATGCGCATGTCAGATCCCCGAACTCCTATTCTGTCGGCGGCTAAAGGCAGTCAGTGCAAATCCGGGAGTTTGTAGTTAGCAAGACTCAGAATAGATCCGCAGGAAGCTGTGTACGAATGATAGATGCTAGGGAATGTTCAACCATCAAGGTGAAAGAATCCTTAGCCAACTATCACCGGGGGACTCAGGTTGTAAGTTTTGGACAAAATTCTCGCTAAACAACCTTTCGCGATATCGATTGCTTTGTTTGAATGGACTCACAGGAACTTCGAAGCTTTTGGATACGAATAATAGGTGTCTAAGGATTCCTCCACCGCGAAAGAATCCTTCTAAGTAGGAAAGCTGCAAGTACCTTTTTGGGGCCGCAGTGTCTACCAAAACCTTGTCTTGTGCCTCCCTTAAATCGGTGATCACCCTGCTGTTGAGCTCCCTGAGTTACTCGATGGTCGTGTGGTCCTCTGCAGCCTTCCGATCTTGTTCTCGCCGCTCCTCTGCCTCTCCCGTGACATGCATATCAGTTGTAGTCATGGTAGTGCAGATCAGGGAGTTTGCAGTTAACAAGACTCAGCAGGATAATCGTTCGGTAGCCCGTTTGCGGTTGAGCTCCGTCAGTTGCTCAACTATCGATCTTTCTCTAGAAGCTTCTTGGCGGCCTCACGATCTACGGCTTCTCTCGTGATTCGCGGGTCGGTTGTAATGAAAAAAGCTCACAATCTCTGAAACAAGAATTAAAGGAATGGACTCACAGACAGCTGGATACGAATAGATAGACATTTTATTCGTCCCCAGCTGCCTGTGAGTCTACGGATTGTCTGACCAAGCCAGGACTGAGATGGCAGGCTACGGTCAGAGTTCGCGCCTCAAGCCCCGTAGCGAGGTCAATGGCTTTGTGAACTGAATAATTTCTTCTCTCTGCTCAGGGGGAATGCTTATTTCCATTGTCCCGCCGGGGACGATGGCTACCGCCATAATGTCAAGTTGAGTAGTAGCCATGATGACAGTGGGGGTTGTGAAAGAGCAAACGAAGTTGATGTGGTTGACCACGGCGTGCATCCACGTGGATCACATTGTAATACTGTATAATATATTCCAGCAGTGTTCCAACCCAATGCATAACCATAGAATACAAGATATATTTCAATGAATACACAAAGTCGAAGAACGGCATGTAACAAGCAATTAGTCACCTAAATATATGTATGACGTTCATTGCTCTGGTACCGTTCTGCTATGCTGGGTATACTTTACATTAGAATGACGAGTCCTTACTTGTCGGCCTTGAACGTGCCATCCTGCAACTGCCTAAGCAAATGCTGCGTCTCCTCGACGTCCTTCTTGAAGCCATTAGAGCTGCCGCCGGCATCCTGCCTTGTGGAAAACGTATCGCCGACAGTTGCTTTACCGTCGTCCAACGCGAGCCATTTGTCCAACTGCGTGATGATGGCTTGCGATTTGAGGCGGTAGTGCGTACGGATCACGTCGCCGAAGGGTTCCGGAGGGTTCTTAAGGTTACCGAGCATCTGTAGCAATAAAGGTAAGAGACAACGGCGTAAGATTAGGTATAGGTTCTACCGCAGTCTTGACGACCATTCTCCGGACATTGGCCGAGTCTGGCGAAAACTCAGGGAAAACGTTCATCATCGAGTTTAGCTACTCACACTGCCTCGACTGCGGAGTACCACCATCGTTCGCCCATCCAGGCTCGTTAAGATATGGTTCTTCACAAAGGATCATGGACTGAATGGATATAAGGACCTGCAGGGTGTGAGCACAGATGCTGAGGTATAGTAGAGAGAGCGCAAACTTGTAACAATGTCGATTTTCCAGAGACCCACCCTGGTCCAGACCATGTACCAAGAAGAGACAGGCAGACTTTACCATCCTGAAATATGGTGAGAACAGTTCACTACTTGGATATTTGCACTCACTGCGTAGAGATTAGGATTGAACCGATACTTTCCACCGTTGGTCTGCCAAGGAATCTCAGTCACAGAAATATTCGAATCGAGGCAGTCACTCACCGTCATGTACTTAACACTTGGAGGAGCTTGGTTATAGTTCGGTCCAAGGAAAATATCGAACAGGAAACTGCAATTTGTGAGAGGGATAGTTTTGTTTTATGAGTAACTTACCAGCCATCTTGGTAACTGGACAATAAATGTTAGAATAGCCCAAGAGAGAGAGTAAGGTACTGACGGGGTTCCTTCTGGACCTATGATGAGCGCCTTGATGATGTCTACACGATTCTCATCGACTCTCAAGAACACCGAGGAATCCCATGCAACAGGCAGATTCGTCGTCAACACGGCGAGCTGCATGATTCACTAAGTCAACAAAACTTTCACGAAAGAAACCCCACAAAACCTCTTTTGCGATAGCTAGGGAACGCTTAGGGATGTCCGACGTGGCAAGCATTCGGGCCTCGCTATTATAGTAGAACTTGTAATGTGGCAAGCTCTCCTCTATCGCTCCTTTCTTGTCTTCCTCTCGTGGAACAGTAAGGTCACAGTATTCGAATCGAACTTGAGTAGCCCAATCGAGGTATGCCTTCTTCCGTGCCTCGTCTGTTGTAGCAAGAGTAATCGTTGAATGATCAAACGGTTCCGATGAGATCTTTGGCAGTGAAACGTGTAATCGGTCAACAAATGCGTCGCCCTTGGTTTCGCGCAGTGAGCGGTCGATGGCACTTGCAGTCGCCAAGATCCGCTGACAAAACAAGAGCAGCTTATGATTTTCATCAGACAAAGAAGGGGTCAATTCTCTCTCCTTGCCCTTGGCGGACGACGTCATCCGTTTCTGCTCCTCCGTCATCTCAGTCACCTCTGGATCAGGAGTTTTAATTCCCTCCAATCCTTTGATAGCAGCTTGCGCTTGGATGACAATTGCTTCCAAAAGTTCTCGTGGGCCAGCGCTACCTTCATAGATGATAGTTCGTTCCCGTATGGGCGCCTTACCCTTGGCTACTTTCTTGGGTGCGACGGATTTGACAGAAGAAACCACCATAATTGGCATCGCCATCATACTTGCCAATGCTTCATGGTTGGATATTGTCTGTAGTGCAGTGTCAGTCAATGCAGTTCAACGTACAATGACAGTGGTGGACTACCTCGAGCCATTCAAATAACTCAAAGTACAGAACAGAACGATCTGACATGTCTGAGAGGGAATCATTCCTGAGCAGAGTGGTGCAGAGATAATTAAAACGTCTGCGGAGATGCGCAAGAGCCGTGGGGTGGACCATGTAGTCGCTGGTTCGTGCACCTCCCTCTCGGCGTAGAGACGGAAGATATTCACGGATCTGAGAAAGTATTGTACCGATCCTCTCATCTTTCAAGCGTTGGGTGGCCTGAGCTTCTAGCTGGCCAGAAATCTTGCGTTTTCTCAGAAACAGTCACCGGTGATGGTTCATATGAAAACTCACATCTTCCTTCACCTCTCCGGCATAGCCAATGCCTCCTTTCGATTTCTTCCCTACTGGCAAAGACATATAATAGCCGTCGTCGTCGTCATCGTCCCCTTTTGGAGTAGACGAAGAAGAGTGCAGATCGGTCTTTCGTCTCTTGTTCGTTTTTGATTTGTGAGAACTCTCTTCGGAGGTTTGTTGACGCTGCTCAGAGAATGTGGATTCCAACATAGCGAGCCCGATGCCCAATATAATGCCTTGCAGATTGGAACAATGGAAGAGAGCATCATCACCCGAAGACGAAGGGTCACGATTGCTTGCAGTGATAGGTTCTCCGCAAGCGAAACAAAAATCGACTTTGCATGAAGGACAGGTGCGCTTTACGACACGACGAAGATGTTGAATATACAGCAAGAAATCTGGCTATATGCAAGTCAGCTGTCCCCTTTCCGACAGTAGAGCGATTATACGCACAAAAATGGCAAAGAAGTTACTCTTAGATCTCTGGATCTTATGCCCGCATGCTTGGGGGCAAGGGCAGTCACCGCTGCTTAGCTCGTTGTAGAGACCGAACAAGAAACCCTGTTCGCCGCCCTCTGGACAACCCTTCATCCACTGACCCTGAGTCATAAGCTTCAGCTGCTCGTTAGTGTCGGGCATAAAGGCCGTCTCAGGTTCCTCTTCAACTTCTATAACTTCCTCACGACGATCCTTCGAGAAGAAGATACCTTCGAAACCATCAAAAATACCGAAGGAACAAACACGTAGGTGTACTCGCCAGCGTATGGATCTGCTTCAGCCACATTTCTGACCTTGTGCTCGTTAAAATCAGAGTCGTAGTCGACATAGTCATCCACTGAAAGGTGCGGATTAATGCATCGCGAAAGACTATCCGGGAGGCCACGAACCCTCGTCGTCGTCATCGTCCATGTATACGTCATCGTCGTCGTCTTCGCCTTCGCCTTCGCCGTCCTCGTCCGGCGTCTAACCAAAAGTGATAAGCATCATTCTCCAGAGTAGCGATGAATTACATACAGCACTGCGCGGCGTTCGTGATGGAGTAATGGGCGTTACCGGAGCAGAAGACTCCATACTAACGTCTCCGTCCGTCTCCTCGACGTCTGCAAACTCACCTTCGAAGATTCGCTCGGCGGCTTGCATTACATCTTTGTACCGACGAAGAGCAGCCTGCGCTTGTGCTTCCGTCGCACCCTACCAGCCGGTTAGCATGGCATCGGGCCGGAATCCCAGAACCAGGTCTTACCATCTCCACCAGTTGTTGGACCTCTCTATCCATGGTGGCTGCAAGAGACTAGACAGTGAGGATCTGCTACTTCCTTCAATGTTGCTTTATCAAGTTGTACAAGTTCAAACGCGTGACAATATGTACCGTGACATGTCACAAAACATGATTAGCTAAGTAATATTCCAGCTAAAACATAAAGATGAATAAATAAACAAATAACCCGAAAGTTGCCCGAAAGAACAAAACTCCTCGACTAGGTAGAAAGAATATCATTCAGCAAAGAAGCAGTAAATTGGTCAGAACTACCTAGATAAAACCTTCCGAGATATCGAGAGCAACAAAGCTCACGTCAAGAATAGCAAAGATGTCCAGAATACAACGATTCATACACAACCCTAAGACAACCCCGTCAGACCAGCTGGTCGAAGCGGTCCAGAAGCGTGGCACCGATATTGTGAGCACACTGGTATTGGTTCTTCAACCCTTTGTAAGTCGAGAAAAGCTTTCTCTTTCATCCCGGTCGTAGCTAAGAGGATACGAAGACAAATCGCTCATCAGTGCGAGTGTGTCCAAGCTGGCTCTTTGACGTCCTTGAAAAGCAGATGGTGGTGTACTACCATCATTGCTTCCAGAATCAATCTGGAACGGGAATGGCCCAAGACCAGACGAAGCCGTGGAAACCTGAGAAGCGGTAGACAGCCCCAAGGTCTGGCGGCTGGGAGGAGGGTCTAATGGGGGCAGTGGTGTCTCCTCGGATTCTGGCACTACTGAAGGAGTTGGATCCTGCACCTGTGCAGGGGACAATGAAAGGGGTTCTGCATCAGAGACTAGAGGCTGCGAGAACGGAGCAGAGAATCGTTGATGTAGAGGAGAACGGGGTGGAGAACGGATAGGAAGCGATGAAATGGGAGAGGGAGGGACAAAGGGGAATGACTCAAGGATAGAGTCTGCCCGCGTTGAGGTGGCGGAAACCACCGAGCAGCCCGAGACTCGCTTGCGATCCAAGCCCTGGGCACGAGCTTGTGCATGCGCATGTGCCAAGGCTAGCTGCTGCTGTTCCTCAAGGGAGGATGGCTGACGGGAGGATGGCACCGAGGCAGGTGAAACCAGTCTGCCCACGGTCGTCCTGTAGGGCGTCTTCTGGGCGTCCTGTGGGCATAGTAGCCCCACATTGACACGTGTAGCACTGCTGATATCTATAACAGACCCGGCCTGAGTGCTGATGCTGGATGGACGACTATCTCCCGTTTTTTTGGACCACGGGAGACGAGGTGATTGGAGAGAAATTTCCGATACTGGGCGCGACTGGTTTGAGACGTCGCCATGCGCCTCAAATTCGTGATGATCCCCGAACGGATCGCTACGCATGGATGCATTATGCTCTTCGTCTGTCTCATCCAAGGCATCAGCAGGGCCAAAAGAACTGGCTGCAAGGGGAGACCGAATTGAGGGACGGGAAGCGACAGATATAGAACCAATGCTGTTCGCAGATAAGTGAGATGTGGGCGTGGATGGACCTGAGGTCTGAATGACTTCTGCTTTGACAACTCCCAAGACCTGCCTGACGGCACTTTGGCTTTGCGTGACAATCATGGGTGCTTCATTGAGGAAATCACTGGAGTAGCTGGCGTTTGACAGATATGACATCCTCGACGATCCTGAGCGCTGACTCTGTGTATAACGCGGGTTTGGACCACGCAAAGATTCGTCGGACACTGCAGAAGCATTGTCATTCAGGGTCAGATCGGGTGCTCGAGCGGGCCGGATGGGAGAAGCAGCAGGTACAGCAGAACCCGAAAGCCATGAAGGTGAAGGAGAGTCAGCTGACGCAGAGCCGGGGGATACGAGAGCAATAGGGATAACATTTGTGCCATTTGTGCCCGTTGACGTAGTCTGTATAGAGTTACCATCGTCGAAGGGATTAGGTGGTGTAGCATGGGGATTGGGAGAGGCAATGCCGGTCGCAGATTGACCCCGAGACTGCGGATCGAGATCGATGACGCTGTCTGACGATGAAATGTACACCCTGACGGTATTGGGCTCAGAAGGAGCTGGTGGCTGAGGTTTTTCAGTGGGATTTGGGCGATTCAGAACTGCTTCTGCAGGAGCGGGAACCTGGTCCTTGACTTCCTGAGCTAGCTCGCGTGCCTTGCGAACACTGGCACGGCGGCGATACCAGAAATAAAGTACCAAAGCCCCTACAAGGACGAGAACTATGGCAACAACTGCACCTGCGAGTGCGCCTGAGCTGACACCCCCACCACCATTAGAGCTGGCAGTGGTCTTTGCCTGACAAGTGAAGGTTGGGCAGGCGCTGCAAGATCTGTCATATGATCAGGTATGTAGATGAAAGATAGGAATTAAAATGAACGAACCTGGTTATCTGGACGCAGTTCTGATCGGCCGAGCAAGTGCAGGATGGGGGAGCGGTAGCACAAGTAACACATTGCCTAGGATCTAAGAGCATGATCTAAGAAAGAAACAAGAAAAGAAAAACAAAGTAGTAAAAGAGCGTGATTTTGACGAAATTTTAAACAATATCTTGATCTGAATTTTCCTACCACAGCTGCTCGGATGCGCAGACAACGATGGTGAAGGATAAGAAGGGTGACCTTGCAACGAATGTGCTAGCCAAAGGTGAAAGTCGGAAGGTGATGAACGACTTCCCACGATTTTGGCGTTGGACAGCGACCAGGAACAGAACTCGAGGAGGTTCTTATAGTCTATAAACAGACAGTCAGGCCTGCCTGGCCGCCTGGCTTGAAGCCTATATTTTTACTCTAAATACCAGGTGAGAGTATCAGCCATATAAATTCTTTTACTTATCCTTATCATCATACCAGATAAACTATGTCTGAACTCGAGTGCACTATAGCAGTCGAGGGTCTGACCTACAGTCATGTTCCTAATTCGCCTCCTTCATTGGAAAATATAACCTTTCATCTTCAGCCTGGGTCTCGAACCATATTGGTTGGCGCTAATGGAGGCAAGTGCCTGTTTAGTTGCCACATATTAATGCATCTGATATCATAGGCAGCCGGAAAATCTACGCTCCTACAGATCCTGGCGGGTAAAAGATTGGTCAAAGATGCTGAGATCCGCATCAAAGGCCTAGATGTCTTCAGGGACTCCCCCCCTGGCGTCACCTTCCTCGGCACAGAGTGGTCGGTAGCTTTCCTTATGACCGCAATTCATCATCCAAGGTCCAATTGTCTTCTTCTCCAGGGCAATGAATCCAGTGGTTCGGAGCGATATCGTGGTATCTACATTCTTGGACTCCGTGGGAGGATACAAACACAAGGAGAGAAGAGACAAGCTTCTAGACATCTTGGATGTGGACTTAGACTGGCATATGCATGCAATTTCTGATGGAGAACGTCGCCGTATCCAACTCTGCATGGGTCTCATGGCCCCATGGGATGTTCTTCTATTAGACGAAGTAGGACCTTCCACGTCAATTTTTGCGAACTTGTCTGAGTCACGCACGTGTGCAGGTCACTGTCGACCTTGATGTCATGGTTCGTGACGAATTGCTTACTTTCCTTCGAGACGACAGCATCGCCCGTGGAGCTACCATTATTTGTGAGCTGCAAGCTATTTAATTCTCCTGCATTACTTCAACATCTACACAGATGCGACACATATTTTTGACGGACTCAATTCGTTCCCTACTCACGTCGCCCACATGCGTTTTGGATCCTTTGCTACAGAACCTACTCCATGGCCTTCCGGCTTTACAAAAGGTCCTCAAACCCCCACATTATACAACACTGCTCTGCAGTGGCTCAGGGAAGATCGTGATTACCGCCGAGAACTTGAGAAACAAGGGCGAAAAGGTCGTGGTGCGAGAGATGAGGTTCGTTTTGATCCCCGCTCCTTTGGCAACGACTTGATTGATTCGTGGAACTCTAGACTGTCCCTTCTGACTCTGAGACCTTCTACAAGAAGTGGGTGGGATTCGTTGCAAATTATCCCTGACTATGAAATTGATGATCATTTAAAGATACGACTATAGTCATTAAGACAACACTACGGCCGTGTGGACGCATCATGTGCACTGTCTCGCAATACGATTACATCAGTTTCAACAACCTGTAGCGATAGCACTACAAGAAATCCTTGTATTCAACATGCACCCCTTAATTTATGATATTTGAATCTGGACGGGTCAAAGTCTTGGACACGCCGTGTAAGACCAAGTCCTAGTAAGTACGATATTCAACTGTTTTCAGGCAGATGTGATTAGCAAAAAAAGTTATATTCTCCGTTCGCGTGCATCCTAAGTATGTACTATAGTCCCCGACTGGACAATCGACATGGAAGAGGGCTTTGACGAGGTTAAATAATCTAGTACTTGCACTGCGGCAACGATTTGCCTTATTTAGGCGGAGCACGCCCAGGCCGGACTCGAGGTTTGTTGATTCAGAAGGTACCTTTTACACCTTTTTATGTAACTTACCTGGCCGCTGTGATTTTCCGCCATCATGCCTGAAATCATAGACTTAACAGTGTCTCCCCGATTACCAGAACCTATCGAAATATTGTCCGACGGGGAAATACCACCGGTCTCTCCCAACCAGGAAGATTCTTCCTCACAAAAGACAAGGCGAAGGCCGCGAAAACGGAAGAAATCCAAAGGCCCTACATGCGATGGCGTTGACCGCTCAAGAAACCAGTCTCTCGAGCGTCGAAGTACTGCAGATTCTCGCGTTGAAACTGTTTCTCGAAGGCGATCAGCGTCTCCAAAACGCCGTTCACCAACCCCAAGACTTTCTGACCAGGAATTATTCTTCTTTGACGCCGCCCCTGCTCCCGTGGTCACAGAGCCTACGCAGATTTCAAATTCTCAACCAGAGAGCTCCAAAAGCGCAGCAGATCGACTTCTACTTCCCTCCCACGTGTCTGTTTTGAGCGGCGGCGAGGAAGGTGCAGTGGCAGTCGATATCATCCCCCCATTACCCGTAGATTCTGAGGAGGAAGATTACATTGAATATCTTGACTATGAAGACAGGAAGGTGTGCGGCCATCAGCGGTTACATGATCATGATCTGTTTTTCATATTCTTTCGTAGGCACCTGGGCTTGTTCGCTACTTCGAAGCGGAGGCAGAGGAGGCGGCCCATGCTAAACCGTCGCGCTCTGTATGCAAGAATTGCGGTGCAGAAGGAGAACATAAGACGTATCAATGCCCAGTTCAAGTGGTGAGTTCTTGAACCTCCTCCGTCTGGTATCGCTCATTCCGCTTTGAAGTGTCTGACCTGTGGTACTCGTGACGAACATTCAACTCGAAGCTGTCCTATCAGCAAGACTTGCTACACCTGTGGGATGAAAGGTCATATTAACAAGGTGAAAACGTTCGTGATTTGCCATACACGCAGTCTTATTGGTTTCAGACCTGCCCAAATCGTTTCTCGCGTTCAAGGCTCGCAGCAGATGCGGACGATGGTTGCGACCGATGCGGATCGCAAACTCACAAGATGAATGTAAGATAGCGATTCGATTTTAAAGGTTCTACTGTTCACCTTCCAACGTCTGTTAGGAATGTCCTACGCTGTGGAGAATATACCAATATGTTGCCGATGAGGATCGCGTTAATATCATGCAGACCAGGGAGGAAAAAAAGAAACTGGCACTTGGAAATGGGGGCGAGGGATACATCGCATTGGAGGAGTGTTGTTATAATTGTGGAAATTCAGGACACCTGGGAGACGTATGTGTTGCTGCCAGTTCCGAGTCGTCTTCTGACAAGGTCCAACAGGATTGCGATGAGGTCGCTTTCGTCTTTGACATACCCGCTGAGCCTTCGGCTTTCAGCTCGCACAATATTATGTCTGGGCCATTCTATGACCCGGCATCCGAGCCCGTTCGAGTTCGCCGTGGGCCGCGAGAGTCGCAGAACGAAGATGACAGACCCGCCTTACGTGAAGACTGGGGTATGGATGCACCTGTTAACGTTGGAAAACAAGGGAAGAACAAGGACAAGGAAAAGTTGGCGAAGAGGTTCAGAGAGCAAGAAGATGATGACACAGGGGATTGGTTCAACAACCCTCGTAACATGAAGAATCGTGGCAATGACAAACCTGCGTCAAATGGCCGAAAGGCTATAAAATTCGGCAATTCGATGAAGGATGTCGGGCGCCAGTTTATGCCACTCCAATCAGCAACCCCTCGCAAAAGCCTTCTTGATCGATTAGGAGACAGTCCTCACCGTGGTCATCGACGGCGGAGCGGTGACCACTACGGTTCATCAAAGGAACCAGAGTCTTACCGAATACGTGGAGCGTCGCACAATTCTAGAGACCGGGATGGCGAGTATTCTCGTAGTAACTCAGGTCGTGAACGAGAGCGGCAGCGGCGAGATTCGCGAGAGTGGGACAGAGACAGGGACCGGGGACATGGATGGGGGAATGAACCCAGGTATAAAGGTGGTTACAGTAGATAATTGAGTTCGAGCTTGCCTCGTTTTAGGAATCAGGTTGTATACTAGGATCTGCATCCCACACAACTGGGGGACGCACCCCTAGTGAACAATCAGATCTCAAATCCTAGTAGAGCTTAGGTTTGGCGGATCCTTCATGTTATCTGTCGAGCTTGGTTTAGTTTAGTTGATATCCAGCACCACATCAATACTAGTACTAGTGCTCTGATCGGACCTGTTCTTACTGGCATATGGAATCAGACTACCTTTCTTGAGCCGTCGACGTTGACATAAACATGCTGAGTGCCGTAGGCAGTCTCGTTCCTTCCCCTACAATCGACCTGGGTCTTGCCAAAGGTAGGAGCATTTCAACAAAAGTCGCCCAAGCTGCAGACTCAACACATTCCGAAGGATCCATCATAAGTCCAGCGACCCGCGCTGCTCTCAACTTTCAGTATGCATCGTTAAGAAACATCAACCACTGTCCAACTGGCATGTACATCACTCCTTCGGTGGAGAGCACCCTGGTGTGGGACGCCGTTCTCTTTGTGCACAAAGGTCAGCTTTCTCAATACCTAACCGGCGTGCTGTTCGATTTCATGTTCTGGTCAGGGTACTATCAGGATTCTGTGCTGAAATTCACCATAACGTTTCCCAACGACTATCCTGAACGACCCCCAACGGTGCGATACTTGACGGACATTTTCCATCCCCTCGTCGACCCCCGGACTGGGGCTTACAGTCTTATACCGCGATTCCGGCCATGGAGGTCCGTGCTGTCCTGTTACAGTGTGTCGAGGAGCTAATACGCGCGTCCAGACCCAAAGAACATCAAATACATCATATTCTGCATTTTATCAAGAGCACGTTCAAGGAGCCCACTCTAGACAAGCTCCGCGAGGAAGATGTTCTAAACAAGGAAGCCTTCAAGTGAGTTACATTCATCCTGAGAACTGCCTTTGCTGATAGTATTGTAGGCTGTAAGTAACGACTAGCCCTGCCACTCCACGTACTGACGTTGCATACAGCTATCGCGACAATCGAACCTCTTTTGCGACTTTAGCGAAGCAATCCGCAGAGCTATCTCAATCTCCCAGTGCTCTCTATGACACTTCAGGTTCAAAGAAGAACCACTCGTTACGGTTCACTCCTTTGAAACCAAACGAAGTCGACGAAGTACTAGTAGTCCTCTCCATTCATACAGAGGGATCAATTTGAGCGGTCATGCATTCATGGGTCATCAATGAAGCTAAGTATGGGTATACTAATCATCCATACACCATTTGTATCCACACTTACTGTGGAGGTTTAATATAGTCACATTAAAGTACCGTTCAAAGTACCGTTCTTCGCGGTGGTAGTATCATGATGGACGCCGCTCTAGAGCGAACTCAAAGTGACAACATAGAGTTCATCTATCGTCGCTGCTACTGTCGTTAAGACCGGGGAAATGGCCCCGGCAGGCATTAACTGTTTCGAACGGAGTATCCGTGCCTGTATCATCATCCTGCTAGCACCGACTGTACGTGAGATACTGCTGTAGCCGCTAACTCGGAACATACCTCGGTCATTCTACCGAAGTGCTTAGAGAGCTTCTCGATGACGAGGCTGTACGGAAGGTGTTGCGTTAATTTCCTAAAGAAGTGATTAGTTTCAGTGTACAAATTTAGTGGTCACGGAGATTTGATACCTTCGAGGCTGTACGTTCAATGAATGACGTGCATCCAAAGTGGAGTCCAGAACGTTAGACGAGTGAGCACCTTCACTCAGGGACAGCTTGATAGAATATTCCTTATCAGAGTTACCACGCCCAAAATTGCGCTCGTAGAGCTCAAAGCTGGGTCGGTAAGGTTAGTCGGTAAACCGCGGACAGGATGAATGAACCAACGTGATATGGGACTATAAAGTGGACCCGATCATTGGTATACTGCTAAACTCAAATGAGAACTGGACTTACACAATAATCTAACTCGGGTATCCTCCTATTCGCGATCGGTAGGCCGGAGTGTAGCACGAGGTTGACAAGTGTATGAATATGGCTTTCTTTGGTGAAATAAAGGGTCAAGGAACTGGCGCCATTATTCCGCGCAGCTTCGAGGTCTTCTACAACTTTCCGAAGCAGTGGTAATGAAGTCAGGACGCCAATCTGCTCCCTAGACAAAGTTCAACGTTATACAAAAGAGTCACGGTTTAGCAAGCCAAACTTTTCATCAGCCTCAATGCCGTATTCCTGAGGCGCTACTAAATCAAATAGAGCTTTGGCACGCCCATACAATTCATGTAACTTGCGGTCTTGAGTCTGGCTGGGATCCTGACCGTGGCCAGCGTTTTGGTCGAAAATCGAGAACAGGAATGTTCGGTGATGTAGCGCGCAATACTTAATGGTGTCATACAGCTCGGAGACCTGCAATATCAGTAGGAGTCAGTCACCAATTCAATACACATCACAATACACTTACACGAGAGGGGTCAAACTTCTTTTGTTCGACATCGCAGAAATCTTCAAAGAGTTTGTCCCAGCGTTCTCTGAACAACCAGGGTTCATCGCCGCAACACCTACAAAAATTCATGAACCAGACATCGTTCCAAGTTCAACCAATTTCCTCACCATCGTTCCTGAATTTTGTCCACATCCATGGTCTCGAAATTCTTATGCATGATTGCCCGGAAGGAGCTCAAAAGTTCAATGACCTCCTGTCATGATGTAGCGTGAATATTCGACCTCCTATGAAGGTATCATGCACTGACGAACCTTAACAACTTCGACGGGCTCCTTTTTCATGCTCTTTGGCCACGTGAGCTCTGGACGCTTTTCCGGCTCACCGGGTCTCAGCAATATCTTCAGCCGCTTCTTCACGTCGTCCATCAGGTCCTTCGCTGCATTGGAGTCGTCAAGAAGGTCTTTGCGAATGATCAGTTCCGGAGGCGTCATCTCTTGAGAGCTTAATCTGCCATCTTGAGAGGAGCGCGAGGAAAGGGAGCTAGGAGTTGACGAAGGAGCAGAATAACTTGAAGAGTTAACATTGTCGACGAGTGCTGCAGCGAAGATTTCAGCAGATGCAATCACGCGGCGCTCGGAAGAGGTGTATATCTGGATTTTTAATTAGAATACCACGGTCTGTAAAGGCAAATCTCAAAACCGAACCTTGACATTCTGAAGAGCTTCCTTATCTAAACATAAAGGTCAGCGATATCATTCTTCTGGTTATGATGCACTCACTCATGATTGTCAGGTCCTTTTTCATGTTCTCTCCGAGGTCTCGGGATTGGTATCTTGCTGAGTGCGTGAACTGTGCCGAGAAATTCACATCAACATGAATGTATAAGAACATGCAAGAGTCGACACACTTCACCACCCCATTTGAAGACCAGTGTCAGCTTTGTTAACCTCCTTGGCTGTCCTGCCTGTCTCTTTGAATACACAGGCTTTAGCTGCGCTTTAGTTCCAGGAAGATCAATCTTGTTGAAGAGTGCAGTATTAAGGTTCGTGAGCTTCACAAGGTCATCGCCGCTCGCGCCCAGAGCCTTTGCCTCCTCAACAGCTTGGGCGATAAGGTTTAATTGCGACTTCTCGCGGAGGATTATCTCCTCCTTCTCCCCGTTGAGTAGGCGGACGAAAGGTTGCGTCCACGCATCACCGATGGGAAAATTGAATTTCAACTTCTGTTTGGGCGTGCGGTCAGCATGTCGGAAGACTGTTACATTTGCCTTGAGGATCCATGTTGGTGACTGCCCCCTGGTTGTAGTATCTGCTGAGGGCATCGGACGTTCTGGCGAGGACGACACACGGATGCACAGGTTAGCCAAGATCTCGGCAGCTTTGTCTAAGCGGCGGTATTCAGCCGGAAAGTTAACTACACATGGTGTGTCATCGTCGCTTACCATAATAACCTTCGTTTCCTTTGACAAAGCTCCATCCGTTCACATCGATGATCTGAGTTTTCTTGCCTCCTTCACATCGAAGCATGTCAAAGCCGCAAACGTTCTGGCCAAATGCTTGACATATTTTGGCCGCGTACGTCTTCTCCTCCTCACTCAAGTGGGTAATAAACCTTATTGGGCGGTGAGCAATGGAGATGTTACAACTTGCCGAGTGACAAACCGAATCTCCTTTCCTTCCGTATTTCGGCGGACAACGCCATCAACCACAGGGGACTTCCGAGTTTCAGCATGGAAGTAGTCCTTGCCGACCGTGTAGACCTTGATGTCTTCAGAGTTATCGACATCGATAAATTCCTCGTAGATGTATGAGCCATCCGTCCGGGGATGATTCAACGAAGGGTCAAGATCACTTGACTTGTTGCCGACCTACCAGCGGAAGAGATAAGTTGAGAAATTTGTGATAAGCACCGTTAAACGGATGCGTACCTTCCTGAACAGGCGGCGCCCTCCACCGCCCCGAAAATAGATATAAACGTTGTGATCCTCGCCGCTGACGGGTTTTTCCACGAAGGGTTTCTCCAAGACTTGACCGTCAATGATAATGGCATTTCCATCTTCACGAAGTGAGACTTCAGGGGTCACTCTAAAGCCACCCAATGTCACACCAAGCTTCTTTATCATCGCGTCTTTGAGTTCTACATCTACTTGAGGACCACCATCGCGAGAAACTTCCAGTCGCTTGGGTGTCGGGACCTGTAAATGGTCGAGAATAGCTCCGACCAGACGACGGTCCCATAATAAAGCTTGTGGTAAAAGATCGTTGATGCAGAAGGGGTGACGCAGTTTGACGTAAGATATCGCCTTGTCTAAGGGGAAATCGGTGGAAAAGAATGAGATGAGCACATCACAGCGGGGCCAATTTTCGACATCTGACAGGCAGCGTGAGCACGCAGTGTAGGGTATTAAGGAACGGAGAAACAGGGGAGGCCGGGAACATACCCTCATCAAGGATAACCTTGTCACCAAAAACCTTAACTTCAACAGCACCATGCGCTCTCTCGACTAGTCGTGTGAGGATTTCTCTCATTGCCTTTGATCTGGCTTTGATATCCATTGCACAAATGCCGAGGATCACAGGGGATCGATTGATGTCATGAAAGAGCGCCCGATCATCGCTGGAAGCAATGGAAGAACGAGAGGAAGATCTTGTGGGATTGGAACTAGACCGGGGAGATTGATGCTCTGGAGAATTTAAGAAAGCTGAAATCCGGGATTGCCTGCCTTTGTACATGATAGAGAAAGCAGATGGTTATTGCCTGTCAAAGATACAAAAAGTCAGGCTTCGGAGCCCTGTCAAGTAATATTAACTTCTGATACAAAGACGTATACCACGCAGATGATTGAGTAAACGCACCTGCAGGCGTGCAGGGAGCAGCACACGACTCTCTTGCTGATTTGAAATTTTGAAGGCTCAGCCCACTTTCAGCAGGATATTTCATATTTGGAAATTCCCTATTGAGTTTCGCGTGAAAATCAAAAGTATTTATACCGGCAGAATCCGCCACTTGCAGAAATTTCTAAGGCGTGCGCGTTGAACTGTTCCACTGCTTCTTTCTCGCACTCCAATAGCACGAATGCTGCATTGATTTCCTCGAGTGATATCGATTCCGGACCTACGAGATGTTGTGCGTTTGAGGTGCGAGTGGTAATTCCCGAGCGACATTGGTTTCTAGCGAGTCGAGTCAGTTGACAACTTCAGCATTCGGATACTTGTCTCAACATGCCAGCATATGGTGCGCTTGGTGTCGACGAATTGGCTTACCCATGACCGTCGGTAGCGAAGACTTGTTCGAGGGTTTCAAATGTGTCTATCGCTCGAGATTGCGGCGCTACGTGACTAGTGAGTGCCCATATTTCGAATGAGGCGTTCGGCCTCGGCAGTATGGGGAACAACATTCATTTATTGGATAAGAGGGTATGGAAGTATCTGATTCGTGCACCTGTGACACAATGAATAAGTAAGCTATTCAATTTCAATCGAAAAAGGCCACAGTAAATTTTTCACACGAAGTGTAATTCTTAGCATGCAGTTCTTCCTCCGCGGTCTCCTGCTTTATTAGAAGGAACGACTGTCTTCCTTCTATAGGTCTAGCCACACTCTGTAAACACTAGTATGTAACTGCTGTTGTTGGTATACTTCGTCGAGGCATTGATCAGCCATTTTCTCTTCATAGTGGGGTTCATTCTTACCACAGTACTATCCATCCTTGAGAACTACCGATCGATCTTGATATCGATTGCTCGAGGAATCAGGGTCGAGTGCTACAGACTCCAGAAAAAGTCACGTGATGTTGGTAATTAATGTCATTTGATGTGCCAAGCCCGCTGACGTGATACTGTGAGGCAATTGTGCTGCCAGCGAGGCATTTTATGGATGCTAAGGCACATGCACTCAGAGGCGTATGATGACAGAAAGCGACCAGAAATATCTTGTTCTGTCTTCCCTATATCATGTGCTCACATCTCCTAGCAATCTGACGTATATTTTTTCACGGTTCATCTAATCGCACCAGAACGCTTTATTCTCTGATGAACCCACCAGCTCAGACGCATATCACGACGATCCTCATATCCAATCTTCACTGCAGCAGGTAAATACAATATTCGTGATGTTTATTTCGCTAATGTTGGTTTTGTCACAGCTGTGTACGCACAATCAATGAAGTGCTCTTATCTTTGTCCCCCCCTCCAACAAGGGTAGATGTATCCATCGTCCACCAGTCAGTGACAATCGGGCATGCCATTACAATACCCAGAGACACCATACAATCCGTGCTTGAAGATGCCGGGTTCGATATATCTGACCCAGATCCCAGTCCCTCCGAGCACAAGCTTTCCCCACGGATGTCCGGGATGAGCATCACGTTTTATGGACAACGTCGAAAGCATATACAACATTGTTCATTGTGTCAGGAGAAGGGCACTATTTCACTCGATGATACCGTTTCACCACTCCTGCGGGGCAATATCGACGGCCTACCTTCCAACGGTGTTTATCCAACAGATTTCTCCACGCTGGAGGGACCAGAGAAGGACCCAAATTTAAGCCGAAGCCCGTGGCACGAAGTTGGCGCTAATGATGTGCCGCATCGCGTCACCCTGTCTGTAGGTGGCATGACATGCTCCTCATGTTCGGGCACCATTACCGAAATGGTCTCGCAACTCTCTGGCATCTCCCAAGTGGTCGTTAGCCTTCTCAACAACTCTGCCACAGTTGTTGTTGCTCGAAGGGATCTTCTTGGTTCCGTGACTGAAACGATCGACGACTGTGGCTTTGAAGTCGACGTTATCAAGATCGAGCCCCTTGTCCCATCGTCATCAGATGGTGACGCAACAACAACGGGTCCTCGGAATGTATCGCTTCGTGTCGAGGGAATGTATTGTCCGTGCGTTTATCGTGTCATTGTCACAAGCAGTTTGACTGATCTCTGCTAATTAGACATTGTCCAGCAAAGATCATGACTGCCTTGCAAAGGTTCCAGCCAGACGTCGCCATTATCAAACCATTATCAAACCATTTGGATCCAATAATCGAAATTTCATACAAGCCATCGCCTCCAGACTTTACCATCCGCTCCATCATCACCACCATTGTGTCAGTAGACCCGACGTCGTACAGTGTGTTGATTGATCGTCCACCTACGCTCGAAGAGCGTGCACGGCGCATGCAGCAGCGCGAGCAACGAACCTTGCTGCTGCATCTCTTTTTTACATTTATGATCGCGATACCCACATTCATCATCGGTGTGGTGTACATGAGCCTCGTTCCCAGCGGCAATCAGACGAAGCAATACCTAATGGGGCCTATGTGGAATGGAAATGCGTCCCGAATCGAGTGGGCGCTCTTTTTTCTGGCGACTCCAGTATACTTCTATGGCGCTGGCACATTCCACCGTCGGAGCATCAAAGAAATCAGAGCTTTGTGGAAGAAAGGGAGTACGACTCCCATCATCAAGCGCTTTACTAGATTTGGGAGTATGAACCTCCTGGTATGTACTGTGTTCACCCGTAATCATACGATGATGACATGCGTGAGCAGGTTTCTACCGGAGTATCTGTGGCCTATTTTTCATCGATCGCGGTCCTAGCTCTTGCAGCAACACAGCAGCCTTCGGGCAGTGGGGCAGCGCAAGAAACGACATATTTCGACTATGTCGTGTTCCTGACCATGTTTTTACTTGCTGGTGAGTAGAGTTTGTACACTGCATATATTGCATGATTGGTTGTTATTAGGCCGCTACCTCGAGGCATACAGCAAAGCGAGGACTGCCGACGCGATTACTGCGCTCGGCTCACTCCGCCCTGCTGAAGCTCTTCTCTTGGCTCCTCGCTCCGCAACTGATTCCACGGCTCCCTTGATTTTTTCCCGCAATGACCCCGAAAAATGTGACGTATCAATTGACAACGGTAGCCTTGTTGCTTCTCCTGGCTTTAAATTTGAGAAGGTAGCAGTTGACCTCTTGGAAGTTGGCGATGTTGTACGTGTGCAAAATGGCGCCACACCACCGTCAGACGGTACAATCGTCTCTGGTGCTGAGACTTCCTTCGACGAGAGCTCTTTGACGGGCGAGGCTCGACTTATCAGTAAGAGTGTCGGGGACACGGTTCTTCTTGGGACAATCAACAAGTCCAGGGCTGTAGACGTCCGAGTTGACGTTATTGGTGGTCTCACATTGTAAGTCATTCAACATTGATTGTAAAAGTATTATTTATCTGACCTAATTCTATTAGGCTGGATCAGATCGTGCAGATCGTTCGTGAGGGCCAAACTCGCAGGGCGCCCATTGAGCGTGTCGCAGACCACATCACGGGCGTCTTTGTGCCGATCATCACTTTGCTGGCGATCGTCACGTGGTTGATATGGCTTTCCTTGGGTGTCAGCGGTGCCATCCCTAGGAGTTATTTAGATATAACTGTGGGCGGATGGAGTGAGTTTCTTCCAAGCGATCTACTGAACTTTGTTCTGACGCCACCTCTGTAGTCGTGTGGTCTCTCGAATTTGCGATCGCAGTATTCGTCGTGGCATGTCCTTGCGGCATTGGCCTGGCAGCACCAACCGCTCTCCTCGTGGGATCTGGGCTTGCAGCCAAATATGGCATATTGGCTCGTGGAGGTGGCGAAGCTTTCCAAGAAATGGCACAACTTGACATTGTCGTATTCGACAAGACCGGAACACTTACGGAAGGTGGTGAGCCCCGAGTGTCTGATGCCGAGATCCTGCTTTCGTTGGTGCCTCGGGAGACGCTTCTCGGAATCGCTGCGGAGTTGGAATCTGCTTCCTCTCACCCGCTCGCATCTGCGATTCGGCAGTACGCTGAGCAGCATGGTGCTACGTCTGCCGCTGGCAGCGCATTCGATGAAACTGCTGGTAAAGGTGTCACAGCGAATTTTGACGACATACGTCGCAAAGCAATCATAGGAAACGAAGCCCTGATGCGAGATCATGCCGCCTCTCTTTCTCCAGACGTGTCCCAAATGCTCGACAGGTGGAAATCAGAGGCGAAGAGCATCGTCCTTCTCGCGGTTACGGATGCAGACTTGGATGATCGCTTCGTCGTTGCAGCGATATTCGCTGTATCGGATCCCATCAGGCGAGAAGCTAGCGGTGTCGTACGCCATTTGCACCAGCAGGGCATTGGAACATGGATGATATCAGGGGACAACGAGACAACTGCTAAAGCAGTCGCAAAATTCGTGGGCATTCCTGAAATGAATGTTATCGCTGGTGTTTTACCCCAACAAAAGGTCTGTCCTTGTCAGCTAAGTCCTTGTCGTGTGATCTGACCTATTCTGCAGGCAGAAAAGATCGAGTGGCTGCAGCACAATGGCGCCAAACGACCCTCTTCACGATGGCGGCGCATGCTGAGCAGGTCAACGTCAAATGAACGTTGCATCGTCGCAATGGTTGGGGATGGGATTAATGACGCACCTGTGAGTTCTTGCTACGTGTCTGTTTTATGTTTGGTATTTACTGTCGCGTTAGGCACTAGCGGTCAGCGACATAGGCATAGCTATCGGTTGTGGAAGTAGGTTCCAAAGTTCATTCAACCGCATCACAGAACGCATACTGATCAACTTCGATGGCAGGCGACGTCGCGGTATCTAGCGCTTCGTTCATTCTCTTATCCTCTAACCTTCAAACTTTACTCACACTGAGCGACCTGTCGAGAAAAGTGTTTAACCGCGTTCAAATCAACTTTGTACGCCGCGTCCGTTTCCTGTGCACTTACTCGCCATTGACATAGTTTGTAGATGTGGGCATTCATGTATAATTTAATCGCAGTTCCCATCGCTGCTGGAGTCGTATACCCTGCCGGACACGCGCGATTAGCTCCTGTGTGGGCGTCATTGGCCATGGCATTATCGTAAGTAGCCCCTGACTACGTGTCAAACGTATACTGATGCGTTACTCTAGCTCTGTTTCTGTGATTTGCTCCTCTCTCGCGCTCAAGGTGTACAGAGAGCCAAAGATACAGCTTTAACAAGTCCGATCCAATCTTTCCTGAGCAATACTGCAGTCAATCTATTCATGATCTGTATCCCTATCTTTCATTCCCCTGTAAACTACTGTGTTCCTAGCGTATTTTATTGGCCCTGTGTATGCCAGCGATCACCCCACTGAGGTCCTGCTTTCTGCCTTGCGAGAGCCGAAACTATTCCATAATGACATGCTGACCCGCTGGAGACACTACGAAGCATATGTAGAGACTTCTTCGTAGTCCCAATGTCATAGAACACTCCCGCATGTTTTCGTGTCTCGTTCATTAAGGAATTAATTGAGTTAAGCCTACTTCGCGAGACCTCAGACGTCCGATGGAACTTGGAAAACCAAGAACGTTTGAAACTTCGACTTGGTAGTACCAATTTGTTCTTTTCCGTACTTGTCCACAACTGCTAGTGATCCACAGGACTCGCTTCGGGCGAACAAGTAACTTTGAGATCCAGCTCTTCCATGGTCAGCCTCAGATAATAGGTGGACTCAGAACGCTTCAGTCAAGTTTGAAATGACATCATATCAGAGGCTGACAGTTGTGAAACATCCGCTTCCACCGCGATGTGGAATATTTCGGATGTTCCACAATTGCCTTCGATGTCCGCCCGCGTATATAATTTGATTCAACCTTCTCTTCTCTCTACTTCCACTTCCTTCAACCTCCAACTTTGTATTACCCTTGTGTATCTGACAGCACCGTAACGCCAAACGAACTTGCTACGGTCTCACAAGTTTGGAATACGGAACCTCGACTACCTGCACTTATTCGTACGACTGCTTCGACCGAGAGCACCGCCTCACTGTCGGGTGCACATTTACGACGGCTGTCCTTTTGACCCCTCTTTTCCTCGACCGGACTCTCCCGCCTAACCAACGACCTTTCTGATGTCGATCTCTTATTTGATCTCCGATTCTTGATATTATATTTTGACGATCTCATTTACCCCGTGTTTCTTTGGAATCCGATCACAAAAGCTCTTCAGGTCTCTTCTTTCGATCTACGATTGACTTCCTCCACTTGACGACGGGCCACAACCTTGAATCAAGCGAGTTTCTGCTCTCTATGGACCTTGCTCCTGTGCGACGATGACTTTGACTTGTTTTCACTCGGGTCCATTGGATCAATGCTGTCATCTCGTGTGCCGTTTGTCATCTGCCCGTTCAATGTTCGTGATCGATCTAACCTTGGTTTCATTGTCGATCTCCACTTCTCGTGAGTCTATTTGGATGTTCCTGCGCTTCTGAATCATACCTGCGATCTGAAGGTTTGCCCCTCTGAGGACGGCGAGCATGTGCCTTCGATTTCGCTTACCCGACGTTTCTTGCAATTTCGGCCACCTCATTTTCGAGCTCTGCTTCGTTTGATTGCCGTCCTGGCCTCGCTTTGAACGCTCACTTGGCTGACGGGTTTCCTTCGATTGAACTTATACGCGATCTCGTCTACTGTTTCTTTGAATCCGATCACCTAGTCTCGCGTTGAACAACCACTTATCTAACGGACCCTTCGATCGAACTAAGACCCATCCCCCATTCTGATGAACCTCGCTTCTACGCGACGACGACTCGATCCTTGGGGACCCCAAGATGCTCATGCTCAAGTTTTTTGGATGTTACCCGACTAAATATTGCACTTCGACTCGGTCCGAGTATTCCGCGAATGTCTTCCTCCGATGGATCAGCCCTGTCACCTCGCATGTCGTTTGTCATCTGCCCTTTCAACTTTCGTGATGGATTCGACCTTGGTTTCATGGTCGATCTCCGCTTCTTGAGACCGTATTTTGGATGTCTTCGCTTCCGAATCATCCTGGATTTTATCTCATTCTACAGTCTACTCGATCTGAAGGTTTTCCTCACTTGAGGACTAGGCGAGCTATGGCACGTACTCAACTGGGCCTGCTGGGTTGACCTTCCGTCTTTTGCTTGCTCGAGACATTGATTTCTCATTACGATCTTGTTTACCCGATATTTCTTGGGAATCCGGCTACCTCCAAGCTGTTGCGGTCCTTTCGAGCTCTCCCTCTCAAGTTTTGCTATGGGTAATCACTTGTCCGATGGGTTATATTCGATCGAACGTTTACTTATCCATTCCTCGATGGACCTTGATCTTGGGCGACGATGGCTTCGACCATCCCCCAAGATGTCCATGTCGATCTCGTAGCCGATCTCGTTCACCCGGCGTTTCTTTGGAACCAGTCTACCTCTACGGCTCCTGCAGTACCTTCGAGTTCCGATTGGCTCCCTCGCCACTCAAGTATCGCTTTGAGCTCACTCAGCTGACGGGTTACCGGTTACCTTCGATCGAACTCATACGTATCTCTTCTTTCGATGGATCTCGCTTCTATGCCACGGCGACTTGATCTCTTCCCCAAGATCCTTGTGCTCGAGTTTTCTGGATGATACCCGACTGAATACCGTACTTCGATTTGGCCCCAATATTCATCCACCGATAGACGTCTTTGCGAGAGTGGCGACGTCTCTATTCTGCGAGGCGTAACGCCCGATGGACACCACTTCTTCGATCGTTGTTGTCATAGGATGTTTCGATTTACGCGCCTTCCATTGGTGTTTCGTGAGGTATCGGTCAGTTGTTTTCGACGTTTGGACCCTAAGGCTACTTTTCACCAATGCTGCTTCGATTTCGATTTATCTTGGATCGCGTCGTATTTTTCACTGGAGGCCAGTTGGTTACAACCTTGTCTGGCCTTACTACGATTGACGCGCTAATATCCTAATTTGCTCGCAAGGATCATCTTGAATTTTACTGGCGTCCGCGAATGACATTCTATGCGACTACTCAGATGCCACGGTCTCTGCCATGAGCGCCCTTATGGACTCCATCTCAAGAGCGAAGGTGATTGCGGATCACCGTCTTCAAGCCTAGTACGGCTCCCTTCCTCGTTTATCGCATTCTTTGCTATGGTCCTTTCGACCGGTATGTGAGCGGATTTGGCTGGAACACAACGTACTTCAATCTTCACCGTTTAAGACTCAAACATACTTCAGACCGTCTTGTGCGCTCTTCGCGTCATCTAGAAGGTTCATGAACTCCGATCACTGTCTCCAAAGCCGAAAATCTTTTCAGCGATCGAAATCACGGCGTTCTACTAGCAGCAACAACCCGTAGCACCGAAATATACAAAATCGACGAGAATGAATTCTGAAATGTACGTGCTTTCTCGTGCTAGCGAAGGTCAGACCTCCCTGCGAATCCTCTACAGCCCGATCATCATCATCCAGTGGAGACAATATATACGCTTTTTCAAGGAGCCAGTGGATGTTCGTCCTGTGTGACCACGTTCAGTTAGACGCCGTGGTCAACAGCACACCCTTACTCTTAACTTATCACAACCCCTCACATCCGTTCGCGAGGTGATACAACTCCCGCGCAACGCCGGGACATCCAGCGCCGACCCCCTACACTTTGTAGTGCACAGCGATTCCCTTTTCCCCGAGGCGACTGAATCAAGCCGCGATGTCGTTCCCGAGTTCCCGTTAGATGATTTCGAGAGTATGTAACCGTGCGCAACCATCTCACTGCCCACTAACCGCGTCACCTCAGACACTAACGTGGACTTCACGGGAGGTAAGGGGCCAGCCACTGACCTGCCTTAACAACAATGCTGATACTCCCATAGACATTCTGAAGCAGCGTTTTTCGCCCAAGAGGCCTGCAGCATCAGCTAGCACCGCTAACACCCCGAAAGGTAACCATTCGTGTCAATACGCGCGGAAAATACCTGACAATGATCACCAAGGGTGAAAGACTGGACCATGAGGGACTTACCAGATCCATCCGGTCACTTCCGAACGGTCCTCAATCTCTACAACGTCGAGAACGTGCCTGTGGTTGTCCCCAACGTCTGCGACGCTGCAGGTAGCCTCATTCATCCGACCCAGTACGGTAAGCACTTCGCGTCGTCCCAACCTGCAGTGGTGGAAGTCGAGATGCGACTGTAAGTTCCTTTTCCATTGCATGATATTTTCTGTTTACACGATGGCTGCAGGTGGATATTCGCCCCCGTTAGCAAATGCTCTACCAACACCCAGATCTACCAAATCATACTTAAATCGCTCCGTTTGTTACCCCTCACGGGAACGCCGAAAGCCGTTTTGACGAAGGCTGTCGATCCTTCATCTTCACCTACGGAGCCGTCAACCCCTGACAACAAGGCGAAACGAAAGGTTGTTGCTCCCGCGGGTCAAGCATCCCCTGTGAAAAAAAGGGACAGCGTAAAGTAAGGTTACGCTATGCCATTCAATCCTATGCAACGACTTCATTATAAGTTATTCAACTACCACTGGGGGTTTTGTCCGCCATTGTTACACATATGGCATTCAAGTACCACTCATTGTTTTGTTTCACACACGGTATTTAATATTCAACGTTTAACTACCGCTTTATTACATGCAGTTAGTTCGTACCAGTGTCCGCCAATAAATCTTTGGCCATATGTTTCGAACATTGCCGATTTCATCCGATAACAGAGTCGGGGGACTCGGGACGTGAGTACCGTTACGATACGGTACTAGTGAACTGTAAAGAAACTGACTCTAAGTCCCAGTCGCGCAACGTTTGGTGATGCGGATCCAATGGCCCGGGCTTTTTTATATGCAGAAAAATACAGAATTGTATGCATATGATGGACTACAGTTACATGTAAAAAATGCGAAGATATATGATGCAAGATGCAGAGGCAAAAAATCAGTAGATATGAGATGAGTTATGCAAAATCGTCCGAGAACAAGCATAGACTAAACATAAAATCTGGAAATGAAAAGAGGGTTAGAAGGTAGAGACATGGTAAGATGAAGCTTACGCACTTCTTATTGATCTGGTAGAGCAACAAACTGATGTTAACCTTTGCCAGGCCATTGAATAAGGGAAGGGAAGCCTGGTTCTCGAATTGAGCTTGCAACAAATCTTCCATACGAAGATCACTAGATGCTATCCGATTGGTGATCCCAAGCGTGTTATTGAACACTTCCATTGTGAAGATGCCAGGTTTGTTGGAAGAAATAGTGATGTCGATTTTATCAAACTGACGAGGAGAGAATTGATCGATGGAGAGTAGGATGCCCTTCTCGTACAAGTCCTTTGCACTGTATTTGAAAGATCCAAACTGAGGATTCTTCCCTGACTTCTGCAAGTCGCGCAAGTGGAAGTACTGCTTGGTAAACGGTAGAACAAAACGCTTCTTCCTGTTGAAAAGTTCAGCACACTGTACGGCACAGATTTAATCAACCTTCACCCTTTGCCTCGCTGCATGGTCGCCATCGCAGCTTCAACGTAATTGTGATAGCTGTCGATTTGCTCTTCAAAATATGTCTTGCGATCGGAAAGGTGCTTCAATGCATCTACCATGCTATCCATCTCCTGTTGACGCTGTAACCGCTTGCGGTGCTTGCTGCGGACATCGCTGGCAATGGCATTCAGAATGCCTTGGAATCCGTCGCTGCGCGTAATCTTCCCCTGTTTCTCGAGCTCAAGAAGGAAGAAAATGGCATGAGCTTTGACTTCTTTGAAAGACAACCTTGTAAAATTGTAATTAAGTAATGCCTTCCATAGTTTCCGTTGTGACTTACGATCGAATGTCTTCTAGCCTGTATGCCGAGTCGCCGGCAGAGGTTGAAGGCATACGTCGTGGCATTGGTTCATTGTCCATTTCGGTTACGATAGTCTCCCAGCGGAGCTCATCGTTATCGCTCACGGGACGCATCAAAGATTCAACAAGATCTTGCGCGGGTTGGACGCGTAAGATTGCAAGCACGCCACGCTTTGCTTGCACCCAGAGTGCTTTCTCGTCAGCTTTCGGATCTGCACTCCCGTCAAAAAGCATCTTTGATTTCGAGTATTCTACTCACCTCTGACATGAGCGAACCTATTCGTCAGCTCCAGAGTGACAGCACGATCCCTAGCATCCTTGAGCTCATCGTTGTCAAGATGAGGTACACCATCTAGCTCGTGCAGAATAACACGCAATGCATCGTGTCGAGCAGGAGACTTGAAAGTATGCTTTAGTATCAAAGCATGTCTAGCTGATCGATTGCACTCACCAATTTCTCTTGATATTGTGAGAGCAGTACATGCATCCCGTACACTTCATTCGGTGAGATGTAAATAGGCTTTGGTTGTACAGTCGCATCCAGGAACTCGTGGGCATGGTAATGGCTTTCAGCATCGGGGACATCCGCGACCGCTGATTATCAAAGGGATGAGTACCAGACACGCTCAGTAGAAATCAGATACAACCCACTTCGCACTAGCCAATTCGTCATCTGCGTCATCAATGTACGTACACACTCGTTAATAGGCACATAGTTGGGCTGATCTTCCGAGAACTCAGAGCCTGATGCAACCTGTGTCAGGACCTTGGAGATCTGCGCGAGATTCTTCCTGGTTGCAATATCTACTGATGCGACCATATCAAAGTTTTCAGGCGATCTGGAATTGCGGGTGATGAGCGCCTGTACGAGTAACTGAAGATAAACATACAAGATGGCGGGGTTCAGATACCTGTAATATACCAGCCTGCCTATGCAGGCTGCGTACACTTCATCGGGCGCGCCAGGAAATTTGTCTTTCAACGAAAGGAGCGTTTCCCGCGCCACGAATCGCATGCTGTAGGGCATCCTACGAGTCGATTCGAATATGGATGCAGCAAAGGCTTCAGTCCACCACTGAAGTTTCTGGAGATCTGCGAATTTATCATAATAAGCACCAGCACCTCAAGAATAAGGGAATACGTGCGTCTAATGTACTCAGCCCTGGTATCAGGGTCCTTCAAAGCTTCGTAAAACGGAACATCTTTTGGCTTCGTGCTTGCGATTCCCGACCGCATTTCCTCCACGTTTATTCGTGATCGATGAATCTAGACAAGGTGAAATGTCGTGACACGGGAAGCAAGCGACAGTAAGAATACTAACCACTGTAGGATCAGATTCTAGGTCAAGGTCGACAGCTTCCATGAGCTCGCGAATGATTCCCTGCAGCGTTTCGCGGATGTACGTGACCTGTCGCGGGCGGACGTACTGCACTGCTATGTTGATATACATCGGGTGTCCACGTACGACATCGGAAATCGACGGTGCAGCCAAGATTTCCTGTCGTATCGAAAGCTAAAATAGCTGCATCAACAACCAGATACTGCAATCGCGTAAAAGACATACCTGGAATAACTTCAAGAAAAGATAATCCTCCCTTCGATCCTGACCATACCCAAACAACGTGAGCACGACCCGCTCTGTCAACCTTCTGTGCTTCTCCGCGGTGTCATCAGAAAGCTGAACGAAGAGCCCACTCAGATACTCTGCTCTCGTTTGCAGAAGATAGAATAGCTGCTGATACAGTTCAAGCTTCTTCTTTGCCGCATGGTCAAGGGTATTCGGGCCCGCAAAAGGATCACCATGCGCCGCAAGGATCGACGCCCTAGTAGCGTGAGCAGCAGCGCTGTCCGCACCGTACCGCTTCCGCGCCTTAATCAGCTCCTCGAAAGACTTGACATTCTGCACGACAAGCGCGATCTTGACGTCGAGATCACTGACATCGCTCTCGAGAGCCTGGTTTTCACGAATACCCTCCACCACGCGCTTCCTCAGCCGCTCCACCTTGATCTCATCCTGGAAGTCCGCCTCCGAGTCGTCCAACAAGTGCACGAAGTTCTTGATCGTTCCGACAGTGACGTTCTTGCCCAGCGTGAGTTGCCTGTACTGCTCCCTAGTTTCCTTGGCCCTAAAGAGCGACTGGATCTTGACGACCTTATCGAGGTTTGTACGGTAATACTGCATCTTCGCACGGAATTTCTTCCGCTGCAGCACTCCACGGAGCAAAGCCTGTAACATCGTTGCTGCAGGCTGACTCCGCCGCAAATGGTCTCGCCATGCATGATACTCCCTCCTGACGAGGTACCCCCGTGCCACTGCCTCGAGCCCGTTCACATCCGGCGCGACAAACGCCAGCTTTTTCTGCTGCTCACGGTGGCGGTTGCGCATGATCGCAGCCCGTGCGAGAGCCTGGAACCCTCCAACACTCGCCACGACCTTCACCTCGCTCAGGGCTTTGGCAACATTATGGTGCTGTTGTCTAGCCAGACTTGCGCGTGCACGCGCTTGCAGACCAATAAGCATAGGAGTCGCACGGCGCAAACCTCGGATGAGCTGAAGGAGGCGTTTGCGTGCGAGATAGGTCCGCACAGCCGCCTGTATGCGCACAACAGTCGCAGAAACATCATCCAGCTTGGCGAGCTGCGTCCGTATGCGCCTCCGCACAAGCACGCCTCGACACTGCGCCTGTAAATCCAAAACGCTCCCCTCCTCTGCATCTAATGCTCTGAGCTTTCTCGAGATCGCTCGCCGTCGGAGGAAGCCGCGCGCAGTAGCCTGAAGATTCACCACAGACAACGCCACCTCCGCACGCGCGAACGTCTTTGCCACTTCGCTATGGTTCCGTTTCGCAATTTTGGCACGTGCAGTTGATTGCATTTTCACCACGACCGCACGGGCGCTCCTGAGAGCCGCCTTTAGCTTCTCAAATCGCCGACGTACGAGGACACCGCGAATCTGGGCCTGGGTCTTCACTACGTATTGAGAGACTGCTTTGATGCGGGTAACGTATGCTCTCCAACGCCGACGGACGAGTGCGCCGCGGACAGCAGCCTGCAAACGAACAGCCCAGGGGGTCATGTCACGTGTCTGCTGACGGGAGACGGAAACGGTGCGTCGGGCAAGAGCACCTCGGAGATGTGCTTGCAGGCGAGGAACGTATCGTTCAGTTAGACGCAAACGAACGCGTTGTGTCGCTTGTGCTTTGCGGACCAGGAACCCACGGGCTAGACATTGGACCAAACGTATCGAATCCTCATTCTCCAAGAGCAGGCGATCGCGCCCTATAAGTAAAATTCAGTCCATTGATAAAGGACGGAGAGCAAACAAAGTAGAACGCACGTTCCTCCTCACTTTCCTCTGGCTCTGGTGGTGGTGGATCAGGCTCCTCGTTGATTTCCTTTGCCAGTTCCCTGCCGACATTGCCGAAGTTGGGCATCGGAATACCTGCGTCAGTGAGACCTTTTTGCGTCTTCTGCAACTGGTCATCGGAAAATTGTAGTTGGCCGAGAAGATCTCCAATGCATTCGGCGAGACCACGACGGGCGAGGAGATGACTATGAGGTATTGGTGAGTTTGAGTGTTGGTCGATTGTGAGGTACTCACCTAAGTGCGTGTATGCAGTAAATGACCTTTGGAAAGTTTTTCTTCTCGTATAGATCGGTCAATTCAAATATGAATCCCTAGTGCAGATCGTTCAATTACCCATCACCATGTAGAGGCACGACGACATACCTCGGGCAATCCTACTTCCCTGACAAAAACAAAGAAATGATTGATATTATCCGAGTGGCGGAAATTTAGCTTTCGAGCCTGTAAACCAGAAACGAAGTTCAAGCTCAATCACATAGCGAGAGCGATCTTGGAATGCCGCCCACCTCGTAAATCCTGAACCCTCCTTCCCCCTTAAACACCCTGACAAGCCGGGCTAACACAACACCATTCCTCATTCCTTCTTCCATCTCCACCACCCCAAAGCCCAGCTCTTCCCCAAGGCAACCCTCAATCCATTGCTGCGCCTCTCCCACATGGCACAGATATTCATACGCTTGCAGCAGATGTCTCTGCACATCGGCCCACAGACCTCTCGTCAAGCGAGAGGAAGGAAGGGGTGTCGGTGCAGTTGGGCTCGCTGGCGTTTTGTCCCGCGAGAGACGCAATCGCCCCGGGATGCCACTGACGTCGGAGGCGTTTGCCATTCCTGCAACAAGCTCCTCCGTACCAGGCGAAGGCGGAGGCTCATACCTCGAATGACGGCGCGCTCGTCGCGACACTGCCTGGGAATCATCCACAGGAACAGTATTCTGACCGACGTCAGAGGTGTTCGCCATCCCTGCAACAACTTCCTCTGTAACAGGCGAAGGCGGAGGCTCATACCTCGAATGACGTCGCGCTCGTCGCGACACCACCTGGGAATCATCCACAGGAACAGCATTCTGTTCAAGTTGCGGTGGTGGATTAGGCTTCTGCTCATCGACCCAGTCATCGCCTGCATCCCCGCTCGCGATACGGGGGAGATGGCGACCTAGTTTGCGCCCAGCAATTTGACCATAAGTTGATGTCTTCTTGTTTGCCATATATGAGGAACGATAGGGGGTCGGGGACATTACAGAAGAGGTGGAGGGGATCGATGCGATCGAGGAACTGGGCGTATGCGAAGAAGAGGCTGATGTGAAGGAATTCTGAGTGGACGCGAAGGATGACGTAGGGGTGTGGGTAGGAGAGGGAGACGGGCGTTCGGAAGAGTTAAGACGAGAAGTGTATTCCGAAACGCGAGTAGCAAGGTCAGGGACACGGGAAGTGCGGTCCATTGTTGGCGGGACGCTTGGGGAGACGTTCTCAACAGGACGGGAAGTGGCATCAGAAGAACGAGAGTCGAATCGGGACGTATATGCAGATATCCTGGAGGTAAGGTCTGGCAACTTGGATGTGGGATCTGGAGGTTTGTGGTCGGACACTCGTGGATTGCGAGTTGGAGTTCGTAAGATATGGTCGGTAAGATCCTGGCTCGCGGAGGAGCGACCGGACAAGGGATCCTTCTCTGGGGAGGACTGTGGGCCATAGAGCGACGTGGGACGACGGCGGATAGTTGTAGGTGTAAACAAAGGCTTCGAGGGGCTAGATGGAGGGTTGATCACCGTGAATACGGTTGGGTCGGGTGTTCGTGACACTGAATCACGGGTAGGAGAATCTAGGGTGCTGTTATCTAGGGTATTTGTTCTCCGCATGGGTGGGGATGGAGAATCAAGGGAGATAGGTTGATGTGCAGTATGATCAGCAAGTTCTTTGATGTCAGATATTGATGAAGAATGAAGAGATGCCGAGGTTGGGAGACGTATACGATGAGGAGTCGGGGTAGCAAATGAGCTTGTGGGTGAATCTGGATTCTCGACAGTTATTCCAGTAGTATTTGGTGACAACGGAGTCGCTACGATATGTGGAGGAAGGGACGGAGAGACAGTATGACGTTTGAGATAAGTCGGGGTTCGTTGGAAACTGGAATCTGTGAACGAGGATGAACTAGAGATAGTAGATATACTATCACTGCGACCCAGAAAAGGACCACCACTGGGAGTAGTTTCTATTTGCTTTGTTGGACTGACCGGCCTGCGTCCTTCAAGTGCAGCTTCTGCGCGTGCACGCTCCTCCCATTTGTCGCGTACAAGGTCAAGACTGGTACCCGGCCGGTGTGAAGGCGTCCATCGTCTATTAGCAGCAACAACGGATGAGCTAGAACCAGTTGTAGTTGGGCTCACGAGGGAAGTTGGGCGCGATGAGATGGACGAATTTCGCGTAAGAGAATTGGTAGACGATCGAGAAGAAGTACGCTGTAGGAGACGAGTCTGGTACGCGAAAGCATCTCGTTGCTTGGATGGCGATGCTGGAGGCACGGTACTTGGTTTGTCCATGTCGTCTCCTTGATCTCGACTACAACGCGCCGCTCACTACTCAGTAGTAGTCCAGTAGTCACCGGGAGCACGGCCTTCCAAGTACCGCTGACGTAATGAGAACATGATCTTCACAAGGCAAAGGCAAAGGTTCGCTTCTTTTATTTTCTGCCATTGAACTGGTTACATGCTACTGTCTAGGGCCGAGCATCGGTCGAGGTAATTGCAAAGTCAAATGACTAAATTTCTTGCTGCTTTGATTCTTCAACCCATGTGAATCAATGTACGGACCCCATCGATCAATCTATATTAGCCACTAGAGCGCGTCCTCTACATACGGTGAAGTCCATCGTCTTTAAGTGGGCACTCTTAACACTGTGATCTAGTTTCTTCTGGGTTTTCATCGCCTTGGTGCGTGCTGGCTTCATCACAAGCTCGGACACGGAGCGCATGACCAGCTCGATCCTCGGCTCCGTCACTCCAATCTTTCTCGCAGCAACCGAGTGGGCCCTCGTTGGAAGGACGCGTGTGAGAGCGAGAGTACGGGAGCACGTGTAGCTCGTGCAACAGGGAACACAAAGAGTGAGTCTGTATGACTATCAATCCTTGGAAAAATTAACCATTTCTGTGTTAGTATGTATGCACTGGTATACCGTCTGCACCTATGTGAATATCCCTGGTTGTGCGCTGAGGCCAAAAACCTGGCATATACACGGAGGCTCAGCGCTACTGTGTTTGCAATCGGAGTGATCCTCCCAACTTGCCAAGCATCGCAGTCTGTTTGTCTAACTTGGTATGAAATCATTCAACCTCTTGATGGGTATGTTACGACGAGACCATCACTGATGGTACTGAGAAGGAGCTGATGCGACTTGGTCGATGATGGGGGAAGGCGTCAAAATGTTTTCTCGCTTAGTAAGCACTTGTATGTAGACTTTGTAGTATTAGGCGCTGGAATTAAAAGTACTGTACCGCGATGCGCGATGTGAGCGCGTCAATCGAGAGCCTTGTCACGTCCCTTGTACCCCAAACTCAGTCCAATTCACGTCTTAAAGATGAACTCATAGTCCATTGCAAAGATATTCTCGCAAGGTAACTTTCTTTTAGTTCGCGGCGTATGTCACTTACCAGACGTCAAGTAACATTGGCACCGCACACGAGAATGACACTGGTCATCTCGCTGCACAAATCAAGAGACATCGTATGTTATCATTCATAAACCGCGTTTGACTGGCTTCGATCGCGTTAATTTGCAGTGTTACAATCTGAATCTCCGAGTAATGCATCACTCAAGTTCACAAATCTCCTCTCGAGATTATTAGACCAAGTGAGTGTACCCGATCGGTTTGGTCATGGTTCTTACCTCTGCGTAGCCCGTTCTCTCTCGCAAACCCGAGTCCCTTCTCTTCCTCCATTCTCTCGCATCTTCTCCACGCCAGCCTACCTCAAGTCCATTCCTCGCGTCTCTCCAGGTTCCACTTCGTCCTTCCACGACTCCTTCCACGACTCCTACCGATCTTCCCCGCTCCACACAGCCAAAGGGCAGTTCAAAGGCAGAAATACTTCGCGAATATCGCGCCCGTACCGGTACGCTTTGCATTTACACCCGCTTGTAGGACAAAATGCTCAAGTCCTGATGAAGGACGACCTCATCTCCCTGAACACTTACTTCTTCGCGATACCTTATACCTCTTGCAGGGAATTTCTGGGAAATATGTACACCTTTCGCTTTCAGACAAAGACGACCAACCCAAACTCGTCTTTGTCGAAGATTCTGTAAGTGAATTGTTAGCGTGCTACCTGTCTCCGTGTATTAATATCTCATTCACAGAAATATATCATCCCGCCCCCAACTAGATCCCTCATCCATCGCCTTTCCGAGGTAGGTCATCTCTACGCGCGCATAGCTGCGTTTGTCAGCACGCAGGATCGTCCTACTATCGGCATGATAGAGCAAAGCCTTTGTCATCACCTCCAGACCCTGCTTACAGAATATTACCGACTCATCGCTGTTCTAGAGTCTCAGATGGGCATCTCAACTCCAGGCTCCCAATCAGATCCTGTAGGAGAGGAGACTGGCCTCACCCTAAAACGCCTGGACGTCTGGGTAACAGAATGGCGTCTCCGCATGCGCATGATGAGCGTGTGCGTCGAGGGCGCCCATGACGCACAGGGTGGGGCACTCGTTAACCTTATACATTCGTATACCGACAATGGAGACCCATTCGTCAGGAAATTTACTGATCAACTTTTGGAAGAGGTGCAACATCTTTATTCGTTCCTTAACCAACTGCTCATGATAATTCAGGTCTCCACACCCTTCTTCAATACGCTGCACAAATGGCTCTTTTCCGGCGAGCTCTACGACCCCCACTCTGAATTCTTCGTTTCCGTCGACCCCTCACTTGCGCATCTGCAAGGCCTGCATCCCTCAAGTCTTGCAGGCGGTATCGACGCATTCGGCGAGGACTCTGTTAGCGCGGACAGAAGTGAAGGCGGCGGCGGTCTACGCGTGTGGGAGGCAAAGTATCACTTTAGAAAAGAGATGCTCCCGATGTTTGTTGGCGAGAATTTTGGAAGAAAGATATTTTCGACGGGAAAGAGTTTGAATTTTATTAGGTACAGTTGTCACGATTCGGATTGGGTGGCAACGAGGGAGAAGATGAGTAATACGGGCGGAAGTGGGTTCAACACTTCCTCCTACTTTTGTATTGACACTCATGTTCACATGTAGTCCTCAAGTACAGCGATATCGCAGGTCTCGAGCGCAGCATCGATAGCGCATACAACACCGCCTCTGCTCGCCTGTTTGAAGTCTTCACCGAGAAATTCCGCCTTCTCGATCATCTCTCTGCGCTCAAGCACTACCTCCTCCTTGGTTACGGTGATTTTGCTGAGCAGCTCATGGAAGCGCTTGGGTACGCAATCCATACACATCAGTATATTCGTGCTAATGTGTTTGCAGGCCCTCTCTTGCCCGCCCTGCCAACACCCTCTACCGACACAACCTCACAGCAACGCTCGAGACAGCGATCCGCACCTCGAGCGCGCAAAACGACCCCCCAGATGTCCTTCGCCGTCTCGACGCTCGCATGTTAGAGTACACTCACGGCGAGCTCGGGTGGGACGTCTTCACACTTGAGTACAAGGTCGACGCGCCCCTCGATACCCTCCTCGACCCTGGGTCTCTAGAGAAATACAAGCGGATCTTTGCACATATGTGGGCGATGAAGCGCGTAGAAGGCGCGTTGAGTAGCGGCTGGATGAAGGTTGCGGGTGCAGGAAGAGTCGGAGGGAGGCTGGAAGGTGAGTGTTACTCTCTTTCTTCCTACTTTCTGGGGTGCTCACGCATAGTATAGAACTGGAGTACGACTGGCACCAGATCCGGATCACAACTTCAGAAATGATCCATTTTATGCGCCAAATGCAGGCGTACACACAGCTCGAAGTCATCGAGTGCTCGTGGAAGGGTCTCATGGAATTCTTTGCAAAACGGGAGGGCGATCTTGACGCTATGATCGACGCACATCAATTGTATCTCGATCGTATGGTCAAGAAGGTGTTGTTGATCACACCAAAGGCAGGGAGAGAGGTGAGTCTATCGCAAGTGAGGGTTTGCACGCGCTTATCGTCCTGGCGTAGGAGAGCCTCTTGACCCAAGTCCGGGAGGTTTTCTCAACGATACTGCAATTTCGCGAAGCAATTGTAAGCGTTTCTTCATTTCCTGCCAATCATGTGCTTAAAATTTAATGTCCCTGGCAAAAATCACTACACAGGACAATTTCTACAACTACACACTATCCGAGTCTGCTCGGTTAGATCAAGCGCGGGATGCCGCCCGCGGGGTGTACACCGCACCCGCCTCACTAGCTCACACCCAGTCGCTTTCTCAGATTCGCAAGCTTCTCAGGGAATATAGCACTGCATTCAGTGACCGTATGCAAATTATCGTGCAGGCCTTGCAGTCACATCCGGATTTGGATTGTCGGTTCCTTGGCATACGCCTCTCGTTTTCCGAGTTTTATCGTTCGAAAAAGTAAGGAAGTTCTTTCAACGCAAAGATAGGCAGAAGAGAGGAAATACGCTAAGGATACAGTAGGGAGAGGGATGAGAAACAGTGATGCAGGTCCAGGTGAATAGGTATGCTATACTACAATCTTGACGAGCGAAATTTGGAGTAGATTGAACTTGTTAAAGCTGTATCTTCGGTTCTCTGTACAGCTTGAGTGCGAGGGAGGAGCAAATCACAGATACAGATCTAGAGTAACACGTCGTTAAATGTTTTACGGTTGATCAAGAGCTACTTACGATAATGCCATGGCCAACGACGCCCACACGGGAGCTAAACGCGCGTGTCCGGCAGGGTACACAACGCCAGCAGCGATAGGGACTGCGACTAAATTATACATGATTGCCCACATCTACAGTATGTCAACGGCGAGTGGAGTGTGGAAACGGAAGACACGTACGAAATTGATTCTGACGCGATTAAACACTTTTCTCGATAGGTCGCTCAGTATGAGTAGACTTTTGAGGTTTGAAGATACAAGAATAAATGAGGCGCTAGATATTGCGACATCGCCTGGAGCATGTCATTATGCGCGCTGTTAGATGAACGATGGAGCTTACTTCCAGATCCAATAGCTATTCCTATGTCACTGGCAGCCAGTGCCTAATGCCACAGTCAAAACAAAGTATAAAACAGATATAGATAGAACTCACAGGTGCGTCATTAATCCCATCCCCAACCATTGCGATGATGCAACGTTCATTTGACGTTGACCTGCTCAGCACACGCTGCCATCGTGAAGAAGGTCGCTTGGCACCATTGTGCTGCAGCCACTCGATCTTTTCTGCCTGCGGGATAGGTCAGGTTACGCAACAAAGACTCAGATGGCAAGGACAGACCTTTTGTTGGGGCAAGACACCAGCGATGACATTCATTTCAGGAATTCCCACGGATCTCGCGACTGCTTTAGCAGTTGTCTCGTTGTCCCCTGATATCATCCATATCCCAATGCCCTGCTCGTGCAAACGGCGTACGACACCGTTAGCTTCTTGCCTGATGGGATCCGACACGGCGAATATCGCTGCAACGACGAAACGATTATCCACATCTGCGTCCGTAACCGCGAGAAGGACGATACTCTTCGCCTCTGATTTCCACCTGTCGAGCATTTGAGACACGTCTGGAGAAAGAGAGACGGCATGGTCTCGCATCAGGGCTTCGTTTCCTATTATTGCCTTGCGACGCATGTCGTCAAAATTCGCTGTGACACCTTTACCAGCAATTTCATCGAATGCACTTCCAACAGCAGACGCAGCATTATGCTCCTCAGCATACTGCCGAATCGCAGTCGCGAGCGGGTGAGAGGAAGCAGATTCCAACTCCGCGGCGATTCCGAGAAGCGTCTCCCGAGGCACCGACGAAAGTAGGATCTCGGCATCAGACACTCGGGGCTCACCACCTTCCGTAAGTGTTCCGGTCTTGTCGAACACGACGATGTCAAGTTGTGCCATTTCTTGGAAAGCTTCGCCGCCTCCGCGAGCCAAGATGCCATATTTGGCTGCGAGCCCAGATCCCACAAGAAGAGCGGTCGGTGCTGCGAGGCCAATACCACAAGGACATGCCACGACGAAGACTGCGATTGCGAATTCGAGAGACCACACGACTACAGAGGCGATGTTAGAACAAATTTCAGTAGTTCGCTTGGAAGAAACTCACTCCATCCGCCCACACTTATATCTAAATAGCTCTTAGGGATGACACCACCATCACCCAAGGAAAGCCATATCAACCAGGTGATGATCGCTAGCAAGGTGACGACGGGGACAAATACACCCGTGATGTGGTCTACAATGCGCTCAATGGGCGCCCTGCGAGTTTGACCCTCACGGACGATCTGCACGATCTGGTCCAGCCTGCAGAGCTAGGTCAGCACAATATTCATACTATCGATGTTGATTGACTAACATCGTGAGACCACCAATAGCATCGACCCGAACGTCTACAGCCCTGGACTTGTTGATTGTCCCGAGGAGAACCTTATCCCCAACACTCTTACTGATAAGTCGAGCCTCACCCGTCAGAGAGCTCTCGTCGAAGGACGTCTCAACACCAGATACGATTGTACCGTCTGATGGTGGTGTGGCACCGTTTTGCACACGCACCACATCGCCAACCTCCAAGAGGTCAACTGCTACCTTCTCAAACTTGAAGCCAGGAGAGGCGGCAAGGCTACCGTTATCAGATGATACGTCACATTTTTCGGGATCGTGGCGGGGAACGGTCGCGACAGCCATGGACCCAGAAGCAGAGCGAGGAACCAAGAGAAGGGCTTCGGCGGGGCGGAGTGAGCCGAGCGCAGTAATGGCGTCGGCAGTCCTCGCTTTGCTGTATGCCTCGAGGTAACGGCCTGACGGTTTATTATCACGCAAGATATATCACATATAGGTTCTACTCACCAGCAAGTAAAAACATGGTCAGGAACACAACAGCGTCGAAATATGTCGTTTCTTGCGCTACACCACTGCTCGAAGGCGACTGTGTGGCTGCAAGAGCGAGAAGCGCGATCGACGAAAAGTAGGCCACAGATACTCCGGTAGACACCTGTTCATCTTGTCATCATCGTATGATGACGCGGGTGTGAACACGGTACATACCAGAAGGTTCATACTCCCAAATCTAGTAAAGCGCTTGATGATGGGAGTCGTACTCCCTTTCCTCCACAACGCTCTGATTTCTTTGATGCTCCGGCGATGAAATGAGCCAGCGCTGTAAACGTATACCGGCGTCGCCAACAAGAAGAGCGCCCACTCGATGCGGGACGCATTTCCATTCCACATGGGCCCCATTAGGTATTGCTTCGTCTGATTTCTACCAGGAACAAGGCTCATGTAAACTACACCGATGATGAACGTAGGTATCGCAATGATGAAAGTGAAAAACAGCCGCCGCAGCAAAGCTCGTCGCTCACACTGCTGCATGCTGCGCGTGCGCTCTTCGAGCGTAGGTGGATGATAAATCAGCACACTGTATGACGTCGGCTCCACGGACACAATAGCGGAGATGATGGAGCGAATGGTGAAGTCGGGAGGTGACGGCTTGTATGAAATTTCGATTATTGGATCCAAATGGTTTGATAATGGTTTGAAAACGGCGACGTCTGACTGGAGCCTTTGCAAGGCAGTCATGATCTTTGCTGGACAATGTCTGATTAGCAGATATCAGTAACACTGTATGCGACAATGACACGATAAACGCACTGGCAATACATTCCCTCGACAAGAAGCGATATATTCCGAAACCCCGTTGTTGCCGCGTTACTTTCTGATGTCGATGGCACGAGGGGCTCGATCTTGATGATGTCGACTTCATAGCCGCAGTCATCGATCGTTTCGGTCACAGAACCAACAAGGTCCCTCCGAGCAACAACGACTGTGGCAGAGTGGTTGAGCAGACTGACGACCAGTTCGGAGATGCCAGGGAGTTGCGAGACCATTTCCGTTATGGTACTCGGACATGAGGCGCATGTCATGCCGCCTACAGACAGTGTGACGCGATGCGGCACATCATCAAGGCCGACTTCATGGTACGAGCTTGGGCTCGAGTCCTTCTCTGGTCCCTCCGGCGTGGAGCAATCAGTGGGAGAAACACTGTTGGAAGATAGGCCGCCGATATTCCCCCGCAGGAGTGGTGAAACGTTGTCATCGAGGGCAATAGCGCGTGCCTCCTGACAAAATAAACACTGCTGTATATGCTTTCGACGTTGTCCAGAAAGCATAGTGCTCATCCCAGACATTCGCTGTGACTGCCTGTGCTCGGAGGCAGCGGGATCTGGGTCGGATATCTCAAACCCAGCGTCTTCAAGCACGGATTTTATTATGTCTCTGGGTATTGTAAGGGCATGCTCGACTGTCACTGACTGGTGGACGATGGATACGTCTACCCTCGTTGGAGGGGGTGACATAGAGAAGAGCAATTCATTGATTGTGCGTGCACAGCTGTGGAAAATCCAAAGTCAGCAGGAACAAGATGGCGACGGCTAATAGAAAATACCTGCTGCAATGAAGATTAGATATAAGAATTGTCGCGACATGCATTTGAGACGGTGTGTTCGAATCAGAGGGTTTTCGAGTTGTGCGATCAGACGAAGTGTGGTATAATACGATGCCCGGGTAGGAGGTTTGAGCATATTATATAGTGTTGTCAGAGTCATATTTGCTGGTCAATTTCTTCCTAGCTAATGATGTGTTGTCACTTGTCAAGTCGTCCATAAAATGCCTCACGGCACAATTGCCGCACTGTCATTACGTCATATTATGAAATTAGCATTTTTGACTAAACCCTCTACTTACAACTTCCACGTGCACGCGGTCCCCGATATCGTGCCAACGTAGGCCAACGCCCACGGCCTTGGCTTCAAACTCAAATTTAAACATGTCAACCCGTGGAGGTTCAGACGACCCCTGTGTTTCAAATTCTTCGAGCAATGTTGCAGGACAAGCCCTAAGCTAACCATCCTTCAGCCCCCAGCCCCCAGCAAGCCCTAACTCTAAATGTAAATCGGCGTTTTCAAAGTTTTTATACTTTCGGGCGGAAACCTCCTTTAATTTTTACAAGACACCCGATTGGGAATTTCCAAATGTCCTCAAGTTTCTACTTGCTGTTCCCTCGGCCCTGGTATGTAATACCATGTGTACGATTTTAGCGATACTACGCCTTTCTATCAGGTTCTGAATACTACCTTTTCGAAGTTCCCCTCAGGTTATAGTGCGCTTCGGCTGATTCATCATCCTCAAGTGACTGCGTCAAGTCCCAAATTTCTGCTTTTTACTATCGGGTTATGGCGTTCTAGAGTCTCAGATGGACAGCACAAATAACTCAACTTCAGACTCTCAAACGGAGCAAAGGAGACTGACCTGACCCTGAACCACCTGCACCCCTGGACAAAATAATGCCATCTGTAAGCATGCGCTTACTTTCATGTGATTAACGCGCCCTTCGTTGATTGGACACCGTGCCATAATTGTCGGTGTTTGGCTGCTAACGCTCATTCAGTATATATAGCTCACCGCTGATGTATCGATATCTTATCTCTTACCGTATCACCGAATCCCATACGCTCATCCACGTTACCGCTGTCTGATTGTCCGCTAGTGTTGATCGTCTACTGTGACGACCTTCCACTTTTTTTTAACGTCCAGCTGAGCGTTATCTGTTGAAGAACCGTTACGTCTTTTCCTTACTGTTATCCTTACCGTTCTCTCGAACCAACCGTTGGGTATTGACCGCCGGTCAACCCATCACCGTATAGACAACAAACTGCCTCCCCGCCGCCCTAAGATACCGATACCGCTGTCTGTCACAACGCGCAGTCGTGACAAACTTCTAGCGGTGCTCGCTGATATCCAACCAGTGACCACATCTACAACATCTACATTAACAACACCACCCACCTCTCCGAACTCGCCCTCGCAACCATCCCCCTTGACTTCTTGCTCCCATTCGCGAGTCGACACGCATATATCCACCGATTCTGACTCTACCGATTCCCACGCCTACAACACACCTACCATGTCAACCACACTGAAGGTTGCACGTGTTGAACAGACAGCCGCGAGTAAGCCGCCCCTTCTCACAGCGGGCGAGCTGACTCCAGAGGCACTACGCTCCTGGGAAATGGGTTGCACGCAGTTCTTTCTGCACAAGGAGGTGAAGGACGAGGAAATGGTAAAGAAGGTTGCTTGGGGAATGCAAGAGGCGGTTATCCAGGACTGGTACATTAACGACCGCGAGCGAATTGACAAGCTCACCTTTGCAGAGTATATGGCTGAAGTCCGCAGCTACTGGCTCCCTTCGGGTTGGTCCGACATTGTCCGACGCAAGATGCTGGCATCTACTCAGGGACATCGCCCCTTCAACGAGTGGGCAGTTGACGTCCAGAGTCAGAACACCCTCTTGCGTGGGACGGCATCTCATCTTACAGAAGTCAATATCCGGTATCACCTTGAGTCCCACATGAATTCCGAACTCGCTGCTGATTACCATGCTGAACACATTACCGAAACGGATCTACGCAAGTGGATTGAGAAGGTACGCTTGCTCGACGAGAAGCGAATGCGCTATCTTGTTCGGCAGCGAGAGGCTGTAGATGCTGCCTTGCGCATGGAACGTGCACGCTCGAGCGGGGAGAAGAAGCTCACTGCGGGCACACGTTTCAATGCGAAGGCAGGGCAAGCTACTAGTGCCTCTACCACCACCTCCGCAAAGACCTTTACACGCCTACCCTCTCTCACAGATAACGAGCGCCAACTCCTTCGGGACAACGATGGATGCTTCAAGTGTCGCGAACCTTTCGCAGGTCACACATCCGCCACTTGCCCGAAAGGCTTCCCAGATGGCGCATCATATAAAACCCTTACAGCTGCTCTGATCGCTTCGAAGAAGCCGAAGAAGACGGGTGAAGTTGTTGCAGCGGTTGATGTTGAAGAACGACACACTATCGCAGTTGTGATGCCGTCAGCAGTGCTCGGTGATGGTACTGACTCTGGCGAAGAGTGCGTGGCTCCGCTACAGACCCCTCATCTGCGTTGGGACTGTCTCGTTGACGGGCCTGCTGTTTCTTCTTCTGTTGTTGTATCCGCTCTCATTGACCATGGTTCTTCTCTAGTTCTGATTGATGCAGCACTTGTCGACAAACTTGGACTACGCCGTCGCCAACTATCAAAACCGTTACCTGTTTCGCTCGCATTGTCTCACGATAATTCCTTTCTTCTCTCGCAATATGTCAAATTGTCTTGTTCGTCTCTCGATCAGAAATACACGTCTCGGACTGTACGTGCAATAATCGCACCGAATCTTTGTACTCCCCTGTTACTTGGAGGCCCATTCCTCGAACATAATCGCATCGTGATTGACCACGAGCTGCGTACCTGCATTGTAAAGGACCTGAACTATGACCTTCTTCATCCTCCTGCAGCTGTTGTGTCTTCTCAGCGGATCTCGCCGTCAGGCCCTCAATTATTTTGGATGAAGCATGATGTTGTCAACGAACTCAAGTCTGTCTTACCGGAACTCAAAGCTATTGTTGACGACGAATGCGAGCCGGTAAAGGGAGTTGATCTTGTGGCCGCTGTGCAATCACGCATCACCATGCTCGAATATCAAGATGAATTGAGTGCATTGGACGCCAAGCTGAAAGCGGAGTTCAAAGATCGCTTTCCGACCGATATTCCACACAACGACACAATGCCATCTGAAGTTTTGTTTCGCATCCATCTGAAAGATGCTAATAAAATTGTTCAACAGCGCTCTTATGACTGTCCGAAGAAGTATCGCGCTGCCTGGAAAACCCTGTTGGACTCACATCTTGACAGTGGGCGTTTGCGCCATTCTGAGAGTGAGTGGTCGTCGCCGTCGTTTATTATACCGAAGGCAGACCCAACTGTCTTGCCACGATGGGTTAATGACTTCCGACTGTTGAACGACAATACTGTCGCAGACAACCATCCATTGCCGCGTATTGACGAGATTCTGAAGGACTGCGCTAAAGGAAAGTTTTTTGGAAAAATTGATATGACTAACGCGTTCTTTCAGACGCGAGTACACCCAGATGATATGAAGTTCCTGGCGATTCATACTCCCTTTGGGAAGTATGAATGGACGGTAATGCCCATGGGTGTACGAAATGCTCCAGCGGTACATCAACGACGGATGACGACAGCGCTACGACATTTGATTGGTAAGATTTGCCATGTGTACCTGGATGACATCATCATTTGGTCACAAACGCTCGAGGAACACGAGGCAAATGTGCGACAGGTCCTACTGGCATTACGGACAGCACATTTGTATTGTTCTCCAAAAAAGACGTCACTCTTTAACACCGAAATTGATTTCTTAGGTCACCACATCTCTGCTCGGGGTATCGAAGTTGATAGCTCGAAGGTTGCTCGCATCCTGGACTGGCCGCAGCCACGTAACGCGACTGAAGTGCGCGCGTTCTTAGGTATCGTCCGGTACCTCTCAGACCACTTACCTAACATCGCTGGACATACGCGTGTTCTTACTGCACTGACAACAAAATCTGCAGAATTGGAGTTTCCGAGCTGGAACAAGGACCATGCAAATGCCTTTCAAGCCATCAAAGACCTCGTCGTCAGCCCACGATGTCTCACAACAATCGATCACGATAATCCAGGGGACAACAAGATCTTCCTTACTTGTGACGCCTCTGACTACGCGACGGGCGCCATGTTATCCTGGGGCCTGACTCGCGAGACAGCACGACCGGTTGCTTTTGATTCAATGCAGCTGCGGAGTGCAGAACTAAACTATCCAGTACATGAAAAGGAGCTCCTGGCGATCATTCGGGCGCTGAAGAAGTGGCGTTTGGACCTGCTGGGTGCGCATGTTGATGTATACACTGACCATCGGACCCTCCTGAACTTCAACACGCAACGAGATCTCTCTCGTCGCCAAGCATGCTGGGCGGAATATATGTCTCAGTACGACATGACATTACACTACATTAAGGGGGAAGACAATGTAGCCGCTGATGCTCTTTCACGGCGAAGGGACACTGCGTCGACTGCTGATCTGTGTGCAGCTCTACTTACCATACAGTCAGACGCAGCCCTCCTGGACCGGATTATCAAAGGGTACGCTATTGATCCCTGGTGTAGTAAGCTGAACAGTCTGCTAGGATCATTACCCGGCTTGTCTTGTGACGAACGAGGGCTCTTCTATATTGTGGACCGACTGGTGATTCCACGGGTAGATGACCTTCGGGAACATCTCTTCAACGCTGCCCATGATGCTGCTGGTCACTTTGGTGCGGACAAGTCGTATGCTCTACTGCGAAGTTCCTACTACTGGCCGAACATGCGGCGCGACCTCATTGATTCTTATATTCCCTCCTGCACAGAGTGCATGCGTAACAAGTCTCGCACAACAGCAACCGCAGGGCCGTTACATCCTCTACCAGTTCCAGATGGTCGTGGCGATTCTGTGGCTATCGATTTCATTGGGCCGTTGCCAGAAGACAGTGGATTTAACATGCTTGTTTCGATGACAGACCGGTTGAATTCTGATATCCGTTTAGTGCCTTGCAAGGACAACATATCGGCGGAACACTTCGCAGGCTTGTTTTTCGACCATTGGTACTGCGAGAATGGCCTACCACAAGAGATTGTCTCGGACCGCGATAAGCTTTTTTTGTCAAAGTTCTGGCGTGCACTGCATAAACTGACTGGTGTTAAGCTTAAACTGTCATCCTCTTATCATCCGGAAACGGACGGCGCAAGTGAACGTACCAATAAAACAGTCAATCAATGTCTTCGCTACTACGTCGACAGAAATCACAAGGGTTGGGTTCGTGCGCTGCCCCGTGTACGTTTCCACATCATGAACACTGTCAATGCAAGTACTGGCTTCTCTCCTTTTCAGTTGCACCTCGGGCGTTCGCCCCGTATGTTGCCACCACTGATTCCAAAGGCTACCGTCTCCGAAGAGTCTGAAGAAGAACGCGCACGTGTCTTGCTGTCACAGCTCAAGCACGATGTAATGGAAGCACAAGATAATCTACTCGCAGCAAAGGCAGCCCAAGCGGCGAACATCAACAAGAGTCGTGCGCCAGCTCTCGCGTTACAGGTCGGTGATCGTGTCATGCTCGCCACCAAACATCGTCGTCGGGAGTATATGCAGAAGGGGGACAAAAGAGTTGCGAAGTTCATGCCTAGATACGACGGTCCATACGTCATTCTGGACGCACACCCAGGAAGCTCAACATACACACTTGATTTACCAAACTCCCCAAACATATTCCCAACCTTCCACGCCAGCCAATTGCGCCCGTACCACGCGAACGACCCCATTCTTTTCCCTACACGCGAACATCCGCGACCTGGACCCGTGGTGACGGAGAACGGACAACTAGAAACCTTCATCGATAGAATCATCGACGAACGAAAGGTCGGAAGGGGAAAGAAGTACCTCGTACGTTGGGTTGGCTTTGGCGAAGAAGATGACGAGTGGCTGCCGAGGAGGGACTTGGAAGACTGCGAGGCTCTGGACAATTGGGAGAAGGGACGTTCTCAAGGATAGTGGGGAAGGGTGTAAGCATGCGCTTACTTTCATGTGATTAACGCGCCCTTCGTTGATTGGACACCGTGCCATAATTGTCGGTGTTTGGCTGCTAACGCTCATTCAGTATATATAGCTCACCGCTGATGTATCGATATCTTATCTCTTACCGTATCACCGAATCCCATACGCTCATCCACGTTACCGCTGTCTGATTGTCCGCTAGTGTTGATCGTCTACTGTGACGACCTTCCACCATCTCCGCATGCGTATGATGAGCGTGTAAGGGCGCCCACTGGCACGAGCACATGATGGAGCACCCATCAACCATTCGTAAGAATTTACCGACCAACTTTTGAAAGGGTAAGTATGACATATGTTTGTTCCTTTATAACCAAGTACTTCATGATAATTCAGGTCTCCACCCCTGCCCTTCTCCAAAATATGCTGCACAGAGGGGTTTTCGGGCGAGCTCTACTAGACTACACCCCCAACAACTTTTTTCCGCCGATCCCTCACTTGCGCATCCTCAAGGACTGCATCACTCCATGCGTTGTTGCGATCGAAGTCGGAGACTCGGGCTCTAGACAAGAGTGCTGCCGATGTTCGTCGGTGAGAACTATGGAAGATGATCTTTTCGAGGAATAAGGCAGTGTGTGGACCCGTCATTTTATGTAAGACGAATCCCGCCTTCATGATCCTGACACCCAGCTGTCGCCAGTCACCCCACGATACGGTATACATCGAGGCGAGGAAAGCTTGTCAACGACTAAATGGAGGCGCACAGAGTCCACGGACTGATCTGCCTGAAGCGGATCATTAAGTACTTGGTATTGGATTAGCTAGCACAATATATATAGAGCGAGAACTGAAGCTTGAAGTTATGGAGTCCTGAGGCCTGAAGGAGCACTTGAACAAGTCTTAACTTATCCAAAATTGAAATATTGCCGAAGGCACGTGCTACCAACTCGAGTCGCGGACACATTTATCAAAGTCACATAAGTACTCATCATCACTATTAGCGATCGCCATGAACTCACTCAGTGCCCCTCCATTACCTCCAGGTTGGACGGAGCACGTTGGTATGTGTCTCAAAATACTTACGCTGACAGTTGTCGACTCACATACGTACAGGCCCTGGGGGCCAACCATATTACTACTACGCCAGGACACAAGAGTCTACCTACGTTCGGCCGCTCCCCGCGTTCCCCGTCATCCCACAAGCTATCGTACCACAGCCCTCAAAGAAAAAAGACAAACCATCAGTTAAGACTCCCATACCTGGCACCGAATGGCTTCGCGTAAAGACGACAGAAGGGAATATATTTTATTCGCACAAGGTGAAGAAGCAGAGTGTGTGGACGGTGCCAGAGGAAATCAAGGATGCTCTTGAAGTCTTTGAGCGCGCTGAGGAACATGAAGACGCGCAGGCGAAGCAACAACAGCAAGTAAAGGAAACAGGAGTGGAGAAGTTGACATTTGAGGAGGAGCAGGAGCTCAAGCGGCTAAAGACAGAAATGCAGGGTCTCGTGAAGCGAAAAGCAGAAGAACCTCAACCTCTGGACGAGGTTGTAATTTCAAAAAAGGCACGAGTAGAGGAAGAGGAGGAAGAAGAGGAAGAAGGGGAGGATGAGGATGAAGAGGAGAGCGAGGAGGAGGAGTGGCAACGTGAGGCTGCTGCACAACTTGCTGCTGAAGCGGAGGAAGATAAGAAGAGGCTGGAAGAAGAGGCCAATATTGCAAAGGAAGCGGAAGAGGCAGAGGCCAGGAAAATGCAAGAGAACGAGAGGTCTCAGCTCAACATGCCCAATCGTGTCGACCTCTCTATTGAGGAGGCTAAGGCATTGTTCAAGGTCTGACACTCGCTCTGTCGACTGATGCATCCCTTGGCTAATTGCATCCACCAGACATTACTCAGGGAAAAGGATATCAATCCTTTGCACCCTTGGGATACCTCATTACCCTTGTTTATATCAGATCCGCGCTATGTTCTTCTCCCTTCGGTTTCAGCGCGTCGTGATGCATTCGATGAATACTGCCGGGATCGCGCGCGCGAGCTACGACAACAAAATGTCAAGAAAGAAAAAGCAGAAGCGAATCCTAAGGAAGAGTATGAACGACTCCTTAGCGAGGAAGTTAAGAGCACGAGAACATCTTGGTCTGAATTTCGAAGGACGTGGAAGAAAGACCGACGATTTTACGGATGGGGGAGAGATGACCGAGAACGAGAGAAACGATTCAAGGAGTATCTCAAGGACCTTGGAGAGAGTACGAATCTCGTTATACTTCGTGAGCAGTCTATCCAGCTAACTCTCAATCTAGAAAAGCGTATAGCAGCTGAGAAGGCGGAGGCGGACTTTTTTGCTCTTCTACGAGAGAGCGGTATGGTCAGGTCAGATTCCCTATGGAAAGACGTGAGTTTCTATTTGCCTTATTATCAGATTCATTGAAAGGTTGACCTTCCCAGGTGAAACGAAAAGTATCCCATGACGCACGCTATGATGCTGTCGGATCTTCCTCTCTGCGTGAAGAACTTTTCCAAACATTCCTCAAGGCACATGGGTCTTCATCTTCATTTTCAACCTCTGCTCGAGGCAAAGATGAGACGGGTAATAATGTCACACAGGAAAATTCTGAGCAAAAGCGCAGAGACAAGAAGGAGCAAGCCCTGAAAGAACGTGAACAGAAAGTTAGGGCTGAGCGTAGTCGAATGGATGCTGAAATAGGGCGCTCTAAGATGGGTTTAAATATGGAGGAAGGTGAAAGAGAATTCCGGTGAGCCGCCTTTACTTCCCTAGTTCGAAGATCCAGATCGCGGCGCTCAACTCTTGACCTTTGTTCTTCTGTAGCACACTGCTTACGGACGCGGTGCGAGATCCACAGGTACGGTTACTCTTTTCTTTGAGGCAGTTACTAACCCACATATCGTCATAATTGCAGACCACCTGGGAATCCATACGTCCTCAACTCCAAACTGATCCTCGATTTAATAACTCCCCCCTCCCAGTCAATCAGCAGTTGCATCTATTCCATGCGCATATGAGTCAGTTGCAGATGAAACATCTGGCCAGTCTACATTCGCTGTTTCAAGCGCATGCTCCATCTTTGGCAACACCATTCTCTGCTCTTCCTCTTGAATCCCTGTTGAAATCACTTCCGGTAACAAAGTTCGCCTTTGATACACATGATCTCGAAAAGGAGTATGATAAATGGCAACGCGAACGGACGTACGAATGCAGGAAAGCATTTGACGAGATGCTCGCGGAAAACTCCTTTGTTGAGTTTTGGGGAAGATTAGGTAAAATGGGTGGCGAAGGAGCCGACGGAGGGGTTAAAGCAGACGACTTGGATGAGGATGAAGGCGAAGGCTTTGGAGGAAATGTCGACATGAAGGTGCTCGCAAAGAGTGTGGACCTTACAGATATCGAGAAAGTGCTCAAGGTATGGTCAGTTGTCCACGGGATAGAGGTGACCGCTCATTACTTGTCAGAACGATAAGCGATACATTATGTTCGAGCACGTGTCAGCACAACGAGAACGATGGTTAAGGGTGAGTTGAATGAAGGTTTTTTGGAGTTCGCAAACTTGTCTCATCTATGCTAGGATTACGTCGCAGGCTTGACTGCACCCAAACTTTCCGTTCATGTGTAGTATAGTTTTATGTAGTGTCGCATCTCAGAGTCTGCGCATTTGATGTACTGTGCGGTCCAAGTGCGGTCTTAGATTCTCTTACTGTCTCGGAACACGCGTGTCGTCGGTGTGCATGTGACACTTGAAGTCAGTCACGTGGTATCGAACACGTCAGTACTTTCACACAAAGTCAGATCATGTATATAACTGCCGTACTGGCCAAACGCTGGCCTGGACTATAAATCAGAGCACAAGCTAAGATATCAACTCTTGCGACCTGTTAGACCATGCGTCTGCTGCATCCTCTCATCCTATCATTGTCAGCCCTTTCGGCATGTGTTTTTGCGCAAGATTCAGGTGCTACTGTGCACAAGGTCAAGCATGACTACCAGGTGTGTCCACGCGTCTGCTGTCCATTTGTGTGCCTCAGCATATTTGCATGACAGAGTGATGTTGCACGCATGCGTAAGATAGTTATCAACAGGTGCAGTAGCCCCACATCAGTGTTGACTTTGAGCGCTGACTACTTATGTGCTACTGCAGTCTTTACTCGAACAGGTGAGACTGCGGTCGCCGAACGCGCACAAGTTCTCTTTGCTTAACCCACGAACTTCAGGGACATTTTCTTGCGGGAGCTCATCTCAAACGCCAATGACGCACTCGAAAAGCTTCGCCTCACCGCGCTCACGGAGAAGAGTGTATGGGATGGCATCTCCCCTTTGAACGTCAGTATCAAAGCGGAGAAAAATCCCGATGGCCCGGGCGGTCGTATCATTATTACCGGTCTGTACTAGCCTGCATCATGGTTGTGTCGCAAGATTCAATGTTGTGTCCAGATACCGGCATTGGGATGAGTGCAACGGAATTGACAAACAACCTGGTATGGGACCCATCATCTCGCAGAGTGTAAGCGTGCCGAACGTTATAAATATCTAGGGTACTTTGGCGAAGTCTGGAACTTCCGACTTTCTTTCGAAAGCAGGTAGCGACGACTCGACCGCAACTGGCAATCTTATTGGTGCATTCGGGCTCGGTTTTTACAGCAGGTTAGTGGTGGTTTGTTAGCCGCGAACACAGATTGTCAGCTCTCCACAGCTTTCTTGTAGCAGATCAAGTCGTCGTCGCATCTTTACCCCCGCCCTCGTCCAATAATCCTAATCCTACCCAGACTGTCTTCAGTTCTTCTGCAGATGAGGGATCATTCGAAATATACCCCGACCCACGCGGAAATACCCTTGGTCATGGAACTGAGATTACCCTTTATTTGAAGAACGACGCTTCCCATTATCTTGTGACTTCTAACCTTATGAAGCTTGTGTACGTGTCTCTTTCTCTTATCTTATCGCACGTCGTTCTGAGAAGCATCTCAGTAACCAGCATTCTGGATTTTCGACTACCTTCCCGATTTACATCTGGTACGAGGTTGAAGAGGAAGTCCCCGAAGTAGATGAGGAGGCCGTTCTAGACAAGCAGGAAGGAAAGCCTATCGACACAGACGAGGATGAAGCCGTGGTTGAGGAAGAAAAGGAAAAGGAGTCTGCATCTCCCAAGATGAAGAAAGTTACGGTTGGCCACTGGGAACACTTGAACTCACAGCCTCCCCTCTGGATGCGGTGCGCTGTGGCATTTGCTCTTGCAAGGATATATGCTGATCTTCCTGTCAGCGATCCGAAGACAGTCACCGACGAAGAATATGAGCTATTGTACCAGGGAACCTTCAAAGACTTCCAGAAACCCCTCGCATGGCACCATTTCCATGGTGACTCGGAATCCGGCGTGTCTTTTCGTGCACTCATTTATGTCCCTTCGCGTCTGTGAGTAGTTATGATTGTGATTATATGTCTCTAACTTATGTCTTTCAAGGACCGAAGAATTTTTCAGCAGGCCGCTTGATGCTTCAACAAAGGACGTCAGGCTCCTCGTGAAGCATGTGTTCATCACCTCTGACCTAGGCGAATATGGCTTGCCGAAGTGGGCTAGCTGGGTGAAGGTTATCATTGACGGTACATTGTTCTGTTCAGCCCAGGAACTCTGTGTTGACTTATCCCTACTATCTAGCTGATGACCTTCCGCTGAATGTCTCTCGTGAAACACTCCAGTCTAGCTCTTTCCTTAAGCAGATCAAGCAAATCATTCTACGCCGTCTCATTCAGCTCTTTTCTAAAATTGCTGAAGAAGACCAGGAAAAATATGCGGAGGTCACGAAGGTCTATGGCCAAGTCTTGAAACTCGCCGCGTCAGAGGACAGCAAAAACCGCGAGAAACTGGCGGCTCTTGTACGCTTTGGCACAAACCAACGAGATGTTGTATCGTTTGACTCGGTTAGTGGCTATTTGTAATCGGGAACTCGGGTCTAAAGTTTTGTCATTCCAGTATTTGGAGAACAGGAAGCAAGGCCAGAAGCAGGTGAGTAGCATTGAGAAGACATCAAGTGGCGTGTATGAAGTAGAATCCAGATTTTCTACCTCGCCGACATGGGTAAATCGATCGAACATTTGTCTCAAAGCGTGTTTGTAGAAAAGTTGCACGCCCGCGGGTATGAAGTCCTGCTTCTGAATGAGCCTTTGGACGAAATCATGATTCAAAGCATCCGAAACTGGAAGTAAGCCATTGACGACCTCCACGATTGAAGGTCGATCTCACTGATGGATTAACAGGGGTGTTCCGTTCCAGGATGTTGCTAAGGCTGGACTGGATTTTGGAGATGGTAAGTCCCAATCAACGCTGAGGGTTTTCGTCGTTCTCACGTCCGCATACAGACACCCCAGAGGAAAAGGATACACTCGCTGAATTGACAGAGAAATACGCTCCCCTTCTTGAGTGGCTAAAAGTTGAGGCGGGAGACAATGTTAAGAATGGTGAGTTGTCTTTTCATGATTGTACGACATCCTGGCCTGAGGTTACATATTCGTCAGTTATTGTCTCTAACAGGCTCGTCACAAGTCCTTGTGCGATTGTAGCGGATAGCATGGGTTTCACAGCAAATGTCCAGAAGCTCATGAGTACGTTCAACTGGTGGTTTAACAGTGTCAGTTCAAGTTTAGTGAAAATTTACAGGTGCTACAAACCGCGGGGCCCAGCAGAACGATGTCATGCAAGACTACATGAAGAAGCAGAAGGTTCTGGAAATTAATCCGCGATCGCCGTTGATCGAGGGCCTTCTAGAAAACGTCGAGCAATTGATTACAGATGGCGATGCCAAAGACCTGGATGCTGAGGCACAGCTCAAGGAGGTCGCCTCCATCCTGATCGACGGCGCTCTTGTTCGTTCCGGCTTTGAAGTTGCCAATTCCAACATGTAGGCCTTGATTAAATTGTTGCAACAAACTCATAATGCCTCGCGCAGGTTTTTGACTCGTGTTGACCGAGTACTCAGACGATCACTCGGTGTCTCCGAGACTGCACCAACAGATAGCACCGTGAAGCCGGCTCCTCCTGTTGACCCAGAGCTACCTAGTGATATACTCATGGGTGATGAGAAGATGTTCTTCGATCTTCCTGATGAAATGAAAAGCAACCAGTTTGAACTGGAGATGGAAGAAATTGACGAAGAAGGCAACGTTGTTCACGATGAGCTGTGATGTTATCGTAGAGCTTGTAACGATCTTGTAGCAATTCAGGCTGGTCGATAATAAAATCGTTTACATACTTGAAACTTGCTTGAAATGACTTGGGTGTGGCCACGTGGGAGTCGAAGCTAGCGCTCAGCACCCTGGAAGCATATCTACTCAGAACATTCATATAAGTACCACAGCGAGCACTTTGCTGACCTTCTCGTTTCCGGCTAGACAATAGTTCGCTATTTCTACATGCTTCATGGCCACACCCGCAGCCTTCTCCCGCCTTCAATTAGCCGCAGCGCTACTTGGTAAGTGTGCGAGACTTCGATGATGGACACGCTTCACAAAGTATCTTGGGGATTGCAGAGTATGACAACGATCCAACCAATCCTGACTTGCCTTTGGTCTCCGCCCATGACAGCGCTATCTTCGCTCATCTCCGACGAGAACCTCGCAAAAGTACTGACTACCTCGGAGTATCCGTGCCCAGTGAAGCAGGTGATTCTACCCCGGGACAACGAAGGTCTAGAGGCTCCATTGATGGACTCAGAAACCCTTTCGGGGCTGATGATGACGAGGAGCTCGAAGATGAAGAAGCTGGCGAAGTAGACCTCGCTTCATGGGGCCTTGATCAATTCATCAAGGACAAAGCCAAAGGAAAGGGCAAGGCGAAGGCCAAGTCAGAGATTTTGCCCAATCCTCATCCCGTAGCGACGACCCATCGAAATGCCCGGAGCGCTATAGATGATGGTCCTCGAGGAAGGTCGTCCCGACCAATCAGCATTGGGACCATGCATGACTTCGGTGCTGGAGGCGCCTTCTTGGACGCTGAGAACACTGCTGGTTCAGACATTGCTCGTCCTCGATCTTCTGCTGATTTAGAACGGATGCAGTCCCCTCAGCGTCCACTTCCACGCCGTCGCGAATCCGCCCACGCTCTTATCGAGACACTGTCCGTCGCACCCCCTCTTCATTCTGTTCCATTCCCATCTGTCTCAGTTCGAGATGGTTCTCCCGGTGGAGAAAGACCTGCTTCACGTGCTTCTCGCTTAGACTTACATACCCGTACTCAGTCCAGCGCTAGTATGGGCTCAAGGAACCTTCTGAACGGCGCAGATGTTGATGCGGACGGCAGTCCTTTTGCTGTCCGACCCCCATCACCTGATCGTGCTTCACGGTTTGATCCTAAAGTCAATCACGGGAGAGCGATGTCTAACGGGTCGATGGCATCCAAGAATCTGCTTGCAGAGGAAAATCCCTTTGCTGTAAGACCTCCCTCTCCTTCCCGGTTATCACGGTTTGATCCCAAAGGCCGTGCGCGAACAATCTCCGTTGGATCAATGGGCACTCGGGTCCTCATTGATAATGACGTCGAAGAAGAGTCACGCAGGGATCGACCTTACTCCACCGTCGAGCTACTTAGGCCTAAGATTCTGGTTATGCCAAGCCCGTTGCAAAATGTGGCTCCTCCTCCTCCCCCACCTCCTGCTTTTAAATCTAGAGCTGGGTTTGAGATATCTTCAGATGGTCCTCCCTTGCCTCCGGGTGCTCGCTCTGCGAACCGTTCGTCGACCTCTTTAACGAACTACATGACTCCCGCATCAGCACCCATAGCATCTAATTCTTTCACTCCTAACCCTCGAGCAAGTCTTACATTGTCTCAACTCGCTTTTCGCAACACGCTTATGGTTGGAGGACAAAGAGACATTGCGTACTCTGATATTGACCGTCATCTTCCTCGAGCGATGAAAGAGGGTGAACAAGCGCAATTCGAAGAACTGGAGGAAGAAGAGTCTCCCGTACCCGTTTCAATACCTCTCCCTCCTGTCCCTCCTCCCACGGAGATGGAAATAAAGCGTGCTGCTGGGAAGCTCTATGGAAGGAGTTTGATAGACAATTTAGAACATCGCAAAGCGGAGATAAAGCAGAAGGCTCGGTACGTGTTTCACCTGTCTTCTCAGAAAGCCGCCTCATGGTCGCTTTAGTGTTTTCACTGGCGACGAAAGACCATCAATGATGGTCCGGGGTCAGATTCGCCGATCAAGTACTCTCATTGATCCCCAGACACTTGGTCGTCCCCCTTCACAGAATCTTGACAATGCGATCACTCCAAATCCTCGCCAATCTCTCTTGCGTCGGAACTCCTCTGGTGGCAAGCCTCTCCTTGACATGGATGGAGAAAAACCTCCCACAAATCTTGGTCCAGGGGCAGAGCAACTCTTGTCCAAAAGTCGCTCTGTTTTTGGTGTGGATACGCTGTGGGATCTCGAAATGGTCAAGTTGAAAAAAATGGAGGCGGAGGAGAAAGCTGAAGCTGAAGCGCGGAAGAAGCGGGAAGAAGAGGAAGAGGAACGCCGGAGGCAGAAAAAGAAGAAAGGCAAATCGAAAGGAAAAGGCATCGAGATTCCGCTAGAGTCCACCTCTTCACCCGACCTTCCCTCTGGATCACGAGTAGGCTTGGCCCCTCCCACTCTGCCTGCCATCCGGAAACCCATTCTAAAGCGCGCTCCGCAGGTCGACGACGAGAGCGAAAGCGATAGCGATGGTGACAATGCTATCCCAAAGGCGACAATCGAAAACGCCGCTGATCGCTGGGTTACTGAGTCTTCAGACGAAGAAGATGTACCGAGACGAACCACTAGGGCTGGGCCACGGTATCTGCCCAATGTCAATGCACCAAATGACGATGATAGCGAAGAAGATCTTCCTTTGACGGCCGCCGTTCAGCGTGTCGTCAGGCGAGCGTCGCAATTGGGTATCGATGATGATTCGGAAGAGGACATGCCGCTGACGGCTGCAGCAGCTAGGATTGTCAGACGAGCCACTCAGCTTTCGCGTCATGCAGATGACGACGACGAAGACGAGGACAAGCCCCTGGTAGATGTCCTCAATAGAGCTAAGCAAGGCTTGCCTTCTGTCAACTTCGATAGCCTCTCCCTTCATCAATCCGGCGCGGATGATGATGAGGACGAGCGACCACTCGGTCTACGGGCTTCTAGATTACCACTGGCCTCTCAGACGTCGTTGCCTTTCACTGGCGGCGAAGAAGATGACGACAAGCCATTGGCCTTCCATCCCGAGCAACAACGTCGAACACAGTACCAGATGATCGCCCAGGCCCAGCAGCAGCAACAACAACAGTTGATGATGCAAGCTCAAATGCAGAACAGCATGTTTTTCAACCCCGCCATGATGGGATCTGGCGTTTTCACGCCTATGGTTGTCCCTCCGATGATGATGGGCGTACCAATGGCTCCCCCTTCACCTCCTCCAGCCCACGATGCAGCCAAGTTTGGTCGTGTGGACAGGTGGCGACGTGATGTTGCTGTGGAGGGCGACAGCTGAGTAGTTGAGTTTCTTTGGGTTCATATTTGATTACATATCACGGATTTTATGGATACTCCTTGGACACTCGCTCGCTTTTACAATTCTAGTCAGTCCTTTAATGTCCGTTGCATACAGAAATACATCGGTATAGTCGAGATCAAAACGTGTGAATAGATCTACGTGAGAAATACCGTGGAGCATTGCAAACAAATCCTTGGATGGTGGTATCGATTAAGGAATATGCAGTTATGGTACGATGGCATGGGGAAAAGAAGGCCGATGAGTAGTACTATGAAACGCACGCAAATAACACAGAGCGGGTGCCCATGGAATGGTCGATCAACAAGCTCATGAAGGGTTCGTTATCCACAACCTGCGCTTGGGCACTGTGACGATGGACACTTCTCGTCTACCCATTTCTTCCTCAATCCGCTGCTGTCTAGTATCTTCGTCCACATTGTCGTCGTCTTCATCAGTTTCTACTGAGCGAGGTCCGCCGATAGTCGTGGACACATCATCATGGCCCCTGGCAGCTCGGTAAGGAGGTTCATGGAGGTATGGACCACGGGTATCGGTGGGGAAAGGGTACTGGTCAGTGCCCGCCGCGGACAACGGACGGGAGGTTGGGGTGCCAGGAGAAATAGCCGGCGGAGGCTCCGCGCGAAACCGGGCGATCAGGGAAGTCAGTATGGATTTCCTTGGCCGACCATGCCACGCAAGAGTAAAAAGGGCGCAATAAAAAATAACAGTCCATAGAAGGAATACTGCAAAGAGTGCTTGACGAGCTCCGTACCACAGCGCGATGAGGGAAAGAATGCAAAGAGCGAAAACGAGTGTGTGGAAGAGGACACGAAAGCATATCTCAGAGAGTGAAGGCAGCTCGTGAGTAACGCGGGGAAATGTCGGCGCGGGCATCAGAGCACGAGTGCTCAACATCTCTGCTGTATTGGGAGCGGAGCTGTTTGGATTAATGAGGCCGCGTTGACCGTGGCCAGACATAAGATCGAGCTCGTTCTAAGATGGCAATGAAATTTCAGAAACAGTCAGGAAGAGGTTGGTGCTCACCACTGCGTTCAGACTGCGGCGTCGATCAAGCCAGTCTACATCGCCTAAACTCCTTGGTGCAACAGGTACGCGCTGATATACATCTATATTTGGATATGCAAGCCCATTTGTGCTGGACCTACGAGTCCGCGCTGGGCGGTTGACAACTTCGAACGCTCGTTGCGGCCCGGACGAGTGCATGGATTCGCTGTCAGTAGAGGTTCTTCCTTCTCGACTCCTGCGGCCTAACCAGAAGCTCGAACCACCCCAGGAATGTAGACGGGTGCGAGGAGAATGTGGAGACGGGGGATACTGTGAGTGCTGCGCAGCATTGTATGCTGCAAGCTTCTCAGCAGTGTCGGTGGAGTTGGCGCGAGAAATAATTGCAATTGCCTCCGGGCGATCGGCGACCTCTTTCGGTGGTCGCGATCGTGAGCAGCATAGAGAAAGGAGATACAAAAAGGGCACCATCACATAGAGTGCAATGAACAATGCAAGCCCTACGATTCCATGTCCGGTCTGTAGAACTGTACGGGATGTTGAACGTTTCATTATGGTCATTGTGGGGCTGATTGACGTGAACGATGAAACGAGACCGCCAACACCAGCACCATATGCGACCAGAGCTACAACAACAGATAGGTAGAAGAGAGCAAGGTTGCGATCTGTAGGACGATGTGTTTGTACCGGAGGTAGAGCCAGGCGTAAAAGCAGGATGGCTGGGAGAAGAATGGCAAAAGAAAGCGGTGCCAGTAGTTTGTGCACGAAAGAGACATCGTAGGACTGTTGGGATTGGGGATTATTTGTTGTTGGTGTTGTTGTAGATGGGGAACCAGACGATGTAGAACTAGAAGACATGAGCTGCACCGCGCATTGAGTGATGTATTGAATGGTAACATTAGCGCCATTGGCGCTGACGCCTGTCGAAAGAGCTCCGGCCGGAGCTCCCCAGCTGCCGTTTGAGGACGAAATGGATCCGTTATAGGCCCTCAAAATCCAAACTTCCGTGAGGTATTCACCAGATTCATCCTGACCTCCGAAGACAATGGTGTCGGAAGCCACACCTTTATTGTCACCGACGAGCGCCTGATAATAAGAGAGCGCAACAGCACCCTCCCGAGGTGTGGGATATGCTTGAACACCATCATTCCCAGGATCACCGGCCGGCAGTATTCTGCTCCAAACGCCTGCTCCAATGTCCAGAACTGCTACCTCGCCCTTCTGCAGGCCACCTTGATCATCCCACAATGAAGAGTTGAAAGTCCCAAGCAAAAGGAACGCTTGGTTCGCATAACTGGAAGAGAAAGGACTCATATTTGGAACCAGCGCCCCTCCGTATCGTGGTGCGGGACACGAGGGAGGAGCGATTTCCATGTTTGACCCAGCTTCCAGGACGTACGAGTTACCCTCGGCGCAAGAATTATTCGAGTAATTGGTCGTGTTACAGCCGCTCACGGAGATGAGGGAGGTCTGGATAACAGTGGAAGCCTGGTTGACGCTGTAGCCTTCAGTTCCAACGGTCTGGCTGCTCCAAGCGCCACTTGTGTAATTATTCGCCAAATTAGAGGATAATGTTCCCGAGACGGTTAACTCCCAAACATCTGAGAGGGGATACATGTTTGTGCCATCGGTTCCACCAGACATGTAAAAGGTGTTGCTTGTGGTGGAAGGATTCGGCGGCACTGTATCATCCCGACCACCAGAGGCGCCCCAGCGCGCTGGTGGGCTACTTGACGCTACATTGACTTGGGACCAGAATTGGTTTATGAAATCGAACTCCTGAATAGAAGTGAGCAAGCCTGATAGACTGAACGTTGCGAGCGGCACGAACCCATACGTCTGATAAAGCTTGCCCAGTCACCCCCCTTCCACCCATCACCAAGTGAGCACGTCGACTGGTGAGTCATGAGAGGGACGGGACAATGTACAAAAAGGGAGATACTCACTAGCTAGATGAGAAGTCTTCACCACTGATAGCCATGTACCTGGCTGGGGGTGAATTCTGGGGTAGATCTGTCTGGGGCGTAGGAGTATTCCATGTAAGTGTGCCGAGGTTCAAGCTGAAAATATAGCCGATGTAACCAAGAAGATTAGAAACCTAGAAAAACTGCACATACAGGTAGGTCTGGTCTGTTGGGATACCACTAGATGATTCACCACCAAAAATGATAAGGTTATTCGTCACTGGATCGTAACCGATAGAAGAATATTTGACAGCGGCTGGTGTAGCACCCTGTATTATTCCAGTGATATTGAGCCATTGTAATGGAGGAACGGGGGTCATAGAGGGTAGCTTTTGGGCGTAAGCTATCGAGATATATTTTATAAAGAAAAGACAAGCAATTGCAGAACATTGATGACGAAAACCGGTTGCCATAATGCTCGTGTCAGATGTAAATTATTGGAGTAGAAATGGTTGATATTGCGAGCTAGCGCTCGTTGTGAGCAGCTACTGCGAGGAGAACCAGAATGGCCGGTGGAAGGTCCTGAAGGCGTTGGTTCGCCGTGGCTGCTGTGAGCAACCACACCTCCCGACCATTCACGCTCAAATTTCCTAATTAGGAATTAGTTCATGTGCTGAGTCTCTTTCGCGTGGCATCCACTTGTCCATTACAAGACTTTTGCTATGTCTTTATTTCTGTTCTCCTCCACTGTGGAAACTTTTCATCTAATTGTGTTTTTCAATCCCACCGGTCATTGTGTTCAACGACATCCAGATGCCTACTTACACCCGACGAGGCTCACGCCTGCAACCTATCTCGTCATTGACTCGTTTTAGTAGGTGTGACCCATCCTACTCAGGGGGCAATATTTTACCAGGATGCACATTGTAGTCCCTTGATCCATCAGATCTACCGAAGTTTGATGGTTCTGCCTGTCATCTCAAGATGCGACCCCTCACAATGGACTAGAAGTGTTACCAATGAAATTATTAGAATTTCATTGGCTTGACTGGGTCATCAGAAAGTGCATGTCAAACGCACGCACGGAGAGGTAGTGCATTCTAGAAGTGGCCCAGATGGGTTAACTTCTATTACCCCATCCACCTCGTCGCTGCAAAACATCTGGTCTGTAGCGCCGTTACGTGTCCTTACTCCTGTACCTCCAGTACTCTGACAGTGCGTATTACGCTGGTTCTTCTGTTTGGCGGCTGTGCCCTTGAGACGTGCTGTCGAAGCACTAGCACTGCACCGGTGGTATTAGTTTCAAGCATGTGGAAATCCGAGTGTGAGCTGAACTGCGCTGATTCCTGAAATGCATCAATGAAATTTGGATTGATAAGGATTACCGAGCCGTTTTGAAGATATTCATAATCACCATCTCAAATCGATGGTCTACTTGGGCCACCGCGCAGATCGACATCGATATACGCGGTCCACAGTATTTGATACAGTTTCATATCAAAATCACTTGTTCCAGCCACAACAGAGGGCTTTTTGCAGATCGTGGCGCTTGCTTCGTCTGACCCTCGGGTGATTGGCAAGAAGTCCCAAAGCGGGACTATTTCTACGCCCTTGACCCTAAGAAATGATGATGTGCATCCACCACTGCCCCCGACTTGGTCGGAGATGACGCTTTTGGCCCCCGACATCAACCCGACGTCTAATAAATTAATAACCTTTTCACAACTCAGAGCGACAGTCAGCCATGTGCCATGTGTTGACCGGGGATGCTATTGACATCCGCATCCATCCGAACATGCGTCTTGCCATCAAAAAATGGGTGTGCACGAGGTCGCACTAATCAATGGGGAATTCTTCGCTATCTCCTTGTTGTCTGACAATGCCAAGTGCGAACGGAAGGCCCACAAAGTGCTACCCCAGGGCGTTAACTTTCTATGCATCTTTTAGTATTTATTGCACCATACAGACATAGTCGCTCATCAGCCTAGAATCTGGATATTGATTAAACTGTCGACAATATTATCTCCCTTGTTCTGCCAACCCCTAACACTTGTAGACATCGCTACTAACGAGCGAAACAAGGTCGCGACGGGAATGTCACATTCCCCTTGCGACCTTCATCAGTAAAACGCAATCAGTAATATCTATCCGCCGGGATACCTGATGTCCTACAGCCCCCCCGGACGCGGGTGCGTACCCTATGGTGAGGGTCGTTTGTATCCAATGCTAGTCAGCATGTTAGGTCTAACGCGGTAAAATTCGCTCTTTGCTCTTCACTCACTCAAATTTGTCAGCATTACGCTAGAGTTATTTGGTCTGTTTACTGTGGAGGGTGCTCCTGTATACATTGGTTCACTGGCGCCCGACGATAAGATTGTGTGCCCTCATGGGCTCAATATTAGGGCCAAATACTTTTTGTTCCGCGTCGAACTTCACTATGTCGAATACTAATTACGCCCCCCCCCCCCACGATCACGCCATCGGCCAACTTCTGTACTTCTATTCTCGCATCAATCTAGAGCAATCTAGTCTATTCGATATATTATGTACCGCAGTTTCGAGTAAACATCCCCGCCGGTGATAATATTTACTTATTATACCTGTGAAGACCATTTGGTGTGTTTCAGTATGAGTACTTGAGTTCGAGTGGTATCTGACCGGCGACGCGAGACCTCTGGGAATGTGATCGATGATGATCGAGAATATTCAAATATTCAAAGGCGATATGGAGCAAGTGCGCGTAGAGCAATCAGGAGGAGCCAGGAGGAGCCCCGACCTCGGTGTCGGATCAATTACTTGCAATGGTTTCTCACTCGACCTATCCCCAATGGTCACCAGCTGTGGTCTGACATTGAAGTTTATTGAACAGCTTTTTCGAACACTAAACATGCTGTTTTTGGACTCTTAGAAGCTCGGCAACTTACTTACGTTTGCTGTACCCTTTCTTCGTTTCAGCTCAGGGTCGGCCCGGTTGGGCCATCACGTGCCTCGTTGTTTGAGTCTCAGTCTGCGCCCGTTGTCAACCCCGTTGAACCCGCCATCACATTGCGTTCCATAGAAATCATGATTTCCTCACCCGCGAAACGCCTACTTACGGAGGATGAGCGCATTTCTAGGATTGGTTCGGAAATACATAGCAATAATGCGTGAGTAGCGGATACCTTGCATGACCTTGCAATGCATAGACCCATCAAGCAACAGCACTCCATCCGACGTGACTGCGAACATCCGCAACGCGGCAATGAGAGGCAGAAAGAGTGAGCTTCATTATGGCGAGGTACAGCGCGTCACTAAAGAAAAATGACGCGTATGCGCACGCGTAACGTAGATGTTTTAGAGGGTTACCGTACTCAGCCCCCGGCCCCCAGCACAGCAAACAGCTCCCCAGCAAAGTATAGCCCAGCTCTTCATCTGGAAGAGAAAGTTTGGCCATGCGCAAATGATACACTGCGAGAAGTGTTTGCACCTGCGACCTCCGGCAAATATACTCCTACGTCATCTCCCACAAAGCGTAGACGCTCCGAGGCACATGATGACCTTGCCTCGGACAGCGAATCATCAGCTGACCATATGGATATTGAGAGGCCCATGAAACCTTTGCGGTCATCTAGAGGAAAATTGATGGCTGCCCTAGCTCTGCCTCGTGGACTAACCAGTCCTGCTGGCGGCGCGGAAATGACTCGTGTTCAAGAGTGCTCCGTAGCACAAGATCACAATACGCATTCCATTATGGATGTTGTCGGGTCAACTTCGCAAACGATGCCGCTTTAAACTATGTAGTGATCTCGGGACAATGACCTGCAGCACCGGAGGTGAGTCACTTTGCAAAGGAGGTTAAGTTCCTTAGCACCACTTACGAATTGCAGTGCTCATGGATGATCAAGGACAGGCCTGTTTTTATACAGGTGTTTTGCACGCCTTCTGTTTGGACTGTGGGAGGTTGAATGACCGTGTTATGTATGTAACTTGCTGTAAGATGGCAAGCAAAACATGAAGGATATACATATATTCGCGTACTAGCAACACTCACGCACATCTGACAGAAATCTCAGGCAAGCAAATCTCCTTGGCATGGACAAAGTCAAGATGTAACGTGTGGACCATTGATCCTTGCCTCAACCATGCTTTTCTCGCGCATTGTTCCGCCATCACGATGAGCCCTTGTGGTGAGGACAGACGATGCGTACGTAAGCTATTTCGGTTGCGGGCCGTTTAATCGATCTTGAGCGGACCCACAACGGATTCGTTTCTGATACGTGTCTGCGTGCGCGCTGACCGGCTCCCAAAAGACACTTTCCCACAAATTGGGAAATGTAACTTGTCCACCTTTTCGGCCGCGGGCTATGCCTTTGTTGTATCTCCCGCGAATATTGATCTCAGTGTAGCCAGACGCCCGTTCGCCCACTGGAAGAAGCCCTGTCAAGATCTCCGACCAGAATGGGGAGTCGATACTGGGAAAAATTAGTTCTTGATCTCGTAGCTTTTTTCTATGAACACAACTTCATCTGCCAGACTGGACTGATCGCCTTGTATTTATACCCATCCACTTTCAACCGAGTCTTTACACTACCCCCCTCTCCCCTGTCCATTCAGCTCTCAAGAAATCATGACACCACTCTCGTCTGTATCTGACGCTCGCGGAACTGAGCAGTCCTTCGATAAAGCCAAGAAACACCTATGGTAAGTGGCACATCTCTTTCCTAGGCTGCCATTGCATTCTCCATGTTTCGGCGATGCCCAAAGCACTTTAATCTATTACATTTTGCCGCCTTTGCTTTGTTCACTTCGCTTACGATTTCCCTACGTATTATTACTGACGCCACATTCTTTCGTCACATCTTCCCTTCATTTCATTCCCCTTACAGGGCTTCTGACTCACCGAGACATGAAATGAGCGGGCTTAATAGATACTCTGAGCAGCCACGCGGCCCACACCTTGAGGCAGCGCAGCGTTCCAGCGACCATGACGAGTGCCACCCCAACTCGTATGGCGACCCCTCAACTTCTCAGCGAAGATCGGAGCGAAGAGGATGTGTGCTGCCTTCATCTTCCCGGTAATTCACCATCCTATTTACCTATCTATCTCCTCAATTTTTGTTCTTGGAAGGAGTAGCCCGTACACCTTGCCACCTCTCTCCCGCGAAAGAACGCATGATCGAGACGTTCGTCCTTTACCTTCTCGATTCACGAAGTTCATGGACCACTCGGGACAAGAAGGACAGTTTGGGTATGCATGTTTAGTGCCACTCGGTGAAGTACTGACCGTTTCAAAAGGCGCACAGCTTGCACAGACTCAGAGACCTACCCCGAAAGTCAGCAACAACGACCCGTATCGTTATCGGTTTTCAACTCGCCGACGGCGACATACGCTTGGGAGCGCTACGAACCTGAATCTCAGATGACCCATCCGCGCCCCCTTTATGTCGATTACGTTGGTCGAAATTCCACGCGTTCGGCATCGTCGAGTTCTATCTCCAGCTTGCGTGACTCTCCTGGCATGCCGTGCGTTTTCATGAAGTGTGAATTAGGGTGTTGAAATGTAATCGCTTTTGCAGCTCTCCGGCACTATCTGATCGCAGCCTCTCCACGCCTACTCTACTACCCCAAAAACGAAGAAGCTCGTCGCCAGGTGGACAGTACGTGGCCTTTTAATCTTCATGTCTCATCTGCTGAGGACACCCTTGTTTCATTAGTCATACGTACCATGCACCTTCTGTTACGAAGATCGTGGAGCCGCTGAGGTACTTCGTTTAGTATTCTTTGCAACCTCGCGATTAACGGACTTGCAGACATGTAAACATTGACTTTGATCATAGCCGGCCTCCTGTGTCCTTCAGGCCTTACCAGCGAACGCCTACCCCTCCTGAAACGATCAGGAGTCCACCCCTGCACAGATCTCAATCTGATCGTCATGTTTCGACGAAACACAGCATTACAAGCGACGGTGACGAGCGTCACCGCCCACACGAACACAGTCCCTGCACTAGTGATACCAGTGATCAATTACATGGTACCCGCCCAGCAATACCGCCGAAGTCGGATTCAGAGGAGTGGGAGAAATACGCTTGTTTTACTCTAGATGGTACGACACGGAAATGGCTGTGCACCTGGCCAGCAGAGTCGGGCGGACAATGCAGATACATGTCCAAGAAGCAGCTAGTCAAACGCCACGTTGAAACAACTCATTTGCGTTATAAGTGAGCGACCCTGGTCATTTCAGAGCTTCCTTCGCTAACTATTTCCAGGCCGTTCGTATGTGATGTATGTGGCAAAGGTTTTCCCCAGAAAACTTCACTTGATACTCACATGCACGGACAGTAAGTGGCACTTTATCAACGCACCCATCATGAACTCACTTAATTCATCATCAGCACTGGATCCACGCCGCACGCATGCCGATATAATTGTGGGATGTGGTTTAAGGATCCAGCACGTAGACACAGGCACATGGTCGACGAGCATCAATACGTTCCAAGACAGTCTAAGAAGAAGCACACAAGTGGACAACCCCAAGACACATCGGACTTCGAATCTGTGCAACAATGGAATGTCGCTAGTGCCCCTTAGTGCCTCCCCGTTCGACCAGAAGGCTAATGCGTATCGGTATTAATGCAAGCCAATGAACCGGCTGACGTTTGTTATATATCGCCGTGATGTCGGCGTCCGATAAATCATGTCTACGGTTATCTTGTTGACTGTCTATATGTATATCATAATTCACGGGTCCTAGCATGTCCTTGATCCACAGAGTGGATGGGATGTGACCTAGAGACAGTAGCTGCTACGTTCGGAACAATTCTTATTCTTATTCTTATCGCTAATTTATTCTTCTGAGTTCTTGAGTTATTTTCATCGCCTCATCCAGATCAACGCAGCCGAAAATTGTAAGGTATCTATCCGTCTAGCGCTGTCAGTGACACAACGTAAGTTTTCATCGCAAGATATGATCGGCATGTCATTGCTTTCAAGTACTTTGTGTTCACTGGTTGATGGGCGACAAATAGGGGAAACGTGGTCTACACTGAATTGATAACTTAGCAATGTAGCCAACTTTCAAATGACAGAAGCGACAGACAATGAGTTCTGACATTGACTCAGACAAGCGCTGTCAGGGGAGACTGTGAGCAGACAACTATCGAGACTCTGTGGCGTAAACGCCGTCATAATCACCACGGAGACACGTAGATCACTATGTCGTGCACATGGCTCAATGTCAGCGGTCGTGTGGTGGTATTACTACTAGTTTTTGATGAGAAAGTACATCCCCGACGGTCGGGAGGCTCTAATCTGAACTACCGCACCTTCCTTTTCGGACACGAAACTTAAAATAAATGGGTACGGCATCTTCCGCCCGACTCAGCATCATTGATCGACGTTTGGCCGGTGGTACCTATATATAGCAAATATACAAGACGATTTGAGCCCGATGCCTCGGCGCACCGGCACGTGAATGACATGCCTTCCAAACCACCACCAACGTTGGGTAGTTTAGCTATTCAAGCGCCTTCGTTAACACCACACTTTGTTCATGTCTCGCCGTCAACATGTCATAACCTTAGCGTGTTTAAAGGTGGAGTTTAACCTTCTTGTCTTAACTTGGGGGTTTCCAACGGCTTAATTCTTACAGACCTTCTCAGAGAATATCGCAGACTTGATGATACTATTACTATGCGGTTAAACCGCACGAATGCGCAGTTCCGTGATCGGGATCGTGCAGGGACAAACGGTAAAGGTAATATTCAGGACCAGGCTTGCGCACACATGTGGAAGGAACTAGTTGGTGAGAAGTCTTCGGTGTTCATCCTGAAAAGGTCTCATTGTCCTGTGGTCAGAAAACTGGAAACGGCGTACGGAAATGATAAATTATTGCGTCAATAATGTCGATCAGTCCATGGAGGGGAAGCGAAAGTCATTGACAAGCGAGGAGGGCGATGCCAGGGCCCAGAGGAAAACGCAAGCAGCCATGTTTGCGGATGAGGTGAAGGTAAGGAATGTTATGGCGTACAACCCCTTTCCTCATAAACCCATGCAGAGAAATCAAGTTCGCAATGAATTAGCTGTTGAGAAGATCGTACGCCAACGATCGCTTGACGGTGAGGATGCTGTCCTGTCTCACGTACTAGTTTTTGACAGTGTATTATCTTCGCAAACCCTAGCATTTGAATCAAGGTGTCAGTATTTTTCACCCCCTTTAACGGATGCCGAGGCGAGGAAATGGTGGGATGCTGCACACACCCAAGAATCGCCATAGACGATACAGGATGCTAGAAACCTTGCCCTTTTTACCAAACGACAATTATTGCTAGTTGCTTATATAATCATGACCATGATACAATAGCGGAAGCATTTCGAAGTAGCCCATCCACTTACAACTACCGTCTTACTGCCATCCATGCATTGTACCATGCTATCTCCACTCTCTTTGTTTGGATTATTCAGCGTTGCGGTGGCCTTGGCACCGCCGCTGACGGTGCAAGATCACTTTCAAACAACAATATCCGGTGGTGTGAAAGTGCCAGTGGTTCTAGGCGTCATGTCTCGCTGCCCAGATGCAATTCTGTGCGAATCTGTGTTCGATCGCGTATTGCAAAGAGTAGGCGACAAAGTGGATATTTCATTGTCCTTCATCGCCCAGTACGTTCATGCATAACGCTTCCTGAGCACCCAGTTCACTATGTGCGATAGACCAAACAACTCGGAGCCCCTTTATGGTGTAACATGCATGCATGGACGGGAGGAGTGTGCCGGCAATGTACAAGAGTTGTGCGCTGCCAAATACCACCCTATTTCTGAGTGGTGGCCCTTTGTGCAGTGCCAAAACTTTCAGGGGCGTGAAAATATCGGCACACCTGAAACTGCCCTCAACTGCGCAAAGGCAGCTGGAATCAACTGGGAAGACGGCAAGGCTGGTCAATGCGCAGGAGGAGACGGTCGCGGAACAGAAGGAATACACCTTTTGCAACAGAGCGTTAAGGATAGTATCGCGGCTGAAATCCAGTACGTCCTTAAAAGTATGAGAAACCCAGAGCTAAGCCGGCAATAGGAAAAGCTGCACAGTTATCATTAACGGTCGACAAGTATGCATACGGGATGGCACTTGGTACGAATGTGAGGTATGTAGAGAACAACATTGCCGCGCAATGCCTTACAACGTGTTTTCAGGGCGGTCATTCACCGGCAGATTTTATCCGACAAATCAACGAAGAATATGACAGACTCAACAGTGCTGATTAAAGAGAGCGGGCATGTTCAACATTTATATCATGATGCACGTCGATGCACGCACATAAATACCATCACTCAGCCACCAAGAATTAGCTCGTACACGATTATGACAAGATTTAGCCCTATGAGTGGTACTGTGTGTGGAAAGCATTAGCAAATTTGTTCCGACCCGAACCTTGTGCTACTTACTACGCATGAGGGTCCGCACCGCACTAATGAGGGTGATTAATCTGACTTTGACACCAGCATCTTGCTGCTGGGTATATCCGTACCCTGATTGATCGTATGGTGGTTGAAAGCCAGCGTTGGGATTCTGCACAGAGGACCAGCCGACTGCAAAACGGTGTCAGCGAGTGGAGTATTAGCAATCATGGTTCTCACTTTTCGCAAGGAACCGGTCCTCACTGAGGACTGCCATTGCATTAATTAGCAGAAGCGAAACATAAAGAATGGTTCCGAGTGTGAGCATCGTTCCGCTCGCAGTGAGGTTGCGGAATGATTGTGTGCGTGTCTAAGGAAAGGTGCAATGTGACCAATGTGACTTCCCGTGACCGTGACAGAGGTCGAAGCGTGACCCAACGCGCCGGCTGAATTTTGTTGGCGCTTGCCAGAACCTTTGCAGAATGCAAGCAGTTGCAAGACAAGTGCGATGCGGTATGTTATAACTATTTCTACAGATAGAGCAGCTCTTAAGCATGATATAGCGAGTCGCTTAGGCACTCCGGCGCAGTTCCGCATAGTAACCTCATCCCACATTCAATGGCAATGTCAGCGGAGGTATGTTGGTCAACCAGGAATGGTGTTCTGCTTCTTATTTCATCTCTACAGAGCCTCTAGCTACTACAATCCTTTGCAATGGATTCAGGAGAAGTTTGCCCCAAGGGCAAGAAAGGTGGAGGAGAAGAGAACAGGAGAACAGGAGAAACAGGGCCAGCAGAGCGCGTTCGAGGCGGCTGTGAGTCAAGAGAAGGGGGTGCGCCCTAAAACAACATCGGTCGAAAGCGCTCCTACTGTCGTCAAGAAGAAGAAAGCCACTGAAGTATGTCCCACATCCTGTATGATCTCACCGTACACCACTCATCATACGTGCCGGATAGCACAAATACTCCACAGCTAACTTCAAAATTTCACATAGAAAGCTCAATATGATTGGTCGACAGATATCTGGCAGGCCAATTGATCATGCTATCGTTCAAATGCAATTTAGCGAAAAGCGAGCCACGAGCAGGATAAAGAGCATGTTGGCGACGGCAAAACTTCATGCTACAGCTTACAAAAATATGGATCCTTCCAAACTCGTCGTTGGTAAGCCCCGCTGACTATACTACTCCAAGGATGGATCTTCTAATACTCGTATAGCGGAAGCCTGGGTAACCAAGGGGCCCAAGCAACTAAAGCGACTTGAACCTCGGGGACGTGGAAAGTTTGGTATCAGAGTTCACCCCGATTCGCGCATGCATGTGATCTTGAGGGAAGGGAAGACATTCGAGCAACTGAAGAAGGAGCAACGCGAGCGGCGTTTGAGAAGAATAGTCTCTGCAGGGTTGGTTCGGGAGGATGTACCGCTCAGGAACCCCGCTCGGACCTGGCAGTGGTAGCCGTTTCTAGTCTTGATTACTCTCTCAGTTGATATATAATCGTGCTTTTGAACCCTTCCATCATGCCTTGCCAGCGCGACCGCTGCGATGAATCCGATTAAGCCCAATGTTATTGATTCATTATATTCGAACTTGGTACTATGTGCTTATAGTTAGTACGTACTGCGATTCTAAAAATAGTCGGTCAGAATAACAACACGTCGCTCTTTCTACAACAAGCCACGACTCCAAATGACACGACGCTGGCGGGCACTTCCTCTGCTCCTTGTGAGCGCGCTTGCACCTTCCTTCTCATTAGCTGGTTTATCTTTTGAAAACACGGCTATCGTCCGCACCATCGAACTAGGTGGTTCGCTTGTACACGTCAGTACAACTTACGCTGTCAAAGCTCTCGAGCCAGGACAGACTACCTACCAAATTGCGCTCAGCAAGGCTGAGCGAGCAAAAACAAGTTGGCTCGAGGCTAAAGTAAAGGGACGGACTGTACCTCTTGATGTCACTGAGCTCAGTGAGGATGAATCCAGGTGTGTTGGGTTTTGCGATGTTCAGTACGCGGTATTCATGTCATACAGTACAGAGCATTTGTTGTCTGTTTCCCTTCCAAAAGAGTTGGCTGTGAACGGCACTCTCAACCTTGTGTTGGAGACTGTGCAGACGCATGCTACATACCCATTTCCTGAACAGGCCGCTCAGAAGGACCCCCAGCTGCTCAAGTATGAAACTGACCTTTTCACCATCAGCCCTTATACCACCCTCGTCCAGCGCACAAAGGTCAAGTACGTGTTGTGTGCTACTTGCTTTATGTCTGAAGATCTGATTTTGCCATGACAGGTCTTTGTCGCCGAACGTCGTTTCCTATACTACCCCACACGACGTGGACAGTTTCATGAGAGATGGTTCTGTCACCAAATCCGGGGCGACTATTACATATGGTCCTTATCACGACATTCAAACGGACGCAGATTTCGTGGCAAAATATCAACAACCTATCTCAGTTCATTACAGCTTCGACCATCCCGTTCTCGAGGTCAAGACGCTTCGCCGTACAGCAGAAATTAGCCACTGGGGTTCCAACTTGAATATCGAGGACAAGATTGACCTCCATAACGCTGGGCCCACGTAAGTGACGCCTCTCGCATTCTTATATATCGTTTATTTTCGAATTCAGTCTTAAGGGTCATTTCTCTCGCTTGGAGTACCAAAGCCAAAATTATCACCGCAAGCAAGCTCCACATATTCTTTCCGACCTCACTTTACACCTTCCCCCCGGGGTGACCAATGCGTACTACTACGACCAGAACGGCAATGTCTCGACATCCCATCTGCGCACGACGCCGTCTGTCGCTAAGGGTAGCAAGGCAATGCAGTATAGTGTGCTTGAATTACGGCCACGCTACCCAGTGCTCGGGGGTTGGAACTACTCTTGCACTATTGGCTTCGACACGCCTCTGCAGGATTCAGTCGGCTATGATGCGAAGAATGGCATATACATCGTTGGCATACCTGTCATGACCCATATTCCTAGCGCTGTCGTCGACGACGCCGAAGTCAAAGTTATATTACCGGAAGGTGCAACGTATGTGGAATGAAATTCTTGTCTTTGGTATTGACTGATGTGGCCTACAGTAATGTCGAATTCATCTCCCCTTTCCCCGAACTTTTTAGCGGTATGTCAACGCACATCACATACCTCGATACCACGGGGCGCCCCGCCGTCACCTTCGCATACAAAGACTTGACATACAAACACATGGGCATCATCTACGTGAGTGCACATCTTGTTTGTTGGTTTGAAAGGCACCAAATAAATTTTGTGTCCAGGTCTCTTATCAGGTTCCCTTCTCGGCTCACTTGAAGAAAGCCATGTCTGTTGGTGCTGCTTTCTTCAGCCTGTTTGCTCTTGCCTTCATGGCTAGGCGCGTCGATTTAACTCTACACAAGAAGTGATGTACAGTAATACTTTTGCAACTGGTCAATCATGATGGAAAACCTTATTGCCTCAGAACCTAGGTGGCATTCATGACATATGTTTGATTATTTGCACCTCAAAGCTCATCGTGCTGTCTCCCAAACTCATCCTGCGTGAAACTATGAATTATTATTACGTCGCATCCCTTGTGGCGTTGACGACCTGAACGGTGATTAGCCTTATGCCAGGCTTGTTGAAGATCTGACCTACGGGTCCAAGGATATTAAGTACACGTTATAGATGCCCGTCTTATTCTGACACGCGTAGAATGACCCCTTGTTCGATTTTTTGCCGAAACTATAGCATGGCCCCACCACCCTTCTAATTCCGAGCTTTTGGATCATTCGAAGGGCGCATCCGCGTGAGCGCTGTTTAGGGAATAGATATAGGTCCACGTTCCCGTATAGCCGAAGCTAGTTGTAATTGATGGGAATTGTAGCCGGTCAGAGATGATTGCACTCCCCAGGTTCTCCTATCCATAATCACGAATATAGAACATTCATGACGAGCGCACCTCTGGGACCATTGTTTGTTAGGTAATTGGGTCCGTAAGGTAGTGGCTGGGCTGTGCGAGTAGGGCCTGATGCTTCGTATAACTTCCGTTCGTGTCTCTGCTGTTGAGATACGCCCATGAAGCAGGGAGAACAACATGAGAAGCTCGGGCCGTGTCAGACGTCACCGAGCTTGCTGTTTCGAACCGAAATGTATGGATTGTACTGGATGATGAACGGATGCAACCGATATTCGGTCGGAACACCGACCCGGTCTTGCAGACTGTGTGCGAGCTACGTCGTCAACTGGATGCGATGGCCTTGCGACTTTGTCGTGTCCGATCTTGCATATTAGGGGCTATATCTCCGTTTATGCCAAACTTTCCCATGTAACCAACTTGTTCATCTTGCAAGTTTGACTCGCCAGAAGGTTATCTGGCATGATTTCGAGTCAAGGCAGAAGGACCGCTCGCAATGTCACTCTCAACTTGAAGAAGAATAACTGGTGGCGATCGTTAGTCTCTGGGACAACGATAGACTCGAGTTTAGAGCGTCCTGCTCTCATCCGACGTCCGCCCGAGAAGCATTCTACACATCAAGGTCATCCCGGTAAAGGTCGGTCGGGCAGATCGTCGGACTTGTGGTCCCGCCCTCAGTCGGAAAAACGTCAAGGAAATGCCGAGGGGGAGCAGAAGAAACGTCTGCTCAAACCTTATGACTTATCGATGCAACTCAAGCGGATGTGCAGCGAGGGAGACCTCGAAGGCGCCATAGAGCGTTTGAAGACGACTCCTCGGGATGCGCAGAACGTAGCCGTATGGAATACAATGATATCAGAGTGCTTGAGTGCCGAGCGGTACCAGCTCTCCTACGAGTTGTTCATTGATGTAAGTGGGTCTGTCCATTATGTTTATCACCGTTCTTTATAATGGGTCTATGCGATAGATGAAGCGTAGAGGGTTTTCGCCAAATAGCATCACGTTCTCCACCATGCTCAGTGGTATTTCCCTCATCAAAGACTGGTCGAAGTACAGCAAACAATTGCAGAACGCGCATTCTCTCTACGAATACTACCTAAAACACATGGAATCCGTTAAATTTCACGAGCCTGACAACTCAAAGGAGTTGTCCTTGCAGCCTCTTGTTGCATACATCCAGGTTCTCGGTGATGCAGGAGATTACCATAAAATCTTTGACGTTTACTTCGCCATGGACCAGGAAGGACCTCTCGCACCTGACAGGTTCGTCTTCACCGCGATGTTCAAGGCAATATCCACACGTCAGAAGCGCTCGGTTTCTGACGGAGAGGCTTCTACTCGTAACGACGCTGCGTCTGATGCGAAGCACGTCTGGATACAGATGGAGAAAGTTATGCAGAAGAATCCTGACTTTCACTTGGATCCTGGGCTCATTGCAGCAGCCATACGCGCCCTTACGCGGGGAAGCCCAAATGACCAAAGTTTTGCATTCGTCATTATCCGCGACCGGCTGGGTCTTTCGAAGCCGGGGGAAGATATGCCTCGGAGATTGTCGAACAATCTTAACGCATGGACGTTAGACGCTGCTCTCCAGCTTTGTAACTCCATGCAAAAACACAGACTCACCGTCCATTTCACGCGTCAAGTCATGGAAAAGATCAATTGGGACAAAGTGTGGATGCGTTACCTCATTGACTCTAGCCACATACACAAACTCCTCAGAGCATATGCTGGACTGGCCTCTCTCGGATCCCTCAACGAGTCGAACGAAGCTCTTGAAGCGTTGGAGTGGAGTGTACAGCACGATATCATCTATCATCTTCCCAAGTTGACACCCACAGCGCAATCATACCATCTCGCCCTCATGACATGTTGTCGCAGCGTGGACTGGCAGGCTGCTGTCCGCGTTTATGAACTCATGACAGGCGTCGAAGGCAGTCAATTCGAGGTGGGCGGAAGCCGTCCTCCAGCGGTGAAGATGAGGTCCAAGGGCAAGAACCTGCCGACGGATGCAGAGACCATGTCGTTCCTTCTGCGCACCGCCCTTGCCACCAACAACCCCGTTCATATGCAACATGCGATGTGGCTAGCTGATTTTGCGCGCGTTGATGTGCTCCTCAGTGACGAAAAGACGACCGCATTCTACCGGTCAAAACTTGCTTCCGCCTTGATGGAGGCGATCAAGCACCTCCAAGACGCGGGGGTTCTTACTCAGGAGCAAGAAAAGACCTGGAGCTCGTACAGATCATTGGCACGAGAGGTTCTCAGGAGCACCAGGGGTAGCCCCACACCTGGAGTTGAGGAGGAGAGGTTAGGAAACACACGGAGACTCGTCGACATGGACAACTATGTAGCCTTCGAGATGGCATCGCGCAGTACCAAATCGCGGACATAATGGAGAGTGCACGTATATTGCATGGCAGTAACGGGCAGTGACCGTATTATATGCAAGATATAAAGGTGATGGGTAGTAGATCAAGCAGACGGAAAATAGATAAATGGCGTTCGAAGAGAAAGGTCCATTGTCCGACGAAAGCCCAACAACATCTACATAAGTACACGAGAATCCATGACGGACAGAACAACCAGGATATAGCGACGGTCCGGGGGGTACGAGGATATTATTAGTAAACTATGCGACTGACTTTGGGCGATCTCCAGGTCTCATCGACTCCCCTTTAAAGGCGGGTGACGGAGGAGCGAAAAGTGTGTCTTCTGTCATTGCCATCGAGACAGGCTGGTATGTGTGCAGCTCTTGATGGCCTGGAAAATCGGGGAACCTCGTAGAGGTAATATTCATCGGCATTGGGCTGAGTCTTCCAGGCGTCTTGCGCGCTCGTGCACTCTTCCCGCGACGCCTGCACAGCAGGACAAGACCGACGATGAGAAGAATGATTAAAATCAGGGCATTAAGAGCCATCACGGCAAGCATGGCAGGGAGATATTTGGAGAGCTTGTCGATAGTGTTTGCTACATCCGTGGACACCGTCACAGTTGTTGACCCAGAACCATCATTTGAAACGTTATAGGTGATATTATTCTGTGGCGTTCCGCCTCGGACATCGTGGAACTCCACCGATGCCTGGTTAGGATCGATCAGGGCGAGCATTTGGACATAAGGGCTGCCCATATTCCCCGACGAAACGAAGTCGCCGAAGTCGTACAAAGCATAGATTGAACGTAAAACGTTATCACCTATCAACCAATCACTAGGGAAATGATCATTTGGCAATGCGTTCCAGAATGATGCCACAGACTCACAATTGGCCTGCCCCCACAGAGACACTTTGGGGCACAAAAGAGCCGACACAGGTTGAAGAATCGCCCACACTCTGTGGTGAAACATCGAGAGGGTGGATTGGCAAGATTTGGTCGCTGTGATGACAATGTCAATGATAAAATACTTGATCTACCGCAGACACTAACTCGAACTGAAGAGCCATATTTATTTCTGCGTCACAAGGGACGACCCATTGCCCGAGGGCAGAGTTATACTGAGCCCCGGATACACCGCCATAAATGGCCTGACACACGTCAGTAGGCGCGTATCTGCACCCCTCGTGAATAAAGTAGATTCAACCATTGGCGCAAATGATCACGTACGTATACGATGTACCGCTATCCAGAAGGACAACTGCCTTGTTCGATGGCGCTCCTTGTACGCCAGTGGACACTGAATAGGTCTCCGTGCCAACAATAAATGAGTCCAACAGCACATTCCAACGCGTTGGAGAGTTTACGGGCCATGTTGGGATTTTGTTGGTGCTTGTGACATTTGAATATTGGAGCTCGGTCTCGCCTGCATTTCGATGCATCAACAAGTGCGTGTAAGAGTAATTGAATAAACATACCAATTGCGAAACTACCCATCACTTGATCATCGTCCGATGTACTCTGCAGAGAGAATGCAATGAAGTTGGGTTCGGAAGGATTGTCCTGGAAAAGATTGTAGAGGAGACTGCGGCCGGTCGACGCGCCGGTGACGTTTACGAGGGCATCTATAGTCGACAAGGAATCAAAACCTAATCCTAGGAGTCCTATAGCTCCATAGGATAATGCCGGGTTTTGTGCGGACGAGACGTCAAGAAAAGCTTGGGAAGGAATGGATATCCTATTTGAAAGTTGAATTTACGGTATACCACTTGAACATTCGCTTACCCTGCGAATTCGGCCTCAACATAAGAAATACTTCCATATGCCCAACCAATGCCATACTTGTGCGCCTAAGTCAGACCGAAGATACCTGTCCAAGCAGAAACACACTCACAGTCAGATTACAAGCCAGGGACTAGTGATCACTTAGTAAATTACGACCAAAGTAGCGTATGCCACTCACTGTAATGTTTGCATTAGAGATGGGTGTTGAGCTCTTCACCCACAGGTCAGAAGAACCTAAGGAAGACGTAAGATATGAAAAAGGAAAGAGAATGCCAAAATTCACCTGTGTCAAGCTGGACCAGATAATCTGGTTGATCGATGAGTCACCTTGTGACTTGAATGTAGTGCGTTACTTACCAACACCGCCAAGGGTAACCTGATTTCCTGGTAAGTTAATTAGCATGGCAGGACGAGCGAAGCGTGCTTACATTCGCCATATAAATGAGATCGTGAACATCACTATCTCAGAAGTCAGCTGGTATCCATTAAACTGCGGAATGAGGATATGGCTTGCCTGAGCGTAAGCGCCGTGGACCCTGACGAATTTGAAGCGAGAACTTGTGGACGAGATACTGAAACGTTTGTGCCCCCACTTCGTCGCTGTAGGGTTGGGCGTTTTGATTGAATGAAAGGTATTTTAACAGCCACTGAAACTCCGGCCAGGACAACCAAGGAAAGAGCCTGCAACTTCATGGCAGAGGATAAAAAGGAACGACTTTGGCGATGGCCGGTATAAGTATGCTGAAGGAATGCGCGCCGTTCTGGGCTGGTCTATGATAGAAACAACAAAAGCTGTGAGCAAGCAGCAGCAACACTGGCAGCTGTGATCAACGAGGCATCAGAGACAAGTGAAAAGATTAAAATTAGCTATTTCTGGCTACCCCACGTGGTTAGTTATCACATTACCTGTCACGTGGTCTTCGTGTTTATTATATCGTCGGTTCCGGCCTCGGTTCCTGGTTCCGGACTTCCACCATGGCACCAGCTGCAACGAGGAATACAATCCTTCGTCTCATAAACGCATCTCAGCATTCAGCGTGTCCATGTCATGGCTGCAGATCTGCAACCCACAACCATGCACATCATGGTGCCCTTGCCTTGAACCAACTTAGAAAGTTCGCGACTCCCGTCCAGACTGTCGAAAAGGAGTATGCATTCGAAGTATGTTCTTTTCAAGAAGCGCTATAACCACTTACAGCTCTTGTGCAGGTTGCAGCATCGAATTTGAGGTTTGGAGAGGGCGTCACGCGCGAGGTTGGTATGGACCTCAAGAACATGAAAGCCCGCAAGGTCAGATTATTTCCCATGCCTTCACATCATGAACATCATTATTGTCTTTAGGTTGGCGTCTTTACAGACCCTATCGTGGCCAATTTGAAGCCCATGCGAGTTGTAAGCATTCCTGTCCCACGATTTTGCAGTGCCAATAGTGACTTTGATCCTTAGGCCCTTGAGTCCTTACAATCTCAAGAAGACCTCCCATTCGAAGTATATGATCAAGTGCTTGCAGAACCCACAGAAGACAGCTGGAGAAAGGCCATTGAATGGGCAAGACAACACGATTTCAGTCACTTCTTGGCGTAAGTTGTAGTCGGTGGTGTATGACCCCCAGCTTACCATGTTTGTAGTGTCGGTGGTGGGAGTGTCATCGACACCGCCAAAGCAGCGAACTTGTAAGGCTTAAATTTTTTTCGCATTATTTTTCCTTCACACCCTTTAGGTTCACCGTTTACAAGGATGCTGATCTCATGGACTTCGTCAATGCGCCCGTAGGCAAAGGTCTTCCGATCTCTCAAACCTTGCGGCCTCTCATTGCAGGTTGACAAGTCTACATCCATATCGTATGACCCTCGCTCATGAACTTGCAGTTCCTACTACTGCCGGTACTGGATCTGAGACCACTGGTGCGGCCATCTTTGACGTTACTTCACGTGCTTTCAAGACTGGCATCGCAAACCGTGCACTTAAGCCTGTCTTGGGCGTCGTGGACACGGCTAACACGGAGAGCTGCCCAACCGCCGTGCACATCAGCGCAGGGTTGGATGTCCTGTTCCACAGTTTGGAGAGCTATACTGCTATTCCGTGAGCATGCGTTTGAAATTTACAATGGGCAAACAAAAGAACAACTCTTTAGTTACACGGAACGGACACCCCGCCCTGCAAATCCGATTCTACGACCTGCCTACCAAGGAAGCAATCCCGTCGCAGATATTTTCTCGATGTGGGCTCTTCGTACGACTGTGAAATACTTGCCTCGCATTGCCAAGGATCGCAGTGACCATGAGGCCAGAAGCCAAATGCTGTATGATTTCCTATCCCTTTCCGACATCGATGTTCTGATTGAGCACTAGCCTCGCGGCTTCTTTTGCTGGTATTGGTTTCGGAAATGCTGGTGTCCACCTGTGCCACGGGATGAGTTACCCTGTACGTGCAGCAGATAGTGTCAGGAATCAAGACTGAGCAGCTCTTCCTGTAGATATCCGGCTTGAACAAGAAAGGCCCGAAGTACAAGCACCCTGGATACCTGGTTGACCATCCCATCATCCCCCATGGCGTCAGGTAATTCATACACTGACATTTTAAAGATGGAGAATGAACGTGCATCCTGTAGTGTCGCCTTGACTGGACCCGCGGTCTTCCAATTCACTGCTCCATCTTCTCCCGACCGTCATCGTGAAGCACTTGCCGTTTTCAACAATGTGACCGTTACCGACCCCTCGATAACAAGCATCCCTGACTCTGAGGTTGGCGCATATCTGTATGAGTCCATTGCATCCTTCCTCGACGGACTCGGTGTTCCTCGTGGACTGAAGGCCGTGGGATATAACACGAGCGATATTTCAATGCTAGTCGAAGGCACGCTCCCCCAACGTCGCGTTTTGGATTTGGCTCCGAACATCGGAGATGTGGCGGGCGAGGATGGGAGGGAGCATCTGACGAGAATCATGGAGGCCTCTATGGAGTACTAAATGCGAGAGCCGTCTTTACGCTTGAGATTGCATATTTCCAATGTACATGTATTATACCATCGAATGAGGATCACTATCGCCACCAACCGTCTTGCGTGATGAGTGGTGGACTGAACGTCTCTGACTGGAGCACTTTACTAGTTGGCAAATTCTCGGACAATTCCGAGAATGGCTCCTGAGCAACGGCGAAGCACATTCCGTCCATGCATTGACCTACATGAAGGACAAGTGAAGCAAATTGTCGGGGGTACTCTTTCGGATGGCAATGAGGAGAGACTGAAGACGAACTTTGTCGCGACGTGCGTGAATGCCCTCTGACCCTTTCGATGATTGATGAATGTTCCTGCAGGCAACCTCCAGGATACTTCGTGGGGAAGTATCGCGACAACGGTCTGGAGGGCGGTCATGTCATAAAACTTGGGCCTCGGAACGACGAAGCAGCCAGGACAGCCCTGGCAGAGTGGCGGGGTTCGCGCCCATCATGTTGTTTTCATGATTATGTTTTTACCGATGTGTTCTTTATTCTAGATCATCTACAGATCGGCGGGGGTATCACCGCTGAAAATGCCAAAGAATGGCTTGATGCGGGTGCGAGCAAGGTTAGACTAGTCAGGTGCGCAAGGCGCCAACTAATTCCTCCCCAAGGTCATCGTCACATCTTACCTCTTTCCTGGCGGTAACTTCTCCTTGGAACGTCTGGAGACAATCTCATCCCTCGTCGGGACGGACAAGCTTGTTGTAGACGTTAGGCACGTCATTTAATACTGTACCAACATCTAGATCTCATGATGAACTTAGCTGTCGCCGGCGAAAAGACAGGTGGTTTGTTGCTATGAATAAGTGGCAGGATATCACCACAATGGAGGTGAACAAAGGTAAGTAAAGAACTCTTCATCGTCTGCAATAGGTGCTAAATTTCGTGTCCAGAGAATCTCGATATGCTGGCACAGTATTGCAAGTGAGGCTTATGGGCATTCCGTCTTCGTCGCAATGACCTCTCATGTTGCAGCGAGTTTCTCATCCATGCAGCTGACGTGGAAGGTCTGTGCCAAGGTGTTGATGAGGAGCTCGTAAAAAGTCTGGACATTATTTGATGCTGTCATCTCGCCACTGACATCTCAAAAGAGCTTGGTGAATGGGTGACGATTCCTACCACATATGCCGGTGGAGCTAAAAGTAGGTAGTTTGATCCATTGGTCCATTTCCTACTGATACGATGCTTACTCAGGCATTTCTGACTTGGAGACGGTGAATAGACTTTCAGGAGGACAAGTGGACTTGACATATGGCAGGTAGGCAGGATCCCTTGATGTTTTTAAGAGATGACTCATTCCGACGACTCTAGTTCATTGGACATCTTTGGAGGGACTGTAAGTTTTGACGAACTAGTGAAAGCAAGTAAACAGTAGTACCAAGATTCAATATGTAGCGCGTACTTTAGATTTTTGATAGACGAACCACAGGGGAATACCCTTTTCCGGCGGCGTGGGAATCGTGGCTCATAAACTGTATAGTACCATATCGCGTACGCCAGACATTATCAAGCACGGCGCGGACGTTCTGTACGACAGCCCCCTCAAGGTAAATATCTCACCGTTATGCTGCTAGACCATGTTCCGGCTGTTTCCATACACTTTGTTCTCGTCCCGCCCTTTTCCGTATTCGTGTGGTGGATCTGCTAGACTGAGTGCTAATCAACTTTCATTTCATTCTACAGACAACCCTCAAAATGCCCAGCAGCAAAGTTAAGGCCTACGAGCTCCAGTCCAAGTGAGCTCACATTGTTACTCGAAAGTGACGGCGCTAATCGTGAAACCTCTTGTTGTGTGATGTATGCAGGTCGAAGAATGACTTGACCAAGCAACTCAATGAACTTAAGACCGAGCTTCTTTCGCTGCGTGTACAGAAGATTCTCGGTGGCTCGGCCTCAAAACTCACCAGGATGTACGTTTGGGATCATTGAATATGCAGTGCGGGAAGGCTGACTTGACTAGCAATGTTGTGCGCAAGTCGATCGCACGGGTGTTGACTGTGATGAACCAGAAGCAACGCCAAAACCTGCGGGAGTTCTACAAGAACAAGAAATTCCTCCCTCTTGATCTCCGGCCAAAGAAGACGCGTGCGATCAGACGACGACTGACCAAGGTTTGAAATATACTCCCTCTGCGAGATATGTGTGACTCATTCACATTAGCACGAGGCATCATTGAAGACGCTCAAGCAAAAGAAGAAGGACATACACTTCCCTATTCGCAAGTATGCCGTCAAGGCATGAGCGTGAATGTGTTGTTGGCTGGGTGTGAGAGGGCCCGTCATGCTGGAGATTTTCTGTTTTTGCATTTTCATATTTGTATGCCCTACGCCTTGATCAACTCAACATGCACGCTATGCCATGACACCGTTCATTGGAAGTTGATCCAGTACACTTTTTTGAATCTTTGTGGGGCAAGTGGACCAATCGTGACTTGAACATTGTATGATCAGTACCACGCCCGAGTCCCAGTGTGCGCGGGCACTCTCGCGGTCCTGGGATTTAGAACTACTCCGGGTTTCGACCACCGGGTCTAATGACGTCGATCCCAGCATTATTATTCGGCCGTTGGGACATTGGTCCCGACCTCGTGTATCCACCATGACAGATCTTCAAGTCACCCATCAGGCAGATCCTTCCTCTCACGAAACTATATCTGTGACAATAATCTTGTCGCCACCGCATATTCACGTCAGGTCGTCGTAGGTGCTTCCAAAGTCCATTTTAACAGGACTTGACATAAGGAGCCTTGCAGTTTCATCGTGCATGCGACAAGTAAGTCAGCCTGGCATAGGATTACGACATTAAAGTCCTTTCACGTACTTGGTCAGTCCGTTTCTTCCGTATCTACACTGTTAAGTCCTTTCTTGAGAGAATGCGGACGGGGTTCCCTTGGACACGTGTGGAGCAAGTCTTCTTAATCTTGTTCGGTATGAGTTGAGGTCACACAACCTGCTGCCCCATGTGTCTGGTCCTCTCTGTCCGCTCAGGCCACCATGTCTCCTGGTAGTCTCCTCAGAAAACTTTCAGTGACTAACGTTGGTCATGGACAGCCGCCCGCCCGCTCGCCCCCGATGTCGCCACAGACAAGCCAAGATAGGGAGACGTGTACCAGGGAGCCTTACCCTGTTCCAAGCAGCAACCCAGCCAGTCAGTATACCCTCATTGAAAAATTGGGAACTGGGAGCTTTGGGGTCGTCTACAAGGCTATGCACAATGAAACAAAGCAGATAGTCGCTATCAAGCAGATCGGTGTGTACTGGCGCTCGATGTTGCGTTGAAGCTAATTGCTCCGTCTTCGAAACAGATTTAGAGGACTCCGACGATGACATCTCGGAAATTCAGCAAGAAATTGCTAGTCTCGCTCAATGTGATTCGGAATACGTCACTCGCTATTATGGGTCATTCGTCGTTGCTTACAAGCTCTGGATTGTCATGGAGTACTTGGCTGGGGGATCATGTCTTGATCTCCTCAAAGGCGGCGTATTCTTAGAAGCCCACATCGCCGTTATTTGTCGGGAGCTTCTACTGGGTCTCGATTATCTACATTCGGAAGGAACCATTCATCGTGATATCAAGGCTGCCAATGTCTTGCTCTCTGCTAGCGGACAGGTCAAGCTTGCCGACTTCGGGGTGGCGGCACAGCTGACCAGCACGCTGAGACACACATTCGTGGGTACTCCATTCTGGATGGCACCCGAGGTCATCCGACAGGCGGGTTACGACGCTAAGGCGGATATGTGGAGTTTGGGTATCACAGCTATAGAAATGGCGAAAGGAGAGCCGCCGCTGGCCGAATACCACCCCATGCGGGTTCTCTTCCTTATTCCAAAGGCGAAACCACCAGTCCTTGAAGGTTCATTCTCTACTGCGTTTAAAGAGTTTGTGTCCCTCTGTTTGACGAAAGATCCTGCCGATGTGAGCCCGACTTCTCTCCTGTGCTTAAAATTCCCTGACAGTCACTATAGCGTCCCACAGCCAAGGATCTCTTGCAGCATAGATTCATCAAAGGCGCGAAGAGGACATCGTGTCTCACAGAGCTGATCGAGAGATACCAGGAGTTCCGTGCCAAGTCACCGCAGAAAGGTCTGCCTGCAGCCTACCAGGCGACTATCTGTGGCACGGCAATGTGGGAGAGCAACGGTACAATTCGAAGTGACTGGAACTTCGACACCGTCAAGTCGAGTTCCGTTATGGGTACCTTTAGCAGTGTTGCCAAGGATTTGTTGCCCGAGATGGATGATGAAGATATGGGTGTCGATGAGTCCTCGATATATGAGGAGGACGAAGGCTCGTTTGAAACTGCGGGAGCAGTCAAAGGAAGCTCGCCGCTCGGTTCTGGAGGGATCGGAATGAACATGAGTGCAGCACACTCTACTGTTGTCATCAAGACTGCGCTTGACGAGCCAGACATCTCATCACTCCTCGCTGCTGCAGAAGGTTTAGCGAGCGAGTCTGCAGATGGCGCCGAACCAACAACACCATCCCAAGTTACCCACCCTGGAGATGATGGAATGCCTTTGGGCGCTCCTCCAGCGTACACCGGCTCCATTCGCTCGGCAAGGAGGTCATCATACGCTGCAAGACACAAGATGACTGGTGCTGGTACTATCATGCGGGAAGCAGATCTTGGTTCCGGCGTAGATACCATCAGACCTGTCAAAAAGGTTGATACAGTTGGTTCTCTGAGACTATCTGCAGAGTACGTCGGCACAACTCGGAGTAGAGAAGCCTCGCCGTCGTCTCCTACTTCTCCATCCAAAGACCGGTCGTCTTCATTCAAGCGGAGGGTATCCGATTCTGAGCGGGCGGGAAGGGTCATGATCGACGATGTCGTTCTCCCCGTTCTCCAAACTGTAAGTAATCCCCAAGTTTCCCGTACAATAGAATAACGATGCCTGACAGGCCATCCGAGATGACATGGATGCTCGAGAGATCGAGGCACTCAGTATGATCTCTCGTGGTTTTGCCGAGTTGAGAGAGGCGAATCCTGCCCTATCTTACAACGTCATTCTCGACATTCTCTCCGGTATCAATGAGTACGTATCCACCAGCTCAATTAAGGTTTCACTAAAATCAAAAAATCTGCCAGGAACCCTTCTGTCCGACAGCACGTTCAAACATCTCGGGGGCTATTTCCTCACAAACGCGTCATCCGAAAGAGCGAGATGACTGCAAAGGGCCTTGTGGTCACTGAAGTCCAGGAAGACGTCACTGAAGTTCCCGTGGACTCAAGCACCTCACCCCTCAAAGCCGACGGCCCTGGATCACCTGTCCGCAAGTCACCAATCTCTGAGTTGCTCTACATGCGCTGGCTGGAGGGCCTGCGAATCAAGTGGCCGAGCATTCTGTCGTAATCGAGCGTTTAATTCTGGACTGTTTTATGGACTGTCTTGACAGACTCTGTCTGTCTCTATTGCATAGAGCCCATACATCGGGCACGTCACACCCGCGTTCCTGTGTATTGAGTAGACGTCATATATCTGGACTCTCCTTCCCCCTTCCCCCTTCCATACCGTTTCTCTGCATTCGCTCGCTTATGGGGGTTTTCGTGTCCCTCATTGTTTCACGAATCATCAAACGACCTTTACGATCACCCCTTTCCTTACATATAGTTTGGCTGATATTGGCTGTACATAAATGTCTCACTACTGTAACTCATGTGACATCTTGCAAGTAGTATCTGAAACTTCGCTGTTGTACTACACTGGGACTGGGAACTACGTTCGTCGAAAGCCTGTCGACTGTCTGCAGTATGAGTTATGCGGAATGTGTCATCTCACCTTCCGCATCGCGCCAGCTTTTCTCTGGAGACGGAGACCGGTTTCACATACCAATCGTGCATTAAAATTACGAGTATTGTAATGCTATTATGGCCAAGATTATAAGCATCCGACGTCACCGCGGTATGTGTCGATGCAAAGGCATGACCAGGCAGAATATCAATGCGCTGAGTCAAAAACGAGATCTCATATTGATCGTATCGTAGTAATGTGAATACTCCGTGATGTTGTTCGTCGAGAATAGTGGGATATAATGTAGTCAAGAAGTGTACAGTTGTACGAGTAGGATAGTAATGTGCGAAGGTCCATGAAAATCTTCTGCGAAAATCCGGTATCCTTATGCCATGATGGTTCCAGCTGCAGCCGCGATGATGGCTGCGGCAATGCCCGTAAGCGCCAGAGACGCAACGCTGAAGTGAGTCGCCCCGCTCTTCTGATTACCATGAGGCGTGTCAGAGGCAGGTCTTCCAGACGATGGCGACGGCGATGGCGAGCTATCATATTATCAGCTACATCGACGCTGAAGGGAAATCAGCTTACTTTCGCGCAGACGTTGCCGATGGCTTTGCGGAAGTGCTAGCGCGGGCTGGGGGCTTGACGGCCAAGTCGCCAACCTTCGCCTGGTTGACTTGCGATGTCGAGTTCCAGGCGTTCTGGTAGACTGCACCACCATCCAACTGAGCGAGGGATGTCCTTGTCCAGCCGTTTGAAACCATCATCGGGTATGCATCCATGAATGACTTGACAGATAGATCAGACAGCTCGTGTTCCAAAATGACGAGTCCGGGGCTCTTTGGACCTGTATGGCACGATCAGCATCAGACACCACCGACGATAACAACAACATACCAGTTAACCACTGGGTCATCTGCTGCTGGATTTTCTCTGGCGTGGTCAATGGGTTGGGCTCGCTCAAGGACCAGTCATCAGTGCTAGAACGAAGTCGGTAAACATGGACGCATTTTCAGAATAACCACCCACTCTTGGTTCCAGATGACGGTCGTCAGTCCGAATACCTCCTTTGCAATAGCCCGGATACGCATATCGGAGTCGCCGTAAGGCGGCCTCCAGTACTTAGGGATGCGCCCGCCCGTTGAGTTGTGGATGAGCTCTATCGTCCATCCGAGCTCGGCAAGGACCTCGAGGTTCGTCTTGGTGGTCATGTATGGATGAGTCCAAGTGTGGACGGCGATGTCATCCTGGTTCGTCTCGAAGGCGGTTTTGAACTGGTCGGGATACAGGAGAATGTTAGTGCCGATGAAGAAGTGCGTTGCATGTTCCGAGTGGTTGGCGAGGAACTGATACAACTGATCAGATGCCTGGATGATGCGCGGCGAATCAGTCATCGTTTAAAAAACCCACTCCATAACCAGGTACGTACCAGTTGCGGACCATCGTCGAAACTAAGGGCGACAACACCCGGTAGAGCATTCCACACGTCACCTGGTGTAACGCACTTGTAAGTTGAGGAGCAAACAGCCGCGCTCATTGGGTCTGATCCAGTGGGGTATACGGGATCCGTTCCGTTGATACTTGTAGACTGAGGAACGTCGGGAACCTTTCCCGCCGTGACGGCTGCGTTAAGAGCATCCACCCAAGCCTGGGGAAGCGATGCAGTGTCCGCATTAAGCTGGGGGAAGCCCGCAGACCATGCTGAACATGCGTGTTGAATAACCGGAAGTGAATCAAACATAAAGGCTTACAAGGCGTTCCTATCACAGGATAGGTGATACTATCGCCGACCGGTCCACGCTTAAAGAGGGCGTGCAGTGGATGGTCGTCTTCGTGATACCACTTGTTCCGAGAGGTCTTGTTCTCAGTATGAGATTCATGAGTGGGGAAGACAGATGTGGGGGCGACAGACGCATAGACGGCACTGGTAGCGAGGAGGAGGATAGCAGAGAGACGTGACATGGCGGTAGGTAGAAGAGGAAAGAAACGAGAGGACTGGTAATAATAACGGGCGTAAATGAAACGGCGAGGGGATGGAAGGAGGGGGAAAGAAAGAATGGGGGAAGACGAACCAAGTACGCCCATTTTATGCGGCGGGGAAGGAATTCTGCTGGTTAGCCACTAGTCAGCCGCACACGAATACTAACTTCCTTATTAGGGCATTTGATCTTTGTGCCCGCCGCTGGTCATGACAATTTATGACGCAACATATCCTGTAGCCCGAGTCGCTCGACAGCACTAAAACGGGTCTTATGCATGGCCTTTGAAGAAAGCCGAACAAAGCAGCACCGTTGTCCAGTAGAAAATGTCACTGAACTTATCTTGAACGATGCTCTGTGCCTGTGGAGATGCCGTCGAGTCTCGGTTTATCAAAATATTACTGAATTGTCACTATTGAATGCTGCAATATGACTGGTCCCCGCCAGCATGAGGAGCACCAAATCGGTCATCGACTGAATACCTCCGAAGGGCGCCTAGAAGTGACTATGAGAATCACCATATACACTGAAGGATTTCGACCGACCTCCACCGTGAACATGGATTCTGGCTTTTCCCAGTTGTATTATCGTTATGAAACCTCTCATAGGACCTTGATCACTATCCAGAGCACGACGGCGTCGTTCACAGCAATCTAAAGTACAATTCCCTAAGTGAGTTACGATGCCGGCGAGGCAGCTGCAGAAGCCTCTCGGTTCCTCAATATCAGAATACCTCCCTTCAGCTGGGCGACCTCTTTCACCATCGCCGTAAACTTCGCCTTCTTCGCATCTGTAGTCAAGTAAGGCGTAAAATGCTGAATACAGTCCCGCGTTGTCGCGTTGGGCGTATTCTGTAACCACTCGACGAGCATCCTCTCTTCCAATTCGCCCTCTGGGAGTGGGCCAGTGGGGAAGCGGTTTCCGCTTCTTCGGCTTCGGCGGTGCAGCCGCGCCATTCACTGCCGCAGCCGCCGATGCCGTGTTCCCACCAAGATCATCAGTAGCCTTGCGCTTGTTCGACGATGTTGGCTGGCCATTTGACGTCGGGCTGCCTGAACCCTTAGATAGAGCTGCAGGACTAGTTGCTCTACTGCCAGTGGCAGGACTAGTCGCCCTGCTTCCAGCACCCTGTCCACTGGTTGTGCGACTGCCGTTCGTCGATGTCGACTTGAGCTTCGGTGCTTTGGGACTTGTGGCGCGTTTCGCGACGACAGAATGGCCGCCCATGCTTGCAGGCGCTGGCGAAGTGGCACGAGAGTCAACAGCCGAACCGTTTTGAGCAGCGCTCGTAGACGGCTGCGATAGTTTCGGAGGGGGTTGTTGAGAAGCTGACCGAGATTTATTCTGTTGAGGCTGCTCTTGAGTAGGTGCCGTTGCGACACTTGGATCTTCTTCCTCTTCTTCCTCCTCATTCTGCCCCGGTATTAGCATGCATAGTGGAGGTAAGGAAACGGGTACACACGGAGCTTGCATACGGATTGCGCTCTTCATCGCTGTCGTATGCAGCGTTCTTCTCCAGCTTGCGCATGAGCTTCTTGAGAGATTTGCCGTCCTTCGTCAGCTGACTCTCGCCATCCTCGGACTCTGATTCGTCGACAAAGCCCTCGCGGGTCTTGTTGGCGCTCTTATACTCTCGTTTGAGGCGTTCCTATGTACGCATGTCAGCGCTACAATGAGAATGATGGAGGACGGGCATACCTCTAGCTCTTTTGCCTCCTCTTCGTCCATATCGGCTGGACCTGCCTCCTCGTCATCCGCAAACTCGTCATCAAAAAGTTGCTCATCCAGGTCTCCTTCCATGTCATTCTCCTTCTTTCTCCTGGGCGCTCCTTCGTCGTCGTCACCGCCACCCTGAGATCCGCGGTTCGTTGTCCGTAGTGTTCGCCCACCCATAGCTCGACTCTGTCCAGACGAATAGACCAGTGACGAACTACCAGATATAACGCGGTTTTCCGCCTCCGCCTTGAACATTTCTGACGTTGCTGCCGAGGGCGCTTGCCCCTTTCTCCGGTGCAGCAGCCAACGTTCGGGGTCTTTATTCTTCTGAATCTTGGCCATCTGGGAAGGGGCGTCAGAACATAGTGGTACAAATGCGATGGACAATGTACCAGAGCCTCCGCTTCCTCTAGTCCAGGGACATGATGTTTAGGCTTCTTCTGGAACTTGTACCAGCGATTGGCAGGTACAAATTTGAAGAATTCTTGTGCAGCTGGCATAAAGAGAGCGTGTGTCTCCGCCTTTGACACCTCCTCCAGTTTCCCTACCCACATCTCGTTCTGCTTTGCGTCCTCCATCACCCAGGGATAGCGTTCCTCGCGCCGCAGTTGACGGGTTGCCTCAGGCACCAAAAATACCTGCCGTGTCTTCTTCTGAAATTTCTTCCGACCGGCACCTTTGCCCTTGTCCTTCGACTGAGCCCCATCACCGTTGTTCCCTATCGGTCGGCCATCCGCATCGACCAAGACGACCTTTCCATCTGAACCTATAACAGGCTTCCCGTCAGGCCCCAGCATGGGTCCCGCAGGTACTTGGGTGGATGGACCAGGCTCGTCCCTCCTCAACTCCTTCCTATTCAGCTTTATCGGCTCCTCCCAGGTCGAAATGTCTACAGTCTTTCTCGAATCAAACTTCATAACATCATATTTCCATCCATTGAGAGCAGAGGACATGAGCTTGTATTCGGCAAACTCGCCATCAGGGAGCTTAGAACTGTCATCTGGGTCAGCGTTGGGTGGGGTGGGTTGTATGCGAGGAGTAACGGATTTGCGGAGGGATGGCTGTGATTGAGATGTCTGTGACTGGGATGGTTGAGAGCCTTGAGTAGCTGTCGATGGCGTAGAGGGCTCCTTCTTTATTGATTTCTTCTTGTGAAATAGAAGAGATTCGGCTGATTTTGGTGGCATTGAAAAGATAGCTATAATCTGGAGAAAAGACGAGTCTTGATGGTGGTATCAGGTAAACAGCGCAGCAGGCGACTTGGACACCAACGAGTCAACGAGCGGAAAATAACCAGAGAGCTTTGTTTCACAAGCTGTAGGAGCAATGGCCGGCGTTGGGGAACAAGGTCCACATGCTGACATAAGATGCAGTCTTTCAAACGCGTCTAGCGCCAAACTCTTTGTTCTAGACAAGCCAGATCTTAATAATGCTTGATGATCATCATAACAATTGCGACGAAAGGAAAACCTAAGGTGAAGGCTATATACACTTCATGTGATCGTGAAAATTCGTCCATAAAGATGAAAACAACCATGCTAAAACCATCACAACTCGTAACTTAAAAAAACCAGGCCAACGTAGAATTCAGCAGAGGGAAGAGACATGGAAAGACGTGAACACGCCCGACAGCTACATCGGCTGTACCTCTGACTTGTTAGTTGGTATGCTCGCGGCACCATTGGTAACAGGCGCTGCCGACGGTGCTACTGTTGGAGCTGCCGAATGAGTAGTAGGTGCACCTCCTGCTGGATATGGATTTTCCGATGATGGTGGTCGTGACAAGGGCTGAGGCTGATGGGGCGGTTGCTGATGCTGATGCGGTGGAGGATGAGGGATCGTTCCTGGAGGTGGTGGGTATGATCCTGGAACTGGTGCGCCCTGCCCATACACCATAGTGTGGGGTGGCCCTCCTGGACCAAATGGTGGTATGCCTTGCCTCATGCTTTCTAGCTCGTGTCTCAGCATCTCGATCTCACGAACCATATCTTGGTGACTTTGCTTCAAGGTTGCAACAAAGTCGATAGCTGCATGCGTATGTCAAGGTTTGTTGCGCGTGTAGAAACCCGGTATGCATACCTTTGCTAAGGATCTCCCATTTACTCGCCTTCATGCCTCGATCTGCGGGTAGCTGGTCCCGCAGCTCATCAAATAAGTCTTTCATTTCTTTCCGTCGCTTTCGCTCGGCAAGCTTATGCGACACTCGGAGCTCCGGTGAACGGGAATAAGGTGTAGATCCCGGCTCCTTCGGCGGTTTCAGACTAGATGATGACGGAGAAGGAGCCGAACAAGGCTCATCTGCAGGTGGCGCGGGCCCTGCAGTAGTAGCAGTTTGGCTAGTTTCGCGTAATTGACGCGATGGAGGTCGGGAGCGCGAACGGATATTTCTGGTCGGGCCTATTGCTGAGCTCGAGCTTTCTGGCACCGACATCCGCCTGTCTGGTGGAAATGTCATCGGGGGCATCATGGTCATCTGCATAGGTTGTGTTTCGAAAGAACGGGGGTGGTGCTGTATATTAGGGTCTTGTGGACCGTCCGGGTGTTGTGTCGAAGACCATGCGAAAGTCGCCATGCTGCCTGGCGTAGAGGGTGCAGCAGGTCGACCATGTGGCTGATCGCCGGACAATGCCGAGGGGTAGACACTTGTCCCGTTTGGGAACGATGGTGGTAGAGAATCCCGTCTCTCGTTCAACCACCAATGCCCGTTTCCTCCTGCGATTCCAGGAGCTGCCACCGGCCCTATCGTTCCAGAATGCACTGAATGTCGCCTCTGGTCATATATGCTCAGCTGGGCTATCCTACTCATCTCAATGGTTGACCCTCGCCGTTTCTGTGCGCGTCCTTCTGAATCGAGGTTCATGGGACTCGGTACCCCTGGTCCTACTAATTGCGAATCTGCTTCGTCACTGCCATTTGCTTCTCTATAAGCAGACGTCTTTCGTTTCGTTCCATGTGACATTTGGGAATCCGAAGAATTCTGTAGATTTGTAAAATTTAAAATGTTTCGAATGCGACGTCAATGACTTACAGCAATAGATTGCCTTCGTGAACTGTGATCACTGTCGTCTAGTTGTCGCGTGTTAACTCTGGGGGATTGTCTCTCATTACTGCTGTCCACGTTCATGTGGTCGGTGGTTTCTAACAATGTGACCGCCTCTACGTTCAAAAGATGCGTACAACAAATGACACTTCAAACTCACTAGTTCCTCCATTTGGAGGAAGTGATGTCTGTAGAGGTGAAACACCTTTTGCAGGCTCCCATTCTGCTGATGGGGAACGTAATATCTTGCGCATTTGTTTACTTGAAGACTCAGAATTGTATGTTGAACTTCCGCTATCACCAAAAGTGTAGTTCGCAGCTGGACGTGGTCCTGAGAGGATGCCGTCGCATCAGCTTCGGGCTTGGACGATAGGACAGGAACCAAAATCAATACCATCTACGTGACGCGAACCTGCAGATAGGTTGGCTGAAGCAGCATGTAGAGATGGATCTGTGATTGATCCCCTGCGGTGCTGCTGTAAATAATCGAGAGGGGGAAGAGAAATTACTGGTGAATGTCTGGATACGGACGCTGAATCTTTCAGTGCTCCCCCAGTATCCTTTGGGGGGGAATGGAGATTGACATGCTTGATCGTAGTCGTCGTTGCGTATGCAGGCATTATGCCTGGGTTAGATTGAGTAAAAATGACGACGGAGAGTAGTTAAGAGACGGGTCGATGTGAATGCTTTGTGAATGTCGACGTTATAGAACTAAAACTCTGTTACTAGATACGGCCTCCAGCAAACGTGGGCAACGAGCACGTGGCGATGCACACCTCCGAAAAGGCTAAATTAACGAGTGACTGCCAGGATTCGATTACTATTTCAGTTTTCATGAAGCCTTTCTCCGCTCACTCAGTTGGCAGGGAAGAGGGAAAGTTTACAACACCTGGTAAAATGCCTGGGTATACCTGGGTTTACCATCACACGAGAATTCAGATCGCAGGGCTACAAACACAGCAATTCTCGTAAACTATCCATCATTCCATCAGCCCTCCTCGAGCCCCTGCATTCTACTAGTTATCAATGCCCGATGCTGATCCTCTTTTAAATCAATAATCCTTATATGTCTCGCTTTCATACTATTCCTCGTTAATCTCCCAGACTTCACCTTCTCCATCTCATCCCACGCTAATCGCTCCAGAATATCATCCACTGTAACCATGAATCTCACCCACGGTATGTAATCAAGGTACACGCTGCTCTGGGGCATGAGAGGTGCGGGTGGTTGAATGATGTCCTGCAATGCGGTTAGCATCTGTGCTTGATGCTCCACGCGAGCTCGGAAGAGCCTTGTTTCCATGTCAGTGTTGGTGCCACCAGCCGCGGGGTCGATCGACGTGGTGATCGGAATAGGTCCCAAAACCTCGTGTTTACCACGTGAAAGGTGGATGGCATCCTGCACAATGAGCTCATCATCGTGATAGAAGGCAAGCGAATCTCTCGTGTCAGATACGTGGAGTGGCCGGAATAGTATGGTATGACCCAATTCATCGTCAAGCGAAGGTTCAGATAAGTTGTAAGCCAGGGCCTCGAATAGTGAACTGTCAGGAAAGCAAGAGAAAAATGTGCACTGTCGCCCTCACCTCATGTTCATCCAGTGATGTCCTGCAAAGATAGCTGTCGGTATACGAAACACAATCCGTGTAAGTGGAAGCCCATCGCCACAGCTCCTCCGTCGATGTCTCAGAAACATCAGCACTGGTTTCGGCGGAAATTGTGAGAGGGAGGAACGGGCGATATTCAGCGGCCCCCTGTGCTTCTTGAGGAATCTCAGCTTCGTGGGTAGCGTCAGTACAAATCAATTGCAGCTGGGTGATAGACCGCCTGAGATCCGGTGATGGTAGTGGTTCGGTTCTGGGGTTGAGCGGCGCGTCTGGAAGATCCATACTCTGCGTGGTGTACGTGGTTTCGTAAAGCTGAATTAACTTTTCTCTCGGGACAGCGCATCCCTCTGTCAGACATAGGCATTGCAGAAACGTGACAGCGGGCCCGGAAGGGCAAGGTTGGAACCTCAGCACAGATTGCAAAGGAAGGTCCGTGGTGGGGACAAGCTTGATATCTGTCGAGGCAAAATTGAATTCTGGAAAAGTCAATATGATTAAAGTAGCCAGTACCGTTGCATGTCATTATCACGGGACGCCGGCACTCCTTGATCAAGTCTATCACTGCCGGCCAAAAACCAGCGTCTTCCTTGAATAATATATCGACTTCTTCAAGGAGAATGAGTGATTGCCGAGCACTAACAGACGGCTTCAACGGTCCATTTGTCTTTAATGACTCAACTAGCCCATCAATGGCCACAGGTGGCTCCACCGTGTCCTGCAGGGACTTACTGACAGCATCCACGAGGATGTGTGTGTCAACATCACTAGGATGCTCGGTGTCTGAGTGAATTGGCGAGGGTTTGGGGTTAACTTTCCCTCCTTTAGGGAAAAGAGTTGAAAGTGCAGCGCTTGTTCTTGTATCACACTGCGCAGCTGCCGTCCAGCGTTTCGGCCTCGTCTGGTGAATGAGGTGATTTTTACCCACATCGCCAACGAGGTTATCGAGGTTTGCGCCACTGCGTCTTCCAATCCCAGGATACACCTCGAAGACCTCCCACCCCAGCTCGTCTGCACAAGCATAGACCGCGGCGCTTTTCCCACATCCAGGAGGCCCAGTTATAATGAGTGTATTCGTTAGCCTGTCGGTGAAATTAGCATCGGATGATTGGCGATTTGGATTGGTCGGGATGGTGTCGAACACCAATCTCCGAGGTCGACGGACGTTGCTTTAATAACCGCGAAGTACCCTTTTGCTGGAAGCGAGAAAGTGTCCGCTGGCAAAAAATAAAATCATCGTCATCGGTTTCTTCCTTTGGCTTGTCTGAGATCGTATCGTCTTCGTCGTCGCTGTGAGCAATAAAAACATCTGATTCGTCCTCGGAATCCAGCCTCTGCCGTTTCCTGCCTCTCTTTTTGTCTACAGCTCGAACGACACGAGGCCGCTTGGGTGCCCTTTCGGGCGGGTTGGGCTTAGACTTCCGCCTGCCTGTGCCGGTTGTGCCACTTTTCACAGCAGGGGGATTTGTGGCATGCAGGCAAATTTCGAGAGCCTTGAGCCAATCTCGAATATACAATGCATGGGATTCGTTTCCTAGCACTTCATCCGCTCGTCGGGGGCGGAAGCGACTGGTCCATATTTCTTGATGTAGCAGCCCAGAAGCTGTCCGATTGGCATAATCCTCGGCACGCAAAAATCTAGAAATTGCGGGATGAAGCGCGGCATCACGGGGTCCGTGGATACCAAGATAATTTTCATGTTCGGATTGCGAGGAGATCCGGGGAAAGGTCAACGGTTCAAGAAGGGGGTCTTGACATCCATTCCTCTGCGATAAGGAAGAAAGGAAGCTCAGAGACACGTCGTCTGTGGGATCTGGCAGACTGCGTTTATGACGTTTCGTTGGCTCCGAACTTGCACTAAAGGTATTCTGCAGTCCACGAACATGTTGCATGTCCTTATTTGGGTATGGCGCATCTAGCGTCATATCGCCCAGCGGTGCATGTCGCTTGACTGAGGGATGCACATCCCCTGGAACGCATAATCGAATTTGTGCCGCAGCGGCTCGTGTGAGGGCTGTGTTTGACCCGTTAGTTGACGCGTTTGTATGCTCGATATATGGTAACGCGGGAATTGGATATGATTGGCGAGGGGTATTCATCTCTGCACGAGGTGACGAGGCAGAGGATTGATGAGATGACGATGGCTGTTCATCATCGGACAGTTCAATAAAAGTATCTCCACAAATGTGCCTGTTTTCAGCCGTGGAGCTTGAGTGAGTAGTCTGGATGGGAGTTGTGGATGGCGTTCCGAAAATGGGAAACAATTTCGTCTGTTGGCCTGTGAACCAGTGATGATGAAGCAGAGTGCTTACATCAAACAGTACTCACTGTTATTTTGTCGGACGGAGTTTCGTATAATTCTCCGGGGCACCCTAGGACGTGGTGGAGAAGGTTCGTCATCAATGACTATGATATCTACCGGATCTATTGAAGATGAGGTGACTTCAGTCGCGTCTGCTCCATCTAGTTCCTTGGAACTTTCTTCTGAAGGCTTCGTTTCCTCATCTTTCTGGAACAACTCATACAGAGTCTTCTGAGCGGATGCCTGCGTGTCTTCAACGTGAGGAACGGGTGACATATATGCCACACACACACACACACACCTGCTTCGCCCGCGTGCTCCGTGTCACTCTATTTTGGCGCTTCTCGGACATCTGAGAGTAGAAAGTAGTAGTTGAAGGCGTGCAACGAGCGTGGAGACTTTGAGCACCGGAAATGATCAAAAGTTTCGAAACGCGTCTGACCGTGAACCTGATCGCGCTGCATGTGACCCGTGACCTCAAATACTACTTGCCTTTTTAAGTAAGACTCATATTGTTGCTGTGGACCAAGTTCGAGCCACAGGAGGCCACAAGGTTTCTCACTGGCACTGCCGATGGCGGTTGAGTTGGATCAATCGGCATCTCCGATTCTGACCCACGATATCTTAAGATGGATATCACAAGAGTATCATGGTAATGAAGTCCATTCTTGGGCGGATCCTGTTGATTATTCAAAAAACTAGACATGAATGGCTCGTCATTTCAAACGCTTGAAAGCCCTCCTACAGCAGCGGAGTTCGCACAACTAGTCCACGTATCTAGACCTGTTGTCATTAAAGGTCCCTTATGTCAATGGTCAGATTAGAGTGGCTTGTGATATGAAGTTCAGGTTTCCAAATCCCGGCCTTGAAACGATGGACCGATGATTACTTGCAGAACAAGCTGCAGGAACAACCTATATCGGTGGCAATCACACCAAATGGGTGAGTATTCATTTCTTTGAGCCCTTCTGTGGCTGACGGGGGAGCAGGCATGCAGATGCTATCGCGGCTGGCCCAGGAGGCAGGCTCTTTTTCGTGGAACCTTTTGTCGAGAAAGTTCCCATGGAAAAACTCCTGGAACGGCTTAACACGGGCAAGTATTCCTCCTAAAAATGAACGAAAACTAATCCCTTTTGAAACTTCAAGCAGACCAGGACGGTGACAACGCCCCCACTTCTTATCTCCAATCGCAAAATGGGAATATATATTCTAGTCGTTTCTTTGAGTCGCCAAACGATGATCCGTCAGAATTTGGTACGCTCAGAGAAGATGTTCCAAGTAACATTCCATGGGTCGCCGAAGCGCTAGGTGGGAACTCATTTGCACCGAGTTCTGACACTCATAATATAAAGGACAGGCAGAAATTCCGATGCCGTCAACCTTTGGATCGGAAACAGTAAAAGCATAACGAGTATACATAGCGGTAAGTAATAACTGGGCCCTTAAATGGTGCACACGTCGACATCTCACACGGTGACAAGATCCGTACGAGAACATTTATACTGTGATACGTGGAAGGAAACACTTCACGCTCCTCCCACCCTGTGAAGGATGGTGTCTTCGAGGTAACACGCTTTCTCAATGCTATGCGAAGCACAGTAATAATTTGCCTCAGAACGGATGTATCCTCACGCAGTGTACGACCGTTCTGACAATAGCAATGGTCTGAGTGTTGTTCCTTCTTTGGATAATCCTCAAGTCCGCTGGTCTTCAGTCTTCGACCCGAACCTTCCAGGGTCACTGCCTCCAGAAGCTCATCCAATGCATATCACACTCGAAGCGGGAGATACATTGTACCTGCCAGTTGGCTGGTGGCACTACGTAAAGCAATCTGGCTCAACTACTATCGCCCTTAATTGGTGGTATGACGCAGAAGTACGAGGGATGAATTGGATTTGGCTGAACTTACTCAGGGGCAGCGGGGATATGCCTACAGGAAATGATGAAACTGACATTCGGTGATGGACCTGATTGGTGGTTGACATAACACACACATATCATTGTCACCGCAAGTAGCTAGGAAACGTTTTAATGGTACCACTAACGCGAAGTTTTATTCAACCAACGGTCAATCTCCACATTATGAAACGTGACAGCTTGACTTTGTGACAGATTGTCAGTCACGTCATGAACTTTCTTGTGTTTAGCAGCTCCCCCTTGCTACGGCTCTTGCAACATGGCTAAAGACAAATCAGAGAAGCGAGAGAAAAAGGAGAAGAAGCCAAAAGATGATGCTGCAGAGGCAGAGGTAGAAGATGTAGAAATGGCTGACATTTCGGAGGTGAGTGCCAGCATGTTTCCAAATGTCCTCATGTACATATCATGTTAGTCCCCAAAAAAACCGAAGAAGGAGAAAGAAATCACCATTCCATTGGAAGATTTGTCTCCTCTTGCGCAGCCATTAGCGCAGAAAAAGCTTGTGAAGAAGCTGCACAAAACGATCAAGAAGGGTGCGCCCAACTTATTTTTGCTTTCTCGTTCATCTACTCACCATTTCTCAGCCTCCAAAGCACGGCAAGTGAAGAGAGGTGTGAAGGAAGTTGTCAAAGGCATTCGCAAAGGAGAAAAAGGGTATGCGCTCCTTGTACTTGCATTCTCAACCACGAGCCTTGATATCCTTTTAGATTGCTTGTGTTGGCGGCAGATATCAACCCCATAGACATTATATCTCACCTCCCAGTACTCTCAGAAGAAGCTCAGATACCATACGTCTTTGTGGCGTCAAAGGAAGAACTCGGACATGCTAGTTCAACAAAACGACCAACAAGTTGCGTTATGATTTGCCCCGATCAGAAACGCAAGGTTCAAAAGAAGGATGCCGAGGCAGAAAAGGATGATGACTACCGAGAGTTGTACGAGGAGTGTCGAAAAGAGGTGGCGAAGCTGGACCACAAGGTTGTATTCTAACTTTGCCCTGTGCCAGTTGTGTATTTTATACGTCATTAATTGTCTGGATTCATGAGCATCTTGGGAGTCTGGACTTTGCGACGCATGAAAAGACAGAGTCCGGATGGACCGGAGTTGGAGACGGCAAGTACATAAAATAAAACACGGACGTGTCTTGTTGCTTTCACACGAAAACTACTGTGCAGTTTGCATCAACTTCTTGACCATCTTGGTCTTTACGCCCATCTCATCTCTTCCTGCTCAAAATCATAATGCCCGCCCAAAAATCTAAATCTTCGGCCAGCAACGGCGCTGCTAAAAGCTATAGTGCTAAAGTAACTCCCGACAGCACCGTTCCCTCGTCACCCGCTCCTTCTAAAACTGACCTTAGTACATCTGCGGTCACAGGCTCCGGAAAGCCAGATAAGGCTGCATATGATGCGGAGCAGGAGAGAATCAGATCTGAAATTGATGGTTTACAGACCAAACTTGTATGCGTCCTACTCAACTTCCTACTCGGTTGGAAGACTCACCGATCCACGCTTAGGCTGCCGTCCGGGAAAAAATATCGTCGGCAACCCAGTCTGGCACTGGAAATGACAAACGCACAGCTCTCAAGGCTGAATTGGACGGTATACGCGATCAACAGTCATCCAATAAGCTATCCCGAGGCAAGACGCTTGACCAGCTCAAATCGATTCAAGATGGCATTCAGAAAAGGTACGCATAGTATTGAGCCCGCGCATTCACCATTTTCTGATGAAAACGTGCCATGCAGATTAAGGACCTGCAAGCTGCTCGCGGCAAGACACCTTTCAGGACCGTAGCAGAAGTTGATGCTCATATTAGGTGGGACTTCTCCCTTGACATCACACTGCCTTCTACTGACGTTTTCCGTCTCTCAGCAACTTGGACAAACAAGTGGAATCTGGTACCATGAAAGTGGTGGATGAAAAACGTGCCCTTCAGGAGATTAGCCAATCACGACGGACGCGTAAAATAGTCGAGAAGTTCCAAGCAGAGCAAGAGTCGATTGAAGCCGACCGCCAAGAAATTGAACAACTGAAGAAGTTACTTGATGACCCGGAGTCAAAGGCAATCTCGGAGCGTTATGACTCCCTCAAAGCCGAACTGGACGAACTCAAAAAGGCATCCGACGAGGCGTACGCAGATCGAAGCAAGCTTTTTGAAGAGCGAGACGGTATTCAGGCACAAATAAGTGCTCTCTTCAATGAGAAGCGCGAGTCATCATACCGTTTCCGGGATGCGAATGACCGGCATTGGGCCAAGATGCAGGAGGACCGCGCTCGACGCGCTGAGAAAGCTCGTGCTCAGCGTCTTGCAGAAGAGTCACAGAGGAAGCTGGAAATCGCCGAACGTCTGCGTGAAGACGCATCACTTCCCGCCTTCCAAACGCAGATCGAAGACTGCCAGACTCTCATTGGCGTACTCTCTGGGAAATCCGTTGGCAATGGAGTGTTGACATCCTCATTGGCGCCAGCCCCATCGGACGTTGCTGGCGTTCCGCAGTTGGAGATTCGACAGGTGGATGCAGTTGACATGGTGGCACAGAAAAAGAAAGACGAAGAATCATATTTCGTTGGGAAAGCGAAGAAAGGGAAGAAAGCCCCCAAAACCACCTCCCCAGCTGAAACCAACGCCATCCATCTACCTTATGGTCAATTATCTGCGCTGCTTTCGCTATCTATATCGCCCCCGTCGGGCCAGGCTGATGTTCCTCGTGTCATCGAGAACTTGAAGACGAAGAAAGCCTGGTATGAGGCCAACCAAGCCCGCCAAACTGCGGAAAATGTCGCCAAAGCCGAGGCAGAGATCCGACGTCTGACAAATGGCGCCAAGACTGATGGCAAGCGGAACGTTACTCCCGGCGAGGTATCTCCACCGAACGGCGGTGGCGAGCATTCGGAATCTACCCCCACTCCTTCGGGTGATCAGATAGATATACCTGGAGATGAGGTTGACGAGAAGCTCGAGGAGGTTCAGGATGACGCTGAGAAGAACGAAACTTTGTAGATCACTCGGGACGCAAAGCTGGATGAGAACATTTTTATACCTCACACTTATACTACCAAATCTGCGTCTACTTATATCTGCAAATTATGTCCAGAGCGAGAAGGAATCAGTATTATTCGACAATGAAGACCTATACAATAATGAATACGAGAAGTAGGGGAGCAGCAAAAGTGGCAATACAGATAGGACACTGACAAGGTATGAATAAATGAGGGGGAAGGGAACATATACAATCACTGGAGATACTATCTTTGACCGAGTGGTATAATTTTCAATCGAACACCGGGACTAAGGCCCTGCCTCCGTCTTGACGGGCTCAGCCTCGCGATCTTGCTCGCCATTAGTACCTGACGAGGTATTCATGCCCAAATCTTGCGTCGCAAATGACGCAACGTCAAACGAATTCCCGGGCGCGTAGTCAGAGAACGATAGTCCTGACTGATGGACGGGAGGAATACCATCCTCCGGCTGAACTGAAGTATCCATATAATTCAAACCTCCATATGCGTCTGCATTAAATCCAGAAGATGATGCGTCCAGCGCGCCTGTCGGGAAGGGGTCCTGCTGCAAAGCTGCGAGCATGCTTGAAGTGGTCGGGGTATGGCTCATCACGTGTTGAGCGGAACGAGACTCCATGGTGTTAAAACTTTCCTGGCCGGCCATGGGAGATAATGAAAAGAACTGTTGCTGCATCACTGGTTCGACAGATGCGGCCACGGAGTTAGTAGACAGGGCAACGCTGCGCAGAACGTTGACTGCGATCCAATCACTAGGTGAACGTTAACAAGGCACTACGAAAGGAAATTAGTTTGACATACTCCAGGAATAGTTTCATGATCTGGAAGGCTCCAAAGGCTGGGTCGCTGCGAATGGTCTAATGACTGTTGGTAAACGGAAGACGATCGATCGTGATAGCTCTTACCAAATCTCTCATGACCTGACTGGTCACGTAGCCCCACCGAATCAAGACACTTCGAGAACTCAAGGTGCCTCGATCTTCAGCACTTCCTACCCGCTGTCCCATGAGCCTCTCGCAACATTTGTCAGCCCAGGCCATAACCTCCCTAACCGGCTCGGCAGTCTTTGACAGGCTGTCCATCATGGACACAAAATCGACTTCTAGAAGCTGAACAAGCTCCTCGTGACGACAATTGCACACTAGAGCAGACTGGTTGCGGACAGATTCAAAGTCCACTTTCTGCCAGGAGCGGCGCATCTCGGAAAGCTGCTTCTGGTTCGTCAATACGGTATTGAGAGCCTGGGTAACTTGGTATATGTCCAGGAAGCGTACTGCAGCAACATGAGTTAAGCCAGTGGAAGTGCCGATGAAGTCACGTACAAACAAGATGCCCAAACCGCGCTCCAAGCTCGACCTTGGGCTCAACGAAAGTATTGCCATATCCGTCTAGTGCAAGAAGCAGGATCTTCTCCATTTTGCTTGCCAATGATCTAAGGCTGGTCATAGCAGCAGGGGAGATCGGGGAGAGCATCTGGGACCTTAAAAACTCCAGGATTTCCTGTCAAAAAGAGGTCAATGAGAGTTGTCCGACGAGTCATTATGCTGGACGTACATCATATAGAATTGCGTCGGCTTTGGCCATTAGGCCAGCGATGGCGGGAGCATGCACCACTTCCCGATGATTCCCACTCAAGCTGGACCAGAAACTTCTCAGGTGCATCTCGAACTGATCGAACCTGAAGGCACGAGCACTCTCTAGGACGGCGTCGAGATGATCTTGGAACCATCCCCAGACCTCACGAGCAGCGATGCTTTGCGGAGATGCAGAATTGGATCCTATTGCCTCTTCGATGGATGGAAAGTGGGGCATATGGCGGACTGATACATGCTGCTGCGAAGGCACGAAAGAACCACCAGTGCTGGGTCCAAGCGACATAGTAGATTGTGCAGCAAGGTTTGGATCTGGCTGGCTGGCGTGTCGACGGATCGAAGCATGACTGGGATAAGTGTTACTTCTAGCGACAGCTTGCGCCTGAGAGAGCAAGCTATTAGCGGTAGGTGTTTTGTCACTGATATCTCCATAAGTGAGACCGACGGCCTTGAGATCTCCCGAAAGAGTCAATGAGTTCCTCTTCGATGCGCTGGATCCCTCGGAATCCTCGTCATCGTCTTCATCGGACCGTTCTTCGCCTTTATTTGGATTGTCGGAAGATTCTTGGGCTGCACGGGCAGCGTTGATTGACTGCTGGCCAGCGTTATTATTTGATTTTCGGATGTAATCCTGAAGCCACTCGGCTTCAGCCGAGGTAGCGGGACGAATGCCGCAATCTGACCGAACGTGGCGTCAATCAGAATTCTTTCCGATCACCATCAGATGTGGCACTGAAGCAGTGTACGCACAATGATATTTGCTATTTCCGCGAACACCCAAGCGCCGTGTTTTGATAGTTGGAAAACACAATCGAATAGCCTTTCCCAGTGTAGCAGTGTTGATGTGAGGAATTCCGTACTGATCGCACACCCGTCGGTAGGAAAAGTAAAGACCCTGGCGAGGTACGTTCCCATCTGGATAAGGTGCATAATTGGCTGTCAACCTTAGGCGCAGCAAGCGATGAGAAGATGGTCATTATGGTGAAACGCACAAGATGAGCTCACCAAGCTTGTACGAATATCTGCTTAGCTCTATCTGATGCACTAGTGGTTGTAGCGACTCGAACGTTTGCAGCGAGCTTTTCCAATGCGTGATCAGGACCAAGGGACATCCTACCAAAAGCGCCGGCGGTGTGGATGGTTTCTTGATTAGAGGGCATTGAATGAGGATGCCCATACATTGTAGGGTAATCTGAAGGATTTCCAAGGAACATGGAAATATCGTCTGTTTCACTTGATGAAGAGTGGACGCTCTCTGTATCGCGGGGGTACGGAGAAGCAGCGGCACGAGCCCTGAGATGAGTTTGACGGATATGGCCTTTAAGGGCAGGATTAGTAATATTAGTGTTTGGAGGAGATTGACCAGAGGGATGTGACATGTCGGAAGGTGGAAGTGAGAATGAAGTGTGGCGAGATTGATCAGCACTCATATAAGAGAGTCTGTAGTGATCATCCATAGAAGCTGGTAATCCTGATGACATGCGAGACATGCCATGAGAAGAATGCGGACGAGAATTAGGTGAATGAGTAGAAGATGAAGAGACCGAGTTTGATCTTGAATGCTGATGATTGATAGGTAGAAAATCGAAAGGTATACTTGAAGACATAGTCTGCAAGTTAACAGCAGCCATATAAGTTTTTGAAACGAGGGTGAATATTGCCGGTTTGTTGAAATCAAGGCAATATGATAGTAGTAGTAGGCGGTCCAGCCGTCGATGAATGAGCGACAAGAGCTGTGTGAGACAGGTTAATGGCCGCTATATGTCTGACTGGCGACGACTAGAGAAATAACTCTTCTGCTGCAGATAAAAAAGACGCTAGGCCGTAGAAGAAGAAGAAAAACAGGAGTAGCAGAGGAGAGTAGTAGTAGTAGTTAGGTAGTAAAGATATGTTGAGGCGGCGTTGAACGCTGACGAGATCTTCGTAGGAATTACTACAGAATGTAGTCGGTGGTCAAGGCAACAACGACCGTTTTAAGAACATTCAACTTGTTTTGATTCACAAATAAAAAATATCCTCTACACCGCCGCGGCGCACCTTCTCACACCGCAATGCCGATAACCTTCTTACTCTGCCACATTTCAAACTGATCTCCATCATTGATATTTGATAATGATACTCAATACCCGTCTCCTCTTCAACTCTCTTCCCCTCCCATGTACATGTACTTCTTGAACCGCTTTCGGAGTTTTTTCTCCCGCGGCTTCCCCAACTTGCAGGCTAGATCTATCCATGACGGAATTGTAAGATCTTGCAGTTCATAAGGCGCAAACTTTGATTTCTTCACCCCTGGTTCGCGGAGTGACTCGGGCAGATTCATCAACGGAACAGGTACCTCCGTAGAATTATCCTTCGGGTGCAGACTCGAAATTGGGAACGTCAGATATTCAAGTTTGAATTCTGGTTCGTGCTTCTCGTCATATTCCTCCAGTCTAGGCATGTAATACTTCATCCCCCTTATTAACTCCAAATGAATCACTTTACTTGATGACGTACCTGAGCATATCCCAAAGGTGACCACAGTGAATTTTGCCGTGACGGAGCGTGGCTGTCAGAACGCCAGGGGTGAAACTTGCACCTCCATGATTCCCGATATGCCGCACTCATGCATTGGCGGCCATCGTTCCCATCATCACCATGACGATACGGTAAATGCTTCCATCGCGAGGCTCGGTCCATCTTTGTCATCAGGAGATACTCATCTTCGCCGACGGCCCCCACACTCGATGATCCGAGCCCAGAGATGTTGTAGCTGAATACTCTGAACGTTGGCAAATACGGATTCGGCACCAACGACGGGCTGACGTTGACTACCGCATAGTCGTCATAATTCAAATCCTTCGTCTTCGCAAGCGCTTCAAAGTCGTCCATGACCGTTTCAAATATTGTACTCCCAGAATTTTGGGACAGCTCCGTGCCTTCTTGGCTGACATTCAGATCAGCAGCTTCAACAAAGTAGAACTGTAACCGAGTCTCGATTAACGTTAACCGGACAAAAACCCAAGGGGGCCACTTACATGATCGACGTTCAAGTGCTACAAATCCTGTCAACCGTTCGCTCGGTAACACATTTCTAAACGGATCACTTACACCGAATAAACTGCCCAGAATTATATCTTGATATCTCAGGCTCAGCTCTGTGTACCGGTAGTACTAAACCACACGTCAGCCACCCGTCAATGTGCAGCCCACAAGTGCACTTACACACTCAGGAAAGAAATGGTCGACAGAGGGGGGGACATGCCCTGAAAATTTGTACGTCAAGAAGAGAATATTATCTAAAACAAAGGCATACCGGTGACCCACACCTATAACATCAACGCCGTGTTATTCGACCATCTGGAAATCATAATGCCTCATACCTGCATCTGTCGGGCACGAAACATCTTGAGCTGCTCCTCCAGCCATTCAAACTGCAAGTTGCCTGGGTCGCTGGCATCACTGGCTAAACACCCTCTCACAGCTGTCAACCTCGCATGTCAGTGAACGCCGCTACACAAGGGACAGAACAGTCGTCAGGAACCTGACCTTTGTTATTATGATAGAAATACATCGTGCTCAGACTGATCGCCGCAAGTGCATCGGGTATCACTTCTACTGCATAATATGCGCCTTTTCGGAAAGAGGACTTGGAACCTGACGGAATAAAGGGATTCCATATGCTGTCCGATGCAACTCAGCGATTGAAAGCAGGACATCGGGGATTACGAACGATGCAAACTCATTCGTTATATCATTTGGACCTTAATCGACGTCAACGAGAGTCAAACCGTCAACATGAAGGGGGCTCACCTGGAGATAAGGTATTCTGTGGTGGACGTTAGTAAGACAAAGGTACGGGCTGAGATAGAAAGCACTCGCATGCGCTGCCAAGCACATGGATGAGACATTCGCCGCAAAGACTGTGATACAAGCACTTACGCCAAACATCGTTATTTCCTATTCATATGAAGAACAACATCGATCAATACAGAATCTCGGAACTATCATGGCGCAAAGAACCCACCCAAACTTGGCACAACTGGTATTCCCTTCTTGAGGAACACATCTTCCATCTTCTTCGCTACGACGCGATTAAGAGCAAATATTTCATCAACCGGTCGAGGTATACCATCGTCATCGTCATGTCTGCACGATCTGGCGTCAAATGGCACTTTTGAGCGACTACTGGGACTCTACCTGGCGTTATCGCCCGTCCCTGCGATACCTCATTGAGTCGAGCGCGGGAAAAGAAGCGAGAATCGCGCGTACATATAACAAAATCTATCCCAGAGCTCCAGCGATCCTCCAAAAAGTCGAATGTAAAATTCGTTAAGGTCAAAGGCGAGTCGCAGGCGCTGACAGAAACATGTTCAAGTTAGGACGCGCATCAAAGGTAAAATTTTCGCTAACCTGAAGGGTGAGCCATAATATCCTGCCCGCTGTTCATGAGATGGTTTCTTCCGATGACATTGGGACGACTGAGAAGATCCCTTTGCGTAGTAAGGGTCGGGGTGAATATCGGTGATGTGCAGGAAACGTCCGTGAAGTTTTCGATCGGGTCGATTCGGAGCCGCATTCAGGACGGCTTGAGGCGGCGCAGCCAGTACATGCGAACATAAAAGGCCTACTAGCCACGGTATGCGTGTCTTCATGTGAGGGAACGTTCAGAAGGCTTGATTGTGAAGTCTTAGGAATTGCAAGGCATAAATGGTGATATACTAATAGATACTTGGGACCTTGGATACTATAATTGACACGTTGACTCAACGTTAACGTTGTCAAACTTGCGTCTGACGGGAATAATATCAATCGTAACCCGTCCGTTCATTGGCTAGCTCAAGCTCAAGACTTGATAATGATATCGTAACTCGCGCGCGCGCCTTCACAACGTTTTAGGGTCTGCGCTGATAATAAGTATCCCACGTGCATGCTGCGCACAAAATCCTTGAAAGCTCAATTGAAGCTTGAGCGCTCTTTCGACGAGCGGGATGGCAGTGTAATTTCAACGAAGATACCAGTGCAACCATTGCAAACTAACTGCGCATGCCTCATGTTTGAATCAGACAAATTACTTGATACCCGTCAGGGGCTTCATCAAACTTGAAGCGGTACTGTGCAGTGTCACTGTCGACATCAAAAATCGGTAAAGCGATCTAAGTCTATAGTTAATCGTGTATTGATATATGAGGGGAAACGCTAATGTACATGTTGTTGCGTTTGAGAGTATACTGGTTGGTTCGATAACAATATGCATTTACAATGAAATGATGCCAAGAATGAATATTCATACCCAGCTTTTGAAGTCGATGCGAGTTACACTTGGATTGCTGAAACAGAATGTGACATCTCCATAGCCACATGCGAAGGGTTGTTGGGCCTGTGCCAGGCGAGCAATCTCCTCGCATTGTCATTTGCGTCGAGAACACTGCGGATTGATTGTTCTGCCAGATGGCAAGTCTAGTAGATGGCTGGGTCAGCGAGCGAACAAAAATAACACAGTGAAACATACCCGGCTGTATCCGCCGGTTTTTAGTGTTTGACGAGATCTTGCTATTGCATTATGGATCGAGTCATACGCGTGTCGACGTCTGCGTCAGCATTAGCACTGCTATGGTCAATCTCCGTGGAAGTACATACAGGACGCGTTCCAGCTCACTCGGGGAACGAGGAGGTATGAAAAGATCCTCGCCAGATAAATAACGGTCTACCGCATGATATGAAGCGCAGTGGCCAACAAGGGACTCGTCAAACGAAGGATGACTGATGTCCCAATCTAACCAGTCCTGGCTGGGAAAGTCAAAGGTGGACTTTGGGGCGATAAAAATAACATACCTAACGCTGGAATATGCCATCGATTCTGTGCTGTGTGGAGCAAGAAAGTGATCCATGGTCGTAATCTCTGGGTGGGGATCGGGGAACGTTTAAGCAACGAGTAAACTGACAGGAACGATGCAATGAAAGGCCCTTGTGCGGAGATGCTCCCTCTAAGCTAGCTTCCTGTGCAGATGATGGTAGTGAAGGTGAACTGAATTCTCGAACCACTACTTATAGGGGTTAAATTACCTCCTCGGAATGACACCATATTTTTCTCGCTCGGACTTTGAAACATATATTATGTAATAAACCTTGATATCGCATGATGCCCGATATCTATTCATTCTTCCGCTTGAAAAATCGTGTTATTCTTCTCCTAGCAGCCGGTGCTCTCGCTAAGTATTTTGACAGAATAAACGTATCATGTGGATATTGTGTTGATACTTACTCATGCACTTATCGCATGTTAGAATGAGACTCCGCGACGTATATGTGCATGCTTCGGTTCCGAGCATGTGATCAAGGGTCCGATCTTAATGCAAATGATTGTGCTCGCGGACCCTCCCGGATCTCGTTCCTCCTAGACCACTGAAGTCTCGTCCTGAGCCTGACATGACGACCCCACTTCCACTTTTCGTGCCTCCCGACGCTGGCTCATCGCATTGCGTTGCATTCCTGAAGAAAATCAACGAGAAGTACGGACTCGCGTTAGTTTCGTACTTTGACCTCTACAGATGGTCGGTTGACCACATCGATTTATTCTGGGATTCTGTATGGGACGACGTCGGTATTGTCGGCTACAAAGGGCAAGACGTTGTCGATAATAACACCGTTCCGGCGAAAAACCCACCATGGTTCAGCGAAGCTTGGATTAATTGGGCCGAGAATATGTTGACATGTCGCTCGGCAGATAAATTCGCGCTTATACAAGCAAGTAAGTATGTTAATAAACCATTCGGTAGTTTGCCTGATAATCATGACTAATTAGCTGAGCCCACCCCCGAGTGCCCAAATCCTCCTCATCAGCGCGTTACATATGCCGACCTCTACGCGATGGTTGCTGACTTGGTTTCAGCCTTGCTAATGCTCAACCTGAAACCTGGTGATCGAGTGGCTTCGTACTCCTCGAATTGTATTGTGCGTCACTGCCGGCTATGGGCATGCCCACTATTAACTTCACACCTTCTGTCAGGAGAATGTTGTTGCTTGTCTCGCCACCACTGCCATAGGTAGACCGTTTCTGCCCCTGTTGCTCTTTGCTAACCTTCTTAGGGTGCATCTGGGTCAGTGCGGCGGCAGACTTCGGGACCCAGGGGGTATTGGAGCGGTACGCGAATTTACCGAAATACCGTCACTCACGCACTTGCTAATTTGTAGATTTGAGCAAGTACAACCTCGGGTAATTTTTGCGGTCGATGCAGTCGTGTAGGTCACTTCCTTAGCAAACTCGGGTTTTTGTTATTCAAGTCATGCAGGTACAACGCAAAAGTCCATCCTCATTTGCCAAAATTGCAATCTCTTCTTTCTGGACTCTCCGAGCGATGCTCGCTTAACCCGGTCGTGATCGTTATTCAGTCAGGAAGGGACGCGTCCCGATGGGGCCCTGACTGGGTTTCATGGGACACGTTCATTTCGAGGGGCAAGTCCAGCTCACTGGGCCGCGCTTCTGATGGAGAAATTGAGTGGTGTCGTCAATGCTTTGATTGGCCGCTGTGGATTCTTTTTAGCTCTGGCACAACAGGTGTGTAGCCCTTCAACCATGAATTTAACTTACCTGTACAATAAAGCTGAACACTGTTGGTTCTCACAGGTCGCCCCAAGTATGCTGCTGTCAATCAGAAAATCTGTTGGGTCAAACTGACTTCAACCTCATAGACCAATTGTGCACCGGGCTGGCGGTATGCTGTTGCAGGCAAAGAAAGAATTCGTAATCTGTGCAGACCTGCGGCCTGAAGATGTCTTTTTCTATTACACCACAACGTGAGTTTTTTTTCATTCCTATATCGACTTTGTAGTAGATCATTGTATTTCAGAGGATGGATGATGTGGAATTTCTTGGTGAGCGGTCTCAGCATCGGGTGTACGCTAGTGCTCTACGACGGCAGTCCCCTGAGGGAACCCCCTTATCTGTGGCACCTCGTGGATGAACTGCAGATATCAATTTTCGGAACTAGTGCAAAATATCTCGATCAGTTATCGGTGAGCAGTCACCAACTGGTACTGTTGTTGCATACTGAGATATGCATATCAATAGCGAATAGGCTACAGGCCTCGTGATCATCATAACCTAGCATGCTTGAGACATATTTACTCGACTGGTTCGCCATTGGCCCCTGCGCTCTTCGACTACGTTTATAAATACATTCACCCCAGCGTGCTTCTCGCGTCTATAACAGGTATGATCTACAAAGTCAATTCGGTCATCTTTCCTGGACAGCTCTTTCAGGAGGCACGGACATCTGTTCTCTATTTGCAGGGATGTGCTCTGCGCTACCAGTATATCGTGGCGAAATTCAGTGTCGTATGCTGGGAATGGCAATCGAAACCTTCACTCCTGCAGGGCACAACTGTCAAACTGGCGAGGCTGGCGAGTTGGTATGCGTGCGGCCATTTCCATGTATGCCTATTGGGTTTTGGCCCTTGTCTGGTTTCGGGACAGATGAAATTGTGAAGGCTGCAGCAGATAGGTTCCGTCTGGCCTATTTTGCTGAATACAAGGATCTTAAAAAGTAAGGGAGAAGGCAAGGGGGGGAGGTGGGAAGATTTGGGCATTTCCGCGTAGCGCACATGGCGTCGGTAAGCCTCGCCAGCATCAGCTGGCGTCGGTATTTTCGGTTATTTCGCTAAGGTGGCTGAAAAAAAGCATCCCACATGGTTCTGTCAACCGGAGTTTGAATTTCCGAAAACCATTGTCCCCTACTGTACCAGCTCGCTGTCCAAAATTGGGAATTTGTAAAAATTGAGCCACAATGGGATGCACCAAGCAAATAGAAAAATGTGAAAAATGCGAAAATAGAAAGATGGGATTGGCAGGTGCTCACTGGCCCTCCATTTTGCACAACAACAATGATTTTATATGTACTGTAACTGTGATACATGATGATAAATGGTAAAAATTGAAGGACAAAAAGGGATTTTGGGATTTTTTTGGGGGAAAAGAGAAAAGAGAACACCAAGCCAGTAGAAAAATGTGAAAAATGCAAAAATGCGAAAATATAAAGATGGCAAAAATTGGCAATGGGTAAACAGGAGAATGGGAGGATGGAGAATGGAGAAATGGGGTGAATAGGAAGATGGGAGGATGGGAGGACAAGAGGAGGACAAGAGGACACAATGGGAGGATGAGAGGGCTACAGGAGGACAAGAGGATGGGAGGACAAGAGGAGGACAGGACAATGGGACATGGGACAATGGGACACGGGAGAACAGGACAACAGGACATGGGACATGGGACATGGGACACGGGAGAACGGGAGAACAGGACACGGGACATGGGACACAGGACAATGGGACATGGGACAACGAGACATGGGACATGGGACAATGGGACAACAGGACACAGGACAACAAGACATGGGACAATGGGACATGGGACAAGATAATTGGGAGGAAGTGTATGAGTCAATAGCATGACACAAACAGTTTGACTGAAGGTTACCTGGGACACTGGCTTGCATCCCGCTGGCCGAGGCACGAGGCCACGGGATCGCAAGCCAGTGTCCCAGGTAACCTTCAGTCAAACTGTTTGTGCAACATCCCATAACTAAAACAAAACTATATAATGTAAGAAATTATTGATTTGTTATAATTAAATAATATGTAGACACAGTGAGACAAGGCACCGAAGGTGCCTCCAGCAGAGCACGAAGTGCTCTGCTTGCTTCCTGTGCCGAAGGCACAACGGGCTTGGACTCGTCTATAAAGTAAGGGAGAACGGTATGGGGGAAACCGTGAGAGACGCGTATTCCGCGTATTCCGGCAGTGTCGGTTGTTTCGGTTGCGTCGGTAAGGTCGCTGAAAAGAGGATCCCATGTGGTTCTGTCAAGCGGAGTTTGAATTTGCAAAAACCGTTGTCCCTTACTATACGAGCTCACTGTCCAAACGTGGGAATTTGTAAAAATTGAGCCACAATGGGATTGGCAAGTGCTCACTGGCCCTCCATTTTGCACAACAACAATGAATTTTATATGTACTGCAACTGTGAATACATAATAAATAGTAAAAATTGAAGGACAACAAGGGATTTTGGGATTTTTGTGGGGAAAAGAGAAAAGAGAACACCAAGCAAGTAGAAAAATGTGAAAAATGCAAAATGCAAAATGCAAAAATGTGAAAATGCAAAATTGCGAAAATATAAAGATGGGAAAAATTGGCAATGGGTAAACAGGGGAATGGGAAGATGGAGAATGGAAAAATAGGGTGAATAGGGAGGATGGGAGGATGGGAGGAAAATAGGAGGACAACAGAAGGATGGGAGAACAATGGGAGGATGGGAGGACAAGAGGAGGACAAGAGGACACAATAGGAGGATGAGAGGACAAGAGGATGGGAGGACAATGGGAGGACAATGGGAGGATGGAAGACAGGAGGACAGACAATGGGACATGGGACATGGGACACGGGACACGGGACATGGGACACGGGACACGGGACACGGGACACGGGACACGGGACACGGGACACGGGACAATGGGACATGGGACATGGGACATGGGACATGGGACAATGGGACAGTGGGACACGGGACAACAGGACATGGGACAACAGGACAACAGGACAACGGGACACGGGACAACAGGACAAACAACAGGACAACAGGACAACAGGACAGTGGGACAGTGGGACACAGAACCATGGGACATGGGACACAGGACATGGGAGATAGGAAATCAGATAATTGGGAGGAAGTGTATGAGTCAATAGCATGACACAAACAGTTTGACTGAAGGTTACCTGGGACACTGGCTTGCATCCCGCTGGCCGAGGCACGAGGCCACGGGATTGCAAGCCTGTGTCCCAGGTAACCTTCAGTCAAACTGTTTGTGCAACATCCCATAGCTAAAACAAAACTATATAATATTTTTTAAATGTAAGATGTAAGAATTTATTTATTTCACAAAATTAAATAATATGTAGACACAGTGAGGCAAGGCACCTTTGGTGCCTCCAGCAGAGCATGAAATGCTCTGCTTGCTTCCTGTGCCGAAGGCACAACGGGCTTGGACTCGTCTATAAAGTAAGGGAGAATGGTATGGGGGAAACCGTGAGAGACGCGTATTCCGCGTATTCCGGCAGTGTCGGTTGTTTCGGTTGCGTCGGTAAGGTCGCTGAAAAGAGGATCCCATGTGGTTCTGTCAAGCGGAGTTTGAATTTGCAAAAACCGTTGTCCCTTACTATACGAGCTCACTGTCCAAACGTGGGAATTTGTAAAAATTGAGCCACAATGGGATTGGCAAGTGCTCACTGGCCCTCCATTTTGCACAACAACAATGAATTTTATATGTACTGCAACTGTGAATACATAATAAATAGTAAAAATTGAAGGACAACAAGGGAATTTTGGGATTTTTGTGGGGAAAAGAGAAAAGAGAACACCAAGCAAGTAGAAAAATGTGAAAAATGCAAAATGCAAAATGCAAAAATGTGAAAATGCAAAATTGCGAAAATATAAAGATGGGAAAAATTGGCAATGGGTAAACAGGGGAATGGGAAGATGGAGAATGGAAAAATAGGGTGAATAGGGAGGATGGGAGGATGGGAGGAAAATAGGAGGACAACAGAAGGATGGGAGAACAATGGGAGGATGGGAGGACAAGAGGAGGACAAGAGGACACAATAGGAGGATGAGAGGACAAGAGGATGGGAGGACAATGGGAGGACAATGGGAGGATGGAAGACAGGAGGACAGACAATGGGACATGGGACATGGGACACGGGACACGGGACATGGGACACGGGACACGGGACACGGGACACGGGACACGGGACACGGGACACGGGACAATGGGACATGGGACATGGGACATGGGACATGGGACAATGGGACAGTGGGACACGGGACAACAGGACATGGGACAACAGGACAACAGGACAACGGGACACGGGACAACAGGACAAACAACAGGACAACAGGACAACAGGACAGTGGGACAGTGGGACACAGAACCATGGGACATGGGACACAGGACATGGGAGATAGGAAATCAGATAATTGGGAGGAAGTGTATGAGTCAATAGCATGACACAAACAGTTTGACTGAAGGTTACCTGGGACACTGGCTTGCATCCCGCTGGCCGAGGCACGAGGCCACGGGATTGCAAGCCTGTGTCCCAGGTAACCTTCAGTCAAACTGTTTGTGCAACATCCCATAGCTAAAACAAAACTATATAATATTTTTTAAATGTAAGATGTAAGAATTTATTTATTTCACAAAATTAAATAATATGTAGACACAGTGAGGCAAGGCACCTTTGGTGCCTCCAGCAGAGCATGAAATGCTCTGCTTGCTTCCTGTGCCGAAGGCACAACGGGCTTGGACTCGTCATAATATTATGGGAGACCGGTTTTGTGGCTGTGTGTGGGAGACGCGTAGCTCGCTAAAGGCCACATGGGAACGCTTAGCTCGCTTAACCTCGATTTAGAAATTTCACGTGGTTCTGTCAATCGGAGTTTCAATTTCAAAAAACCATTCTCCCTTACTATACGACCTCACTGTCCAAAATTGGTTATAGGTAAAAATTGAGCCACAACAAGGGGAGGAACACCAAGCAAATAGAAAAATGTGAAAAGTGCGAAAATATAAAGATAGGAAAAATGGGCAATGGGTAAACATGGGAATGGGAAGGTGGAGAATGGAGAAATGGGGTGAATGGGGAGATGGGAGGAGGATGATGGGATCATGGGAGAACAGGAGAATGGGAGAACAGGAGAACGGGAAAACGGGAGATAGGAAAGCAGAAAATAGGACAGAGACACAGGAGAATTTTTTGGGAAGGGCAAGAGTCAACAGCAAGACACTGGCTTGCATCCCGCTGGCCGAGGTACGAGGCCACGGGATTGCAAGCCAGTGTCTTGCTGTTGACTCTTGCCCTTCCCAAAAAATTCTCCCGTGTCCTCTGTCCTCAGAATTAAAATAAAAGTATATAGTATTTTGTAAATGTAATATGTAGACATGTGCCGAAGGCACAACGGGTGTGGGCTAGTCATAATATTATGGGAGACCGGTTTTGTGGCTGTGTGTGGGAGACGCGTAGCTCGCTAAAGGCCACATGGGAACGCTTAGCTCGCTTAAACCTCGATTTAGAAATTTCGCGTGGTTCTGTCAATCGGAGTTTCAATTTCAAAAAACCGTTCTCCCTTACTGTCCAAAATTGGTTAAGCCACAACAAGGGGAGGAACACCAAGCAAATAGAAAAATGTGAAAAATGCGAAAAATGCGAAAATATAAAGATAGGAAAAATGGGCAATGGGTAAACATGGGAATGGGAAGGTGGAGAATGGAGAAATGGGAGGAGGAGGACAGGAGTCTAAGAAGAAAGGGAGAACAGGAGAACGGGAGAACGGGAGATAGGAAAGCAGAAAATAGGACAGAGACACGGGAGAATTTTTTGGGAAGGGCAAGAGTCAACAGCAAGACACTGGCTTGCATCCCGCTGGCCGAGGTACGAGGCCACGGGATTGCAAGCCAGTGTCTTGCTGTTGACTCTTGCCCTTCCCAAAAAATTCTCCCGTGTCTCTGTCCTCAGAATTAAAATAAAAGTATATAGTATTTTGTAAATGTAATATGTAGACATGTGCCGAAGGCACAACGGGTGTGGGCTAGTCATAGTATTATGGGAGACCGGTTTTGTGGCTGTGTGTGGGAGACGCGTATTTCGCTAAGGCCACATGGGAACGCTTAGCTCGCTTAAACCTCGATTTAGAAATTTCGCGTGGTTCTGTCAATCGGAGTTTCAATTTCAAAAAACCGTTCTCCCTTACTATACGACCTCACTGTCCAAAATTGGTTAAGCCACAACAAGGGGAGGAACACCAAGCAAATAGAAAAATGTGAAAACAACAATGATGTATATATGTACTGTAATTCTGTATACATAAAAATGCGAAAATATAAAGATAGGAAAAATGGGCAATGGGTAAACATGGGAATGGGAAGGTGGAGAATGGAGAAATGGGGTGAATGGGGAGATGGGAGGAGGAGGACGGGAGGATGGGAGAACAGGAGAACGGGAGAACAGGAGAACGGGAGATAGGAAAGCAGAAAATAGGACAGAGACATGGGAGAATTTTTTGGGAAGGGCAAGAGTCAACAGCAAGACACAAACAGTGAGACTGAAGTTTACCTGGGACACTGGCTTGCATCCCGCTGGCCGAGGTACGAGGCCACGGGATTGCAAGCCAGTGTCCCAGGTAAACTTCAGTCTTGCCCTTCCCAAAAAATTCTCCCGTGTCCTCTGTCCTCAGAACTAAAATAAAAGTATATAGTATTTTGTAAATGTAATATGTAGACATGTGCCGAAGGCACAACGGGTGTGGGCTAGTGTATGGTGTACGCGCCCGGATCATGAGATTACTCCCCTTACTAACTTGATTTGGATCAGATCATGGAGACCACGTGCTGATAACCCCTTCTCGGCATGGGAATGGAGGCGGGCTCTTCATGCTGGGAAGAAGTGACGGCGTTCTGTGAGTATACTAACTCACTTCTCTCTAATTCTGACCATTTCGTAGAAATCCTGGAGGGATCCGGTTTGGGTCATCTGAGATATATAATGTTCTTGAAACGTGCTTCTCATTTTCAGAAGAACGGAACGCGAACGACACAATCGAGGATGCACTGGTTGTGGCGCAGTCCATTGAAGCCGGCGCAGACGAACGCGTGATCCTGTTCATTAAGCTTTATAGCAAGGGGGCGCTATCAATAGAAATGGAGAAGCAGATCAGATTAGAAATAAGGTCACGACGAAGCCCACGCCATGTTCCTGCTCGAGTATGTTCCATTTTTATCAGTCCCCCAGAACGTTAGCTAACTGTCCGCGGGGGCTCGGTAGATTATCCAAGTCGACGACATCCCGTACACCTTGAACGGCAAGCGCGTGGAGGTTCCAGTTAAAAAGGTATATTTTCATAAATCATAGGATGTGTGGCATTGACAACTGGCCAGATCATCAATGGAGCGCATATATCAAGTGTAAATTCCGCCACACTGCGAAATCCTGAGTGTCTTGATCAGTTTGCAAGCATCGGAGAGATGCTCCGAAAAGAGATGGGGATGAAAGGTTGATTGTAGCACATGACCATGCTTTACACGTTGTTTGTAGGATAGAAAAGGAAAATACTTGTGACATATTCTCCGGTGTTTACTCAGTCAGGTAAACTACGTGGCTCGTGTCCTGCAAGAGTGTGGGTTCGGACACCTAATCTCCAGGGGATTTCCTTTTCTGCCACTGAAGTTTTCTGACAGCTGGTTCTGACAGGTTCTGACTCCATTCTGCCAGATTCCGCCTCGAGGCCGTTAACGCGGATGTACATCCGTTACCCTGTCTTTCACGATGCTTAGAAATTTTCAGCCGTTATTTAAAAGCACAGCTTGCCCGTCTGCGTTTGAGCGGACGCACGACTTCTGTTTCCCCCGGATCCTTGATCATCGAGGTCCGCCACGCCTTTTACTGCACGGCGCACGCCACGCCGTTTAGATTTACGAGAATCGACATCCCCCATCCTCGTGTACGCACAACTTTCCGTGCTATATCATGAGGACCGCACGCCCCCTTCCCTTGAATTGTCAACATCAATCTACCAGTCATCCTCATCAGTCTCGTCAGAATTATTCTATCCGGGAACGCCAGACGTCCCGTCACAAGCGACTCACTACACTCTCCGTCTCAACAATATTTACCAGAGTAGCGATGCCATCGAAGTTTAACATCTTTAGGGCTTGTATCTACGGTCAGCACTCATGTTCATGATATCCATTGCCGCCCTGCTGACTTTGGAGCAGGCGCAGTCCTCACATGGACGGTGATCTGCCTGGGTATCGCGGCTCATTTCCAGAGTCTACTGGTCATCACAGATCTCAGTCAGTTTGCTCCTTGTTTCTGTAGTTGATCGCAGCTTATGTGAATGTAGCTCGTTTCGTTCCTTTCACCATCTTCGTATGCAGTGCAAGCATGCTCATTCTCATTATTTTGTGCGTACATATAAACTTCACACGATGCGCTGGCGTTGACTAGGGCTGCAGACTTGGATGTAGCCTGATTCGGACTACTAATCCGATTTCCACGAGAATCGAGCTTGGGTGCCTCGGACTGCTTGGCACTTTCTGGCTTGGTACGTGAATCACGGAATTAATGGTTCCTCGCTTAATTGTCGCGGTCCAGCTTTGGGTGCCTTCCTAGCAAGCTCAGACTCAGAGAATGCAGATGTAGAATGCTTTTCGTCCGATGCACAAACTGATCCCATAGATATTCCTGGGTGTAAGTAACAAGATATTTTTCATTCATAGAGAGAAATCTAACTTTCGTCTCAAGTCTCTACAGAGACATACCAGGCTCAGTATCGGGTTCTAGAGGCGTTCTCACTTTTCAATGTTATTCTCAGTAAGTGAAACGAATCTATATTCTAGATCATATGTCTCAAGCTCCCGCAGTATTGGCGTTCTTGTTGTTCTTGCTAGCGCTCGCAGTAAAACATCATTTCCGCGTCAACCGCAATGTATGGTACATTGCTGTCACCGAATACCCGTGGTTCGGAAAAAACACCTCACAAGCGAAGCTACCAGCACCCGTTAGCAGCCGTTCACGATCAAGAGGCAGGACCTATGATGAGAAGGACTCAACACCCTGGGGGTATGAGGCAAGGGGCGGGAATTCACGTTACCCCGAATGGTCGGCTCAAGGACATAATACCCCGGCACGCGCGCACACGGCGGATAAGTATAAGAGGAATGCGTCACCCAGGCGGTGACCTGTATGAGCCTATGTGTTTTACATTTGGGTTTTTATTGACATAGAATGTCGTGTTTTTCCTGGGAAGTCAAATATTATTTGTACTACGTACTAGATATCTGGCATGGCTGTCAATATCACGATCTTTGTTCTTGCAATGATTTTCAATAGCGTCCGCTAAATATGGCATGCGCGAACTTGAAGCTCACCGGGGTACAAGCGACAGGTTCGTGCGGGCTCCGTGCGCTTTCGTCCTCAACACTACCAGCCCTTGTCAATCAATCTCCTTGCAGATTACACTCTACCCTGCTAGTAGTCGTCTTCGTGCTTGAGTCATGGAGCCTTGGAGCTCCTTGGGGGTGTTTCAAGTTGACATATGGCCCAATATAGTATTCGATGTTGAATTCAGCGCGTTCGAACGGGACGGTATTGGTATGTATGCATCAATTGTTCTGATTCTGTTCCTTTCTACACCCATTCCGCATTGTTTCGGCACGACGCACCATATAAACCCAAGACCCACGCACGTACGACCATATACCTGAAATTTGAAGACGTCTTTCAGTCATGACTGTCCTGTTTATGAACATGAGGTTCATTGCATATGGTATGTCAGTCGTTCACAATTCGCATCCAGTCGACTGATCATCTCCAGTATCCACATTTCTGCTATCTGCGGCTGTCCTTGGACTTACCGCCAACTTTGCCAAGTTATTCCTTCCGAATATCAATCGTATGTGTTGTCGCATCTTTATCAGTCGTGGGGACGCCCGAACTGTCTTTTTAGATGACTTCACTATCTTTGCTCTGATTCCACCATCAGTCACTCTATTTGCATTTATAGGCCTGTGAGTTGGACGCGTCAATTTTTCGCCCTACTTGGCTCATCGCTCTGCAGGACACAGTTTGCGCAGCCTGTAGTGGAGATCACAATCCACTTCATCCTCGGTGTGCTATGGCTAGGTAAGCTTACAGTGCTACCCTTTACTCAAAATCCGTTGAGCTTATCGATCGGAACCACAGCCCTGGGTGCATGGTCTCAGTAAGTGAATAGTTTTTCGGTGCATGATCGATTATGAACTGCACGCTCAAGGGACATCATCGGATATGTGCAATGCTATCCACTCCAAGGTCAGCAACCTACCAATAAAGGAAGTAGTGAGTGATCAATGCGACATTTTTGCGCGTATCGCGACTCACATGCCACTAGTGTCTGCACAGACGTATTGCTATGACATGAAGGTCATCGAAGCACTATCGTGGACCATATTCGTGCTGTGTATGTTCTAGCTTCCTTCGTTTCTGGTGCATCTACTGAAGTATTCCATTGAAGTTACGTTGTTCTTCGTTATCCTGATCTCGCTTACATCGCGCGCAGTCGCTTTTGGCCGGTACTATGCGTGGCGGGAACATGTCTCGCAGCTAGGCTGGTTTGGGGAACTTCCAGGATACCCCACTGAAGCTGTCTATCCTCGAGCTCCGTTTTTCGGAGGATACGGTCAGCCGTACCCCATGATGGGTGGGTACCATATTCAACAAGCGCCGGGTCACTCCATCATGGTTCAACCAGGTATTAATGGTGGCCAACCTGTTGTCACTCAGGTGCCAGGTGTGGTGGTCTAGGCGCAATCTTCCGTTGGACGTTAGAAATGATACATACTGCGTATGTCATGTGTATTCAACGTGTCAAAACGATAAAGCTCGCGATATATTCTGATTAACCTTACAGCGGAGCAAACGTGGAACTAATTCATTCAAGAACGAGTTCATCAAATTGTGTTGTTTGGAGTTGCATTGTCTCCATTATTTTGCGTGTAACAAGGCCAATTTCCTAGATCGGCTGGGTCTGAAACTATGCATCTATTTACGTGAATTAACAATTGATGAGAATATGGATGATGAAATAATGACCTCGTGTCAGAAGGGGGTGCTCGAAGTCGGCCTCATGGCCAGGGCCCAGGTGCTGGTCAATACAAGGAGCCCATCTGGTCATCGATTCCCACCCACCCCTTTTCCACTTCTTTCCTACTTCTATCGTCACGAAATGGCCCTGTTCACCGACCACCCGTTCAGACATGTCATCAAAGGTGCGGGCATGGACCTTCATGATATAAAACATATGTTGAGCGCAAATCCGCAGGCATTCTAGCCCTGGCGATGGGGCATCTGATCATGAAAATGATGCCCCACTCGATTCGCAAGTATCAATTTGTAACGGGCGCTTAGAGCAATATTTTAACGGATGATCGATTGCAGAGGTTATTCACCTGACTCAAACATCAGTAACGGTTTTAGCGATCGGGGCACTTATCTTATTGTACGACGATGACGAATTTATCTCCACCAGCGACTGACCTGAAGACAGGGTAGTGAAACACCACAGAACTCAGGGGGAAGACAGAGTCTTGTCGCAATCGCAGGAGGAGTTGATTTTGATTGCGGCCTTGGGGGCGTTTTGGCTCGGTGAGTACGTCTGCTTCAGCATAAATTTCGTACTAATTCAAAGGACTTTGGTATCAGCGTTTCTCTTGGCTATGCGCGCATGGAACCAGAGTAGTGTCGATATTGATCTGGCACACCCACGCCACATGTTCCAGGCGAGCACTGGCGAGGCCCAAAGTAATGTCGTTGGTGCTGGCAGCCGAGGAGGTGCCGCAGCGGCTCAGGGCATGCCGCCTGCAGTGTCATCGGAACGGCTCCAAGGCGCAGCAAGCTACATCCGACAGTCTTACAAGCCTCAAGCCGGGTTCCGTAAACCCCACCCGTGCAACCCGAACGACGCGTACTGTGTCGTCGAGGAGTGGACCTTTTACTGAGGGGACATGAAAATATACGATCCTGATGTTTCTTGGACGAGTTTTGTGTAGATTGGGATCTAACGAGGTGTACCGCTAGTTTTCGAGTGCATATCTCTTGTTTTTTATATGGCGTTGTTGTAGTCGAGTGGACTCCAGGAGAGTATCAATCAGAATATTAATGAGTTTGATCATTCCCTGGAGGTATCGGCCGGTATCGGCACTTGAAATGAATATTATCTCCGACTCTCCATCGGCATCGGGAGGGTATCGGCAGGATCTGTACTATTGGATTAGCCTTATATTACATTCAAGTGGTTGTCGAGTGACTCTTCCCCAGTTATCCAGCTTGTACTCTAGGAAACATGATAAGTCCTTCCTTCTTGTTGAAACCGCGGTTAAAGCTTATCTTATTTTCTTTCAGACACGCCTCAACAAAGCGTCGTATCGAGACAGATGTAATGAAGCTGTACGGACTTACCCCAATACCCGCAGCGACACTGATTTAATGACTTACAATGCAGGCTTATGTCGGACTACGAGGTGACTCTCGTAAATGATAACATGCGCGAGTTCTACGTCCGCTTCTATGGTCCTGGAGAAAGTACGTTCCTTAATCACTGTCTTGTTCGCGTCGGATTAATCAGCACCAGCACCGTTTGCGGGCGGTATATGGAAGATTCACGTCGAGTTGCAGGCGGAGTATCCATACAAGTCGCCAAGCATAGGATTTATGAACAAGATCTTTCATCCTAACATAGATGAGCTGTCAGTACCCATCACGATACTTCCCGAAATGTCGATTGATACGTTCCTAATACAGGAGTGGCTCTGTATGCCTGGATGTCATTAACCAGACGTGGTCGCCTATGTTCGGTATGCGAGGCGGTTGATGCACGCTCGACCGTTAGGTTGCTGATCTGTCAACTTTCATAGATATGATCAACATCTTTGAGGTGTTCTTGCCACAACTGCTGCGGTACCCCAATCCTAATGATCCATTAAACGGCGAAGCTGCCGCGCTGATGATGCGACACCCGAAGGAATACGAGGCCAAGGTGAAGGGTAAGCTTATCTTTTATCCATCTCACGCGGAATATAACGTTCATTTCAACTCAGAGTACGTACAGCGATTCGCAACCAAGGACATTGTGGATGCCTCAACAGACGGCAATGAAGACGATGCAGACGAAGAGATGAGCGACATCGGCAGCATTAGTGAGGATGAAGAGTAAGAGTCTTGATATCTCTTCTGCTGGCATGCCTTTTCTCCCGCACTTTTCATTACTGGTTCCTTGCACAACACTCATATCATTTCACATATCATATCCATTCTGTACTCCACCTGACCTTTCCATTTCTGTGTTATCTGCTATCATCATTCAATTTGCGGAGATACCCTCTTCGCTCGACCTCTTGACATTTGATGAGCCTCTATGGCTCTCTCAACACTGGACATTAGTTGGAAACATCTCATCCCTTTCGCCGTGTTGTATAATTAGGGATTGCGTAGTGCCAACTTGACTGCGTGTCATAATGTATTTTGCTTAGACAACCGCGGGACTGATAAGAGGCACCCGGTAACTCGGGAGTGGATTCGGCTGGACAGGAAATTCAGGTAGGAGCGGGAGTCGTTGCAGTGGACAGTGGGAGCGCCGGCACGAGTTCATCGACTTTCTTCTGTATGTCTGCGGCGGCCTATAAAACGTTGTAGTAACGTGAGTGCAGGAGTGAAACGGACATAGGATTATTCGCACCTTCATGAGTGATTCTATTTGCGTTTTGACACTTTCCACGGTTGCGAGTTTAAGCTTGCTTTGTTTCAGGAGTTCTTCCTTTTGAGATGTGAGTTCTTTTCTTTTTTGATCGAGTCTATTGTAATATGAAGATCTGCATAGTAGAGTTTGTGTCGAACGTACCTCTGCCTTTCGACAAGTTCAAAGCTTAGGCGGTTGAGCATAAGCTGATGCGGACTCTGCAACACGTCATCTGAACGTGCTTCAGGAGGTGCCAAATTTTTGAACTCTGGCAGGGAGTACAAGGGCACGTCCTGGTAAATGGAACTACACGAACGGTCAGTAGAGATTGCAGGGACAGCTAAAGAATGACGAACGCGAATTGCCGACACTTGTCTATTTCCCTCTCGAGGTGACGCTTTTCATAGAGTAAATTCTGGAGGCCAAGATGCGTCTGGTCCATGTCATGGCGAGCCTCTGTGGTTGCTTGCTTGCATGTTCTCGTTGCAGCATTGGCATTTCTGTTGAGGGCCTTTAGACGAGCTACGAGTGCATTGGCACGAATCTGAATAGACGTTGGGTCTACGAGAGCCAAGTCAGAGGAGACTAGCTCTTGAAAGTGCTTTATGGCTTGGTCTTCTTCCATGGTAGTAAAGATTAGTAGCACGTGGCTGAGTCAGAAACGGACCGAATTGAGTCCGTGATGATGAGAGGTTTACGATAATCTGCAAAGTCAATGGGTAGTACGTAGTAAGCCGCATCATTGAATCTCAGACTAAACGATCACAGAGATTGTTATCCCAGCTCATAGCCTTACGCACCGCTCACGGTAATGTAAATTCACATCGATCTATATTCCATCACTACCGAACTACTTCTCACACTCACGTCAGTACCAATAACTTTAAGAACAACCCAAAGCCCCTGCCTCTCAACACATATTTCTCCTTGTTTAATCATGGCCTCAGTGCAACGCGCAAGGTCTGGAACAATCCCATCAATGGAGACCACAGGTCACCAGTTCAAAGATAACACTCTCATCGTCGGTGAGTACGCCCCCCTGTCCTCGCCACCTATCTCATATCTCACCTGTTCTAGTCTTTGGTGCCTCCGGTGACCTTGCGAAGAAAAAGGTGGGCCATTTACTCTTCTATCTGAGCCCTGGAAGATCTTGAGCCCCCCGATAGACGTACCCAGCTTTATTTGGTCTCTACCGCAACGGTTATCTCCCTAAAGGTGTCCATATTGTCGGCTATGCACGTACAAAGATGGATGATGAAGAGTATCACAAACGCACCACAAGCTACATCAAGAACCCTAACAACGACCCAGAGATCGCTGCTGAAATCGAAGAGTTCAAGAAAATATCCACTTATGTTTCTGGCGGCTATGAGGACAGTCCCTCTTTCCAAAATTTGGCAAAACACCTAGAGGCCATTGAGAAGAACTACCAAAGCCGCGATGTCAACCGCCTCTTTTACCTTGCCCTCCCGCCCTCCGTGTTCGTACCTGTCGCAAAACATGTAAAGGAGTGCTGCTACGCCACCTCGGGAACAAACCGCATCATCGTCGAGAAGCCTTTTGGCAAGGATCTCGAATCCTGTCGGGAACTCCTATCATCACTCAAGCAGTCATGGAAAGAGGATGAGACTTATCGCATTGACCACTATCTCGGCAAGGAGATGGTCAAAAATTTGTTGGTCCTCCGTTTCGCCAACGTCGCCATGGGCGCTGCGTGGGACAAGCATTCGATCAGCAACGTCCAGATCAGTTTCAAGGAGCCCTTTGGCACAGAGGGTCGTGGTGGTTATTTCGACGAATTCGGCATCATCCGTGACATTTTGCAAAACCGTGAGTCTCCTGTGAGCGTCTGTGGGAGGGGCTTCCACGCTGATGCATGTGCGCACTCAGACTTGTTGCAGGTCCTGAGTATCTTGACCATGGAACGACCTGTGTCGTTCGCGTCGGAGGACATTCGGGACGAGAAGGTTATTCGTGTGCACTAGAAGTCTAATATTATCTTCTCACACTAGCATCCCTTTTCTTCCCAGGTTAAAGTCCTCCGCGCGATCCCACCCATCAAGAGGGAGGATGTGCTTCTAGGCCAGTATGTCGCAGCCAACGGGAAGCCGGGTTACCTGGACGACGATACTGTGCCGAAAGACTCTGTTTGCCCAACGTTTGCTGCTACCACACTCTGGATTAATAATGAACGGTGGGAAGGCGTACCATTCATCTTGAAGGCCGGAAAGGGTGTGTCCGCATCTTGAATTACACCATCAAATAGCCCTGACAATTTACGCATTCCAGCCTTGAACGAGGCCAAGGTTGAAATTCGCATGCAATTCAAGGATGTCACGCAGGGAATTTTCAAGGATATTTCGCGCAACGAACTCGTGATCCGCATTCAGCCCTCGGAGGCCGTTTACCTGAAGCTGAACGCCAAGGCGCCTGGATATGCGTTCCATGCACTTCCGACTGAGATGGACCTTACATACAAAAGACGGTTCACGGATACAAAAATCCCGGAGGCTTATGAGGCACTTATCTTGGATGCAATCAAGGGCGACCACTCAAACTTTGTCCGAGATGACGAACTGGATGTAGCATGGAAGGTAAGCATGCTGCTGCAAGCCATAGCCAAGGAACGCGATTGATCGCCAACGTACCAGATTTTCACCCCCATTCTGCACTGGATAGATGGGAAAGAAGGACCACGCCCTAAGCCCTCACCCTACCCCTATGGCTCTCGGGGACCTAAAGAGCTGGATGGCTTTATTGAGAAGTTGGGCTACAAGCGCGCAGCAGAGGACTAGTAAGCATACACGTGGCCGAATCGAAAGGGGCACATTACTAACTAGAACGATCTACAGCAGCTGGCCCACGACGAACATGTCAAAATTTTGAATGGGTCTGCGCCATTAGAATCGTTTTATTTTGTAGTTGCACGGCGAGGTTCGGGTGGAAGCGAGTGCGTATGAAAAGTGATCATATTCTTTCATAAGTGACTTGCATGTGTCTCGATGATTCTGGAAATCGGTAGCCATGATTGTATATCCAACTTGTTTGAATGCAGTATGTAGTTATGCCACGCGGTTCCGGTCAAGACAGGAGGTGTGTGTTGGAACGTCGTCATTGGGAGGGCTATAATCGGCGATCTGGTGCAGTTAACGTCGGAGTAACGTCAATAACGTTTAAATAGGGCGTAGAAATCAAAGTTGGGAGACCATCGAGCATCGTGATTCGTGAATCTCTTTATTGAACGCTTGAATCGAGGTTTGAATCTCACCCTGTTATTGTCACTGTATCGTCGTCCTACTGGCTTGTAAGTTGTTTACGAGCCACGAAATTGCCTTTCGCCCTACCGCGGAAAGCAACCGGAAACGAATCCTCGAGTCAGTCTTCTATTCATCCTTAATTGCAGCTGATGCACTCTGGCACTCGTGAGTCTAAATTTATATTATCACCCTGTGTGTGCTCATATATATTGTCGTCATCTTCAATAGCCCTTCTTCTTTGCTTTTCCCCGGTCAACTTCCAGTAACACTTCCTAGTGTAGGAAAGTTCTGCCGCCATGGGATGTCCTTCTCCAAATATTCTTCTTCCTCTCCTGCATTGTCCCCTGTGCTCCCCATCCCGTCTCCTGACGGATCCAACCACTCTAAGATGTGGTCACACAGTCTGTTCCTCGCATATCATCTCAACTTCATGCCCAATCCCTACATGTTCTTCTACTCCAGCAAATTTCACGCCCATTATTCCACCTAGTTCTCGAGTCGCGTTCTTCCCAGCGGCGTCCGAGTCTCATACCAGCTCTCCTGAAGCAGGTGAACGAAGAATTGACGTCAGAGTGAAAAAGTTAGTGGAGTTAGTAAAAACAGCCGCAGAGGATGATGGCGAACAACATGACCACCTTGTGGAGACTTATTCCGACTCTGGAGACGATTCCGACGGCGAACAACATGAGCCGGTCCGTTTTCCATCTTCATCCTCACTAGCTATCCGTCCCGTGACACCTACCCCTGGTCCTTCGGGCTCCACTCCTTTGAATCATCCATCCTCCCCTGCGTCGTCATATTCTCGGCCGCGGAAGCGTCGACGTCATTCCTTAAATGCACATTTTCATTCTTCTGGCCCTGGACATGTATCACTAGCCGAATTTGACAAGAGCCTCGCAACGGAATTGATGTGCGAGATCTGTTTTACGCTGTTCTACCAGCCTGTCACAACGCCTTGTCAACATGTACGTTCATACAGCTTCTTTTCTGTTTCATTCACAAACCCTGACGACGACGGCTCTAGACCTTTTGCTCAAAATGCCTACAGAGGTCATTAGATCATAGCATGTTATGTCCGCTATGTCGCGAGGAATTGCCTGGCTTCGCTTACTTTCATGAACACCCGCACAACAAAGTTATCCTTACTCTGGGTCAGTACATTACGTCATAGCTCCTGCATTCATCTAATTGTAAACGTGTAGTGCTTAAAGCATACCCTGAGTCCTATGACACAAGGGGACAAGCAATCGCTACAGAAGAGCGTGACGCGCGTTTAGATACGCCCATTTTCGTTTGCCAATTATCTTTTCCGGGCATGCCAACGCTCCTCCATTTGTTCGAACCGCGCTACCGGCTGATGCTGAGGCGGTGTCTTGAGGCGCCAACACCAACTTTTGGCATGATCATGCCCCCACGTGCAGCACCTGTTGCTGGTCTCGGCATTGATGCGGGCGCAGAATTTGGTACCATGCTTGAGATCCGCAGCGTGCAGATGCTGCCAGATGGGCGGAGCATGGTAGAAACTTGGGGCACGCATCGATTCAGGATACTCGAACGCGGATCCCTAGATGGGTATATGATCGGAAGGGTGGAACGGATCGACGATTATGAAGACCTTCCTGATGACTGGGAGTCTGAGATCGAGGAGCACGTTCCTTCGTCGTCCTCTTCCGCGCCATCCTCGTCTTCTTCTTCTAGCACCTCGAGTCACGCAGCACCATCTCAGCATCTTTTTTCACGCATTATGTCGAACCTGTCGCAACCTCCATCACCCACCGACCCTCCTCTGAGCACTGCTGCGCTCCTTCAAACCTGTCACACATTTCTGGAGCAGCTCCGTGCAGGCACTGCACCATGGGTGGTTCAGCGCCTGAACCACACGTACGGTCCTCAGCCGCCTGACGAGGACCTTGATGCGTTCTCATTCTGGATGGGTATGGTGCTTCCAATAGACGAGCATGAAAAGGCCAAATTACTGCCCATTAAAAGCGCGCGACTCCGTCTGCGAATGGTCATGGGCTGGATAGAACAGTTGAATAGTAATTGGTGGGTGATGCACATTATTGTACCCCCTATGCCGCTCTTGACTGTGACTTGATCGTCAGGTGGTTTTCGAGTGGATGCATTGTAATATAGCCCTGTTCATCAACATGATACTCCCTAGCTCATACACCATGGAATCAACATGATCACGATCAAGGAGAGGAAAGAAAAATCTGGAATTTGTTCAATATGCATCACATCGTACTCTAGTACCCACCACGTACCGTATGCATCCGCACTCATTTTATTTGCATCACCTGTTGTAGTGTATCCTACCCATGTGCTCTATTTATTCCCATTTGCTCTTTGGTCCTTTCATGTGGTTTCTTTTGGGCATCAGTTACTGGGATTTAGACTATTAGGCTGATTTTTTTACCTGTTGGTCATGGGTTACTATATGTCCGCTTCAAGTTACACTTGATGGGAGTTTGACGGGTGCCTTAAGAGTCTAAGTGACATCGGAGTCACGCCCTCAGCAGCGAAAGCGTGACACTGGCACTTCCGAATTGCTTATTACTGTGCCCTCGGACGTTCAGCGCGCGCCATGGCGAGCTCAATCCCAGGCCCACCACGGCTGCTTATGCCAATGGTGCGCTCCCCCGAACCTCCGCGCCTACCACGATCTCCCCCAAGCTCACCAACGCGAAGGCAAGCGTCCTCAAAGTTAATGCGTTCGCGCTCCGGCTCGGCAACTGCCATCATGACAAGCGCGGCATTCAATGCAGGGACCGGGTTGGGCGAGGATTACGTCGGGGAGCGCTGGATCGGGAGAAAGTATCGTCTTGAAATTGCTGAGAATCGCGTCGAGCTCCAGGGGTACCAGATGTATGCGGTTGAGAAGTGGTCCGTGATTTGTCTTTGTGCAGGTATTCGGCTTGTGTTGACTGATGCATAGGATAGTCGAGCGCGTGCGCCCTGTTATGGTGCTCATTGTTTATACAGGAGACCTAGCCCATAAGGTACGTTCCCTCGGTGTACGCCTGAACTTCAGGGAGTGACTTATTTGTCCAGATTACCGTCACTGCGCTTAAGCCTGTTGGCCATTTGACACCACAGGAGGGAGAGGCGGAACTCAAGCTATCTGTACAACACCTTCGTAAAGATGGGGCCCGACCAAAACAGGTACCTTGGTACTTCTGCGGTATGCTCGCTGAGGGCTAATGTATGCGCCTTAGACACCTCTAGGCATACTGATGGTTACCTCGTTGGCGAACTTTCGGTCTGATTACACAATTGTGCAGATTCCCGATGGCGACTTTCTAGCAGCGCAGGAGCGTTTGTACTGCAATATCAATCTCCTACGAATGGGATGCAGTGGCCGAAGCGCTGTTACGCTCGAAGAACCCAGGTAAGGGGCAAGGTTCGGCTACTTGACTTATGTGTTAGCTCATCATTTCGTAGCGAGACAACCAAGGACCGTTTCAAATCATTGTACTTCATTCCTGACACGCCGTCCACGAGTCATCCATTTCGCTCTAAATCTCCTCCGCCCTCGCGCGCCCAGACTCGCACTTTCTTGCATTCTCCAAATCCCCTTATCATTCCTGACGCATTGAATAGCTCTTCTTCGCATGTCTATTCTTTGTGCTCCGGTACCTCCCCGCAACACAGCACGTCGAACATTAATGCACAGCAGTCGCAGCGCCATCCACACTTTGCAGCTGCTGTTCTGGAGCTTGTGAAGCTGATACAAGCTGGCTTGTTCGTGTGTGGAATGTTCTCGTCGACTTCCCTACCTATGTTTGATGGCCTACTATGTGATATCACCATAGATGGGTTGCAAAAGTGGATGGTGGAGGTAGGGGAGAGCTTTCCAGGTGTTGAGGTTTGTGAATTTGTTCTTCACAATCGAGACTGCCGTCGAATCAAGCATCTTTTAGGCAACCGAACGTATTGCAGACCCGACTGCAGTTGCCGCACTGCTTTCGTTCGTGCTCTCGGCGCGAAATAAACTTGCATCCCTTGCACAAGCAGTGCCGAAGGATCCATTCCTACATCCACACGCCTTAATTGCTTGCATTAGTGCATGTTCGCAGGCTCAACTTCTGGGCGCCGGCTCGCATCACAACAATGGCACACATTCATTACCAACGCTCTCGCACACGGCGACGCCTCTGCTGGTCACAGTATCAGGCACCTCCTCACCTGGACTGACAATATCGCCGACAGTCTCCATGTACTCGCCATCGCCTTCTATTGGTGCAGGTGGCTCAGTCCCTCACCCAGTGCCCCTAAATTACTTGAATCTTCCCACATACACCGCGCTCACGTCCACTCATGAGACGAGGCTTAAACATTCCGACTCACGACGTGTGCAACGTATCATCTTATCAACTCTTGACCCTGCTTCTGAGACGGACTCTTCCGACGACGAACGGCGTGGTTTGAGTGGACGTGTCAGGGGCTTTGTGGGGCGCGGTGGCGTGGCTGGTGCAGAGGGTATATTGACACCCGTGGCAGACCTGGGCACATTCGTCAGAGCCGTCGTTGGCCGTGATAAAGTGCATGAGAAAGTTAGGTCCAGGGCCGAGAAAAATAAGTCTGAAAGAGAGCGTGTAAGGAAGGACGAGAAACCGGACGAAGTGGATGAGAAGGAACGGGTGGCCGGCAGTCTACGTGCGCTTTGGACCGGCAGAGTGGAAGTCGCACTTCGTTTACGGGCGCGTGCGGTGGGGCCCACGCAGACAGCTCATAGAACCCAGCAGAAGGTACGAGAAAAAGATAAGGACAAGGAACGACTTACGTCAAGTGATGTGGACGATTCGGGCATGGTGAAGAGCGCGGGTGAAGATGATATCGATCTTACCTTTGGAGGTGCTTGGTCTGGAAAGGTGCAAAAGAAACTGGAGTTCTGGGCTGGGTCGGTGGCTTCTTGGATTCTTCCGATCCGGGCTAATACCCTCATTATAGCATCAATCGGTCGAAGAGATCGATAGATCTACCACCTCAACTGAGATCTACAGGGCGTTCATCGTTGCTAGCAGTGCCGTTGTCTGCACAATCGTCTTTATCAGGCCACGTGTATGCCGATGCAAGGGTTGGGTTGGCAGTACCATCCGTAGTATTATCCCCGTGAGTACCATGCCTTGTCTGGAAAGATTCGCATTCATTTATTAGAGGCAGGAATAGCGGAGATGAGGAGGACCTCCTGAGCAGTGGCCAGGCATCACCCATCTGTATGCATACACCCTGCTTATTCTGCCTAGACTGTAATCTGATACATCAATCCTAGCGATATCAAAGACCCACAATCCGTTCATACTTAACCCTTCTGATGCATCCCTCACCGCGCAAGGATCTACATACAACCTTAACAAGGATGATCCAGAGTACGACCGCCGTGTGAAGTCCTTCCTTGCTCGACAACCCAGACGATACAGAGACGAGAGTCGTGTGTCGAGCTGGTCGGGTGTAGGAAGTGCAGAGGAAAATAAAAAGTCTGCCGATAATTCTACTGAAGGGGAGCGTGAGGCGGAGAGTAAAAGGAGAATGTTGAGGCACGATATGCAGAGGTAGGCTTGTGAAACGACCGCAAGCTGCGTACATGCTGACACTCGTGACAGACGACATAGTTTTCATGACCTGGATTCTTTCAGACACATTCGTATCCTTCGTTTGGAATGGATGCGAATTGATGTGGATCTTTGTGGCAATCTGTTAATCATGCGCCGGCGAGAAGAACATCTAAAAGGCATGCTTAGTTGTCTCGAAGTGAGTGTTTACGAGTCCCTCGGATGCTTGTTCATGTCGACGTGATTCGGTCTAGCATATATCTTCAAACTTGGCAGCGACCAACGCAGCTCTCCAAAAGGATGATAAAGATCATCATGAATTTCTATCCAATCTGTCTACCCAACTCGAAGCCTTGCAACGCGTGGAAGATGCAAAGGTCGCGGCACATGCTAGTCGTCAACAAGTCGCAGCTCTCGACTACGAGGCAGGGCAGTTCAGACGGCAAGACCTCTGGGAAGCAGCCATTGCGCCTCGAGCAAAGGTGCTGGAACTTAGGGGTAAAGTTTTTGGATCGGACACCATTGGCTCAAGAAAGCGACAGCGGATGCAGTGGACGCTTGATGGCCAGGAGCGGGAGGTGGATGCGTGGGGGCGGACAGAGAGTGAGGCGGAGGAGGAACGTCGTGCAGGTGCTGGATTGGGAGATTTACGGGTGCTTGGTGATGAGACAGATGATGAGATGAGCGAGGCGGAAGGGGAGGACGAACACAATGACGTTTTGATGCAGCCAATGTGGCTGCTTAAGTTCCTTACCAGGTGGACTGCAAGGTTGGGGTTCTTGGCGGGTCAAGGTGGTGCGCAGGCGCAACCATCTCAGTCTCACGTACAATCCCGCGAGAGCAGCGTCCCTGCTACAGACTCTCTGGGTATCAACGGTGCTTCTACTTCACCATCATTACCTTCATAGTATTTTACTTCTGACGTCATTCGCTACATGGACTACTGCAGGGTCAAGGATATATCAAATAATATTTCTATGTACACTAACCCTTGCTGTATGCGATCTTAATGGAACATTTATGCTTTTCTAACAACCTTGCCTTGCGAACGTTTTAAGGCACGTTTCCGATCACGCTCGACGATCTGATGCGGAAGCGGTGAGTAAGATGTAGAACCCGATACGCAAACACAAACCTTTTTCTGTTCTGCCGCACTCAGGCGTGAAATACGTTCCAGCTCTGCTTTCCGTTTGGCGACCTTCTTATCTTCGGCCGCTTCCTCCTTCTTTTCCTTAACGGCCTCTTCCCGAATTTCTCTGTCCACGTCTTCCCGGACCTTTTTCAACTTAGACCGCGTCTCCGGCCGCAGGTTCATCTTAGTTAGGCCCTCAATAAACGTAAACATGGCCGAGATTAGTGGAATGGTCTCGGCAGCCTTGTCCGCAGGGGGGACGGCAAGACACAATATGATGTGTTTCTCGCGTTCAGCGGGTGTCAGTGGGATAGCAGGACGTTCGCGTGGCTGATCCGTAACGGAAATGGACTTGAAGTATTTGAGATTGATAGGGTCCGAAAGGATCTTGGTTAGGGAGAACATGGGAGTAGCCTTGAACAAATTGTCAGTCACATCTGCCCACTCGGTCATCACGGAGAGCGAGGGTGGCAGCGAGGCATGTTCGGCGGTTCGGGTGAATGTCTGTGGCGTGTAAGTTTAATGTAAATTGACTATGACTATGACGCATAAGGCTCACCAAATCCCAGCGTTTGTCCTTGATGCCGACGAATTCATCCTTGGCGAGGACTGCCCATACATAATCTGGAATGCTGGCAGCCATCTCTGCATCGAGTTTGAAGTCGAGCATGAGTTCATCGTATGGACTGTATCTGAGGTCGTACATTTGCCAGGCGAAATGATAGAGAAGTTGCAGGGGATCTTGACGTGGGCGAAGTGAGAAGACAGTGTGGAGTGACGCGATAGCACGTCGACCAGTGGAAAAATTGAAAAAGTCCGTGTAGCCATCGGCAATGAGTCCTGATGATGTTGTAGGCGAAGAGAACTGATCTTGAAGGAGTGGGAGGTGAGCATTATACCTAAAAGAGGGTTAAAAATGACTTGGTTTGAGGGAAGACCTAGCCGTACCAGGCATTGGCTCTTTTGGAGTTGACATATTTGCCATAGATAGCTATGGCTACATATGCCAGTAATCCGACTAAGAGATACGCCTGATTCTGAAAGACTGCGTCATGCGGTGAGTACCAGTACGTTAGGAAAGACAACCACGTACGCCCTGGACGAAAAACCAAAAATTTCCATTTAACTTGCCAACCATCATAGTCTGTTGGTTGAATGAAAGGCGGGGGAGTCATAACACTCAGGACTTTGACGAGAAGACTTGCCATGGCTTGCTGGCAGTGGCAGTACTAGTACTGTCCTTCGGGATAAAGTCTCATAGAAGACTTGGGAACTTTGGGAAAGAAGTGCCTGACTCGGTAATTCCCGAACGATGTTCGATATAGCATCAAGATGGGCTCCAGATCGCAGCAAACAAGGTAGAAGAGGCAAGAAATTTGTGAGTTCTATCAACCCCCTCCTTCAAACGTTGATCATGGACCCATCAATTCTTATTACAAGGTCCTTGCTCGACCAATTCCAAATCGAAATGGAGGTTAGTTCAGACTCATTCATAATTTAGTATTTCTGACATAAGAACAGCCAAGACAAAGTCAGCCAACCGACTACGGTCGTTTTGTGGTGCATATTCTAAAGCGTATGACCCGCGAGTCTGGCGCTATCGATCAAACAATGTTGCGTCGGGCGATCGGACTCGCATCGTCATACCTCGTCACTGATACGAGCACCAATTCCGAGCATGGCATTCAGACATGGTGTACTGGGTTCCATCGCCTCGTCGATATTATGGTGGTGCTACATTCAAGAGGAGAGCTGGATCTTGAGACAGTTAACGAGGCGTCGAAAGCGTGTTCGGAATGCTGGAGTGTCGCTGGAACTTGGCGAGGAATAGAAGACTGTCGACAGGGTGTAAAGGAGGTCGCTGCAAAGTTGAAAAAGTTACTTGATGAGCCTCATAGAAGGACGTACAAAGGGTCCAAGGTGTATACCCCGAACAGTACTTAGCTGACTTGTATGGAGAAATAGCCCCTGTGGTAGCACAGCCTGATGTAATAACAAGTCATATATTAACGTGACATGACCCCGCTGGCTGCGGCACAGCGTTCCCTATTATGACTTCATCTCCTCCCGCCTCTTCGTCAACTTCAAAACAACGGCCACGTCGACCAACTCGTCAGATACCCGCCGTTCCAAATCGAACTGATGATCAGACGCAGGATTCGGTTTCATCCGAGGAGCACTATTTGGCTCTGACACCTCTTCGTGCTCACTACCTCAAGAAATCACTCATACAACTCCAATTCCACAAAGAATTAGATGACATAACGAATGCACCGGCTGATGGTGTCTCCACCCTTGCATATCTTGGGCCCCCATTTACATCGCCACCAGAAAGTGCTAAGCCTCTCGATTTACCCTTTTTGAAGTACATCTTCCGGAAATTTGTTTTAACATTTCCCCTCCTCGCCGCCGCAGAGAAAAGTTTCTACTCAGATAAGCTACAAGTATTTGTTGCATCCGCTCTTGCGAAAAACATATCTCCCACCTCAATACTTGAGGATGAAAGCGACCCCAAGGCTGCTCGCCTCCAATTACTCGCCAAAATGGAGCGGAACTTTGCCCTCTTTTTCAGCGCAGGTACAAAGCTAGTGGAACCAGAGGAGGTCGTCCGCCTCAACCAAAACGACCTCGATCGACTCGAGCAACTCGCTCAGAAGCACCGGGCATGGTTAGCCAAACATCGCGATGTGTTCGAAGTAAATATTGTATGTGTGAGGACTGTCACAGACAAGGGTCGGGTCCGTAGTCGAGTTCACGAGGTGTGCTGGCATAAATCGATCGTCAATCTTCAATGTCCTCATTATGTTATATAGGAATTCATCATCAGGACTCGGCTATCAGAGAATAGGGAGTTTTGCGTGTCTCGAAGGTATGGCGACTTCAAAACGCTTGCAGATGAGGTATGATGCTGTGCACCTCATCCCCGACTCAGCCCATTACATCTCTCATGTAGCTGCGCAAATTTCATCCTGAAGAGAATGTACCTTCCCCGCCAGTCAAAGATCGCACGATCGTCAATATTCCCCGCTCGACCTCTCCTCCAGATGCCTCTATCATGTCCCGGATGCAAGGCTCCACCGCATCATATTACGGTTCCACGTTCTCAGAAGGTTCCTCTGAGTCGCCCCCTCATTCTCCATCCTCGCAGCAGTTTGGGAGTTCGGAATCTTCACCGCGGCTTTCGCGAGAAAAGAACAGGCTGACCCTTAGAGCCTATCTGCATTCTCTCATGAATAACGTGGCAATCGCGAGCTCTCCCGTTCTCAAATCTTTCTTACTCAGCGGACCCACTAATTTGAGCCCTGAAGAACTAGAAGATGCACGGAGAAGAGAAGACGCAGATGAAATTCGTGAAAACGGGAGAAAACGATTTGCGCATGAAATCGCGGTGCGTGTTGACGGACTTAGAGATGCAGTCAAGAGTGTCAAGGGCGATATCATGGGGAAAGGTTCGTCAACTCCGGGATCTCTTCATCACTGAACTCACATGTTTACAGACGGTCTTAGCCACATCTTCGCCATAATCAAGGTGACTCCCGACGTAAATCAACTACCTCCTAATTACCGGGCTGTGACAGAATGGGGTAGAATAACGTGCGCATGTATGTTCCTTTTTGCGACCAGATAACTGATTGTTTTGGTAGGCTAGCCTCGACAATCTTCCAAATGTTTGTCGCGTCCGATACTGCGTCGGAAACATTTGCCAGCATGAAGCGTTTACACGGACTGATGCCTTACTTTTTGCTGAGGACAGCACTCAAGATCAGCAGTCCAGTTACTATGATACGCAGTGAGGCGCATATATTCCCACTCAGGACTCATGTATTGACGAAGGCTAGCTGTGGTGGACATCTTTTTGGCTACCCCCTTCGGTGGAAGAAGTCTTCTTCAACGGTAATCCAAAATTTAATTGGTTAATCAATCTGTTAATGCTTCCTCAGGATGTTCTCAAGCTCCCTCACGGAAGAGGTTAGAACCATTGAAGAAGATATCGAAGCTGTAAAAGCCAAAGTTGATGACCCTATCATGTGCGAGAAGCTCCGCCTGTTTGTCAACGCCCCGCGCGAGATCCAGGACACCTACCGAGTGGATGCAGCGGAGGGGAAAATTCCTCTACTTGCGGTTGTTCTGCGCTCTGGAGAAGAACCCAGGTTGAATCGTGATCAATTACGCCGAGTGCACCGGGCACATCTTGCCCATGCGACATACATGAGGGAGCGGGGCAGCCTCGCGGACTCGGACGATGATGATGGGCCACGCGATGAGGAGGCATGGCTATTTGAAGATCTGAAGGTGCTCGTGCAGCTTTACTCGCGATTGAGAGATCGGGAACAGTTGATTGCACTAATATTCGAGGTAAGCCCGCTTTATGAACGGTCATTATCTCTCCTGACACACCCCAGGGCGTCACCGCCGAATTGCTGAAGGATATCATCTCCATTTTCTATGCGCCATTAGCCCAAGTATACAGGGCTGCTAATATCGGAAATTCTGTATCAGATCTGCAGAATTTCATCACCGATTTAATTAGAGTTGTGGAGGCTACGGAAACAAGTAAGCCCATTGCACTCATTATTGACGAAGTTTAACCATCAAGCGATTAGTGAGCGAACAGGATCCCCAGGTCACCGTACAAATTTTTATTGACCTCGTGGGCCGGCACGAGCAAGCCTTTTACTCTTTCGTGCACAAGGTGCATGCAAACGGGAAGGGCTTGTTTGAAAGCCTGATGCGGTGGATTGAGCTATTCCTTACTGTCCTCCGCGAAGGGCTAGGATCACTGGTATCACTTGAATTCCTACTGCCACACGGCGGGCAAGAGCGCGCGAACATCATGGACGAAATAGACAGGGTCGCACGGTACCATTACAAGTTAAAGATCGCACACGAAGAAAAAGTGCGCAGGCGGTTCACGCGGGCTCAGGGACATGATGATGCGGACGCAGAAGACGAGGCAACGCAGGCGCTAGTGCATGGCGTGGTTGGGGAAATTAATTTTGGCGAACTGGTGCAAAGTGATGCACTTGACCTTGCCGCGGAGGAAACAGATGACGAAAGCGATGAATATTCGAGCGAGTACGAAACAGACAGTTCGGGGAGCTATGAAGACACCGAGAGCGAGGAGAACGAGGAGGAAGGGCCAACACCAACGAGGTCTCGGGTTCAGACAGCTAGGCCATCTCCGCATATATCGCCCCCGCAACACCCGCTGACTCCTCCACCTCTACAACAACCTCCCCCTTCTGACCGCCAGCGATCCATCTCATTACGGAGTACTAAATCCGCGAATTTCTCGTATCAGTCGAAGTGGAAAGATGTCCCTCCAGTCCCACCATTACCGTCATCACTTCATCGTGCGGATAAACCATTACCCCCACCTCCCCCCACGCTAACTTCACGTTCCGCGGAAAACGTTCGGCGGGCACCAAATCACCCACCGCGCAAATCGAAGGTGTCCACGAACACACTCAAGCCTCCCAATCTTGTTCACATTCCGCGGCTGTTGCCGTTATTTGTTGAAGTAGTCAGTGCTGCTTCTCCTGATGAAATTTGACTTTCGACTCATTGCTTCCTTGCAGATGCGACCGAACTTACTTAAAAAGTCTACATGATAACGTCAAGTCGAGCTAGCAGGCTGTTGTATTTATAGTGATTCTACGTAGATTCATGCTCTACTGTGAGTTCCACTGGTAAACGCTATAGTGGAATAAATGACACTTTCCAGGATACGTGAAGGCGATGCGAGATTTCCGCGTGTTCGAAGACAGGATCACGCAGCTTGAATGCGAAACGACGCCACGGTTGCAAATTTTGCGACGCAAGTACTTCTCTAGATCATGATGCCCCAAACGGAGTTCCTAAACTCGGTGGCGCTAAGAGTTTACTGGATTACCTGTCAAAGTCTGGATGTAGACGGCACTGGTTATTCTCCTGACGTATGGTGGCTTTCAGAGGTATCATGAGGCTAACATGGGGATGCACCATCATTCACCTTGAATAGTGACTTCAGATCAAGACGGAGGCACAAAATATCGCCGTACTTTCACAAGTCACCGAACTCCTCATCAAATTCTTTCTGCGAGACAGCTCCCCTTCGCAGTTTCTTGGCTAATCGTTCTTCTCGTGCAAGTTCGTCCCAATCATCTTCGCCACTGCTCTCCGGCCCGGCTTTGTCCGTTTGGAGGGCACCTTTTGAGTCGCCACTACCAACCATTTGGCTTTTAAGCCATTGCCTTTTCCTCGCCTTTTTCGTCCGGCGATTGTCTTTCTCTTCTTTATTATCAACTTGCTGACTCCAAGCAGCATTACGCTTGCGCTTAGCAGCTCGAGTCTCGGACTCGTGTTTCGGTGCCTCTTTCTTTGAACCTTCTTCGATTCGTTTGGTTTCCTGCGCCTTGTCCGCGTAAGAATATGAAGTCCACTTCATTCATCAACGTAATCAGCGTGTGTGGTATCTGATAACCATTGAACATACGTCAAGTTCTGCATCTTCCCATTTTGACTTATCGCGATCTTTCAGTTCGGGCATCCGTGGCAGCCGCAACAGACCTGAAACTTTTGGCGACACCTATCAAGTCTAGGTCTTTGATTCGGAAGATGTAGGAAGCCTCGTGCTTCGAATATGCACGAACGAAGGAGACAAAAGCCTTCACAGCCTGCTAAACTGTGAAAATGTCTACATGACAGGTGTAGATAAGGCAGGTACCTTGTCATGCAGTGCACGATCTGTCATTACGGTTCGTCGGATTTTGGACGTGAAGGTATTGACAGCATCATCTTCACAATCCGTGTCCAATACTGTGCTTCCATCTTCCCGTATGTATGGATGCTGCTTGATTGGAATTTTTCGAACGGATAAGAAATCTATTGACACGGCCATCAGTTCGAAGATGCCGTTCCAGCGCGTATGAAAACAGACCGATATACTCGATTTCTCTTCCTACCAAGAGCGCGTATGCTTTCCCACTCCTTCCAGCTCTAGCCGTCCGACCGCAACGATGGGAAAATGCCTTTGAGTCAGATGGAGGGTCAAACTGAATGACGACATCAACATGAGGAATATCGAGACCTCTAGCAGCGACGTCTGTAGCAAGAAGCACTGAAGGGGAAGAGGACAACGACAGAGTTGAAGAAAAGGCTGAGAGAGCACGTGTTCGAGCTGCGGGAGGAAGGTGTCCGTGGAGGGAATGTAGTTGGACATTTGATGGTAACAGCGTCGATAAAATCTAGATCCTATTTAGAATTCAAGAGCAAAAGGTCGACAGAAGAGCGCTCACGCGATAAAAATAATCAACGCATGCGCAAGTTGCGAAGTACACAATGAAGTGTGGTGCGTGATGAGTTGACGACTCCTGCTTGATGATGTGCGTCAGTTGAACCAGCTTTTCGGACGGGAGACAGCTGATGTAGAAGTTTTGAAGTCTGAGGGAGAGGTAATGGGTAAGAGATGTTACATAGCGTGTACACCTTACCCTGCAGGTATTCGTCTTTCCTCGATAACTTGAGTTTCTTGTAAGGTTCCTGATTTCGTTCCCTTCGTTCTCTTTGATTGCACTTTGACAACAATGCGAGCAGGGTTTCGTAAACCAACGCGAACCAATTCAGAAAGTGCGTCAGCGTCCGTCATCGTTGCACTGAAAAGTCCAGTTCTCCTCTGTTTCGGAATATGAGTAATAATGCGAGTCAGAGCAGCTTGAAAGCCCAGGTCCAGCAAACTATCAATGTCTTCAGTAAATAAACTCTTACTCCTGACCTGGAGAGTCTCACCGGTCTGCCTCATCCAATACCAACACTTCTAACTCCTTGACGCTGACAATAGTTTTCCCTTTTCCTATCAGAAATTCTTCCATACGCCCAGGTGTCCCGATGATGATGTCGGCACCAGTAGAAAGAAACCGTTGTATATCCTGAGCTGGGGAAGATTTATCCGACGAAACAAGTAGAAGGGGTGGAGGAAATCCTGCTCCTGAGTGTTCAGTGTCTGCTTGGGGTGGCGACGATCCTTTCCCGTCTTCAGTCTCCTTTGCTGCACTGTTATCGGGTTGAGCATTCAGGAAGAGAGAAAACACAGAATGGATCTGAGTTGCAAGCTCTCTTTCGAAGGAGGACGAGAATCAGACATTGAGTGACTTCAGAGTTCCTTATAAATTCACCTAGTAGGACTGATGACCAGCGCGCCGACCTCGTTTCTTCTGAGACTAGCATCCCTTCTGATAAGACGCTCCAGAATGGGGATAACAAACGCTAGGGTCTTGCCAGAACCTGTCACAGCCTCGACTACCACGTCCTTGTGTTGCATAAATAGCGGGATTGTGGAAGCTTGAACTGGCGTCATTTGGGTATGCCCCATCGATTGTATAACGTCCAGACTATAAATTTTTGGTCTCACTACATGAAGGCTTGGAGTTTAAATGACGGTGAACTCACACCCATGGCGTTAATGGTGTCGGAAGGGACGACCACAAGCCAGCAAATGCAGCAGATTGGGACATGCTTGAGCAAGACGTTCGGATGTTACTATCTTTGGCCCAATGGCTGTAAACCCGCCTATAACCTTATATACTCAGTTCCTGGTTCGATATGCCAAAAACTTTATAAAAGTCACTGCGAGACTCGGAATACGATCGTTTCGCTGAGACCTCCGATAATTAGACGAAATAAGACAATCATCTGTTCATCCACCCTGTGATACGCATGAGGATAAAATTCGTATAGGTCTTCACGAGGAATGCCAGTGACTCTCTCCGGTATTTCAATCGACTCCCGACTTTTGTCGTTTTGACTCGGATCACCCGTCAGGGGCATCCAATCTCAACATCCATTCATCATCCATCATGCCTCCATTGTCTCGCTTTGTGCCACGTGGACGATGCAGATGGTCAAGTGTTCGTACCACCTATACATGAACCGAATTGAATCCTCGAGCGCGGTACTGCTCATCTGACGACACAAAATCCACATCGTACTCCTTAGCCTTCTCACAAAACTTCTTCAGTTTCTCGTATCCCGGACCTGATGCCATGCCATTCTTCGTCTCTTCATAGGTTGGCTCTCCCTCATCCAGCCATCGGTGAGACAGAATGGCATATTTGACAGTTTGCGAGGCTTTGGCACGATGAATTACTCAGCTAATAGGGTGAAGACAGACCTGCGTAGATCACTGCAGACCAATGATATGTCATGGAATATGTCTGGCTGTCGCTGTGCTTCATGAATTTATTCAGAACGCCCCCGCAGTCATGGCAGTGCCGACTTTAACCTAACGAATCAGGACATAGCCCACACCCAGAGCGTCGGGTCGATAAAATCGTCAGTTGCCGTACCTAGCCAGACCTAGGCGCAGCACGCTGTACATGCGCACCTAAGTGTGTTGAAATGACGGCATGAGTTCGCCGTGTAGTCAATAGGAATAAGTACATGTGTACAAATCTTGCATATATAATATCTACAGCCATTAACGAGCAAGTACAGCATCAAACAGCGTGCGATGAAATCGTGAATCGCTTGAAGGTATATCTGTCTCGAAGTATGAGTGACCGACAGAAGAAAAGGCTGAATAGACTTCATACCCGAGGAACGCAAGGTCCTTTTGAGCGTCAGCGGGGTCCGCTACAGGGGCTTCAGCTGGTGCCTGGTCAATCTCATCCGTAGGGAAGTACGACGTATCCGTGATCGAGCGAAGATGCGGCACAAAAGGCGCATCAATCCGGCGTATAGTATCCCAATCCACGCCATAGAAGAATGGGTGATTCATGATCTGTTCGATACCTAATCGCCGATCTTGAGATGTGATGAGTCTGCCAAAGATGTAAGCACGACTATGCAGCAATCGTATTTTGAACATCATACCGCCGGACCAGATCTTCAGCTTCTCGGCTCAGATGAACATCATCTGGGAACACTAGGTGATATTGCCATTGCATGATCTTTTGATAGGTTTCATGCGTGGATTCGGAGCAGAAGGGAGGGTATCCGACGAGGCATTCGAACATAATTGCACCTAATGACCACCAATCACATTCATTACCATAACCTTTTTGCTGAAAGATTTCTGGGGCGATGTAATCAGGAGTCCCGACAGTGGAATATGCCTTGTACGCAACCAAGTCAGTATTTGTCGCAGACGTCAAGCAGTGTTCTCACCAGTTTCCGGCGATTGGCTTTCCAGGTCGCGATCTGGTCCTTGCTTGACATGGTCAAGTGTATGGCATTGACCATGACACTGTTACGGGCGGCAGTCGTTGGTGACTGCACGCCATTAGCAGAGTCTAGAAGCCGCTGGTAGTAACTTGAATCGTGCTGTTTGTGAAAACCAGTGGATAGTCCGAAATCGGACAGCTTTATGTGACCGTCCTTGTCAATTAAGATGTTGTCCGGTTTGATATCCCTACGAAAATGTGTAAGTCTAACAAAGCGAAGAGAAGCTGCGCTGACCTGTGGATAAAGCCAAGCTTATGGACAGTGTCGATGGCAAGTACACATTCCGCAATGTAGAACCGAGTGACATCCTCGGAGAATGTATCATATTTAATGAGCATGGTCATGAGGTCACCGCCAGGGAGGAACTCCATGATAAGATACAACGTTTGCGCGTCCTGGAAGGAATAAAACAGTTGAACCACCCAAGCGGAGTTGGACTCGGCCAGAACATCGCGCTCCGCACGGACGTGGGCCAACTACGAATACATCCAGTCGCCTGCATCTATCACAATGAAGAAAAGCATACCTGGTCCTTTTTCAACATCTCCTCCTTCTTCAACGTTTTCATGGCATATATTTTACCGGTATCAGTCTTTTGGACCAGCCTGACCTGCACGCAATGACACCGTGTAGTGCGTGACGAACGTGTTGACAGGACTACTCACCTCACCGAAAGCACCCTTCCCGATCACCTTGACTGTTCTGAAGTCTTCCAAGCCTAAGCGCGTCCGTCGAAGACGAAGATAAGTAGACTCCTTCTTTCCCAGTTGTTGTAGTTGGCGATGTTTCCTTTCTTCAGACGTCGTCACATCGGCCTGCAGCTTCCTTTCAAGCTCGACGCGCCTGCGAACCTATCAGAGCCTTGTTCCAAGTCAAACAACGATTCTCAACGTACCTGGTGTTCCGCTCAATGGCAGCTTCTACAGCGACCTTGTAGAAATGCTCCAGCTTGAGCTGCGCGGCCTTTGCACGGTGAATAGCATCATCCGAAAACCCAGTAGAACTACGCTCAAAGCAGACATAGTCGGCTGGTTTACCTGAGCCCGACGAAGTCGTCGACTGACTACTTGAGCGTTGCATGACAAGAACTGGTCCCACCGCGTCACCTATCCCCAATCAATAGTGTGTCGATCGACTGGTCAGATAAATGTCACAGGAAAAGGTTATAGGTTGTGATGGCAACTTTCGAGCTGTGCCTATATGATTTCATCTTCATGTAAGTAAGTAGTGATAAGACAAGGGATTTCATACTGTTTGGGCTACATCTGGGGAATCTATGTACAAGGTAAGATATCGTAATGAGAGTAATGAGCGAGCAGAACGCATGGGACCTTGTAATAGTACACTTTAGTGAATGACAACGAAAAGATATGGTAGATCATGGGTAAATATCTTTCATAAAATCAGATTCGGAGGTAGCCCATCGAACATGACCCCCTTGGCTTGACTTCGGTCGAGCATATGGAGGAAGTGACTGATGAGAAGCTGAATAAGCAGGTGCATAAGGTGAATGGAATTGCAAGGCAGGCGCTCCCGGGCTGCCTCCAGGCGTCAGCATTTCAACGGACGAAGAAGGTCGAGGGGACATCGAATATCGGTTCTTAGACTTGGCCCCACTTCAACATGCGTAAGGTAGGTTTCGGACTTGACCGAAGTTGGGCGACTCACATGTACGAGGAACGCGGACCTTGATTGACAGCTGACGTTGGATTTAAATAGGATGACACCGCTGAGCTGTGTACCTCAATCAGATGACTAGCTTCAAAATGGCAACTGTTATCGCGTACGAGTAGAGCGATGTAGGGTCGACCGCCGTCGAGTCAGATGTACGCTCCCAAGGATCGTACATGGCGTTAGACAAGGTTGCATAAGCAATTGATGGGTCAAAACTCAGTCGGGAGGCTGGGGGCGTAAAAGTCCTCGAGCTTGAGGGCTCGAGATAAGCACCATGAGAAATGCGCCGATACGATGTCTCTGCGTGTGGCTCAGCGGGGGAAAATGATGAGAAGGGACGTTGTTGTCCACGACGAACGGTGGGTGGATTGAAGGAAGCACGGTTGGGTGTAGATAGGGGCGATGGTGCCGCAGAGCCACTGGCATGGTACATGGAGTATTCGTACGGAGGTCCATCGAAGGAAGGACCTACAGCGGTGAAGGGTGGAGGGGGAGAGAGAACTGGCTGATACTCTATTTCCTCCGCAACAGGACCGGTTGGGTGGATAGCAATTGCTTTGCTGCGGGATTGGGCGTCGGCTGGGCTCGGAGGAAGAGGGCGAGATCCTCGAGGTGTACGCTTCTGTATGTGAAGCGGTTGCACTAAGGTCTGGAACAAAGGTTGCTTCTCCTTCTGCGTCTCTGTTTCCTTAGAATCTTTGCTATCGTCCCCGTCATGCTCTTCCTCGACGTCATGGATGGGTATTTTGGATAAGAGCAGTTCTTGGAGTTTCTTCTCAACAATCTTCTGGTCATGGCCCTGCTGGGAGAGCTCGTATGAAGGCGGGGGTAGGTCACATAAATCACTCATTGCGGGCAAGGTTTGGTGCTCGAAAGAGGGATGGTAAGATCATCGAACAAGTCGTAGATGAGTGTTTCGTTAAGAGAAGCGATAGACGCTCAGGTCCATGGAGAGGGTACTGCCAGTCAGCACAGCAACTTCCCTGCCCTAACAGTGATATTTCATTTCGCTTGTGTCCGAACGTGCGAACCTCAAACTAGAGGGATTATTTGAGATGGCAACCGACGGAGTCATGTACAACCGACGCAAACCTGACGTCTTCGAAGAAGAACCCACTAGATGTGATCGATGAATGGTCGAATCTTGGTCAAGCTTGTTCGAATTATTTGCTGGCATGATTCATTTCATGAACAACATTTACGCACGAACCGCCTGAATCGGAGACGCACACAAGTCCTACTAGTAAGAAGCATCGGGAATTGTGATTAGGCTGTGGTTGCCAAGGGTCTGAAAAATATATTGGATCCAGCAGCTTCAAAAAGAACCACAGGTTCGAAAACTACAAGACCTCCCCCACTGAGATGCTTCTACTGTAAAAGTTGCTAGATGAGCCTTTGCAGATCGGCGGCAAAAGGTAATATACCCATTGATTGATTAATTAATCCCACCAGCTGCGTTATTTGGTGGCACAGGAACAGCGATAATACATACTTATAGGTCATGTGCATGGTACATGGCGCAGTAAAACGCCTATACCTCAATACCCTCTAGGTTCGTGCCCTTGGCCCAGCGTCACATGTCGATACCTGCTGACTCAAAAAGAAACTCACCAGCTTGGGCAGGCGTAAATATACATCCGTTCCTTCATAAGGGAGTCAACGTCAACACGCGATCCGAGGACGACGGACGGAGTTTGACTCACCCCACCCATCCAGAGATACCAACTCCAGGGTGCCTCCAAAATACCTATAAAGTCGCTCAGTTGACGTTAAGAAGCCATTGGCAAATGAACGCACGTTGTATATATATTGCTCATAGGCAGGCCCAGTCCGATTCTCGGATGCGGCGCAATGCCAGCCTCACGTTCAGGGTCTTTGTCGTTCGAGTTAACATCCGACTGTTTTGTTTGCCAAGGGCGTATTTGCTCGGCAACAGTCGCTTTGACACCTCTCGAGCTGGCGGAGCGTAATGCACCCAGCCGCGTGTCATCCATGCGTGTTGCATTGCGGAAGTGGGAGAAAGAGAAGAGATCGGGGGGTGACTTTATTCGAGCTGATGAGAGACCACCGCCTGTAGAGATCGACTTCAAATTCGCTTGTAGGTGAGAAAATGGGTGCCCACCTTGATCGGATATTCTCACTCCAACATCGTTCTCACCGGCAACGATGGTGGCACGGATGGGAGGAGGGGTAGATGAATCTCGGTGATTCAGTCCAGTGGCGGTCATTGCCTATAACATCGTAGGTTAATCCCTCTTTCAAATGTGATACCAGAAACACGTGCGTTCTTGAGAAGTTCAAATATTATGTACCTAGAGAATTAGGTGTGGGTCAAATTAAACACGATGTGAATGAAAGGGTTTACTCGAGGTGTTCACGTATGTAAGAAAACTTAGTGTCGACATGGCCATCAACGATGACCTCCAACCATCCACGGTTCGGCAAGCTTTCCCCATGTTCATCTTCGATATTGTGAGGTCTGCCACGCAATAGTGCGACGCACTTGTCGATGGAATGTTTGAGGTTGAGCGCCGTGTAAATGATGCCGACATGTGGGTCTTCGGGAAGACTGAGGCAGTTGGTTCCAAGGGACTTCGAGAGTGCAAGGTGATGTTCCGCGAGAACACGCCTTGAGATTCGGGATACGAGCATGCGTCTCATGAATGCATCCAGGTAATCTGGTGAAAGGTGCGGAGATGACAGGGAGAGTCCCAGCGACAGACTTGGTATAACGGGTGCACTGGCATACTAGTAGTGAGAACAGGGAGCACGGTGGACCAAAGATAGTGTATTACTGGTCGTTCAGGATAGTCTCGAGGAACTCGCAGAAAACTCGATTCTCTTCCAGGGTGGTGACCTGAGGGTAGCGCCGAAATCTTAGAAAAAAGTCAAAAAAAGAATGCTCTGCACAATCGGGTGACTGACTTCTCAAAAGCAGACCAATATAACTGCGTGAAGTTGCCCGAGGTTAAGAACAAGTTATAAAACGATGTTACTGAAGCAAACCTCATAGACTTGAGCTACACCCTCCTGAGTAACCACCACATACGGAAGTGCTTGCAAGTCCCTCAGCCTATGTGCAATGCGGACAGGCAGCTCGGTGCGGACATAATTAGCGCTCTGTAACGAAGGCGATTCAACGTTGGCTTTAACATCATGCCCCTTGGCGCTCACCTTTATTAGTTTCTCCTCGTCCATCTGCCGCCCAAAGAACACCTATCACAGCATGAGTATGGTAAGAAATGTCATTACAAAAGCAGATTTCACGAGCTGTCGGAGGCTCAGCCTGTGCGCTTCCTTTGATGCATAGAGCTCTAACTGGCGGTTTTGATAAAAGTGGAGCGCAGTTGGCTGGGGCTGGACTTGACTGGAGGAGTGCCTTGCTAAATGTCGAGCACCAGCACTTGCATGCCAGCAATTTCGGAACCGCCATGACATGGTCGAATGAAAGGAGGCGTCAACGATAGTTTAAACGTTCATGAGGCTATTTAGTAGGCGATATGAGTCGATATCACTTTGAAGATAAAGTCATCAAATGAGACCAATGGCAAAACGTTTGCAGGTGGCCACTGGCCAGTAACGTAAACTACAAAATGCCCTCTGATTTCAGTGCGCCAATAATCAAGAAAGCCGATCTACGGTCTCTATCAACTCCTATCCAATCCCCCTTCTTCTCTGGGACTAATCCTTCATCACCAAAGACATATATATCATCTGGATCATCCTCCAACTCTGTTTTGTTCTGTGACAGCTGTCTTTCCTCTTCCTCACGATCCCAAAGTACTTCTTCCCACTGAGAGTCGCTGATGGTGACCGCAACCGTTTTTGCCTCTCGAATATTTGGGAGAACGGATGTGAGAAGATTGGATAAAAGCTCTGAAGTGCCGTCTGCAGTTTGAGAGTGAAGAACCGGTAACGGCAGATACTCGGCCTGTACATCATTCTTAATTGAATAGACCACCTACGAAGGTTGAATGCTCACCTCAAGAAGCATACCCTTGACGGCACCACCAGCAAGAACTACATTACCAACACGGACAAGCCAATCATTGCCTATAGCAAAGACAAAACCCTCGACAGAGAGTTGCTGTCCGCCCTGACTTCTTTGCGCGCCAGGCGCTGTTTGTCTGACGGGGATCCAGCGTGCTCTCAACTGATGCAGAACTTGTTCCAATGCGCCAGGCGGGCGGAGTGTGAGGAAAGTAGTTCGGTAGTGTGGTGGGACAGGGAAAACCTGCCCATCCGTATTCTGAGAGTTCTGAACTGTCACGATGTCTGCACGAGTCGGTGCAGCTGGATCCTCCAGAAGGACGAAAACATTCTCATTCATTGTCAAAGTGCACATTGAGCGCTCTGAATGGACTTGAAGGCCGGGTATTGAGCCCAGTGTCGAGCGGTAAGATTTCACGCTCAAGAACCACCTTCCTCGGAGTTGACCCTACGAGGCGCATCAACGAACCGGGATGAGGATTGAGTTTTCGTTGCGACGAACATGGTGGTTTCGCATGATATTTTCACGGATGAGTTCGAGACCTGTGCTTGGCGCATTGATCCATCGAGCAAGCCTGGATTAGTGCACATATTAGCCTTGATAGAACCGAATTTGAAGTAACTTGCCCTGTGAATCCCATGACACAAAAACTTGGTTAAATGAGGAGTCGGGTGAAGCTCAAGTGGCACAACGTGTGACATGGTCCACTTGTGACCACGTGTCTAACTTTCGCGTGACAGACGCGTCAAGACCCAAAACACCCTCCTTGAAGCTAAGCACTGATCTCATCATCTATCATCACAAATGCCTAAACGCAAGGCGCCTGACGATTCCGACGCTGCCGCAGAGGCTTCTCCTCCCAAGCGTGCCACTAGAGCCAGCGCTCGACAGAATGATTCTGGACTTGCTGCACCATCCCGATCATCTGCTCGCTCTAGCAAATCTCCACAGAAAATGTTCCAGCAGAATAACAAAAGCCTCCAAGCTGATGTCCAGCTGGATTCGCTAGTGCAATCTGCACGACCTTCACGAGCCCGCAAGAAGCAGCCGACTACCGAGGAGTCACCCCTTAAGAAGACCGACGTTTCATCGCCTTCAAAAAGAAATGAGAAACAGAACTCTAACCCGATAACTAGTCCTCACAAACAGGAGGAATCTGGCAACTGTGATGATGCCGATGAACTGAATTTGTCTCCCCCCAAACCGGCAGTTCATTGTACTACGCCACCACCTAAACCTTTCGCTGGACGCGTCCTCCTGCATTCTGTAGAAATTACAACTCCTAGATCATTCCCAAAGTTGCCTTCCACAGCCTCACCGGCGCCTAGTACGCGACAGCCCCCTGCGAAGACACCTATCACAACCACAGGTATTGCATATCGCGTACCAGAATCGTCTGCCGCATCGCCAAGCCGTCCTTCCGCCCTTCAGAACGTGCTACCTCCCCAGACGTCACCGAATCGGACTAATCCACAATTTCCGAGTACACCAAGTAGGGATAAGTTGCAGTCGAAGTCTCCCAAGAAACATCAACCTCCCACTTCTAGACCCCAGTCACCTACCCGTATTCCTCGTAATCTCCCTCCTCATCTTGGCCAATGCCTCCGTCTACAGAAGCACGCTATGCTATCGGAACTACAAAATTTCAGTATTGAAAGCGACGATGATGCTAGTCTTGGCCCTACTAACACAGCAGCTTCACAGCAACTAAAGGACTTGCTTGTGGGAACTGTTAGTCGTGGCGAGGGCAACAGTTGTTTTATCCTCGGACCACGCGGCAGTGGAAAGACTACAGTAAGTTGTCTGCATCTTCACGCATTATACATATTAAAGCCAATGTTCTAAGCTTGTGGAGCGAGCTATTGCGTTGCTGAACCAGACGCCTATTGTTATCAGGCTTTCGGGTCATACCGAGCTAAATGATCGCCTCGCACTCCGAGAAATCGCGCGACAGCTCTCTCTCCAAACAGGCAAATCATATCTTGCTGAAGTTAATGGCGACGATGACTCAGATGGCGACGACAATCCTTTCCTGGACGCCAGCGCGGGCATCGGCATCCCACCCCCATCCCATCTCCCCGCGTTAATTTCAGTCTTAACCACGCTTTCCCGTCCGGTGGTAGTCGTTTTAGATGCCTTCGATCTCTTTGCTTTACATGCCCGGCAGGCACTTCTTTACTGCTTACTGGATACCGCACAAAGCTGTAGAGTCGGTCTAGGAAACAATGGCATTGCGGTCATCGGGGTAACTACGAGGATAGATACCATCAACCTATTGGAGAAAAGGGTCAAGAGCAGATTCTCTGGGCGAATGCTGCGCACTGCTGCTCCGGCAGAACTCCCGTTTTGGGTGAAGCTTATAGAACGAGTGTTTCGTGCCCGAATTAAAAGCCCCGAGGAAGAGTGGGAGCCGGTATGGAGCATGGCCATCGACAAATTTATCGCAGATCGAAAAGTGCTCGAACAAATCCAAGAGACTGTTGCGGTCACGCGAGATATTAGGGTACTTCAGCGAATCTTGGTGCGACGCCTCGCTGGTTGGCTTGAGAGCTTCTCTGACCATTGAATAGGTTGGTGTTGTTGCTTCATTAGCCCCTTCATCGCCATTCCCAACTTGTGCAAAGCTCGCATCAGCAATACATGCACAGCGTATACGTGTTCCATTTCCTCACTTAAGCAGTGCGTAGATAAGCTCCCCATGAATGGTATCAGCTGACACCCACCAGCATTGTCATATCCCTCGATCTGTCTTCTTATAGCTGCCGTGCATGCCCACACCGCTGGGCATGATGCCATCACCTTTGAGATGCTTTATGACAGCTTTCGTGAACAATACCGTGCTTCGGCAGCAGCCCCAATTCAGGTTGCAGGAGGAAGTATTAGCATGTCGCGATGTACTCGCGAAGTTCTCATGAGGGTGCGTCTAGAATTCTGATTGACCTATTTTGAGCCGCTGAAGTCTAACATAATTTAGGGGTTCGAATGTCTGGTCGCTGAAAAAATACTCATAAGCGTAGCCGCCTCATCGACGAACATTGCTCCAGGATTCACTCGATATCGAAGCGTTTTGACCTGGGATGATGTTAAAAGGGCAGTCGACAAGATGGGTAAAACTAGCTTGAAAAAGTGGCTCACGAAAGCACATTAAGTTTGCGACGTGGCTGCATAGCCTTTGTTCGCCCATTTAGAATAGTATATTGTAGGGCATATGTATCCTAGCACGCTTCGTACGAGATGCTTGTCCACGTAATTCAAATGCCTTGATGCGGCTATACAAGTGGGTTGAATTCAAGCATACATTATTTGCTTTGTGGTATAACTCTTGGCACTAGTAACGCTGCTCATAAACCTCTTCGGTGAACCTTTCTTCAACAACCTCCTGAGCTGCAAGTAACTTGTTGTTAGAAATGGAAAGAAATGGGGCGAACAAAGTGCATACCATGCTTGCGCGCTTGCTTCTTCTGGTGGTCAGACCACATGTCAGCCTGTTCCCGTGTTTTGTTAGAGCAACTAATCACAATAACTGAATACATACCCCCTTCGTCTCGGCAACGCGGTCAAGTGCAGCACCAGCGAAACCAGCACTACACGCTACGTGAGCACTATGAAAGGTATGCGTCTGGGATAACATACAAAAGTTCCTTGGCCAAAGCATGGTTATCGGGCTTGCCGTTCTTGGCACAGTGTTGCTCGTACGCCCGTGCAGCCTGAGATCTAACATGAGAACTGTCCATCGTAGAGAAAGACTGAGCTTACTTCGAACGCGACGGCACCACCAAGGAGTTCGTGACTCAGGGAAGCTTCGTGAGGTGCATCCGAGTCTCGGAACTGTAGATGCTTCATTGAAGATGCTTTGTTTGTGAAGTTATGAAGGCACATACCTCATCGTTCTGTGAGGAGGAAAAGACGTCAAGGAAACCCATGATGGTAAGTAAGTAAGTAAGTAAGTAGGAATGAGCGAGTGATGGAGAAGGGAAGACAACATGGGTTTATATACCTCTGGAACATTCTGTCAACCCAAAAGCGGAGTATATGATGGGCGGTGTCAAAGATCAGGATCACATGAGACGTCTGGGGGACGACAATAGTACAAGAACGTTGGTTGATGGAATGTACCTTGGCGATGATGATGGGGAGTCGATGCCGGGGAGATCTTATCTCCAGCAATCAGAAGAGGATTGTCGATGCCTGGGAGATCTTATCTCTAGTATGGCGCGATCGCAGCCGATCGCAGGGATTGAAACCACGTCGACAGGTTCTGCTCCGGTTCTAAATCACTGCCGGCCGTGTGTCCAAGTTAAGACCAAGATACGAAGAGATAGGCGAATATTCCCGATCCAATCAGGGCTGAGTTCTTGTAGATACCCCCCGACGCCCGTGCTGCGAAATAACGGCAACCATAAACCTCCGTAAACATCCTCAGTGCAACAAGGGGAGACCAGTAGTCTATAGAAAATACTGCGGTCGTCGGGGGGACTAAAAATCCTCTGGACGATTTCCATGACAAGGCAGCACGGGGATCAAGTTTCCAGAATGGCGACGATCAAGCCCCGTCACGGCGCGAGACGGCCGGACCATAAAATTGACCAGATGTGAGACTCGGAACATGTCATCCTTAATAACTTGAAACGAGAAGCGGAAGATATCTGGGGTGCACCTGGTGCACCCTGATACGAGTGCATACGTGAAATTAAACTCAAGTAACAGCAACCGCTTGGTGGAAACATCCAAGAGAAAATTAGGTCGTTTTGAGCATATCTCGGATATGCATTTTGAAAACCATTAATTTTCACGCCATTGGTAGGCACATCCGGCACATCTGCAACATTGTTAGACAGGCTATCAATAAACGCACCAGCGAAACTGACCTGTAAACTAATCCAAAGAAGCAAATCAGCGCCCGAGTTTCGTAAGTCCATCCCAGAGGAAGCATACTGCACGCACACGTCGCCATAGGCTCATCTGCAGATCTAATCTGTAGCTGATAGAAATATGCGCGTGGGTGGCCACACTTGTCGCAAGTGACTATGGGTCGTGGGTCAACTTCCTACATCGTGAAAGAAAGAAGGGACTGACCGACAGTAGAATCAGCATCCCGCCAAGTCTCCTCTCCTCCAAGCACATCGTCTACCTCCTTGCGCTTCATGCGCGAGCGGGAAGTCATCTAGACACAGTCATTAAATGACCGTAAGATGGTAGTAAACAGTACACACCTGCTTCGAGATCGGAAACTCGTATACATATGTATTGCATGCCCATTTATTGTATCCCGTTTGCGAGGATATCACAAGCAGATTAGCGCATGTCGGGCAGAACAGCATGCAAACCAAATATGCTGCGTTAAATTCCGGCGACCTTCGATTGGATACACTGCGGAGACTGAGAAATTAGTTGCCTGCGAACGCCGAACATGTCGAGGGCGTCGAGGAACTGCCCGCCAGCAGGCTCCACTGTGAATCACGTGTCAAGCAAAGTACCCCAATACTCCTCGTGTGGATACTATGACCACGTTCAAACCGTGTTCGCTGACTCTTTCACACTGAACTTGTAGTACCGCTGGTAATAGAAGACTGATGGAAGAGCCAGAGGGTTTGTTTGATTCAGACTACGTTGATGAATCGTTGGTCCTTCACCCTGATTTCAGTTCTAGCTTCACGAACCACAAATCCTTTACAGACACATACAGGCTTTCATCAACGCCCTACAGTCGGACGACCTAGATGGACATGACGCTCTATCAGCAGCTTCACCCAACACCGTCCCTAGCTCCCCTGTACCCCAGAGCCCTCGCGTGAGGAAAGTCTCCGCTCTATCCGATTTTGCTCCAGTCAACTTGAAGGTGAAGAGGTATGGAACTTCATTTTTGGCACATAATACCGTTGAACATTCTGGGGTCAGAAAACGAAAGGGGGATAAGTCTACGGGTAGGAGGCAAGAGTGGTCATTTCTCGTGCTCCGATGGCCACTCCTTGTGAGCATCAATATCTCTATTTCGCTCTCGCTCAATATTCATTCTTTTACCAGTTTATGATATTTATCCTCATCGCTGCTCAATTCGGATTCTACATCCTGATCAGACAACTCGTAAATACCAAAGAATGGCTGCTAGCATGTAGGTTTGACATCGATCGTACAAGTACTTTCTCATCTAAAATTCCAGGGCGGGGACAGAAGGGTCTTTTGCGAAAACGTCTACGTGGGGCACGCACCTACCAGGTGTGTCACATGTCTTGAATCTTGATATATGTATTAGTCTCTCACCTCCGGCCCTCTAGGAATGGAAGGAAGCGGCAGGGATGCTCGATAAATATCTTCTGTTCGATGATTGGAAACAGGTCGACGAGGATGCTTTTTATGATTGGAAACTCTTACGCAAGGTAAGGAACGTTTCCGCACATGAAACCCAGTAGCTTAAGCTACGTTTGTTAGGTGAATCGGTCGCTGAAGATTTTGAGAGAGAAGAATGATGTTCGCGGCGTTCTCGGTGTATTAGAGACGTGTGTCCGAGCCAATTTTGTGGGAGTTGAGTCCTCCAGGTGAGTTTGTTAAGTCGCACAATTCCCCTCCCGTTCATGATTTACATCATCATCATTAGGCTTTATAGTGAAGTAAGCATTTTATCGTTCAAATAGGGGCCTAATCCACACCTTTGAGGTAGACTTTCCTGGGCACCAAGAACGTAATAGAATGTCAGTTTCTACGAAGATGTACTTTATTCAGTCTAACCTCCTTTGATAGCATATCACACAGAGCTGGAAAGCGCGTTGCAATTCGTCCGACAGTCATCGGAGCTCTCTATTGAAGAGAAGAGGAGATTTTTCAAGAATGCTAGCACTAATATGGGAACATCTGCCTTGTGTCTCTCTGGTGGCGCATCTTTTGGATATTGCAAGTCTAAAACCACACCATGCGATTGACATCTGACACTCTTCTAGACCATTTTGGTGTGGTGAAAGCTTTCCTAGATGCAGGGCTACTTCCCCGAGTTATTGCTGGAACATCTGCTGGTGGCCTCGTCGCCGCTCTGGTATGCACACGCACAGATGCTGAACTGAATGTTCTTCTTGTTCCGGAACTTGCCCATAAGCTGTCGGCATGTGAAGAGCCTCTCACTGTATGGATAAAGCGTTTTTGGGCTACCGGTGCAAGATTTGACAGTGTGGCGTGGGCTCGTAAAGTATGGCAGTCACTCTCCAGTAACGTGTCTTTTTAATCCGATTTTTGTTTCCAGTGCGCATTCTTTACCAGAGGTTCCATGACCTTTCGAGAAGCGCATTTGCGGACCAGGCGGATCCTTAACATTTCTGTTGTTCCTGCTGATCGCCATGCGTGAGCTCGTCATCTGGGCCTGGAGTCCAAACAGCTGACACTATCTTAGTCCGACAAAGCTCCTCAATTACATGACCGCACCGGACACGATAATTTGGACGGCCCTGCTCGCTTCAGCAGCTGTACCTGGGATTCTCAACCCGGTTGTGCTCATGCAAAAGCTCAACGATGGTCGAGTAGTGCCATGGAATTGGGGTAGCAAGTTCAAAGATGGGTCTTTAAGGTGAGCAGGGACGATCTGCCGAGATATTTTTGTGCACCCCTGACATCAGCTAGGGTTGATATTCCTCTTCAAGCTCTTAAAATGTACTTCAATGGTGTGCTTATGCGTTGCTGCTGTTGGGTAGTTAGTACCGGCTAACTGTGATTTGAGTTACCCATCCGGTTGTATCGCAAGTGAACCCTCACGTCCACCTGTTCTTTTTTGCGCCCCGTGGCTCAGCAGGAAAACCAGTGGCTCACAGGAAAGGAAAGGGTATGAGATAAACGTCTTATTTCTGATGTAGTGTTTCATATATTTACAGGGTGGCGAGGAAACTTTCTTCTGTCTGCGGCGGAACAATGGCTGAAACTAGAGCTCACAAAGAATTTCAAGGTAAGCGTTCATTTAATTGTGTTGTTAGATTCTGAGCAAACAACTCCGGTCAGGTTATTCGTGATCTCGAGCTTCTTCCGCAGTTGCTCGGACAGGACTGGTCTAGTGTCTTTTTGCAACGTTTTGATGGAGCTGTCACGTATGTATTGATCATCCCACCATCTGATGTCACTCACACTCGGCTTCAGAATCTGGCCGAGAACGCGAATTTTGGTGTGTAATTTGCACAGCATTTTCTAAATGCGACGCTGATGACTGACCGATTAAATGACAGGATTGGTTGCATATCTTGAGCGACCCAGACCCGGCCGAGCTTGAACGGATGATGAAAGTTGGGCAAATTGTAACGTGGCCTAAGGTCAGAGCTACCGCCACTGGCGCTCCATACCTCTGTTTATACGCTCATCATCGACTTCAGTTGCATATGATTGAAAACCGCTTTCGCATAGAAAATGAAATTCTCCTAGGTCGACAGGCAGTTCGCATGGCAATTGACCGGGTTCGGTCTCGTCCAAATTCAGGTCACCCCCGGAATATTGTTGTAGACGGTCAAACCGTCCCTGATCCCATCATTGGCACTCAACTCCCTACCACATCGGCAAGACTTGAGTCACCAATACCCATGGACTCGGACGTTGAACGCGCATTTGAGGACAATAGCACGGCGTGGTACTTCCGTCGCGGTCGCCCTAAGGCTGACGCTCCACGAGAATCTGAGACGAGTACATCGTATGGAAACAACCACAATAAAGTTACCGACCCTTTACGTTCTCCTGTTCTGCGTCGCAAGTGGGCATCTGATCTTTTCAATCGCGACGATAGCGTAGCTGGAAACTCGTCCGCAAGCCCGCGTGCAGCCACCCCAGAGCCACCACCCGCTGACAATCCAAGGCAGACCGCTTCTACTCCATCCACATTCTTCACAAAACTCAGGCCTGGGTCATTGTTGATACCATTCTCGGGCTCTCATAGACCTGCCAGATCCAACGGGAAGAGTGTAGATGCATCAGAATTGGCTTGGAGCAGTGAATCCTCGTCGGAGGATGAATTGGATAATCTTCAGGTACAGTCTACTCTTCATTTGAACACTTATTTCAATCAAGAGGCAGTTTCAGATGAAGAAGGGGTAGATTCAAGCTGATCCAGTGTCCCTATTGCTTGTATACTGTATACCGACTGTAGCCATTACTTTCACAATGTATTTCTTCGCACCACCGATACTAGTCGCTTAGTTGTTCGGCACTTACTGAGGCTCGTTGAAGCGCATACCCCTATTCATCTTGCGCTTCTCCTGCAGACAATTCTGGTGCTCCACAGCTGCAGACGGCGATGCTCAGCTGCACGCCCCGGGCCTGCTAGTAGGGACAAACGCTACATATAGACTGGACAGGGACAGCCTGCCAGAGCTTGGGCTTTCATCTGGGCTGCCATGGTGATGTGCGCTGGCGGGGTGCTGGGCATGCGACGACGCAGGAACAGTGTATGAAACCAGAGAACGATGCAACGTCAGCGCGGACATAGGAGGATGGCGAGAATGCCGATGAACGTGCAGGCGGAGCTAGTGATAACCAAGCGTTTCTGATAACTTGACGAGAAAGCGAACTTGTCCATTTACTTCTAATTTCCTAGGGTATCCAATGGGTCGAACATGCGATGGATCCTAGGCTCTGTGTGCGTGCCAATGACGAGAATCATGGGATGATCCCTATACTAATAAGTAGACTAGCCACTGTACTACTTGGGTAATGAGTACTAATAACTTTAAGTGCGTGTAAATATCGCCTAACCAAAGCCTAACGCGGCATTCACCTTTGGCTTCCGACTACGTCAATGTCTTCAGGGACCGACTCGCCGACGCCTGAGTTTCTTGCAGCAGCAGCTCAACGCCGTAATGCTACGGCAGGACAAGTAATTCCTGAATCTCAACTCCTTCGACAACATGAACTGCGGCAGATGTTTCGGCGCCTGATTGATCCTGGTATATGTCGGCCTAATTCCCAAGAGGCGGCCATGACTTCCTTGAAGGTATGCAGTGGATGCATTAATACATGATCAGCCTATGGATGATGGGCTTCTTGCAAGACGTTATCGAGGATTGCTGAGAACCTGCTACGAGAGCCTGAAAACCCCAAGTTCCGGCAGTTCAAACCGATAAATGACACGATCAAACGGCGCCTGATTGAAACTAAGGGTGCGCTGGAGTATGCAATTCAGGTGCGTTTGACTGAAGCAACTGACTACGTACATACCTATCTGATCTTGAGAGGATAGATGGGGTTCCGTCCAGAAGTATGTCTCCCCTGCCACTGCTGTGCTATATTGCTTTATCTCTAGTTCCTTGCCAGGTGAAGGAATTTCAGCCCCTCTACATCTGGAATGAGCGCAAAAGCGAAGAATTGCACATTGGCGCTCAAATATTGCAAGAGGTTATAGATCTGGCTGAACAAAAATCAGCTAGGTCTCAAAGAAATGCGGCTGAAGCGAAGGCTGCTGCCGATGCTGTCACACGAAATGTACGTGGAGTGATTAGATATTCAGTTGTCCAGACCTCATCAAATTATCAGGTTCTATTAGCTTTCATGGATGATCGCAAAACCAAGATGCTTCGTGACCAACGCGATCGCCACACTCGCGAAGCACAAGTCACAGCCCATCGCTCTTCGAGTGTAGATAGGGAGATAGCTATGTCTCCTTCCCCACCGCCCTCCAATGTCGAAATGCCGGGCACTGGTCATGTTTTATCATCTGACCCCGTAGTAGATGGGCCTGCCCCGTACCATGACTGAAAGTTTTCCACCCCTGCTGATTTAACATGCTTACATTTACACTGACCAATGGTCAAGACTATTGTATGAATCGAATAATTTGTAGTAGTACGATGTGATAACTCATTGCAAGACGAGGTCTAAGGCCAACTTGAAGGAGTGACGAGATTGTCGGGGAAAGCCGCAGAATTCATTTGCGTACTACTCCACGGTCCGATGTTCACTACAAGTAGCGCTGGCCAGGCATCGATTGGGGGTGTTCGCCATCCTCCCGGTATGGATGGCATATGACCTTAAGTGTAATTACACGGATCTTTCTCTCACTGCGAGCAATAACCTGCAGAGCATTCCCGATCGAATTCAAAGCACTAGCACTAGCACGGCCCATCAAACGCAAACCCGCTGACGGCGCTACACACCGATTATTGGCGCTTATCCTCGTGCCGTACGCCGCTCATGTCAGAACACGAAACTTATCTTGCAGTTCTCAAGGCCTTTTACGACTACGAGCCCCAGTCAGAGGACGAGCTCGCGATCACTGAGAACCAGATCGTATTTCTCCTTGAACGTACCGATGATGAGTCAGTAGCTGTGTCGTGTCATGCGATTGCTCTAATGCCCATGCCGTACGAAGTTGGTGGAAGGTCAAGATAAAAGGCGATTCGCAGGAGGAAGATAGTCCATCTGGCTTCGTCCCTGCCGCTTATGTCCAGCAGGTTCGTTCCATACCCTTGCGTCATTCCCATATGTCCTGTCTGACAGGACGCACCAGGCTCAACACACGTCTCTCGTCAGAGCTCTCTATGGTTTTGATTCTACTGCACCCGGAGAGCTGTCCATCGAGGAGAACGAAATTCTTATGGTCTTTGACCGTGAAGAAGGGTGGATGCTCGTTCAAAGCAAGAAGGAGGGCGGTAAGGCTGGCTTTGTACCGGGGAACTATGTCGAAGAGGTATTTACATCATGTGAGGAGGCAGAGGAAGTGACACAGGAAGGTGGGCAAGGTGCATGTGGTAGCGAGCCCGCCGTCGCATTATATGACTTCGAGGGCACGGACTCAGATGAATTGACCGTGCAAGAGGGCGAGCGGCTGTGGATCATTGAGAAAGAGGGTGAAGAATGGTGGAAGTGCAGGAATGTGCATGATATCGAGGGTGTTGTGCCCGCGTCGTATCTCGAGGTCAGTCATAAGGTTGGCATGAGACTTGATGGCTGATATTAGTCTCAGAGCAATGGAGCCGAGCGTGGGGAGCGCCAAGAAGCTGCAAAGCGTGCTCGCCAGAAGGCAGAGAGGGGACAGAGTTCGTCGACGTAGGTGTTGCATTCAATTCGAAGTTCTTTTTGATACATCTTACTCTCAGTCGTCCCTCGACCTCGCGAATGAACCCCAGGAACTCGACTTCTAGCGCAAGATGCAGCTCAAGCGACATTCACAAGAGTGAGTTTTCCGCAATTGCATTTGGTCTCGTCTAACCTATAAATCGACCTTAGAAATGCCTTCCGCGAAGTCGACGCGTATATGGCACGACCGCAGTGGCCAATTCCGAGTCGAAGCTGCTTTTCTTGGGTGCTACAATGGCAAGTTCCGTCTACACAAAATCAATGGTCTTGTCATCGAGATCCCATCGGAGAAGATGTCCCTCGAAGACATACGCTATGTTGAGCGACTTGCTGCCCAAAATACCAACCCTCCCGCAGTGCAGCGCCGCCATTCCGATAATGACGATCAGCCGCTTGCGCTCAAGCAGACGAAAGTCACACGGCGGGCGACCATGTCAGCGCAGCCGAAGAAGCCGCAGACATATTGGTTCGAGTTCTTCCTGAATGCAGGCTGCGACATTGATGATTGCACGCGATATGCGTCCTCCTTCAAGCGTGAAAAGATTGACGAGGCAATCCTCCCAGACATCACTAAGTCCACGATGCGTTCACTGGGTCTGCGCGAGGGTGACATTATTCCGCATCACGAAGTGTATCCAGCAGAAGTTTGCAAAACCTAAGAAGGATACGTCGCAAGAGCAGCTTATTCGCGATGAAGAACTGGCACGGAAGCTACAAGAAGAGGAAGTTCTATTGGCTTTCATGGATGATCGCCGCACTCGCGAAGCTCAAGTCACAGGCCGTCGCTCTCCGAGTATAGATTGGGAGGCAGCTACGTATCCTTCCCCACCGCCCTCCAATGTCGAAATACCGGGCATCGGTCATGTTTTATCATCATCTGACCCCGTAGTAGATGAACCTCCCCCGTACGTACCATGACTGACAATTTTCCACCCCTTCTGATTTAACATGCTCACATCTACACTGTCCAACGGTCGAGATTATGGCATGAATTGAATAGTTTGTAGTAATACAATACAACTCAAGACGAGGTCTAAGGAGTGATGTTCTTTAAGAGGCTGTGATTTCAACTGTCGGTCTTCGAACCCTCTTTTACAGTATGGAAATCAGAAACAGAAAGCAGCGAGGGCAGTTGGGGCAGTGAGAATTGCGTGCCTCTCATGTTGTGAGAGTGATGCTTGGAGGAAACTTTGGATCCAATTGTCACATTTGATTCCAAGCAAACGTAGAAATCACATACCAGTCGATTGTTCATACGCTTTGGCTCTCTGCAAAACAAGGCTCTGGGCGGCCTGATGGACAGGCGACCGACTGCGTCCAATGAGGTCCGACGGATCATGGGGAGGTGGTGATGGAATCACGGAGCTGCGTCGATCAAAGGAGGGGAACATAGACCTTGTAGGAGACTTTGCCCTCTCGTTGTGATCGTCTGAGGTCGATGTCAAATTGCGCCCCTGGATTCCCGGCATGATCGACGATCCAAGGGATCTCACTGCCTGCGACAGGCGTGAGGTAGGTGATACGGGTGGTGATATGGGGATTGGGAACTCTGCCGCAGCTGGCACCCCTGGACTGCTGATGCGGAGAGGGGGGATCGGGGGTACGTTGTGCAGTACCGGAGGTTGTCTCTCTCGCAGCGATGGACTATTCGGCGCTTGCTGGTTGGTGAGAGTCCCAGTGAGAGTCCCCGAGCGGGAACGCGACAGTCGAGGTCCCACTTCATGTATGGAAGGCATTCGACGCCCCGGGCCACGAGAACGTTCTTCGTGTGACTTGTTGGGAAGTGCTAGGTCTTGCACATACCCGCTAGGTGTCCAAGTGACTCCATTGGCAAATACTTCAGCATGTAGCTGACGGTGAGTTTTTGCCGGCTTTCTCTTGGTCACAGGAGGCATAGGTAATGGTGCCGCCTCGGTGTGCAGTTCGGCGTGCGTCTTCCTGCGTCCTCTCGCAGATAACGGGCACACTGACATATTAAACACCTTCTGAAGTGGCTGCGCTATGGTACTAAATGCGGGGTAAATATCAAAGTGCGGGTAGACAGCAGGGTCTAAAATTACGATTTAGGTAAACCAAAAAGAGAGTGGGCACGAGTACTCACAGATATTTAAGACGGGGTACCCGTGATCTATTCTAACAGCCAATTTGCTGCTTGCGGCAAGCGCATCAACTGTCGGGGGGATACCGGGATACAAGTCGAAGTATGGATACACAGGTGGATCTGTTGCTGACTTAGTCTGGTAGCATTTTGCGGTATGCTTGAAAGACGTACAGACGACGAGATAGGGATATGAACTAGCAGTGATATTAGGAATCATTGATTCTTCCCGAGTCACTGGTTCTGCCGCACGCGTGGGATACAAATCGAAGTGAGGATACACAGGAGGATCTACATGCTCTGAGAAGACGAGTAAGCAAACAGGATGTAGAACTCACAAATGACCAGGAAGGGGTACGCCGAAACGGATAATTTGCCGTCGGTCATGTTCTCCAAAGACTCCTCCAGGCTCACTGGTTCTGCCGCGCGCGTGGGATACAGATCAAAGTGAGGGTACACAGGAGGATCTGGGTGCTGTGAGACGACGAGTAAGGAAAACAGAAAGTAGAACTCACAAATGGTCAGGAAGGGGTACGAGCTACTCGAAACGGATAATTTGCCGTCGGTCATGTCCAAAGACTCCTCCCGCCTCGCTAGTTCTGCTGCCCGCGTGGGATACAGATTGAAGTGAGGATATACAAGAGGATCTATGTGCTCGGTAAGAAGTCGAGTAAGAAAAACAAAACGTAGAACTCACAAACGACCAGGAAGGGGTACGTGCTACTCGAAACGGAGGACTTGCTGACTGTCAGGTGCTCCTCCTGACTCGCTAGTTCTGCCGCGCGCGCGGGATACAGATCGAAGTGAGGGTACACAGGAGGATCTGGGTGCTGTGAGATGACGAGTAAGGAAAATAGAAAGTAGAACCTACAAATGGCCAGGAAGGGGTACGTGCTACTCGAAACGAAGAATTTGCCGTTGGTCATGTCCTCGAAAGACTCTTTCTGACTAGCTGGTTCTGCCGCCCGCGCGGTATACAGATCGAAGTGAGGATATACAGGAGGGTCTAGGTGCTCTGTGAGGAGGGAGTAAGAAGAAAATAGAATGTAGAACTCACAAATGGCCAAGAAGGGGTACGTGCTCCTCGAAATGAAGAACTTGCCGTTCGCCGTGTCTTCCTCCCGACTTGCTGGTTCTGCCGCTTGCGCGGGATACAAATCGAAGTGAGGATACACAGGAGAATCTACGTGCTCTGTGAGAAGACGAGTAAGAAGAAAAAACGTAGACTCACAAATAACCAGGAAAGGGTACGTGCTACTCGAAACGAAGGACTTATTGTCGGTCATGTCCTCACTATCACGGGACGCATGTATCTGAACACGCGGATACAAGTCGAAGTGAGGATAAGCGGGAGGATCTTCGTGAAGCAAAATAAGTATCGGTAACTCTTTCACTCCGACTTGAGCCAACTTACAAGGGAAAACGTATGGATAAGTGCCTGCAAGGTCAACTGATACGCTATCGGTGATGATCTGCACGCAGCACACGATTCTGAGTAACTGTTCACCGAATTAAAGTCTTCTGCTTTACCTTGGTGGAGTCGATCCCCTGCTCTTGTTGCGAACCTCCGGACTTGATGTTTGGCGAGGCAGGATACAGGTCAAAGTGCGGATATGTCATGGGATCTAGAAAAAAAATGTTCAGCACCAGAGACTCGGGTCAGAGGCGAAGTCTCACATAAATCGAATGACGGGTAATACCTATCCAGGGTGACTTTTACACATTCCGACTTGAAGGAAGTCTGAGATCTGCTGCTAGGGCTTTCGCATATCCTGCTCTGCATCGAGTATGGCTCTATAAAAGGGTAAACAGAGGGATCTAAGGCACCAGTTAGTGTGGCGCATAGCGAAAAATACTGGATAACTCACAGATGTCTAGCCATGGGTAGCGCGACGACAAGCGGACTGTGATTTCAGAGGTATCCTCGACTTTGATCGGGGGATATACTTTATACAGGTTCCATGGATATCCTGCTGGATCTGGGAAAAATAAGCTCCAAGCCAGATAATCCTAACGTGCTTGCTCCACATACATATATCAAGAATGGGATATTGCGGCTGAAGTTTCACCTGGACCGGCTGCGCGATCTCGTCTTTTGCTTCCTCGGTTCTGGTCACTTCGGCACTGGCTTGCGAATATGGGTTCACATGAGGGTAAACGGGCGAATCTAGTACACGTTAGACTCCCGTTTAAGAAAGGGCGCAAGTATCTCACAAATAATCAACCACGGATAGGTACTTGGAAGTAGCACAGATAAAGATAATTTGACGGTCGGAGCCGGATAGATCGAATTGAGATTATACGGGTAAAGAGGCGGATCTGGAAATGATCAGCCCAGACCAGAAGCGTGACGCGACGACTACTCACAAAGGTTAAATAGGGGGTAAGTTGGTTCAAGTTCAACGATGACGGTTTTTGGTGGCTGAGAGGCAGCCGGCTTTTCGGGAGAAGAAATAGTTGAGCAGGCAATCGAAGGATATAGGTTAAAATAAGGGTAAACGACAGGATCTAGTGTTCAAGCTGAGCATCACCCTAAATTTGACTAAGATGACAGCTCACAAATTTCAAATATAGGGTAACCTCCAGCGCTGCTGTTCTGTCCGACGTCTTCTGCAAACGCGGGATAAATATCGAAATAAGGGTAAGCAGCGGGATCTGTCAAAAAGTTAGCAGTGACTCGTTAGTCACGAACATTGACAACTCACAGATGTCTAGACTAGGATATGCAGGTTTCAACCCTCCTGATCTACTGAGAGAAATGACCACGGAATTGCTAGCTTGTGCGCCGTTAACGTCATGCCACGGCCCAACGTTAAACCAGGGCATACCAGCCCAGGGATTTAAAGAGGTGCTGCGCTCCAACTCTGGGTCTTTCTTCTCTTCGGAGGCACGAATATCGAACCAAGGCCATGCCCGGATGGCAGGCACAATAGCCCAGGAGCTATAGGAGTCCCCAGACTGTGTACTGTCGAGTTCGGACCAAGGCCAAACCTGGACCCATGGCATTCCAGCCCACGGATTATAAGAAGTAGTTGATGGAAGTGTCGCCACTTTCGTAACATCGAACCATGACGAAGATGAAGCAGACATGCCCACCCATGGACTGTATGACTCCCCTGGCATTGATACATGACTCACTAAAGCATCTTCCACCACTCGGTGAGCAATATCTGGGGATGGCAAGCGATCGACGCTGGATACATCTGACTGCCAATCGTCGGCTGGCCCCCAGCTAGTAGCCGTTGCGGGGGTCAGGGGTGCGCTCTCGAGCATACGTCTACCAATGTCAGGCGAAGGTAGACGATCGATACTCGACACGTCCGAAAGCCGATCATCATCCGGAGGTCCCCAGCTAGTTGCTGTGCTTGGGGTCAAAGGTGCGGATTCCAACATGCGACGGTCGAGATGAACAGAAGGAAGACGGTAGTGAGATGCTGGAGAATCCAAAGGTGGACTCGGTGGCCCGGCGGACGTGACGGACCAGGCAAAGTCTGCCAAATTTAGAGGCTCTTCGACCTCCGCCTCCAAGGGGTACTCATCCATAGCCTCAATCGCCCCAGCGCCCAATGTAGCATCAGGGACAGGCTGGTAGGACTCCGTCATCGACGCAGGATCCAAGAATGCACTCGCCCTCCAAGAATTAACGCGCCGATGAAGCTCGGCTTTCGACGCCGGCGGAGCTGCAGACTGTGGGATGGGAGAGAGTTGATGTGCAACACGATTTGCAGGTGGAGAAGTGGCCTGCGATGCTTTGTACGAAGCTTGGAGCGCAGTAGAGTCTAGCCGGTCGACGAGAGACAGTTTTTTGGGCGCGTGACGGATAGTTGCAGGTCTTGAGTTCGACCGAGTGGTCTGATTATCCCAGCGGTCTTCATTCGCAATGTGCTCCTCTGCAAACGTATTCTTACTATCTCCACGCAAGTGGTGTATAGATGCATGAGACTGCGGAGCAGGAACTATGGTGTCGTCACGTAGTGTGCCGGAAAGCCAGGCATCGAACCAGCGAGCTTTATTGAAGTCAATGTCAAATTCTATGCGACCACCAATGGGTAGTTGAGAGCCACCCGAAGACGAACGCGACTCAATGAGATGCCCCCATAGGTATTGCCAAGCATCGTCAGAGATGCGCGGCGTCACGGTGATACCATTGTCAGTGATATGGTGGTAGAGACACAAGCCCACGGTGCTGGGAAAATTGAACTCCCGCGCGATTGCAGTGAGCTGCCCGTACATCTGATCTCAAAGTTAGAACACTCGTTCCTCGGTAATTAAAACGACTAACCGTAGGGAACAGGGGCATGAGGATACCCTGAGACAAACGATGACGAGGTCCCATTGATAGCACACTGCCTAGCTGACTATGGTCCAGGGGAAAGTCTGGTGGAGGAAGCACAACGATCAGGGACTTTGAGCCGCGTGAAAGGGTTCGCTCGCGGCCATCTCGCACTCCCGAGTTCTGGTATGACAGAGTGGATGTTCTGCGAGACACTATTCTGGGACGCTCAGGCAAACCAGAAGTAGAATGTGCTAACTGTTCCAGCTCTGCACCAGCAGCAAAACAAGCGGGTGGCAGTTGAGCGTGGAATGATTCTTGATCAGTCTCCGGTGGGCTGAGGGGGAGTGGGTGATTATTACGAGAAGGATGAATAGTTGGCATGGTATGGTAGGGGTGGCCATTAAAGTGAGACATTGTTCTGGTGTCCAGAAAAATGTGCGACACTGAACACAAGCTATTAATCACAGGAGACCGATGGCTCTCTGAAGTAGTTAAGCTGGCTGGAGTTCAAATCGCTGGCTAGCAGCGGAGAGACCTGCGGGAGGAACGTGAATAAATACAACAGCGAAAATGAGTATACTATAAGTATGCTGCACGTAGCACGAGGCTATGGGAGGAACACGAGGATAAGTTCTCAGCGGGACCTGAGTGAACAGCCAGGGATTGGATCACACAAAGACTGTGTAAATCGTCACGGCGACCGTGTCAATTGCGATCCCATATAAGCTGACGTCGTTCAGATGCATTATAAGACAGTGAGAGTTAGTAAGAGTATGTTCACAGAGTAGCCAGTCGTTTGGGTGCATTCATACCATTCCTCCAAATGACTTTTCTCCACACCGTACACGGTTAGTAACCTGGTAAAACATGAACCGAGTAAAAATTCCCTGATTATGTCCTGCCAGGGAATATGAAGGACTGAAATCGACATGGCTGTTCTACATCATGATCAATACCCGGTCGTGATGCAGCTCAATGCCGCCGCTTGCTTGAAGTACCTGACACAGCAGATTATTTCCTTTTATGGTTTTGAGCAATAACCACGTCTTTGACAAGCAACTACTATAATGGATTCCAGACTGGCTCAATTCGCAGCTCTCAACCAGAAGGACAAAGCACCAGCTTATCTCTCTCTGGTGTCCGAGATCCTTGCTCGTCAAGATCAGTCTTGCATAGCTCCTGATCTTCATACGTTATTGGAAACGGTCGTTCAGGATGTAGGCATCGTCGTTGGAAGACAAGTCCTTTCTGAACTCGTCAGAAATCTCGGTACCGGAAGCATATCAGATCACAACCTGCGGAAACGCGTCGTAGAAGAAACCCTCGCCACTCTCCAGCCACGAATCGTAAGTTATGAAGAGCAGGTGTGTTTGCATAATTATTGCCCCTAAAGATGCAGTCCGATAAGATGTTTCACAGGTTAACTCTTTACGCTTTCAACTTGCAGATCTATTAGAGACAGAAGAGGAATGGAGCGAAGCCGCCCGTGTCCTGATGGGCATCTCTTCTCGGTGAGCCTCGCCCATCTAAGTATAGTTTCCTTACACCTCTCATCCGTGAGCCTGTGGTAGGTCGCTTCCAGACGAGGAAAAGTTCCGTGTGAATATTCGCATAGTCAGGCTGCTCCTAGAGGATGAGGACTCTGTTCAGGCGGAGACTTACTACAATCGCGCCGCTTCCCTTTCCAACTCGACATCCGACCGAGAGACACAACTTCAGTTCAAGCTCTGCCAAGCCAGAATCAGTGACTATGCACGCAAATTCCTCGAGGCCGCAATGCGCTATCACGAGCTGAGCTGGCTCGCCGAGATTGATGAAGAAGAGAGAAAGGAGATCCTGTAGGTAACATCTAGTGATAATTATATCCTACTGACAATACTAGGTCCGCTGCTGTGACTTGTGCGGTCTTAGCCCCAGCCGGTCCAAACCGATCGCGCGTACTTGCTTCTCTGTACAGAGACGAGCGTTCGGCTGACTTGCCCACATACAACATCCTTTCCAAAATGTTCCTTGACCACATCCTCCGCCCAGCTGAAATCAGAACCTTTGAGGCACGCCTTCGTCCACATCAATTAGCAAAGATTGCCATTTCTTCCAATGATCAGCTTGCCTCGACTATTGACGATGATGACTCTGCCGGGCCGTCGACAAGTACTCGCAGAGGACCATCAACCGTTCTTGATCGAGCGGTTATGGAACACAACCTACTGGCGAGCTCAAAAATTTACAACAACATCACTTTTAGAGGTCTTGGTGCTCTTCTAGATTTAGCACCTGGAGCTGCAGAGACAATGGCACGAAAAATGATAGAGCAAGGACGTCTGAAAGGGTCGATCGATCAAGTCGATAAGCTCATCTGGTTCGATGCAGGAGGAGAGGAAGATGACGCTCAAGGCAAAGCAGGTGGCCTTGGTGACGTAGAGCAAACGAATGAGGACACTGGTGCTCCGTTCACCAAGCGGTGGGATATGCAAATTCGCATGACAGCAGCAAATGTACGTTCCCGGAATTGCCTCAGACACTCCTCGAGCTGATTTGATTGGCAGGTGGAGACTATTGTGCAACACCTGGCTCAAAAGGGTCTCATCCAACAAGTGGCGGCTACAGCATAAAAAGAGTTGCAATTCTTGTACGCTACGATGTGTAGTTGGTGCCATGCATACAGTGTCCAGTACATTATAATCAACCATACCGATGAGACATGCTACAAGAGCCCATTTTCTAGTTTACGACGCTTCTTCGCTCGCTCCCGTTTGGTCTCCAGTTCATGCCATTCGCCTTCTAGAGTGGATAGGCTGTTTCGAAAAAGAAAGAAAAAGAAAGGGGCATTGAGGATCTCGAACGGCACAAAAAAAGGAAGACAACATACTCAACGGGCAACTGAGGTGGAGGTTGCTCTTCTTTGAAGTAGGGAGCTTCAAGAGCCTCGACAGCAGTGACTCTCTGCGTCGGATCGTAAGAAAGAAGCCGCTCTGCCAGGTCGAGGGCTGCGGGCGACAACCATCTGAGAGTAAAGTGAGCTCTTCGGATGTGACATGATTGAAGCTCCACGGACGCACCGGGAGAATAGGTCGCGGAAATGACCATGGATCACATCCTTTGGCTTCACCAGCTCATACCATGGCAGTGCGGTGAGCCCTGACCATCGCTCAGTAGAAGGAGTTCCAAGAATACGGTAGATCACGTCCAACTGATGGATTTCATCATTCCCCTGGAATACTGGCTTCTTGGTGAAAAGCTCTAGCATGATGCAGCTGAACGCCGCTGTCAGTAGGAGGCAATGCAGAAAGGTACAAGCGAAGCATACCCTGCACTCCACATATCCACTTCAGGCCCATATACCGTAGCCCCAAAGAGCAACTCAGGTGGTCGATACCATAGAGTGATGACACGATTGGTATAATCACTTCGTCGGCGCTTCTGGTAAAAGCGTGCCAGACCAAAGTCGGCAAGTTTCAGCTCCCCTCGGTTGTTGATAAGAATGTTGGAACCCTTAATATCACGGTGGATGACGCCTTTGTGATGCAGATATGCCAGCCCAGCAAGCATTTGGCTGCAAAGGGACTTCAGATTGGCCTCTGAAAACGAGAACTGCGTCTGAGACAAAACCCCCGTAAGGTCATGGTCCATGTACTCGAACACCATATACACAGATCCTAGAAGAAGCCATCAGTACGCTGAGGTGGCAATAGTTCTCAAAGTACTTACCGTTTGATACCATCATCTCGTAAAGGCGGACGACATTCTGATGTCGCAAGGACTGCAGTAGCTTGATCTCCCGCATGGCAGTAACTGGGAAGCCATCCTTTTCTGCTTCCATGCGAATTCGCTTGAGCGCCACGTGGACATTGGTGATGACATTGCGAGCCTTATATACCTTGCCAAACGTGCCTTCGCCAACCTGGGAGACAATGGCATAGAGGTCCTTGCAAGTCGTTGCGGACGGCGAGGATGGTCGTGGTGTACCCTCTGCCTCTGGCTCCACTGTATGCGACTGCTGCATAGGACTGATGGAAACATCACCACTGCCTGCTGGCTTCGGCACAAGTGAAACTTTCAGCGCGTCACGGACAGATGAAGGCGGAACCTGCATAGGCTGGGGGGCCAGAGATTTGATCTTTGGGACGGTCTCGCGCAGACCAGGGACTTGTTGGGACGGCAAAGACCTCGACAGGACACTTCCGCGGAAATCTTCATCTCTATCGGTTGTGCCTTCATCGCGAGAACGCTTCGCAGGTACCTCTGACTGAATCTGAGGGGACACGGGTGACTTATGTTGAGGAGCGGGACCAGATTCATCGTCCTCTTCGTCACGTGGGAAAAACAATTTCACTGTTGAACTGGGTTCCCCAATGGGCCTAAATCCTGCCTTCGAGGTCTTTCGGATTCTAGGAGAATCAAAATCAGCCCGACCGGACGCGGATGATGGCGGTTGGCTGATGGGAGAATCGTCGAAGGGATGTTTTGTAGACGTTCGTGGGACTTTAGCTGGAGGAGGCATTTGCTCGGCGGCATAACGCTCATTTTCCGGCGAGAGATGTCGACGTCGCTGAAAAATCATCAGCGTCTATCCGGGGTCGAAATGAGTATGCTCACATTAGCCTGTTTTCCATTTGTTTTCGTTTTTCCATTGGGCCGCAATTCAGAGTCCCTTGAAGGCGGGGGGACACCGCCACGTTGTTGTTGGAGAGTGGTTTGTGATATGGACAGTGATATGTCATTGATAGAGGTGGCGGGAGGTAGACGATGCTTGGCTCTGGGCCGGTCATCCATACTGCGGCTTGAACTTCTGCTTCTACTCCGGCTTACAGACGAGGCCGACGAAAGGCTGTGTCGACGCCCTCTACGCATGGTCCAGCTATGATGAGATGACCCAGGAGACCATGACTTCCAACTTTTGGCCTCTCGGTCGGTTCTTCCCCTGTCAATAGGTGTCCGGCCACGGCGTCGGGCTGGACTATAGCTATGTTGCTGCGATCTTGGAGACAACGATCTTGAGTGCGAACGACCTCGCGAAGAGATATGGGAGTAGTAAGAATCAGGAGAGCGCGAGCGCGATCGTGACACAGCAGGTGACGGTGATCTGGAGGGTACCGTTCTCTGTTTAACAGGGGAGGTCCGGACAGGTTTGGGCGGCAAAGGATGGAATTCCCGTCTTTGCCAGCTGTAAACAAAACGAGATTAAAATGCGACAGATAGCACAGTATGAACGAAAAGTACTTGTTCAGGTCATCGTCATCGTCATCATGTCGACGCACTTTCTCCCGCTCCTTATCTTTCTCCTTCTCCATCCGAAGGCGAATTTTATTCTGATTTTTCTTGTTTTTATTCTTGTTCCCGTTATTCCGATTGCGATTATGCTTGCCCCCTTGGTCTGGGGCACGCGCTTGCCATCCAGGGCCAGGCTCCCAGGACCGTTCATCCTTCGTAGATGGATCCTCTTGCATATCCTGTGTCCGAGGCTGCCTGTCTCTGCGAGTATCCCAACCATTGTCTCGTTGCTGAAACTTTCGATTATTACGACGGCGGTTGTTGTGGATGTTGTCATTGTTAGGATGATGGTGATTATCCCCCCGATCATCCTTGGCCCGTCGGTCGTCGGGTTGCCATCCGTGGCTACGACCTCTATCGGTATATGAAGTAGACGCTCCCCAATTTTGTTGCTCTGGAGAGCCTTGATTCGTTGCCCATTCCCTACCAGTCTGGTGGTGCCAGTCATGTTTAGGACGCACGGACCATGAATCATCATCGTGGGTGTCGTAACTATCTCTGCCACCACGATGGTGAACATCAGACGAACGGGGGTGAAAACGGTCAACTGCTGAGTCAGAGTGTGAAGAAGAGCCTTCCCAACTCATACTAAAGGAAGTTCGGGATGAGGAAGGAACGTAGGAGTCTGTTTGTTGATGAGAATGGAGACGAGAGCGAGAATAAGCGTCAGACTGGGTATCTTCAGCCCGTGAGACATGGAGAAGTGGCAGTCCGTCGTCCTCGACGTCGTCAATTTTGACACGCTTGCGCCTCGATCTGTTGTGAGAAGAATGCATGATTAGTTTTCAGAATGTCGGCGTTGAAGCGCTTGAGATGTGGGTGGAGACGGGTTGGTGGAAGCAAAGACGTGACGTGTTGTTGTTTTGAACGGGCGAAAAAGGACGTCTCCTTGCAGTTTGACGGCAGATAGGCCGAAGAGCTCAGCAAAAACGAATGCAAACGAATGCTCAAATCACACAGAGGGATGATAGCAGAGCAACACTGAAAGCAAGATAAACGTCCACAAAGGGGGCAAGGTAGAAGCACAGAGAAGCAAAAGGTCAGCACTTGGAAACCTCTCGGGTGCAGGGCGCAAGACAATTGAACTTACATAACGAGGAAAAAGACAAATGAGCTAGAGGTTCGCAGTTATACCATTGACCTAGTTTTGAGAAGGTCCTGCGAAGTAGAGTGACGAGGCCAGTGCACCGTTCGATTTGTGTGGTGTGCCACGGCGGCAGTGAGTAAAACAAGGAGTTGACTCCACACGCGACTCAAACATCAATTCAATGTCATCTGAAACCCTAGAGCGACGAAAAGCCAGGAAATGAACAATACTTTCACTTGATAGAGATGCCATACGATAATGGCCGTATCTTGAGTTGTAGTAAGGCTACGCTCAAGGCCGTATGTTGCAGAAACTTATCAATGGACGAGCCACGATCTGACCCCAATCGTGTGATATGCTAGTACCGCGTCCGAAACAAAGATTACTCGTAGGTACTGTATACTATACAACAGATAGAAATCCTTCATTGATTCATACACTGCGTCAGCTGCACCTCTGAATCATCCTCTTCATCACCTCGGATTCCCCGCAGTGCTTGTTCGTAGTTCAGGATGAGATGCGCGAATTGCAGCTCCGCACTGCCACTCAACCCCGTCCGCGCTGCACGCGCATTATTCTTCTTAATCGTTTCGGCCTCGTTCCACCTCGAGAATGACGGCACTCCACGAGCAGGAGCGAACAACTGCGAGAAATGAAATAGTGCATAAGAGAATGTGTTCGGGATGCGCACCTTGACCGTCGTGTCGATGCCGCTGACAGCAATAAGAGGTAAGTGTGGGTGGCTTTCGATCACATTAACCACATGCTGGTCGCCTTCGAGGATGTCCACAAGTTCGCCAGTTGACTTCCGCCAGACGAAGAAGTTGCCATCATCTGACCCTGAAGTCACGAACTCGTCATGAGGCCCCAAGAAATTTACTGCAAGCGAACTTTAGCATCGATCAATATAATTACATCGACCGGATCGCACCGTCTTTGACTGTTTCGACATTGCAGTGCCCAGTAAACCGCATCCGTGGATATACCACGGGTACAGCCTGGTGTGCGTCCGCATCTTCAGGGGTGAACATGCGATCATCCTCGGCCGCGTCTTCCTCGTCTTCGTCATCATCTTCCTCGTCGTCTTCTTCATCATCTTGCGACTCATCATCAGCATCGTCCATTGCATAGGCATCGTCTGCCAGGAATGATTCCAGTCGGTCCTCGACGATCATATCCACATCCGGGCCAGTCAAAGGCTCGCTACGCGAAGACGGCGACTTCGTCGTGCCGAGCCGTCTCCGCTTCGGATTAGGCGTGAGGATCGAGTGCGGTCGCTTGTCTTGTAAAATTTCAGGCTCGTCTCGTGTCGAATAAAGAAACACCCCGTCCGAGTTATACGCTATGATCGGCTAAGTCAACGCTCACTTCACACTGTCAAGTTAATGGACATACACAATAGCACCTGTCCCTTACGTTCAGCCAACCTTCCATAATCCAAGGCAAATTTATCAACATACCTCGTGCCCATTCCAAGCTGACATCCGCGCGCCTGTGACATGCTCATACCCCTTTCTTTCTCCCTTTGCACGCGAGCGGCGCCCAAACCTCCTGACGCATGTTGTTGCACTATCTGCATCAGGTGGTACGCCCCATTCTGCACGCAAGTAACGCCCCGCATGCCGGCGGTCGAACAAGTGCGCCTGAGGATTGCAATTGTGAGAACAATCCAAGAATCATGAACACCACGAGGCCGATCAAAGAAAATCGCAGATGAGATAGGATAACTACTACGCCCAGTCCGACACAGGGTAGTTTACCCCAATGGACATAAATTGGACCATAAAAACACTACACCAATATTTCTCCGGGTATCAAGTATGACAGAGAGGATAAAACATCAGAAGACTAACAACGCACATATGGCGACTCACCGCCCACAACAAACTGATACGGTGTGAGCGGCGAGAGAGCGATCGTCGAGAGCTCGTGCGGAAGCGTCACAAGCGGTGCAGGACACGCGCCTGACGTGCACGAATGTGATGTACGCAGATCATGTTGACGCACTTGGCCATCCTGAGTATGCAGTCAATAAAACATGTGAAACCCAAGTAAAATTCATAGCTGCCTCGGCTACGGTAAGGAACAGATCAGGACTGTCCTCCGTGATAATGCGCTTCGTGCGCCCAGTGTGACAGCGCAGCACGCGAAAACATGACTCCCGCGTGGTATAGTGCATTTCGCTGCCTGTCAGGGACTGCCCGACTGCCTCACCCACGTCGAACACGCGGACTTGGCGGTCTCCGGAGACAGTCGCGCTGCCAATATGATTAACGTCACGTAAAAAGTGAAAGCAGTGAGGACTTACATCCTCGTAGAGAACGGAAGCATCTGCGCATTGAAAACATTCTGCGTGTGACCTGTGCTGATCACTGACTGGCACGCGAACGGGTACTCTTCCCAACTTGCAGCGTTCGATGATTTCTCAGCCTCGGAGGTCAAACTTATTGAACCAGAGCTAGGTGCGTCCGGACGAGCAGAACCTGACGAATCCATTCGCCAGACTCTAATCCTGTATTCAAGAACACATTCAAGTCAGCCATCCGGGTCAATAAATTGAGCGTACGCACTTGGTATCGTCCCCGCTGCTAATCAACAGCTCTCCATCCTGTGCCCAGCTCACCGCGTTGACGCAGCTGTATAATACAACAACAATCAGAAGAACAGCCATGACCTCCGAAACCCGGCCAAAAATGAATGAAAAGCAATTCACCATCCAATCCAATCGCCAACCATCAGGGTTGGACGACGATCAAGACCTATCAAACAAGGCGACGCACCCAGTATGTCCCCAGTCATCTCCTCCAAGAACACCCACCCTATCTAGCCTTCCGCTTAGTGCGCGCGCCAGTCGCGCCCGCTGTGTACGGTGCGCTGGTGCGTATTTCAACGTAGAGGGTGTGCGGAGCGATGAAGGCAGTCGTATGTGTAGATCATCAAGGCCGTCAGCGTCGTCCATGTTCGATAGAGCTAGATGTTTAGATGAGAATGATCATTTGAGAACTAGTTACTGGCAGGATGTATAGCTGCCGACACGAAAAACCACGGTCCAGTCACGGACGGTCACGAAGTGACGGACAGTGACCGATCGTCACTGTCGTAAGTTTGACAAATCGTCTCCGATCGGCGCTGGACGAGACACCCGACACCCCTCAGCTAGAAGCTGGAAGGCATGCGAATTCAACGAGGAGCGGGGAGTTGGGCACGATGTCGTCCCGACGCTGCCAAACGTCTCTTTTCTGGTTCATCGCAGTGATGCGGCCCTCACGTCACGGGCGTCTGCACTCGAGAAGTGCGGAGGAAGTATATAGGTCTGGGTAGTCCACTCACCGAGGGCATGGAGTTTGGTTTGGATCTGGAAGGAGTGTGGAATCTCGAATGGGAGCGCAAGTCCTCAAAATGAGAGACGGTTTGAGAGATGGTTTGGAATTGAAGATGTGTGCTGACTAGTACATGCAGGAATCCAGGCCTTGCTCCATTGCCGGCATCAAGCTACTACTGCGCCCGCATTGAGTTTGCGGAGGTGTCATGCGGTTCCGAGGATGGGTCCGTGATGTCACGCCATTTGGGAGGGTCTTTTTTCGCCCAAGAAACCTCTAGTGGACGTGCAGGATTCCCTGCAAAAACCAAGGTACCCACGCTCATATCCACCATCCTGCAAAGAAAAAGACCATCCTGGTGTGCTAAAGACGGTTGCACGCGCGCTAAAGACGATCCCACGTCTGATATATCAAATGTGGTGCTTGCTGGTTTAGCATCTACTAGCATGGGACGGCCCCAGGCATAGACAACTGCGTGCTCGAGAGGTAAGTGACACATTCATCTTTTCATGTGTCTAAGTGACTGTTAGTACAGGTGCTATATTATCAAAACTCGCTGTTGTCCTCCCAACATCTCACCCTCAACCGTCCATGAACCCCCAGCGCTGGTGTAAACAGCTCAACTACGTCTGACTAGCACTCGCTAAGGGACACATTCATCTTTTCATGCGTTTAAGTGACTATTAGTACAGGCGCTAGATTACAAAACACACTGTTCTTGCAAGACGCTGAAATCACCGTATTCCCCCACCATATTTCAGTCACCAGCCGCATTCTTGTTGCTCATTGCGACCAAACACCGCATCCCTCCTTTGAAGGCAAACATAGGTAAACAAATGCGCATTGTTTAGGGGCAGCACGCTAACTTGTTCCTGTGCACATCTGGGTACTAGCTCAGATACACCAGCGCGCAGCAATAAACTAGAGGGTTTACTTGTCATCATGGGTATAAACGGCCTGTGGGAGGTATGTGCACCTGCCGCTTGCCGGATTTCAAACCTCAGTCGCTTTACAGTTACTCGAGCCTGCTGCAAAAATGGTACCTGTCATCTCTCTTGCCCTCCAGGGCCGCTACATAGGACCCGCCCCTCACCTGCCCTATGTGGTGGGGGTTGATGCAAGGTTAGCATTTGGATATCAGCGGCCATGTCCACATTTGACACTAAATGTCTACTACGATCCAGCGGATGGTTCGAACAGTGCCAACAAGGCAAGTGGCACCGAGCACATGCTCAGACTGGGCAGAATCCCGCCCTTCGAACATTTCTATTCCGACTTGCCCGACTTGCCCGGTATCCACTGCAGCTTATCTTCTGCTATGACGGTGACCAGCGGCCTGGTGTTAAACGAGGACATAGGGTGTCTTCAAATGAACACTGGATGGTGAAGCCAACACAGCGCATCCTGGATGCTTTCAACACTCAGTGGATTACGGTGCGTTTAATTTCGCCACCTCTATCCTTATTATTCAAGCCTGGTATCCAGGCTGCGGGGGAAGCTGAGGCGCAGCTGGCCTTGATGAATAGGGCTGGCGTCATCAATGCGGTCATGACAGATGACTGTGATATCTTCGTGTTTGGTGCCCAAACCGTCCTTCGAAAGTAGGTGCTGCCTTTCTTCCACATCTGTGTCCTCCTGACCCTGTCCTCCTGCCTTAGCTCGACATTTTTGTCCGACACCATCAAGATATATACCATCGGCACCATCCGGGAGCAAGTTGACCCTTCTCTTACTGGTGACGCTTTCATTACCATTGCTATTTGCTGTGGGGGTGATTATGATAAGGTAAGCCTTCAGCCGCCATTCTGCGAACATTGATTCTCACTGACATCTGTCTCAGAATGGTCTTCCAGGGTGCGGACGTGAGACCGCACTTGGTCTGGCCCGCTGCATGGACAATAGTATGCTATGCAGTGCTATGCACGGTGGCAACCAGGACCGGTCCCTCCAGCAATGGCGGAACATCGCTGAATATCACCTTGCGAGTGATCCAACTGGAAAGATGGGCCGATTGCATCCAGCCCTCGCTCGCTCACTCTCTGATTCCTTCCCTAATCCGGGCATCATTAATTTATATGCACGCCCCACAGTAACTCCACTCACTGAGCTGCCCAAACTGCGAACCCCGGCCCCACCTAACCTCACTTCACTTGCGTCTCTTATTCAGCAGCTCCTGGGCTGGGACTCAAAGAAGCTTCTCGGCACTTTCCGCACTACCATTTGGCCTGTTGCCATCTTGCACGAGCTTCTGGAGGACCTTGCGAATAATTCGCCTATGAGCAATGAGGTCTGTGGACCGTGTTGCTCTATCTGAACATATACTGACAAGATGCAGATCGAGCTTGGCTCGGGCTGCACGAGGGCTGTCTTTCTCAGCCGTGCATCACGCCCGAAGAAGGCACTTGCAGGATTTTTGGGGCACAACAGTGATGTACCCACTGATACGCTGAAGCAAGCCACACTCCGGCTGCTTGAGGGGTCAGCTGAAGGCTGTCAGGATGACTCACATAAGTATGTTCGAGTATGGCTCGCTGACCAAATCTATGACTGCTGGGTGCGGACCATGTTCCTGTCGTCTTCAGGTGATCCCCAAATTGAGGTATGTCTATCAACAACACCATCATCATTCACGCTGACAAATGGATAGACTAATTCACTGTCGACATCATGCGTGGTCCATGGGTCATCTGCAGGTGCGGCCTCCGCAGCTGCTGCCTCTTCTGCGAGCGTCATCGACCTCACACAAGATGAAGATGAAGCAGTGCCCGCAGACGGTGTTATAATTGATCTCACAGGTGATGATGATGATCGTGAATTGATTGATCTCACTCTTTGATACAAATCTTGACATACTGTACTTGTATCTCGTCCGAAGCTTTGTGTCCATCACATATACTGGATGCGCCTCAATTGACCAGAAGTTTCAATTGTTCCAGCAAGTTGGATATCTCCACTGCGAACGCCGCGGTGGATCAGGACATCGATATTTGTCAATTTGTCATACGAGTTGCGTCTCATGACAACTGGCTGAGCTGTCCCAAAGCCGCACTAACCGTCAGTCCATCACCCTTGAATAGGCTTGGTCTCCCATCAGCACTGGTCAGCGTCAAGCGCCTTGTCAGCCTCGTCCGACATAAAACTCAGCTGCTGCACCATGCGGTCAGTACCTTTCATTCCTCCGTCCTCTCTCTTGTACTAAGTTTTACTGTATTTGCCCTTATAAACTATTAGAGGATGTTCGACTTGACATTTGGGTTCAAGGCCCTAGGAGCATTAGTCGCTGTCATTCTCGCCGACAAGCTCCTCCGCGCTAAGATACGCTCAAAGTCACGCCTGCCTCTTCCTCCTGGTCCTCCTGGAAATTGGCTATTCGGAACTCCTCTGCCAAGAACTAAGTGAGTACATAAAATACGAAACTCTATGTGGACACTAACGGGAAACACATCATAGTCAATCTCAGCAGTTTGCAGAATGGATCAATACCTATGGACCCATCATCTCGCTTCGGATCGGGCCTAAGATCATGGTCATCATTGGCAGATACCAGGTAAGATGGTTCCAATACTGGTCACCAAGTACATACTCACCTGCACAGGAATCTGTCGATATAATGGAGAAAGAAGGTAGTCTACTAGCCGACCGTCCTCGTGCAGTTGCGGCAGGAGAGATATTGTCGCGCGGGCTGCATTTGATCCTTGCACCCGCAGGAGAGCAGTTCCACAGACTTCGCAGGTTGGGTTGAGATCTCCTCTTAACGACCTATTTTACTGAAATTATGTGATTCAGAGCGGCTCATACTCACCTTCAAGCGAAAGCTGCAGAATCCTATGTGCCAATCCAGATGAATGCTGCCCGTAATGTCATCCTCGATATCCTTAATAACCCTAAAGGACACCAAGCAGCTGCGAATCGGTATGTTGCACTCAATGTGTTGTTTTATGATCACTTATGCATTCAACTCAAGCTACACCGCCTCCAGTCATCTTGCGTGTCACGTATGGCAAGTCGACCCCCCGAGATCATCGTCATCCAGAAAATGCTCAAGCGCTTCCAGATGCTCATGCGACCTGGTGCATTACTGGTAGAGCGCTACCCGATATTAAAATACGTTCCGGGATATGGAACCGAGTTGGAGCAGTGGAGAAGGGAAGAGAGTCAGCTCTTCCATGACCAGCTTGATCGTGTTTTGAGAGAATTGGTTGGTTGGTTCCACTTCTTTCCTCATCAGTACCTGACTGTTCTTCATAGGCGACCAGCAAGCTGGTCCCTCGTTTGCTCGCTATCTTCTTGAGAACCAGTCTTCGCACAAGCTCTCGGACGAAGAAATGGCTTATCTTGCTGGGTCGCTCTTTGGCGTCGGTTCGGACACGACTGCTGTTGCGATTATGGTTGTCGTCATGGCTTCTGCATGCTATCCCAAGGCTCAGGAGAAAGTGCAAGAAGAACTGGACGTCGTCATTAGTCGTGACAGAGGTAAGTCGAATATCGTTATTCATCTGAGTGAAATCTCAACTTTGTTACAGCTCCCACATTCGACGACTACAACTCCCTCCCGCAGATTGAAGCGTTCATGCTGGAGTGTCTTCGCTGGAGACCCATGACGACTCTCGGATTCACACACCGTGCGCTGACTGATATCCCATACATACGTTTTTCAGTGCTCTGTCATGTTTTTTTGTTCTAACTGCCTGAGCAGAAGAATACGTGTATCCCAGAAGGTGCTATCGTCTTTGGCAACCACTGGTACGACTAACATCCATTCTATGCGATATTGTACTGATCACCTTTCAACAGGGCAATCTCCCGTGACCCAAGCGTCTACCCCAACCCTGACCAGTTCGATCCTCAGAGGTGGCTCAACACCGACGGCAAAATCCGGGACGACCTCAAGTTCCCTTCATTCGGTTTTGGACGCAGGTACTTGTCCCTGATATTAAACCCAGTTGCCTACATACTAAAATGTGACGTGCAACATGCAGAATCTGCCCAGGACAACATATAGCAAACCGCTCGATCTTCATTAACGCTGCGCTCCTCTTGTGGTCTTTCAAGATCACGCAGGACCCTGAGAACCCAATTGATGAGTCGGGTTTTGTGGATGGTGTTATTGTGCATCCTAAGCCGTTTGCTGCGTGTTTTGAACCGAGGTTTGGGAATGAGGCGGCATTGAGGGGGGTGATGGGGAAGTATGGCGAGGGATTGTAGGTTCTTGATCTTGAGCGCGGTTTATTGTGAGCTTGGGATGTAATACTTTCGTTGGTATTTTGGTGCGAGCGGCTCTTCGGCTTAATACTGAAATCATATTCATTTTGGTGTCTGTGGTAGATGCGACATGGAGTATGGTCTTTGTAGAATCAGTTCGAGACAATGCGACAGCACTAGGTGAGGCTGATGGAGATAAAAGCATCAGTATTGCGTGCGTCAAGCATTCCACTCTGAATCTCTCTGACAGTACCTTTTCATCGCGGCAGGAAGCCCAGCAAACCTCGTCTGTATTATGAACTACTACTATTGGTTTGGTCTCGGGTACAACAGGAAGCGAGGCTACTATTGTGATGTCAAGGTTCATACCCTTTGCCCTACTGCAATCAAGCACATAAGCAGCATCGGCCACACTGCGGACACTTGACAGCTGGGCGCTGGTTGGGGTTGAAAAAATGGTCCCTTGGCTCTGCAGGGTCATCATTCGAGGAGATAAGATACTTGACTATTGTCATGTTGGTGAATTCAGTGCTCCACCCGCCCCACTCACAAATCCTTCTCAAGGGCCACCGCCTTTCTATATGCAAATATTGGCAGCCCCCCCGACGAAACGAGTGAGTGCCATAAGGAGCAGGGTCAATATTTATGTCGAGAAGGTTGTTTCGAAACAGCTCTAAGAACTGTTCTGAAGACTAGAAGGGCACCTTTAGCTGTTTTCATCGAGGTACACATTAATTACACACCATAGGGTTATTTGCCACTGCTATCCGGTCACCAGATGCCATTTTTCGGAAAACATAGCCCGTCGTTATCTGGGACTCATCAAACCAAGCGGCAAGTGCTCTCGTAGGACAGAGATGGGCTTCATTAGATGAGAGGGTCCAGAGATGAAAGGGTTTAATATCTAAAATCATATATCTCAATCACAGCTCGCAATTTAAATACAGATTGAACACAGACCTCCATTTTGGTGGGTCTTGCGAAAGGGGAGGTACAACACAACCTGATTGTTTGCCACACGAAGATCATGAACCTGTATCTTGAGGACCTCATCAAACCGCAACATACATAAGAATGCCACTGTATATGCAGCATGCAGAAGCCTTCGGACCCGCCCACCACCCCAGTTGTCCAGGCTGTCAGAAGTACGAGAGCCTCCTGCAGGTTTTCGCTCGCCAGGTTGATACGGCTGGACAGTCCAGTTCTCAGGAAGGCGGTTGTGGTGGTACAATTTGAGTAATATCTCCTGCAGGAGTTGTAAAATTTTCACCAGTGAAATATTAAAATATTCAACGTGACTCACCGATGTTATAGCACGAGCACTGTTTGCAACTTCACCAGCTTGAACCTAGCACAGTTTGATCAGCCTCAAATCAGCCAAAATCACAAAGCACTACCTTGCGTCTCCGCAGCGAACACATGAAAGATGAAACTTCAACCGAGATTGAGGGGTTGCCAACCATGGTGGCACCAACATCGGATTCATGCCATGGCATGTTTCCGAGACCCTTCAGCTTACCGAAGCCATAGGTCATTGAGGCTCGCATTTTCTGAGCATGTCCATATGTCCCCCGTTCCTGGGAACACAGCTTTGTGGTGCCGTCAAGATTAATGGAGTCGCAGCTTCCATGAAATGTCAGCATCAGAACGACAGATCGGCTCCAAGCGGCACTCACGCGTTCATAATCCAGGCTACAATTACCAAAGGAGCATCAGCCCGTGGTCTCTTGCTGAAGAATTCCTCATCCGGCCCCAGAAGGCGGATCCTGATAGCAAATGAGACACATGAATTCATTAACCTGCAAAGAGCATAAGTGACCCGTCAGGTGAGTTGCTGAAAAGCATCCACCTTTTGTATTCAGCATCCGTGCCATCTGTGACACCCTTGGAAGCCTCCATGAGCGTCATCTGCAATTTAACAAAATCAGGAGTATCAATTGACCCAGTATTCGCCGTTTTCAGACCAGCGCCGGGCTCAATTATAGTTTCTTGTTCCGCTGCAACATCCTCTTCAATTTCATCTATCTCGAGGCCAGTAGCAGACCCTGAAAGCACCCCGCATAAACCAGGAAAACATTGCATGGAGTCAACCGTCGCAGCCATAGGTTGATAGAAAACTTTGTTGTCAGGGCTTGGACTGAGTAAAATGTGGTGTTAGTTCAACTTTGGTGGGCCGCCGGCTGAGTCATGGCAACAAGTTGCATGTCTGTTGACCATTAGGCACTGATACTCGTATTACTGGTTCCCATTCTCGTAAAATTTGTACTGCGCAAAAGAAAAATCCTATCTATAACACCTTCACACCAAACCTTTGCCTGTCAACTCGGTGTACCTTTTTGCAATAGCGGATGGCTTGGTCATGACATACTCTCTGCCTCCCCTCCGGTAAGTAAAATGAGCATCGAATGCAGGACCAAACTCCTCATGTGCCTGTTGCACGATGCGGGAGTGGGCCGCCTTGCGTGCATCACGCAGCTTCTGAACGATAGTGGTAAAGGTCGCATGTTCTCCATCAACACTGAATTTGGCCCAGAACTCCTCTGGGCTGCTCTGACGATAGCACTCGACGATGTCCTGGATGCCCAGAGAAGAGGAAGGTCAGTCAGATGCAGTGGAACAACTCAATTTTGCACCCACACGCCAGTCTGTCCACTTATTCTTCGTCCCCTTCCACTGCTGGTCTCTGCCGTAGCGATAGAGTACAGGCCAGTGCTCGATTGCAATTGGGTGGCCCTGGATGACAATGATTGATATACCCCGCCAGTGCTCAGTGTGGTCATCCCACATCTCGTTGAGGCTTGAGATATCATTTGCGAAGCTGATGGCAGGGGGATCAGGAATATCGCCGTCATCCAGTTGTAGCGTAGTGCCATCTCCGAGCTTGAGCACTCGAGCCTTGTTTGTGTCGGGCTTCGCTGGTGTTGGGGCTTCTCTCACCATGCTGTGTCCTGACGTGATGGCATCAGTGGAGCGAGGAGCTACTGCCCTGTGTTCCTCGGCACCTAGTATATGCGGGGATGCAGCAGCACCCGGTTGAAGGAGGGCATCTTGCACGAGGCTGATAAGCCTCGTGCTTGCATTTTGGATGATGGTGTCCTGCAACTATCCACCTGTCAGCATGTCATATCATAGTAAGTGGGAGACACAGCACCGAGCAAGCTCACCTCATTGATGTAGCTGGCAGAGTGCGCACTTGTACCAGTAGGCATCCCACCCATAGGATAATGACTAGGTTCAGCATCGGCAACTGGAGCCATGCCGTCTGTTGTCTGGTATGGATACTCCATGCAGATCATCTTGGCCTGTGAGGCCAACGTTCAACCAGTCCAACACGACAGAGATAAATCAAAAAAGAGGAGGAAAGAAACAGCAGCTCACCCACGGCAGCAGTGCGGCAACCTCGGCTGAGGTGCGTGCATCTTTTGATCGATCAGTGATGGTCGTGGTTCCGTTGATAGTGTTGGCGCCTGGAACGAGTTGTGCACGACGCTGTGTAGACTTTTTGGTACGGCTTGTCCTAGGCTTGTCCGTGGGCCTCTTCACTCGAGGTCCCTTATGAGACCTGTGGGCACCTGGGTGGGCGCTCCAGTAACAGTTCAGCTCCCAGTTGAATTGAGTGAAAAAAGTCACGTACCTGTTCCATGAGTCAGGATTGTGGCTGAATGCCTCCAGTCGTTCGACTAGCACGGTCTTGTTGCCTGTCTGAGAGAGGTTGAACTCGATGCAGTGCTGCTTCAGCACTTTTGCAGTCATGCTGTAGCTGCGGTACCATAATGAGTGTCGCGAGGAACCAGGCGAACGACACATTAAAACTTACATGCGGAGGTATTGAACTGATGGCCCTCCATCCTGCCTGAATCGCAGTGGGAAGGGAAGGGACTGCTCGTCAGAGGAGACTGATAGACTGCTGCTCCGAGGGCTGCCTTGAGTTTTGCTGGGCTGAGACATGCTTGGTGTTTGGTCATGAGTACCGGCTTCAGCGCTCCAGAATGCCTCGTCACCATCTGAGATGGGACGTGATCCAGAAGTGTTGACAGTGTTCATCTTCACGAAGCTAGGGACGTTGTTGATGCCTCTTTTGTCACCGTTGCTGAGGAAGGCCTGCGCAATGCAGGATCTCCACCAGGGATATGTTCCGATGAGAACGACGAAAGCTGACACACCAAAGACGACGGCAAGAGAGCTGGTGTCGTTGAGTCCGCCGTCCGGTGCTAGTGCATCAGGGGTGCTCGGGTCTGCACCCGAGCTGGAACCGTTCGAGAGAGTGACGAGTGAGCTGAAGGGGTTGGGCTGTGGGCGCTGGAGCACTGTGTCGTCGATGATGGAGGCAAGCACATGCTCCGCGACGTGCTTGGCAGCAAGCAATGGGATCTGGGGGACGGGCACGTCAGCATTGCAAACGCTATACTCACTTTCCGAGCGCATCTGGCAACCGACAAGAGACCGTCCGTGCTTAAGTCAGCATGCCTGGGACGGCGTTCGCCGAACTGTCACACCCAAAACAGGACGGTGATTCTTTCGAGAGAAGCAATTAGCGTCATCCCCATCTTCAGCTTCAGCCCCTGTGGCACTTTCTCGCTGCACACTCGCTTGCACTTCGAAACTGCAAATACCCAGTTAATTACTAGTGGACAGGATCTGAGACGGAAATATCAGTCAGAATTCCTGTCTCTCAGTGAGGACCTCCACTCTCACATCACCTTCCTTCCTTACCGAGACATTCTTCGTTGTACCTCTGAGCTACCGATTGACGTCAATGTCCTAGATTATAGTACTGAAAATGTCTTACTATGTAAGGCATTCTGCCAGGCGTACATGACATCCTCCGAGCTTCAGTACATTGTTGAACTTGGTGCCAACAACTGCTCCCCGTTGCTAACACATATTTCGACAAACGCACTCCTATGTTCGGAAAACTCTCTGTAGCAGACGACGTCGATTGCTATGCAGACTCGGAATCCCTCGCCAATGGCCATCTCTGCACGTGGGACTCATATATATATGAACTCCGTCGTGATCTTTTCAGTATTACCGAAGCCAAAAATCGACCGTCATTTGTCTCCATTACCGCATTCAGTTCCCAACGGGAACAGAATAATGGACGTGCTTTTGGACCCAACGCAAATTCTAATTGCCATCTTGCAGGTCAGTGATAATCCTCCTCACACAGGTGACGAGCAATTCCGTGTTGACCTTGGAGCCCTCGATTGAGATCGTGTACATCCCAAAGCTACTGGACAGACACTATTCCTGTCGAGGCTGCTCCGACGGCATGAGCGCGAACGTATTGTAACAGGGAGTACAAAGACGACGCTCAGTAGGTGGGGAAGATATATCGTACTCCGGATCTACTTTCCGGTTGGTGCTGCAGGCAGCTCTTCATTCAAGCCCACATGGTGGTTGTAGATTTGGGACTGGCAGCACTCACCAACATCCAATGTAAGCCCTGGTCGGAAATAGTTGAAAGACTTGATACCTGACACTTGATTTAGAGTATTCTCAGTGACTATTATACTCAACATATATTGATATCAGCGGTGAACACGACCTAATCAAACCTTATTTCCTCAGCAACGATATTAGAAGGAACGACTATCCTCCTTCGTCTATATAGGGCTGGCTAGGGGAGACTACGGAAACGATAGATTGGTGATTGTCAACAATCAATTGAACCTGAAGCAATTGAGGATATATCCTGGGCGCCGCAATTGCTGGCATGATTCTTGTTACCTACATCAGTGCTGTCCATAGAGTCCGTTTTTCCGATGGAGGATACCGCAGATGGCTCCCAATCACCGATGCCAGCCCAACAAACAATGTGGACCTCGGACCCTACATATCGACTACTATCCATTGTCATGGGGTGAGTCATTTCCACCAGGATTTTCTTCGATCCGGACTCCTTTTCAGGGATCATGCAATGGGACTGTTGGGGCCCTTTAAATGCTCGTATTTTCAAGTATCACTATAGATTTAACGTTACCGGGAGTCGAGTTTTCTGGCATTGCCTGCGGTTGACACGACAACTAGTGCTAACCCGGATGCGATGGAGCCATGTAGGTTACATATGATGGACTTCAGCCCCCTCGCTGTTAAGCGCCGGCAGAGTCTGGGACGAGTAGTGACAGAGTCATCCACTATCGAAATCCCAAAAATCGACAAGGAAGTGGGGGTATTTCCCCCTGAAGCGGGGGAGCAGTTGACAACGTCCCTGCCTTACGTCCAGGTCGTATCGGACAGAAAGTTCGGTAGCCATGAGGTAAAGGTGATATGGGTTGACAATGACAGAATCTATCTCGGAGGAGGCAAACAACCTAACGGTAAGTTCTCCCCGTTTTTCAAGCTATACTTATTTGAGTAGGATGGGGTGTAGACAAGTTCAGTGAGGTGATTGAAATCAGAACTTAGTCTTTATCGATTAGTTATGTATAGACAATCAGATTCATGACGCGACCCTCTTTGGTCCCTGCCGAGCGAATTAACCCAAGAAAGTGCCCGCGCTGATAAGTACGTCGTAGTTGTAACCGTCCTAGTCTCCCTAACGCTGACGGTGCTACAATGAACATCTCTCGTTGACATTGTTCGCCTGTAGACTCGAATCAGACCATCAGATTATTTATGAAAGCGGTTCTGGCCATGCCATTAGGGACGAGTATCTGCACTTCAGTCTTCATCTCTAAATGTAAATGTGACCTCGTCGCGTCTCTGTCCAGAGGACGGTTTGACTATCTCATTGTTATTCGAGGTGTTGAGGACCTGTGTAGCGATGGAGATGAAAGTATAAAAGCTGTCGAGGTTTTTGCTATGTTTTCAAGTTCGCCTCCGATGTTCACCCGGGAGACGCAGGCCGTTGGTGATTTTGAGCAGGGAGTCAACCAGCCATGCGTTTCACTGAAAAAATCAAGAAGACGGAATCATTCTTGCAAGTGAATGGGTATCGTACATCGAACGAGGAAAAAAATATTCAACGTACTTATTACTCATGTGTGAAATATTCTTCCGGAGATTCTGTATCTTTACGTCCCGGATCAATCTGATTTCAATCAAGGGCTGGGTAGCCGGGATGTTGCAGTGAGTTTTTGGGTTAGACTGCCTGCTTCGTCCCGATCCTTCCTTTCCAATATTCAGAACGATTTCAGCACGGGTTTCAGAACGCCATCAAGCAATGGATTTACCGTCAGATGGTTAGCATGCGGCGGAGGCGGAGTCGTGTGCGTTATCTTCTATCCGGCTGGAGCTAGCTCAATTTGAAACAAAAACATCCTAGTCGTATCTGTCTCTGGGAGGTTGATGTCAATATGTTGCTCCGGAAGCATGTAAAAAGGCGTGGGTGCGATTGCGGAGCATTCGAGAATGGAGACCCACAGATCGGAGCGCCGAGTATATCGACGTAAACTTGCCTTCACCATGTACACCACGTTCGAGCAAGTTCTGAGTCCCGGTACCACGTAAAAGGTTAGCTGGTCAGGGTCTGCCCACATGCTGTGATTGCTATCAGCCAAATGAGAATTTTTGATCCTAAAACGAGGTGTAGGTCACCCAGTAGGTGTGATTGCAAAGCTTTCTAAGCGGAACGCTGATCATCGACGTAAATTTGCCTCGACCACGCAAACAAGGTATGCCATGTTTGAGCAGGTTCTTGATGCCACAAAAGGTTAGGTGGGTAAGGGTCCACCCACATGCTGTTAGTTGACGAGAGCTTTGATGACGGCTTCCTACAGTCTACAGAAGCAAGAAGCCTCGAGGAATACTCGCGGATGACCAAAAAGAGGTGGCAATGTAAGAACAAGGTACGTCCTTGTCCTTCGCGGGTTGTGATGACTACAAAGACGCCCGCTGGCTTAAAGTTAACATCTGATCAGTTGCTCGCGGAGGGCAAGCGAGGTTAGTCGCCCACGACATCAAGGGAGTTTCCTAAACGGACTACAAACGATTGACCAAAAAGGCGTCAAAGAGAGTAGATAGCTCTAAACAAATTTCGAACATATCCCTTGTTCTGAAAATAGTGGAGACTAGTACTCGGGATATAAAGCATTTTGACAATGTCATCTTTTTTTCGCTGTCTCCAACTCCCAAAGTGATTTGATATCACAAAACCGCTACTATCACGACCTTCTACTACTTCATTTTATATTTCCCAGCTCCATACACTAGCCACGATGTATCAAGTCCGTGCTGCACACCCCATCCAGACAAAAGCCATCTGGGATTACGAAGAATCAGCTACACCCACCATGGCTTCTTTCCCTGCACAACAGTCTTATCCTTCTAATGTCCAGCTTCCTCGCAAGCTGCAACGTCCATCATATGCTGAGGTTCCTAGACAAAATATTGCTGCTATCGCACCTGAACTCTCAGAAGTACCCATGGACTACGTCCGTCGCGGTCTGAAGCTGCAAGCAAACCAGTGAGTATCATGTCAAATCGCTAGGTTAACCTGATCTAACATATCATCTAGGATGTTGGCTGGTATCGCAGCACTTTCACCATCTCACTTGCCTCCGAGCATGCCTCGCTCGCAGTTGCACCACTCCCCTAGTCTAACCATTCCAATTCGGGCATCTGGCTCCTCCTCTTCCTACCCCACACACATACTTGCACTCTCCAGATCATCCAGCTCTTCCGATCCGTATGTGACCCTCGTGGCCACCCATTCGCTTATTCTCGCATCTAATTGCGCTTCCCTCCCCCGCCTCCCCCCATCAGCTTCATCTCATGGCGCTACTGTTAGCGTCACTCTTCCAGTACTTCCTCTCACTATACCCGCCCCGGCAGCATTCAGCCCCTTGCACACTTTCCTCTACACTCATTCAGCACCTCAACTGCTCTCCGCACTCCTTCCGGCTGTCCCGGGCTCTTTCTTGTCTACCCTTACGTCACCACAAGCACTCCGAGGCACACTTGCCTCCGGGCCTGCACTCCACACGCTTTCCGCGCACCTGATGTCATCTGCCCCTGGTATGAGTGCACTTACCAACGTCGCCCAGAACATCGCGGCTGTGTGGAGAAACGCAGTTGCACTAGGCGTGCATGATCCCGAACTCTGGGACTGCCTTGACCTCGCATGGGAGGTCATATTGGGTGCTATGAACCTCGGTGCCGGAGCGCGCTAATACCATAAACACTAATAGGGGGCACCCGCGCTGGCGCACCAGCCATCCAAAATCTGTATCTGTCTCGTAACCACCACTGTATCCCTGGATTTCTCCCACATCTCAGATCTCATTCACCGCACATATCTCATCAGACCATGCCCTTGTATCCCTTACTATTTCCCTTGTTTTTTTTCCGTCTCTTTTACTTATCGTCGACATCTCTATGACTACCGTGGAAAGCTGAGATACCAAGTAATTTACGATTGGTAGTAATGGTTCAGAGACCTTGTATCTACTATATAACAGAACGATCAAAATGCCTTGTATAACTTCAATCATGTGCCCCTAAGTTTCATTTTAGCTGTCTCGTCCTGGCAAAAGACGCCTTCCGTAAGGAATTCGAAGGCGCTAACTCTCGAGTTCATTCACAAGACTTAAACGATGAAGTTGAACTGCCGTGGCGGTACTTCTCGATCAATTGAGCTTCGTCCACGATGATACTTACAGCATCTACTCCAAGAGCTTGATTATTATGGGCGCTTCGCAGTCTCGAAATTAACATTGGTCAGTGGTCCCCTTACTGACTATGAGATCGGGATTCATCACCCGCGAGATAACTTATCTACCTCGCCAAACACCGAGATGAAGACCCTACATAGTCGTACTCGGCCATTGTATTACTATTAATTAGTATCACTGACGCAGAGGACCGACTTCGGAAGATCGAGGTCCTTTTATAAGAGGTATGCCATGGACCGCCATGGATAGTCCCCCTTGTCCATTGCCGCCGCAGGTGACCAGACAGAGGTCGAAGGATTTTCAACACTCGTGGCTAACATACTGCACGTACCATATGTGTAACATCGGGCTCGGCCCAATAAATGGATCTTTGTTCTTTTTTTTTTTTGAAAAAAGAATGGCGACACGACGAAGACTTGTGCCTCAGCCAACTTTGCACTCGAGAGTCGACAGTTGTGCTTATCGCGTCAGTAAAGTTGGGTTTGAAGTTTGACATTTGAGGGTTTAGAGCGTCAAGAAAGACAAACGACAATGTTACCCTACAAGGAACGACTATCTTCATTCTATTGGGTCTGGCTAGGGGAGACCAATTTACCCCCAGGGAAAGAGAAATACACGACAGTGAATAGCTGAACACACTGCGCACACCAGAGAAATATACGAGGCCGAAATTGTAATGGGACACTGCGATTTCTAGAGTCAAGCTTTCTCACGCAACCTCGGGATCCTTCTGCATCATACGCCTGAGCGCCGATTCCGGAACCCTGCTCTCAAACTGAACAGTGCATGGTTGGATATCTGGCACCACCCCGATCATATATCCCATGTCATCCGCCGGCTTCGTAGGATCCAGAGTCATCCGGAAGGCCCAAAGGACAAGGAGCGAGTGTATGAACACGGATCTGTACCAATCGAAATGAGCTCGAAAGATCATATGCGTGGAAGGATATCTTTACCTGGGTACGAGGTGTTGGGCGGGGCATACCCTAGAAACACGGACGGTCAAAGACGAGATATTTTGAGAGACGAAGCTTACCGCCGACCAAACCCGAAGGTATAGAATTTGTGGTCCTTCCTCAGGCCACCTTGGTCGTTCAGCCAGCGCTCAGGTTTGAATGCGTGAGGGTCAGGGAAGACGTCTGGATCTCGAGAGATGGCCCTGAGCAGTACCGATTAGAGCCTTCGTACTTTCGGAAGATGATGCTTACCAATGGTTGCCGAACACCGTAGTCCCGGCAGGAATGCAATAATTTTCCTGTCGTGGATGTTAGAATATCATTAGTGCGATAAATTGTTCAAAGATTACTTGCCCAAATCACGTCTTTAGTCGTTTGATGAGCCAGCCCTACAGTGTGAACCTTGTAAACTGCAGGTACAAAACAGACATGAAAATACCCACCTTCAGCAGCAGACGGTCTCCATCTTTGACACTCAGCGATGAAAGCGCGCAGAAGGGGAAGGGAATTTTCGTCAGCGAAAGTGGGTACTGTGGTGGAGACATCATTACTCGACAAGACTGCGATAGGAATGAAGCTACCTCGGTTCCTTCCGATGACCGCATCAAACTCGGCCTGGACTTTAGCTTGCTCCTCGGGGAAAAGCGCGGCTACCATGAGCACCGTGCATAACGCCGCAGCAGTCTGGCACATAATATCAACAACAGGTCTTGGGAAACAACTTAGTAAGAAGACGCCTCACCGTGTTGGATGCTAGCAACAAGCTCCCAACGAGCCAAGCCCTCTCAAGCTCAGTAAAGGGATAACTATGCTCAGTTTCGAGCATGTATTTCGCGAACGAAGGGCCGATGTCTTCATTCCTCTGCTGTGGAACGGGGTCAGGCATCATGGAAAGAATGACAAGGCGATAAGTACTAGTTGATGTTTCACGCGATTGAGCTGAGGCGGTGTAGATCTTCCTGCCCCTCTCAAATCCCTCTCTTAAATCTTTGCCATACCAAGGAATGTATCTGAGCCACGGAATCGAGTCCACCAGGTAAGCACCAGGGCGCTGGGATTTACCCAATTCCTCTATGCGCTGGCGAGCATCTTTGAGTTCGAGATCACCAGCAAACGTACGCGTGTTCTTCCCGTATGCAACTTTCATGATCACCGATGAGACAAAACTTCAGAATCCCTGTAAGTGGCGTGTTATCACAACCGCTGGGCAAGCGCTTACGTTAACGTGTGGTTCTGGAAGTTGGATGGATCATCGATGATGTCCATGACCATGTCTTTTGCGTACGATAACTGTATGAGCTCATGCTGCTCGAGTGATCTCGGTCCGAGATGCAAATGAAGTGCTCTGTACCCACATTGCAAAGGTAAGATAGGAGTTATTTCGCAGTGCCCAGACTACGAACCTACGCATATGATGCAACCTTTTCCCCAGCGTGTGAAAAGGCGATGGACTGTCCGCCGCTAAGCATTTCTGAAGTATGAATACATAGAAGGACGATCAGATGTCGCCCCGCCCCTGCTTCTCCAAGATATCTATCGCGGCCTGCAACAAAATATCAAGTCTGGGTATGAAAACTCAGCTGGAGAGACTGACTTTTTGGCGGCCGATAATCACGATTCTCCGGGTTCCTGAGCGAAAACTGATCACGGGCCCAAGCTCTTCAATCCATTTCTCTACAGTAAGATATGACCTAATGAGCGATGTAACATAATTAACATTAGAGAAACGAATATGTCAAATGTGAAATCATACCTGTGATAGGGTAGTACGTGCCCCCAAAGCCCCCAAGTGGTAGGGGAAGGTGGGAGGGGATATTTACTTCCTGATGTAAGGTAACCGCGAATGGCGGCTCCTACCCCAAAACAAGCTGCAAACGCAAGGACGAGCTTCGTGTTTTCTAAAACGTGCAGGTCAGGTACCTGTAACATGGCTGATGAGTGGAGCGTAAAGAAGGATTAAAGAGAGTTCATTGACAGGGAAATCAAGTTATGAATGGGCTTTTGCGTGGCGGTCACTATACCCAATGGAGTTCAACACTGCTGGCCTGAGCCTTGAGACCTCTGATTGCGAGTCATAGAGGTTGATCATACCTAGAGTACTTGACGTGGCAGGGTTGCACCAAGATAATGGCACAATATGATAGCACGTCCCGCGATTGTCAGGTCCCGGTTCGAGACTACCAAAGGGATGTAACAAGCATGACATGATGGGCGACACGGTGGTGTAAGTAACAGCTGTAAGATATATACGCGAGAAGTAACTGTGTGTCACGTGACGGCTAATCTAATCGGAAGTCATTCCATTATGTAATGTTCTCGAGTCTTGATGTGCCCTCCCTTGGTACAAATGACTCAGCCAATGATCGACTTGCGGACCACACCGTACGGGGGGCGTTCTATCTTTGCTATACAACCCATTGCCCAAGGGATCCACATTTTAGCATGTGAAACTCCTTTTGCGCATGTGATCTACAAAGACTATCGCAGGGAGGTCTGTGCCCAGTGTTTCGCTTATGCAGCAAGCGCTTCTCGAAATATCGGCGATCCACGGACTTGGAGTATCAGAAGTTGTAGGGCAGCTTCAGAGTCTGTCTGGTTCTGTACAGATGAATGCAAGATCGCATGGGAAAGTGGCATGATAGGCCCCTTGATAGCAGATACGAATGCTCTTCTTGCGAAGGCACAGATAGCCACTCGGAAAAAAGTCAAAGGCAGACGTCTTTGCCACGATTCTCCTGACCCGATATTGCCAAATGGTCCCACAGCCACTCTACAAATCACGCAAGACCACATCGACGAAGCATGGACGCATGCCGAGGATCTGGCGTCCTCCCCTGCTCGTCTTTCTTCCCTGCTGCAATGGATTTGGAAGACATGGAACTTGAAACCTCGCGTTCAGTTGCCTCAGCTATTGTTCAGCGATATGTATTCGATTGCCGTCTTGCCGATCTCGCATTTTCTTCGAAAATCGCCACATCAGATCCGTGGACAGAAGTTCTTCGTCTCCAGAACAGCGAGCTATCGAACGTCCGCCTGCGGCCTTACATTCTCGTGGCACATCTACGTGTATACGCTTTTCTGTGTCATTCGCTCCCACAACATCTCAGACCGTATGTTTCCTACGATACGAAATCTCCTTGCGCGTGACACGGGGAATGCTTTCGGCATTTGGGATGGAGACAGCAGAGATGAAATGCTCGGGTGGGGTGTTTGGGTGGGCGCAAGTTATTTTAATCACAGTAAGAACCCATTTCCTTGGTAAACATACCTTCTTACTCAACACGCCGGCCCATGAAGGTTGTTGTCCAAATGTCAAGAAGACTCGCGTCGGACGTACCATGCAGTTCACAACCTCTCGCTCAGTCGAAACCGGGGAAGAGCTATGCATTAGCTACATTGATATCAATCAAACCATTACGCAGCGCAGACAGGAACTAGAAGACAGCTGGTTCTTCACGTGTCAGTGTCAGCGTTGTCAATCAGAAGATGCTGATGAGGCATGCTTACATTGATGTGCTTGGAACTTCTCCCGTGTGTAATTTCATACATAACTCGGCTTACACCCTTTGTAGGGCTGCTAGAGATGAATCCACCCCCACATAAACAAAGCGTTATTGGCCCACGTATGAAGATCCAAATACGTTAAGAAGAAGCGGAGCTTCTTCAGTCGCAACGGCATTGACTTTTAGCGAACTACGCACACGCAACACGCGGTACAACATATCATCCTGTGTTCCGTGTCGTCGGATGATATATTGGTGTTTGGTCGTTTTGATTTCATCTCGAGGTCGCGTCGGGCCTTCGAATGTCTGCTGCTAGCACCCGCATCATGGCCGATCAAAGCAAACTCGATGTGTTGTCTTGTTGCAACATGCGCGTACTTATTATGCAGTCTGACCAGTGGTCATGACTAGCACTGATCATTGAATCGTGCCATCATGTGTCATGACGGAA